ATATGGAAGAACAGCAGAATTTTATTGGATATTATAAATCGCAAAGAGTAAATGCATCTGCTCCAGCTGTTGAGAACCATTTTGAGCCATATCATCGATTGTCTACGGCCGTCTTTGGTTTTACCATCCAGAGGGCCCCAACCAGGAAGCAAGTCTACACCTCCCTATGTGTCTGACCTAAACTAACTGCTGTGGATTTCATTAACTGATGCATCTGTGTTTTGGTAAGACCACCACTAGCCAACTATTTTCCAACCTGATCCATCCTATGTCAGATAACATCGCCCATTATCGAGGAAGGTGATGGCTAGCAGTGCATGCATAACACACGTTCTAACCATCTCAATCGATGCAACTTCACAGCCTCATCGATTAATTTCCTCTTCTTACCTAGTACTCGACGCCTAACCTCAATATTGCTCCCCCTATTATACCACCTAACACCGGAGGCACCTATGATCAAAGACAGGTAGCTAGACTTTTCATATCATCCACTTCCAATGGCCATGTCTCGTTCACAGCCATAAAGAAGGACAGAGCGAACTAGTGAGCAGTACGCATGCCCTTCGGTCGACAGCCGGATATCATGTCTACGCCAGAGACGGCAACAACTCTGTTGAATGACGGCTTGGTATACTCCTTTCTAGGAAATGTTTCTGACCTGTCACCAACGTTCTTTAAAATACCTATCGATCAACTTCTCAAGAGAACTATTTTCACCAGTACAACCATAGAAAATATTGGTTTGACATCCTAGCCTTCTAAACGAAGCAATTATTCCTGCTCTAACAAATCACATTCGAAATAGGCCATTTTATTTACCAGTCTGCGAAATCTCTTTAAATTTCTGATATGATACTTCCAGAGTAGCTTTCAATTAAACAGCTATAATTTCCTTCATATTCTGCTTTGAATCTTACACCTCCTGGAAGAAAACTTACACCTCCGCATTCTATATCGTTATCATGTACAAGACACAAGTACATTTCAGTATTAGTTAGGCAATGCTTAAACAGGATATACCCCAGTCTCGATTAAAGTAGATCTTATAAACTTTTCATGGTTAAAATGCCATTTGAGAAGTTATAATTCGTTAGTGAATATTCTTACTGCATGTAATTAGGAGTTTCTTTTTAAAATAATGTTTCAATATTAAACAGTGAATTATTTCATTTTATAGTTAATAGTTTCTTGAGTTACAACATTAATGACTGATAATAAGATGGCATAGAATGAAATTAATTGTTGGCCAATTATCTAAACTTTGGTGATTTTTCCAGTAAATTGAAAAGCCGTGATGAATCTATGCTTTGATAAATGCTTTTAAGGAGAATCCAGTATTATCCCGAGAAAATACCACTAGTAGAAGTAAATTATACGGTCAATACAGCTTTACATGACAGTATTATTTGGAACCCATTTGGCTTATCCATACTGAACTTTCCATCAGGGAATATATTGCAATTAATGTAACTGTCTTGTTGATTATTTGAGTGAGATTTATTCAGAATTTCAATCAACCCGCAAGGATTATTTGCATTTTCTTCATCGTGACCAATCTTGTTTTACTGTCTCCATATTACATTTTCATCACTTGAGAAGAGCGTTGAGTGATACCACGCGTTAGGACCTACAGTGGAACCCGAATAAAAAGCAATGAGTTGGGCGTGAATCCAAGAACGACATGGAGGAGATCGTGTGAGGAGAAAATGGAAGCTTCGACAGTTTTGAAGCCATCTGACAAAAGACTGCAAAGAACAGAGTGAAATGGAGATGTGCTACTAAAGCCGTATGTTCCCCTCGAAAACCAATGGAATAATAATAAGGTTTATTTGTTTATAGTTTTAAGTCTATGCAATGAGTGATGTTTAAAGGTGAACTTATTAACTGGATTACATGATTAGAATTAGTAGGATTCGGATTTCCCCTAATCAGGTGACTGAGCTACAAAAGACTCAACTTACGATCAGATCCTAACTGAACTTCAATTATAGCGCTTTAAACTATAGTCAGAATGTGAATGAACGATATGTAACTGTTCATCGAACGTCACCAGAGTAGGTGTTCAACTTAACCATTGAGTTTATCAGTCACATTTTACTTGGCTTTTTAAAACTTCGTAGCATGAATAGTACTGATAAGAAGTTTAATTCTTCAAAGTCCATGGGATATGACTTCCTACGCCTTTATGGATTACTTAAGATACATAAAACTGTTAATCCGTTACGTCTAATTCTGTCAACGTGCCTTTTTCTCACATGTAGATTGACATTTTAAATCTCATATACAATGAATTATGAAAGTTCCCTATGAAAGATACTTTTGAACTTGTTGACATGATTATAAAAGATAAGAAAATGTACTGTTTTGAAGTAAATCTTTATTTACTAATGTACCTATAATTAAGACTGTTAATATTCGTTGTGATTACATATCTTCTAGTAGTCTTTCATTTCTTACTTTCCCAAAATATTTGAAAGATTTATTATTAGTATGTACAGACAAAGTTCATTTGACTTCAGTAGGTGAGAACTTTCAACAAGTAGATGGTGTTGCTATGAGAAGTCCACTAGAACCATTATTGACCGATGTCTTGCGTTGAAAATCTGGTTGGTGACTTGATCGCTGAAGTGCCATTTTATGGGAGATTTGTTTACGATATCATCGTAATATGCAATAAGAATGAAGATGCGACTTGTATACAGGATAGACTAAATTTTGTACAAAATCACATCAGTGTTACATGTGAGGAAAGCAGTTGCAAACTACTTGCATTTCTAGACGTAATTTTAAGTCACAGAGGATGGCTCAATACAGCGATTTATAGACAGCCTACTTAGACAATAAAGTATTTGAATTTTCACGGTTCTTTTGCATTATAATACAAAAGAGGCTTGACTAAATATATATCAACGAGGATTCAGCATATCTGTACAGCTGATGACAAAAAATACTGAAGGTTACACTTGTCCAAAACGCATATTCGTTGAGGTTTTTGAATAGGTGTAGAGGGCAGCTAAGTCCAAAGCCTACAGTTTACTCTCTTCCAAAGAGAGGTGTTTGTATAAAATTGTTTTATAACAGTGAAATAAACTGGACGAAGACTAAATACTGTCATTCGTGAAAACTATAATGCAGCCTAGCTTATAATTATCGAAAAAGCCGAAAATACCCTCTACTACATGCCACAACAGTGCATAGGTAACTACATCACATCCTATATCGTTCACCAATTAAAATGCGTGTGTGGACACATGTACATACGTGGAGTAATTGTGCTTTGCATGTGCGGGACGTAGAACATCTACCCCAAATGGCTTGAAAAACAATTGAACTCTGCAACTTTGATAAACACAGACGGCAGATTACTGACCTCGTCAATAGCGAAATACGCTACTGATATGAATTATAAGATTCACATCAGTAATAATAAAAAGTTATACATAGATGCATACTGACAAAGTGATTTGCTGCTCGATTGGATACTTTGCATTTTGTTAACTTATGTAATCTATTTTCTACAGATGCATCAGAATAAGGCAATGTATCAAATTATGAAAGTTGATTTACAAACTATAGTCACATAGGCGTTTATCCGATAGCCATTTTCATTACAATTGCCATTATTATCTACCTTGTTGATTGTCAGAATCTAAAGTGTGAAACGTGTGTTTATAAAATGTGGTAGTAAACTATAAGCCCGAATTAGCTCAGTATGAACCTCTATTACTAGCAGTACTGGGTGACGCGCGTCCGAATCATAGAAGGGACACATCCAACTGACAAGTGCCAACAGACAGGAGACCTAAATCTAGGGCTTCCTGCTAACTGCCTTCAACCGCCCAACACCTATTCAAAGTACACTAAAGTACCGAGTCACCTACCTCGGGAACTCGTAGAATACAGTAGTCAAGACCGAAACAAAGGCCTAGAAACATAAGAGTGGCAACACCATAATAACCAATTAATGTGTGAACAATAATAATGTGTTCTAATAGATTGGAATATATGCTCTAATAATAATACCACTACTAGTGTGGCTTGTGCTGCTAAAAAGATTTATAAGTAGTACATATATATGCAGACGTAAATATGTATATTGTGCGTCGGTGGCATAGCGGTTAGGACGCTCGCCGACCATGCACATGGTCCGGAGTTCGACCCTCGGCCGACGCACTCCTTTACTTCGCTAAGCCAGAAGTAATGTTGGTGAAGAGGAAAGGTTGGGCATGGGACTAGCAACCCCATCCTGTAAAATAAACACTGCTACAGAAACTTCAAGCCACTAGCTTGAAGCCCTATGTTCCATTGGGGAACATGAAGGAAAAAAATATGTATATTAGCGTCAGGAATATCGAATGGCGGAGAGACGAATTCAATTAACGATGCTCGTGAAACAAATCAGAAAACATAACAGACAGACGAAGAAGAACATTGCTGAACAGAAAGCAGCACAATAGCGAAGATATATGCAAATTGTCATATTCTACTATGTGGTAGACGTCATTTTGCCTACATCTCTACATCGAGTTGTTCTATCTTCTACCGTTCGTTACACTAGTACTACAGTGGGAACAATTATTAATTATTAAAATGTGAACGATATTTATAGTTTTATTAAAAATATTAAAAAGAAAGTCATGTCATGTCATGGTACAAAGCGGTATACACAGCTGATATAGAAAACAAAAGAAAAGAACCATATACAATCATGAATGATCCAAAATATTATCGTATGAAGACTTATTGAGAAAACAAACCAATCACCTACCTAGTTGAAGGAAAGCTTAATACAAAACAAAAATACCAAACTACCAGCAATAAATGTGTTTCATTGTACAAAAAAGAAGGACAGTTTATTATTATTTTTTTAAAGGTTAGAAAATATACATCAAGATGTGAATATTACTAATAATACTGTTATAAAGAATAATAGCAATACTGACAGGGTTATATTCGAAAGTATGGAGGACATAAGTACTAGAATAAAAGCGCCTTCCTTATAAATATTTATAAAACAAAAAGGTAGCAAAAGCGACAATATGACTGAGATATCCTAAACCATACCATTTGTTTAAAGCATGCCACATACTATAACCCTATTAAAACGAAAAGAAAGGAAAACACATAAAATTCAAGAAATTTTATTCATATATGGGAAAATTAATAATCTATGAAGAATGTAAACTAAAATATTAAATTACGCATAGTTCTCAGTATGGTGTTTTGTATCCTGGTTTTGAAGGGGTTTCGTTGATTGGTTGGAGGATTTCGTCATGAGCTGACATCGGCTAGAGAACCACTGGAAAGCCTGAGAGTACTGGACAGCTGTCTAGTCAGCCTAATTTGGAGATCTTCAGCAGTACGCATCCACCAACAGGATTCGAACCCGGGACTTTCTGGTTACAAGGCCAGCTAGCTCGTCGACCAATAAACCACTGGGACCCGATTCAGTGGCCAGACCATGAATTCTAACTTCTGCCAATTCATGACATAGCGCGACCACTTCACAATGTCTTCTTCGGTGAGTAACTGTCCTTACCTTCAACCTGTTAAACCCTACTGGTCACGGCTTCCCACTAGAACTCCAGGTAACTGCCTGAATATGGCCAGTCGCTAATGAGCATCCGATCAGTACTTCCATGAATGTAAACTTCCAGGTTTTCCAATGGTTCTCCGACTGATGTCAGGTTATGATGACATTTTCCAACTGATCGGTATTTGTTTTAGCTTTATTGAGCCGTTTGGGTAGAGTCAGACTGGGCATACTGTTGATGAGGTCGGCCCCAAACAACCGAAATAGCCATCTAGTATCCAGATCATTTCGACCTGGCTGTCAAGTATTACCGGTTAACGTGAGTGGTATCTAGCTGCACTTATGGTATCATCAGGCAGATCACATATTGTGACCTGAATAATTTTAATTTTCCGAGGGAAATCCTGGTGAAATTTCAGCATAAACTGTGTAAATTGGAAACTGCAAATCCGATTCTATTTATTACTTTATTCTCCCAAGTATTTAACCAGAATTCGGGTAGTTTTAACTGATTTGGTTGTCTAAGCTTAGTCAAACAAGGTACACCGTTGATGAGGTCGACCCCAAATGGTCATTTTGATGTGGATGGTATCCATCTACTAATATGAATCAATCAATGAAGGAGATTTCTATCCTGTTAGACGGATCAGTTATAAAATAAAACAAATAGTAAACTTCTTATTCATGATATTACTAACTGTGTCTATTTGTTAACAGATGTAGCTTAGTTTATTTAAGGAAGTATTCGATTTAAAGGTTTAAATTTAAATCCATCTGCAGTGACTTTGAGAACCTAACAGTACTGAAGATTTACACATAGAAAGTACTTTACAGATGTATGCAAAGCTGTGTTCAGTCGTCAAAGTGCATGTGCATACATCAGAAGAATAAAGGAAGCATGTTTTATGCAACATGAGATAAGCATACAAGATTTTTCAATATTGTAATTACTCATCACCTATATATGAAAGCTGCTATAATATGTGTAGTACAACTTGAATTCATTCGAAATAATTAAAAAGTCAGACAGATTTAAACTTTCTACAATAAATCGAAGCAAAAGTGGTGGTCTAGCTAACTGGATTCAAAAATTCACAATTAAAACTCATGGTATTTATGAATTACAATTGTTTTTATTCCTTTTGAGTTTCGAGTGGAATATAGAGCTTCAAGTTTCAGTAGCAGTGATGTTTTTGAAGGATGTGGTTGTTAGCCTTACGCCCAACCTTCAGCCGGGCCCACAACTGGCTGAGGGAGGTAAAGGTGTGCGTCGGCCAGGAATCGAGTCCCAGACAACTTGCATGGCTGGCGAGCATTCTACGGCTGAACCACCAACGCACCATGGATTTGCCGACTATGATAAGTGTTTGGTAAATACACAAAAATTAAACTAAACATTCACTTTACTTTATTATTAACCTTACCTGGTACTGTTGTTCACTTGTATCAAACATCACAGCCAAATAAGCCAAATGGAATATGGCTAGGCAACTGAAAGCAAAATTCCACCAATATACCCAAGAAGAATTCTGAAAGATAAATAATAATGATAATAATCATGATGAGAATCAGAAATCTGCCAAGAATACCTTCACTCATACATCACCTTTAGTCAATGCAGGTAGTTGAAATTACATAAAGAACATTGTGAGCAGCAGTTCGACTGACCTTCAGTACATTCCTTAGCGGTAGACTGAACGAAACTTTTAATAAAGAAAAACAACTAAACTTATAAAAACAATACATTCATCAATATAGCTTGAATGTCTACTACTTAGGATGACATCGAGGAAATCGTGTACGGTGGAAATTACAGCTTATGGGTTGCAGGTGTAAAGGTGCAGGTAAAAAAAAGACTACAGAGAATATAGTGAAATGGTGATGTGTTTATGAAGCCCTATGTTTCATTCGAAATCCAAGGGAATAATAACAATAACAGAATGCAGTACACCGTGTACAAAGGTAAATCATCCTCTGCTGTACTCACTGAAGCCGGAGTCCCCCAAGGCGCTGTACTCTCCCCACTTCTCTTTTCTTTCTTTCTACATGACTTACCATCTTCAAATGAAATTAATTTTGTCAAATATGCTGACGATCTGTCTGTATCTTTGCCTATCAAATGTCAAAGCGACTGCTCTAAACTTAATGGCTTTCTGTCAGAAATCAGCCAGTGGTCCAAGGAAAATGGTCTTACCCTAAACCCCTCCAAATGCCAAACGGTCAATTTCACCTTTAGGCATAAATCCGACCTAAACAAACTGTTTGGCTCTTACGAGGTATGCAACATAGACGGCACTGAAATAGAAACTAAATCGGAAATTAAATACCTAGGTGTCATTCTATCTGCTGATCTCTCCTGGTCGTCTCATATCTTAGCAATTTCTAAGAAAATATTCCGTCTTACCTTCTACATCAAGAAGTTAAAACATTCTGGTATTACCCAACCCTTACTCCTACAATTCGTTAATTCTCGCATCCTGCCTATTATTCTCTATTGTTCCCCCTTAGTTTTTCCTGGGCTACTGAAGAAAGACTATAACATTTTACGCAGGATGTTAAATGTTGTTAGCAGGGTAAGCAACGTGCCACTTAACCAGCTTGCTAATACTCTGGTTGACAGGCACATGGACTCATGTGAAAAATGGGCCAAATCCATTTTATCTAACTCACACCACCCTCTTCACTCACAACTCTCCCCCTGCATCTCATCAGGTAAAACCAGAAGCCAATATAGAAAACTATATGCTCGCACCAGCAAGTACAAAAACTCAACCATACCCTACTTAGCTCGTGTTCTGTGTGATAAAGAAAGCATTAGGCGTGACACCTATAATTCTTTAAATAGTCAGTAGTACAACTGGATCTCGTCTTTCCAACCCACATCATCAATAGGTACAACATTTTCTTTCTTTCTTTTCCTTTTCTCTCTCTTCTTTTTCCGTTATGTGCTGCTTTGTCTCTTTCTCTCGCTTACGCCTGTTAATAAGACAGCTCCCACTTTTCTAACACCTTCAAACACTGTTTCAGCTTTACCTTTGCTACTGACATGCCAATGTATTGTTGTAATAATGAACTGTTGGTTTCCTCAATCTATGTAGAATTCTATTTATTGATAATGTACTAACTGGATGCAATACTGTAGTAAAAATGCTGAGAATTCCATTCTGTATCACAAGTACTGTTTTGGAATAAAGCAAATTATTATTATTATTATTATTAAATAAAAATATGTATCACAGTTAAAGACATTTTTCCTCTAACTAATTGACAAAGTAATGTAATAAAATCGCATCCTTTTGTCTCTTAGGCTAACGAACAAAAGCACTTGGATGTGCTTAAAACATCATTTAGAAGTGTCCTTTACTGACTATAAGTGTTTGGCTGAGATGGATGCGTTATTAAAAGAATTGCTTCTCTTTGAAACGACTATAGTACAGTAAGATATTTACCAACTTTCTCCATTCCTACACGTTCCGAGAGCTTCAAGAGGTGGCGTTGTTTTCACGGGGTGGAGTTACTAACGTCACTCCCAATGTTCCCTCTTTACTGGATTTATGGTCGTCTGAACGAGATTTAAGAGTGAGTCAACCGGAAATCAAACCCGTAAAAAGAGATAACTTGGAGTATTGTATTGCGAATATGATTGGGCATGTGACTAATAACCGTATCCTGTAAAAAAATAAACGACACTGTAACTGAAACTTCAAAGATCAAGCTTGAAGCTCCGTGTTCCACTCGAAACGCAAAAGAATAAAATTAACTGTGCTTATGAATGATGATTTATTATGATGAGTATTCCCTCTTACCTTGTTGACATGAGAACAGGTTTCTGGACACGGTCGACTGGCTACACATGCATTTAGAATAGTTGCTAATTTCTCTCGTAAAACTAAAAAAAAAGGAAGAAAGACATGGGGGTAAATAACGCAAAACACTAATTTAAAGATAAACTGGGTCATAGGTAAGCAAAGTAAAATGATCAACAAGACAGGTTAGTCTAAAAAGAGGAGATAACATATTGATTTCAAGATGGATTACGGATTTCATCATGAGCTGGCATCGGTTAGAGGACCATTGGAAAACCTGCAGGGAGTAATGGACAACTGTTTAATCCTTATTTGGGACTCTTCATCAGTACGCACTCAGGTTTTCCAGTGGTTCTCTAACCGATGTCAGCTAATGATTAAATCCTGTAACCAATCAAATCCCTACAAACCAACACTTGAATATCAATGAGATGCTCACTAGCGACTTGCCCTATTCAGGTAGGTAGTTACCTGGGGTTCCAGTGAGAAGTCATAACCAGTAGGGTGCAGCAGGTCGGGTGTGAGGACAAATACTTGCCGAAGACATTGGCTAGCGGTCACGCTATGTCGTGAATTGGCAAAAGTTAGAATTCATGGGGTGGCCATTGAATCGGGTCCCAGTGGCTTAATGGTATACGAGCTCACCTTGTAACCAGAAGGTCCTGGGTTCGAGTCCCGGTGGGTGCGTACTGATGAGGAGTCCCAAACTAGGACAAAACAGCTTTCTAGTATTCCCAGGTTTTCCAATGGTTCTCTAACCAATGTCAGCTCATGATGAAAATCCTGTAACCAATCAAATCCCTACAAACCAACACTTTGAAACCGAAATTATTCAGATCACAATAGACGATCTGCTTCATAAATTTTCAATGGAATATACTACTAAATGATTGGATACTGCTCAAGTTAACGCGTAATGCTTGATAACCAGATCGAAACGATTTATTCACTGGGTGGTTTGAACTGATCAAACTGTCTGACATAAGTGAAATCGGGTATACGGCTGATGAACTCAGTCCCTGATAAGCCCAACGACCGGATCCCTTCGATCTGGTTACTGTGAATGGTATCAAGCTACTCATCACAATCGGCCAGTAGTATGTAGCGTTGGCAGACTCCAGTTGATATAAAGGGTGCTGATTATGTGAGAGAAAAATATGAGTTGCGGCGGCATACATATCAGCGGTCAGAAGCTCAAGCAACTGATCTACAAGATCCAGCGGCTAAAAGAATCCCTTTCAGTATTCTAATCCATTAGAACAAGAAGGAATAAAGAATGGAAGAAAAAACAGTATATTACGGCGTTAATCAAAAGATAGTGAGAGACTGACTGGTTTCAGCGTAGAACTTTGCACAGATGTGCAGCAGTTCAACCTGCCACACTCCCTCATTGTAGCACACAAATCAAGAGAAGACAGTAAAGGGAGATTCAAAAGAGAGATGATAAACAGAAATATGAGGGGAAAAGAACAAGAGTTTTATTGGATATGATAAATCACAAAGAGTGAATGCATCTGAGCCAGCCACTGACAAAGATTTTAAGCCATACCACCAATTCTCCCCAGCCACTGGTTTCTACCATCCTGAGGACCCCAACCACTCAGGAAGTCTACACCTCCCTACGTGGCCGACCTAAACTAACTGTTATGGATTTCATTGACTGATGAAGCCATGTTTTGGTTTGACCACCACCAGCTCTTTTTCAACCTGATCCATCCTATGTCAGTCAGCTAACATTGTCCATTGTCGAGGAAGGCGATGGCTAGGCGTACGTAACACATGTCTTAACCATCTCAATCGGTGTAACTTCACAACTTCGTCTATTGTTTTCCCCTCCTTACCTAGCACTTGACCGATGCATCATCTATACCACCTAACAGGGGAGATAGAATGCCGATACTTATGATCAAAGATAGCTAGCCTTTTCATGTTTTCCGTTTTCAATGGCCAGTGACTAATCAGTAAACTAAAATATCCAGCTTACCATATTCAATATATGCATAAATTCCAATAGAGAATAGAACAGCGCTCAATTGAAAATTCAAACCCTAAAAGCGAGATTTTTTCAGAAAAGAAAAATACATAGAAAGTGAATAGTAATATCTGGTAAATTATAAATATTCAGTTAATTTAAATCAAAGCTAAATTTATTGGTTTTATTAGGAAAGGGGTGCGTCGTTGGTTCAATGAGAGAATGCTGGTCAACGGCGCCTCACGTTGTCAGGAGTTCTATTGCCGGTCGACGCACTACTGAACCTCTCTTAGCCGGTGGTAAGTCTGGGAGAGAGGGGAGGTTTGACGTGAGGCTAGCAACCTCACCCAGCAGAAACAACCTCACAACTATTGAAATTTCAAAGCTTGAAACCCTATTTTCCACTCGGAACTCATAGGAATGAAAACTAACTGAAAAAAGACTAGTAAAAGAGGTAAAATCTACGTGATTCCTATTTAAAGAGACAAATCTTTCAGTCTTATTGGGTCATATCAAAGTATGTAAAACGCAGTCTTCAAATTTGATGACTAAAGGCAAGCTATTGAATGAAATAAAATAATACAAATTAGACGATAGTTCTATTTTGTGATATTTACATTTTTCTAACTTCGTATCACGCAAGTAACTCAGTTATTCAAAAGATAAACAGTTTTCTGCATAACAGCAAGGATCGTTTTGGATAAAAAGACATTTGATCAATAGAAGCACTTAAGTACTAACTGTCATTACAATTTTGCAATGAATGAGTGACAGAAACAACTCGATCTCCTAAAAAACGTCATAGTTTGTGTTCAAAAGTGAACTATGAGCTTTGTTTTTATACGTTTTGTTGAAAGAAATCTCGTAATACAGGCGACCCAACCAAGCACAAAGGATAGCATGATAGAGGAATAATATACGAATGATTGTTATAATATGTAAAAAGACTTTGAAGACTATTTGATCTTATGTTTTATTGAGTGTGCTATTTAACAACAAGATAAAAGCTAACAAAGTGAAGAACTAATCTAAAATCTCGACTGTTATAATCAACTATTACGTTATGGCAATTATAAAAGAGAAAATAAATCAGCTCTAGATACATTCCTGTTGTGATGCGTATCATTGATAACAACACATACAAGTAGTAGAAAGTTTAATGTTTTCTGATAATAGTAGCGAGAACTTATATTTGACTAGTAACGCTCATGAAAAAGAAACAGAGGACAGTGAGGTCAAAATACTAAAGATAATCAAAGAATGGGAAGTGCTGATATTCTTTGTACAAAGTGGACTGAATGCAAGATTTAGTATTTTATAAATGATCATGGTATTGTGTTCAAGAGGACAGTGTATCTATATCCTCATCAGTCTTGATTTCTACATTGTCACCAAAGCTATTGCTGGTTGTAGTGGACTGGATGATGAGGTAGACTGTGGGGTTCGAGATGACAGGCATAAGTTAGACCAAAAAGAAGACTCTAAAAGATATGGACTTCTCAAACAATCTATACCTGATGTCAGAAACTCGAGGACCTACAGGCGAAGACCGACAAGTTGACAGAAGAAGTAGTGAAGACAGAACTTCAAGTGGTCATGATGAAGACAGAGGTGATGAAGATACCTAACCAAGAACAACAAGCATCAATTACTATCAACAGAAGACATTTGAAGGCGATCACCTCTTTCATTTACCTGGCGAGGGGCACCGTTCCAATTACTGACAGCACAGATGAGGATGTCAAAACCAGGAGGGGAAAGGCAAGACAGACCTTTGTAGTATGAAATCAGTCTGAAAATCTACTGCACTAAGCATGAAGAATGAGATTCCCATTTGCAACATTAATGTCAAGTCAGTTCTTTATGGTTCAGAAACTTGATGCATCAGCAAAAGCATTTCCAACAGCTGCCTTCGCTGATGCCATATTGAAGGTCGAATGGCCAGAAAGAAGCAGTAACTACTGGAAGGAACCAACCAAGCATCTATTGACTTGCATATATGCCGACGAAAATTGATATAGACCGGACAAACACTAAGAAGACCGTTGAGTGACATCACCCGCCATACCCTCGAGTGGAACTCGAATGAGAAACGACGAGTTGGGCGTCCGACGGTCACATGGAGATCGTGTGAATCGGAGATGAGAGCTTATTGGCACTCGTGGATCTAGCTAAAGAGGACCACAGAGAACAGAAGTGAACTGAGATGTGCTGCCGAAGCACTATGTTCCACTTGAAACTCAAGGGAATACTAATAATAACATATTTTATATGAAACTTAAATTTATGCAGGCTTAAAAAATAACATTCATGATACAGAGTAAAATTCGTCATCTGAAAACTACATAGTTCGAAGTGACTTGATCTGATTCAGTCCAGGTACGTCGATGATGAGGCCGCTCTCAAAGGAGGGATCTGACCAACAAGAACTACTTCTTGACGTGATTGATTACTGACTGCTCAGTATATACCAACAAGGTATGACAATATTGAAAATAAATGTGATCCCTTAGATGAAATTTATCTATTTTAGCATTTGCAAACAGTTACAAAAGTGTAATTATATTATATTAGGATTATTAAACTCCTGATTAATTAAGATCCAATTAATTAAAAAAATTTAACAAAACCAATTGAACATTCACATTTATTAATGTTTTAATACTTACGTGTAATAGTGAGCTAGCTGCATACGTTCCCACGATAGCATAAATATGTCCATATGCACGTAATGGTTTGTATACATCTAGTTATACGGATTTTGAAAAGAAAAATTAAATTAAAAAAAAGCAGCCATTCCTTATTCATACTTATGATTTCCTATTGATTAGTCTGGACCAAACTGACCAGCCTGATTTTAGCATGTGGGCTACTTGAACGGATGGCTTGTTATTAACATAATCATTCAAGAGAAGACACTTGTTCGGTTGTGACTAGCAGTAGAATCTAAAATGCGTGTTCCATTCTATTTGAACACAGACTGATTGCATAAGAGGTGGCTGTCGTGGTTCAATAGCCTGATGGACAACGTCTTGACGTTTGAAACGACAGGTGTTGGATTGAAGTCTCAGTGGGAAAACCACGGCTCACTGCATAGTAAGTGCATGCACTTGAAGAGTCTCGAAAAAGACGAAACAAACGCCATGGATTCCACTGATAGCTACCATCAAGCAAGTAACATTCATTCCACAGTTTAGGAACATATATCAATAAGCATATCGAAGAGAGAACTAGATAACCGTATGACATTTACTAGTTGTTCAGGAGAATACAACTATACATTCCCTATTATAATTTGATTTCAGTTAATTTCAGTTTTCAACAAATAAATATAGTGAATGATTACAGGAAATTTTGAGTTTTCTCATTGTCAGTCCACTTGTGTTTTTTTCCTTCACGTTCCCCAGTGGAACATAGGGCTTCAAGCTAGTAGCTTGAAGTTTCTGTAGCAGTGCTTATTTTACAGGATGGGGTTGCTATCCTCATGTCCAACCTTTCCTCTTCACCAGCATTACTTCTGGCTTAACGTGGTAAAGGAGTGAGTCGGCCGGGGATCGAACCTCGGACCATGTGCATGGTCGGCGAGTGTCCTAACCGCTATGCCATCGACGCCCACTTGTGTTTGAATTGATGGATATTCAGGTCAGGGGTGTACTTATTGCAGTGTACGAATAATTAACTTAGAAGTTTCAAAGATTATTGAAAGTACATCTTGTTCTCCAGTGCTGGTCACTCCCAAGTATCATTTATATGTCAACGTAAGTGAGACTTAATATAAGTTTAAGCCACTGAACAATAAACATTTTAAAAGAGGAATAAATAACCACAGTAGCTTAATTACGAGGACCAGAGAAGTATCTTAGGTAAACGACTATGTTCCTGCCTTAAGGAGAGATTCCATTTTCCAGAAATACCTTCCACGTTTTAATTTTGTTGTTATGGAAAGGGATAACAGCTAAAATTCACGCTATAATGAGGGAGTTGATGATTACATTTCATCTTCAATTGTTAGATTTTATCAAGAGCCAGCATCATTTAGAGGTCATTATAAACTAGGGAGTACTGGGCAGCTATTTTATCCTACTTTTGTGCTCGAACCCAAGACCTTCAGGTAACGAGACCAAGTTCGTTGACCATTCAAAAGAAACAGATGTCTAGTGTTCCTTGGTTTCGAATGACCTCCAACTGATGTTGGTTCATGACGAGACCTAACAACTGGAATTAATCCAAATCCCTACAAATCCCATAATCTGATATAAGGTAAATATTACTGTATAACACTGTGATTTTTATCAAAAGAAAATTTTATCCATAATGGAGTCCCATAATCTGAATGACATTTTATACTTGTTTCCGTGTGACAAAGCAAACTTAGCAGTGCAGACTTGTTGACAAATTTTCAATTATTACTTACATTGTTTTAACCAAGTATGCATCGGTAAATTCCAATGAATTACAACTTCAACTAAGGATCGAGGAAATTCAATAGACCATGGACGTGTCACAACAAATGGTCTAGAGAGAAACAAATGAAAATCAACGTCAATCATTAAGTACTAATGAAACAGATGTCAAATAATAACTCATCACAAAAAGATTAATACTTCGCATATGTATACACAGACTTTTATATCTATGGGGTAGATGAGAAGTTAGATGAAAGTCAGTCACTATGCTGCATCGATTAGAAATGTTTACAGTACATAATTATATTGTGAAAGAAGTTATAAAATCATTACGTGTTTTAGAACTGAACTGTAGAAGAAATTTCTAATGAAACACACTCGACTAGCGTGGATTCAAGTGAAGTGATGGTTTCGTGAACTGTATCTGGGTCGAAATAGTCACCCCAATTTAAAACACATCAGGAAACAAGTAGAGTTGGACACTTAAATTATCATATAAATTAACAGTGATATTTATTTCTTTAACAACTATACTACTTGTGAGCGGCCGTGCCACTGCCTTTCACGTCAAGCGATGTTAGCTGACATAGAATTAGGTTGGAAACGAGTTAGGGGTGGTAAAACCAAAAAAGTGGCATCGATACATGAAGTTCTTGGCAGTTAATTTGAGCCATATCGGAAGATGTAGATTAAATTTTGTATTATTATTATTATTCCCTTGAGTTCCAAGTGGAACATGGGGCTTTAGCAGCATACCATCATTTCACTATGTTCTCTTCAGTCTTCTTAAACTGGCTCTTCCGCAGACGATGTCCATGTCACTCTCAGAATGTTTTTTAGATTCATCCTCGCTTAATAGCAGCTTTAGCTGTAATTGGTGAAATCCTGATAGCCACTCACTGTCTCAATGTGTTCACAGTTGTCATTTGGATGACCGGAGTAAATTATTGACTCTCCAGTTACTGATCTGGGAGTTTTCACCTATTCCGCCTGCTTTCACTGATCCCTAGCACTTTTGTGACATATCTCATTTATTCAGCAACCTGAGCAGCCTTCCCAGCTTTGTTCATCTTGCGAACACTCAACGTTTCCATGGTTATTTTAACTTTCATCGAAAGGAGGTGCATCAGCTGACTGGCTTCCTAAAGGCTTCCATAAGCCTGCGTCATTCCGTCACTCTAATCCCAGGGAAGTATACGTTTATCAGCCTCACACGCCTGCCCAACTCGACAACATACAATCATTCAAAATGTATGTACAAACATACGAGTTATTGAATAAATTTAAAAACAGAAAACATACTTGTACACTTCTATCGCGCTTTTTTCTTTTTCTTTATTATTATCATCTAATTTTTCTTTAGACTTAACTGAATATTTATCACAGTATCCCAAGGCATTCATAAAAGATTCACTTGAAATGCATACAAAATAATGACTGAAACGAAAACTCTGTGAGGAGAAATAAGCATACAGCCAACTGACAGAAATAAAAAAAGAAAAAGAAAGGATTTCTTAGGGCTTCATTAAATACTGATTGGAACAATTGTTAAAAAAAGAACAAGTAGTTGTCATAACATTTTTTTAAATAATTAATAAAAAGAAATATCAAGTGATCATCTTTAAGGAACTGTGTCAGTCTAACAGTTGATTTTATTGGAAAGATTAATTACCTATCTGTGCAATAAACTTGGCTTCTTCAATGGTGGAAATAAATAGATGATTCATTGGTAAGTAATTAGTTTCCTAGTGCAAAAAATGCCGATAGCGGTTGAACAGCAGAGAAAGTCAATGCTTTCATGGTTATTTATTGTATTCTACCGAAGCTGTTCAGTGGGATTCGAACACACCATTTTGCTAATCAACTAGAACTCTGTTACACAATACCTAACCACACTTATTGTGTGAAGGTTAACAATGCCATCCAGTTGCTTAGGATGAAGTAGATAGGGAGAGATTCGAACTCTGAACGCATTGGTTGCAAGTCGAGTGCCAAAGCCAATGACCCATACTTCACCTTTCACGCAAAGTTGAAGCTATAGCAATTTGAGAATGGAAACCTAGTCCTTGTATTTGAAAAAGGTTTACTCTATTTCTGTTTATCTCATTTTCACAGTGAATTTAGGTGATTATATTATTATTGTTCTCTTGGGTTCCCAGTGGAACGTGGGGCTTCAACTGCACGTCTCCACTTGCTTCTGTCTTCTGCTGTACTTTTCACTTGCATCCATGTTAATCCATGCTGTTTCAACTCCTCTATGTCACCCTTGGACGTCCCACTCGCCGCTTCCCTCCAGGGTTCCACTCGAGCACTGGCCTGACGCGCGATGTCATCCAGCGGCCTCCTCAGTGAGTGTCCAATCCATCTCCACTTTCTCCTGCATATTTGTTGGGCGATTAGCTCTTGTTTTGTTTGTTCCCATAGTTTCTTGTTGGTTCTTGTTCTTTCCGGCCATCTGATCTTCAGTATAGAGCCAGTGAAGACAGTTGTTGATAAAGGTCTGCAACAGGCTGTTGGAAATATTCTTGGTGACCCGCCAGGTTTCTGATCCGTATAGAAGAACTGACTGACTTGACGTTTGCATTGAAAATCCAGATTTTGTTGTTGATGCTGAGTGACGAAGATTTCTAGATTGGTTTCAGGTTGATGAATGTGTTTCTCGCCTTCCCGATTCTCGATTTGACATCCTCGTCCGTTCTTCCTTTAGTTAAGACAATGGGTGATGACCTTCCCATAAGAACTCCATTTTTTATATATCGATTACGATTGACTAGACTTTGACTATTCATTTATTTCATCCTTAGTATTATCAAGCTTTTAATTTGATGAACTGTTTCAGTGTTTTCATTATTTTTATCGTCAACTGATTAAAGCACTAGTATAAACAAATGGAACAAAACGAAATAGGAACTGTTGTATCCACAAAATAAATCTTTAACAACATGAAACTCAAGAGGAGACAAAGTTTACTCATTCATATAATAAAGATATGATTACGAAGTCTTCAGGTTAACGAAAATATGGCTTAGTAATATGTCGAGGTTAGGCTGAGTGCTACTGGTCCGAATCTTTGAGTGGGTTTCAATTCATCTGAGGTTGCAGATACACCATCCTGACGAGTGGCAGGAGGCACGAGACCCAGGTCCAACGCTTCCATTTAGTTACCTCCAACTACCTAACATCGATATATATATATATATATATATATATATATATTCAATAAAACCTTAGTAATAAGAAAGGTATCAGAGGAATAATTACACAACATGTGTGGTGGTAGTTACAATGATGACTGACAAATTATCATTGACTTACGGTTGAAATGTTAATTTAGAAATTAATGTATACGTAGAACAAGTTGAATAAACTAAACACAGTAAAGATGTTCCAAATAATTTAACTGTATGCAACAATGATAAGATAATCTGTAACGTAAAATATAAAGCGTATTAAAATAAACACAAACGATAAGAATAAAAAATAGTTAAAGCCACGGTCAGCAGAACAAAACAAACCTTTATTAACCTAAAAACCCTACGGAGGTCTACAGGACTTACCATGACGAACAAGATTCGAATTTTCATTACTAATGTCAAGTTAGTCAGGGCTTCTATATGGTTCAGAAACTTGACTCAAGCTTCATTAAAAGCATTTCCAAAGGCCTGCTACAGACCTTCATTTACAGCTACCTTCAGAAATCGGATAGCCGGTCGGAAATGATAAGAAACAAGGAACTCTGGCAGAGAACCAGCTAAGATAAATTAGACAAACAATCAGGGGACTGTTGAGTGATTTCACACTCCAGACAGACTTCCAAGAAAAATTCAAATGAGACGCATCCGAGGATAACACTGAAAAGGTCACGTGAAGAGACAATAAGAGCTTGTGGGGAGTCATGGAGTCGGTTAAAATTGATAGCAGTGAACTGAGTGCAGTGGAAATGTGCAGCTGACACTTCATGTTCAACTAAAAACCCAAAGAATGAGTAATCATAATATAATGTTCAACTTATTGTAGATCGAATCGGAAAACAAATCAACTCTACGGATACCATATGAATTCATAATTGTATAAGTGATATTCAACTATTATCTGCATGTTTGCATAGCAACTACCAGGCTGGTGATGTGTATTTTGGCTTAAGCGTTCATCGGTAACCTAGTAGATCCTATGTTCAAATCCTGCTCCGCTTATTTCAGACTGCGATTAGGTAGTAAAATCAAACCTCACACTTATAGTATGACCATGACTTATAATAATAGGTCTCAAGTAGTAAAGTGTTTGGTGGCAAAACTTGACCTACTACAACCTAGTGTATTATTCTGTAAGTTATATGCAATGTATGATGGCTTAACATAATGTTGGATTGTCAAAATAGCAGTAAGAGTGATTTTAAAGTAATAATTCAGTCGTGTTGACAGTAGAACAGTTTACATCAGTGAATAATACTTTAAATGTATAATTTCTTAAATACTTTAAAGAAGTTTAGAAACCGTACAACATCCGAATGGGAATTTCACACATATATTACAGTGGTATAAGAATAAAACTTGGGCACTGTGGTAGAGTGTAATTCCATTATGGGTAAATTTTATTTTGATAGAGTCTCACAGTGTTATACAGTAATATTTACTGATGACGTTTCGAGCACAAACTATTGCTCATAATCATATCAAGGTAATCACACGACTTCCTAAATTCATTTATATAGTTCCATTATTTTTCACTTGATTTCCACTTGATTTGATTGGTAGTGTTATTTTCCATATTTCGGGTATTAGTGATGATTCATTCCTATTGCACGTGTTTGGTGTAGATTCGATGAACAAAGATTCAGTAATCAACCTCTCTCTCCACCTACCTAGATTACTTTTTAGAATTTTAACCCTCTCCCACCCTATTGTGTGGTTGTGTGTTAATGCATGCATTGCAATTGCCGAGCTTTTTTCTAAATTACTTATCTTTTCTGGGTCAACCATTCTTATCTTAGCTAAATTCTTATGTTCTGACAATCTGACTATTCCTGACCTACTAGTTTGACCTATGTAGTTGACCTCACAGTCATTGCAGGGTATTTTGTAAATTATATTATTTTGTCTAATTGGGTCCACTGGGTCCTTTAACCTACAGAGCTTGTCCCTGAGTGAGTCAAAATGGTTTAATTTAATGCCTAAAACTAATAATGCTAGTAGGATGTATGGTACTATTAAAATACATAAGCCAGGTTATCCCATAAGACCAATAGTAGATTTTAGAAATACCCCTACATATGAATTATCAAAACATTTAGCTCTAATATTATGTCCCATTAGAAATCGTTCAAATTCTAGACTAACTAATTCATATGAAATGAAAAATAAACTAAATGACACACAACTAGATAATGATGAAACAATGGTTAGTTTTGATATAACCAGTCTTTATACTAATATACCAGTCAATATGGCCTTAGAAGCAGTTAAAAAAGAACTAACTGCGGATACTGAACTCAATCATAGGACGTGCAATAGGAATGAATCATCACTAATACCCGAAATATGGAAAATAACACTACCAATCAAATCAAGTGGAAATCAAGTGAAAAATAATGGAACTATATAAATGAATTTAGGAAGTCGTGTGATTACCTTGATATGATTATGAGCAATAGTTTGTGCTCGAAACGTCATCAGTAAATATTACTGTATAACACTGTGAGACTCTATCAAAAGTATATTACAGTGGCTTTCATAAGCTTCTCATCATAGGATATGAATAAAAGTCTTTATAAAATTGATATGCATGTGTTATAATATGTAAAAACCCAGTTGTGTTTAAACAAGATTAAAAAAGTGAGACGATTAAATTCATGCTCAGAAATTAACCACTTCGTGTAATTATATCAAATCTTGAAAGAATTCCATTTTTATACTAATGGTTTTTTTCTTTTTAGTTTTCATTCCAGGTGGAACATAAGGTTTTATGCTTGTGAAGTTTCAGCAGGAGTGGGGTTGTTATGAAGTGTAATGCTACTTAACAACCCCTTGAGATTCCATGCTGTTGGCAATGAGCTATGCCTATACTACCCATTCGCCCAAAACTCGCTAATTGTTGCGTGATCCGAACCCGTGACCAACTTGGTTGGAAGTCAAGCGCCTAGACAAATGAGCCACACTTCCACAAGGGGGTTGCTAGCCTCATGCTCAATCATCCCTTTTATCCGCGATTAATGTTGGCTAGTCAACTAGGCGAGGTTTAGGAGTGTGTGTGTGTATGTGTGCAGCGAACAGAACCCGGAACGACGTGCATGGTTAGTGAGTATTCTATCATTGAACCACCGATGCATTTTATAACAGAAGGCAGTTTTTGCTTATGCAAACACATTTAGTAATATTACAGTTCAATGTTAATTAATTAAAAGATGATAAAACCAATAGATAAGATTTCACTGGTTCAGATATAACATGCTCATCAAGCAGCATGCTCCTTGAAATAATAATTAATGGAGAGATACAGATTTATCAGGAAAAAGCCTTGCAAGATTCATATGGCCTTTTAGCAGTTATCGAAATGCTAAATATTTGTGACTCTCAGTTTTGGTTCAAAAAAGTATTGATATTTATAAACACCAATTACTATCTACGGGAGAAATCTGAAGCAAGTCACCTTCTTTCACCTACATAAAAAGCATCGTTTCAACTACAGGCGGCAAAGTAACGCAGACGTTCATTGCTTTGAAATCAGTGCAGAAATCCACCGATTTTCATCACTACTGCTTAAATGTGGTTGTGAGACTTGGCGCTCGCGTTACTACAAGCACTTATAAAAGGCTGCTGAATTTTATCAACAGTTGCCTTCGCTCTATACGGAAGATAGGGTCGTCAGTCAGAAAGGATAAGCAACAAGGAACTCTTGCAACTAATCAACTAGGAACTTATCATCCAACAAATATGCAGAAGGAAATGCATACACGCTGAGGAGACTTTTAACCCACATGATACACCAAGCAGGCCCTTCAATATAATCAAAATGGGAAACAATGAGTAGAGCTCGTTGGAGATTGTGTGAGGAGCAAATGAAAGCTTACGGGTAATTGTGGAGCTATCTAAAAAGACTGCAGAGAACAGAGTGGAATGGTGATGTATTGCTGAAGCCCTTTGTTCCACTAGAATCCCAAGGAATAATATATAATGTATATTCATATTTTAGATACGTGTAAGAAGATTAAATATGTACAGAACTTACATTTTTTAAAGAAAATCTTGTACTATTATAATCACTTCTAATCATTTCTTCATATTTCAATGGACTAAACCATGGACCAAACAATAGACTAGCTGGACACAAACAATACGATAACCAAACTAATCCACGATATAATGGTGTCCACAATAGTATACACGGTTGACTGTTGACATGGTTACTATCAAGTGTTTTTTGTTCCATTGAAAAAGATATTGATTTCATAATAATGATCATAATACTTCCTAGAAAGCAGTTAATCAAGACAATAAATAACAATAGATGAGTAAAGAAGTTAGTGAACAACTGAATGGGGTCAAAGTAATTCTTCATTTCAAATTAGTACATTAGAAAATGAAAAAAAGCTGCTTCACCCTATTCTATTCCAAAAGAAATTTTTAACAACTGTTTGAAGTTTATGTTTACACTTTTGAAGACGGTACTGTGGTATATAGGGATCAGTGTGGGCATCACATCCTTAGAGTTGAGGGGAATTTATCCCTACTGAGTGACACAAATTTTTATGCCGGAGAAGTGACAAGCTTCCTTAAAGATTCGCCTTCCCAATGAGCACCAGACAGCAGGAAATCTAGATCAAGAAATAACCCAAGATTGACTGAAAACTAATAAGTAACACTATATGATATGTAAGATAGACGGAGGTATTGTGGCCAAGAGAATAAATTAAAGTCATGAGAAATATCGCTGTTTGATCTGTTCAAAAATGCTGGCTTTACCTGTCCTCAAAATCTAAGCCAAAGTTTGATTTTATTCTACGCTTATCCACAAAAATTATTCCTCATAAGAAGTATCTTGAAAAAGGGAAACAAACGTAATCACCGGGAAGAGTAAAGCTTTGCTAAACTTCCCCTTTTTATATGACTTACTGGGAATTCCTTAAGCTACTTAAACACTACATTGTAGTTATCTCGTGATAATAAAATAGGCTTTTAGAAGATACATATATTTACAGAACAAGATATGTATACACCGTTTTAATTGTCTGACTGAGACAACTGCACATAGAAGTGCGTCAGTTCAACTTGCCTCACTTTATATATATACCACACAAAGTTACAGGAAATGAAACAATTCAAAGGAAAAATTATGAGAAGTAATGTATCGTCGAAAGACTAGCAACATGAAAAAATACGAGGATTTAACTGGTCTCAGGGATTACAAAGAGTGAATGCATTTGCCGCCCCCTTGAGAACGCATATTTAGCCATATCCGTAACAATCTTAAGTCACTGGATCTTAGAATCCCGAGGATCTCAATGGGGTAGTCTACACCTATTTTACATGACTCACAACAACAGTCAAAGACTTTATAAATGATTCCATGTTTTGTTTCGGTTACCCCTAAATCTTTTACAAACTACCCATATGTCAACTAACATTGTTCGACGAGGGAGGCAGCGGCTTGGTATGCGTAAGCAATTGCCATAGCCATCTCAATTGATGCAGCTTTTCCATAACACTGAAAGAATCGAATGACCAGAAGCAAATATTTCTTCAGTAAAAGACAACATATACCTCTTTTACCTACCTGGGAAGCATCGTTTCAACTACAGGCGGACGGAACTGACGAGGATATCAAAGCAAGAATCGGGAAAGCAAGACAAGCTTTCACTACTCTCAAGTCTGTGTGGAGGTCAACAGCACTCAGCATCAAAAATATGATCCGGATTTTCAACTCCAATGTGAATTCAGTCAGTGCTACTATACGGATCAGAGACTTGCACTGCGCGTCATAAAGAGCATCTCAAACAAACTATAGACCTTCATTAACAGTTGTCTTCGCTCAATACTCAAGATCAGATGACCAGAAAAGATCAGCAACAGGGATCTCTGGGAGGGAACCAACCAGGAACCGATTGTAAAACAAATATGCAGAAAGAAATGGAGATGGATTGGTCATACTCTGAGGAAACCATCAAGTGACATCACTAGACAAGCCATTGCTCGAGTGGAACCCGAAAGGGAAGCGGCGAGTTGGTCGACCAAGGGTGACTTGGAGGAGGTGATGTGAAGAGGAGATGAAAGCGTGTGGGCAGACTTGGAGCCAGGTGAAGACTCTAGCAGAGAACCGAACGAAATGGAGACGCACGGCTGAAGCCCTATGTTCCTCTAGGAATTAAAGGAAACAATAATAATAATATACCTTACCTCGAATTTGATGCCATTGGACAGGGTTCACATATAGTTCACTGTAGGAAATAATCATAAAACAGAGGAAACACTATCTTTTATGCCTAACTAGTTATATACATAAGATACAAAAACGAAAATATGTAAACACTGATATAAAATTAAGGGTAAAGTCTAAGAAAAAAACTCTCCTTAAAATAACACTTAGACCTAACATTGACAAGTCTAGTGGAAAGTAATTTATGAAGCAAGTAACAACAGTAATATGTTGTACAATTCATTTCTGCCTTACGAGCTCTTCTTTTACACATAGCTAAGGCAGCTGGAATCCACCTGAAGAAGCCTAACTTGTATGTTCCGAAGAAGTTCGTTCAGATACTTTCCATATCTTGGCCACGACCACTTGACTGTAATAATATTCCCTTCCCTTCAAGCCTTTTACAAGTTATTATTGTTTTAACTATCTTTCACCGTTACATTAATTTCCTTCTTAATTTTTATCTGATATTCAACTTAGTATAACATATTTATTCGTATTATCACGGATACATACTTTTGAACTGTAATCTATTTATTATAAGATATTATTTTCAATATTATCTAAAAAAACATCAGTGCTGTCAATAACGACTACTCTTTAAGTATTGTGTGCATACATAACTGTAGAGATAGATGAGGAAGTTATAAGAAAGAATATTCTTTGCTCAATCTTTGCGACCTCCACGGTTTATTTCTTCGTAAGCAGAAATGAAGGAATGAGGATATCTACTGTCATACAAATACTTTTCAACAATAGTGAAACATTCCACTGAACAAAGTTTTGGTGACGTATAGTAGGAAAGTGTCTTAATCAGTCTCGTTCGCGGCTTAACGGATAAAAACTGTTCAAAATGAAATAGGGTCTGTTTCATAAGGCTTTAAGTAGAATACATTTATTTTCAGGAGTTGATTCGTAAGGATTTGAATTATTTTACGAGTTTGACCACGGATTGATATGAGTTAGACAACCGTTAAAAATCATGGAGTACTGGACAAATGTTTTGTCCCAGTTTGGCGCCCATCTGATGCTTGCTAGTGACTTGCTACTGGACGGAGCTTCCAGGATTTCTACTGAGAAATCGTGACCAGTGAGGTTCATTCAGTCGGGAGTGAGGATGGAGTTCTCGCCGATGACATTTGTTGGTGGTCACGCTAAAATCATGAATTGGTAGAAGTTAGAATTCATGCACTGGCCACTGAATCAGGTCTCAGTGACTGAATGGTATACGAGCTTGTCTTGTAACCAGAAGGTCCTGGGTTCGAAACCCAGTGGGTGCGTACTGCCGATGATTCGCAAACAAGGATGAAACAACTGTCCAATACTCCATGCTGGTTTTCAATGGTTCTCTAACCGATATCAATCCGTGGTCAAACTCGGAATACATATAACTCTGCACATTTCTATATGTATTATGTAGGATTTCAATATGAAGTAGCTGAAAGTTGTCATTCTACTCGTATTTCACAGAGAATTCTAAATTCTTGTTATAAGTATATCAGTGAATCAAGTTATTACAAATAGCAAATGTATCATCAGAAGACCACTTATAAAATGCCATCTCAATTAGAAAGTTAGGCAAGACTTTACTGAATCGATGTATGTCAGTAAAGAATGTCCAAGTGTGGTGAGAGCTGGCTGCTAGCTAAAGGTGATAGACAGTAATTGACGTCAATGTTTACGTCCCCAATATTGGTGGTGAGAAAATGAGAACAAAGGCTTTGCGTAGGCGGATACAGTTAGCATATTGATGATCTGACACAGCCACAAAGAGATGCAAGGTTAACTTTCTGTGAGAAACAACCAATCAAAAGACTGTATTTTCTACTAACAATAATCTACAATAATGTACATTAAAATTTATAAATATGTGTTGATTTTCCTTAATAAACGATCTGTTGCCTGGCCTTTGTCTTCTGTTGTCACATAAGTTTCATTTTAGATGAAACGTCGGTAAACCTGAATATTACACCCGTAGACAATACAGTTTACATGAAAACACGTTAATTACAGTTAAATGAATTACTCATAAAATTCTATTGAATTACCAGTATAGTTGAACAGATGAACATATTCCTAAGGTAATAAATGTTTCCCAGTTTACACTCTGTTTATCAGAATGACGAAAATGAGAATTAATATCAAGGATAAAGACAACAGCCAGGCTCACTGTTAATCCAATTATTATCCACCATAATTCATAAGCAGCACGATGTAAAATGAATAATCCTTAAATTTGCAGAAATTAAAAAAAAAGAACAAAACAAATACAATTAGTGGTTTATGGAAAGTTATTTTATTTTTACTTAACAATTATACAGTTATAAATAACAGATAACAGACGTTGCACCAGTGATGACTCTTGTGATATACCAACAGTTGATTATGCTGTCTAGATGGATAATGAAAGCTTCTCAATTAAACTATCCAGCTCATAGAATACAACCGCATTTTCGAAAAAAATTTCCACCTGAGCAAGCTACAAGTTTCCTTAATTATTTTGAAGTGGATTTTATCAGAAAATGAAAACAGCTACGGAGCCAGTCCAAACTGATAAGCTCTGTATAACATTTGTAAACCCTTGCTTGGGACCTTTCAGCAGAATGCTGATACGACTACAAGAGCAATTAAGGCATCCGCTTTGCTATTCAGCTGGAATCCATGAATTTTCAACCTAATAAAATAACTTGATAAATTTTCGACCTTACAAGTATTTCTTTTATTCCAGTGCATGTAAATTGCAATGACTTCATCTCAAACTGTATCTACAGGTATATATACACATATATACAAATTTAATATAACGTTATGTTTTGGAGTAAAATATTCCCCAAATGGTTATTAATCGATTGATCCCATTGGATTCCTAGAGGAAAATAGGGCTTTAGGACTACATTTTCATGTGATTCTGTTTTGTCGCCGTTTTTTAGCTGGCTCCACGACTTCTCACAAGCCTTAATTCCTTTTCACATGATCTTCTCCATGTGATTCTCGGACTCCCAACTAGTCGCTTCTTATTCAGTTTGCACCTGGCAGATGATGCTACTCAACGATCACCTCTGCGTATATTTAAACTACTTCCATCTCCTTCTGCAAATTTGTTGAGCAGTAGCTTCTTAACTGGTTTTCTGCCAGAGTTCATTGTTACTCGCTTATCTTTGCCGGCCACTCATCTGATGTTCAGTAGCTAGCGAAGGCAGATGTAGATAAACGTCTGCGCCAGGCTGTTGGAAATGTTTTTGGTGATGTGTGAGGCGCCTCTTTGAACCACATAGAAACAGTAATTGACTTGTCGTTAATGCTGAAAATTCAGATCTTGTTCTTTATGCTTAGTGCAGTAGATCTCTACAATGATTTCAGAGTTATGAACACCTGTCTTGCTTGGGTGATCCCACCCTGGGCGACTATGACATCCTTTTTAAGTTGTCTGGAGTTCAAATGTTGATGTCTAGGTTAGGTGAGTGAAACAGACGACTTACTTCCATTTTTTTCCTATTGGTGGTGATTAGTGTTTGTTACTGTAGGTTGAGTATCTTCATTCCCTGTGTTTCCTGAACGTTCCATTGAAGTACACGTGTTATTATAAACACATAGTTAAATTAAATGCATTTGTTCTGAATAAATATTCAACATAACTCGTCGAAAAACAGTTGTTTACTAATCGTCATGAAAGCAGTACAATTAATGCATACAAATGTCGATTCAAAATGATGGGAACATTCAGTTTGTCACATACATCTATTGAAATAAAGACCTTATAATATGTCTATTTGTCTTTTATTTCTGAAGAATTGTTAAGTTAGTTTATTCAAAGATAGGTTTCGTATTAAAATAACCTCAAGTGGGGAAATAGTTAATATCAACGAGTATTGAACATCAATTTCAGATTATTGGGATTATGTACTATCGCTAGATTGTTGCTTTAATGAAATGATGTAGTTTCGTCATAAATTATTTTTCTGATACCATCTTATTCACTAATAATTATTTTATTGCATGGAGGATTTCATCATGAGCTGAAAAACCTGGAAGTACTGGACAGCTGTTTCGTCCTAGTTTGGGACTCTTCAGCAGTACGCACCCACCAACAGGGTTCGAACCCAGCACCTTCTGGTTACAAGGCCAGCGAGCTCGTAGACCATTGAGCCACTGGGACCCAACCCAATGGTCCTTGAATTCTACCTTCTGCCAGTTCATGACATAGCGCGACCACTTCACAATGTCTTCTTCGATGAGTTACTGCCTCATCTTCAACCTGCTGTACCCTACTGGTCACGGCTTCCCACTAGAACCCAAATTAGGACGAAACAGCTGTCCAGTACTCCCAGGTTTTCCAGTGGTTCTCTAACTGATGTCAGCTCATGATTAAATCCTCCATGCAATCAAACAAAATCCCTACAAAACCAATACTTGAAAATTATTTTATTCTTTAATATTTCCGACTATCAGATCTTCAGTGTTTTGCAAAGATAACATTTGAAATACTACAACTGAATAGTCCACGTGAAACAAATTAAACTAGCAAAGGCGGTAAGATGTAGGCACTGTGTTGGAATATAATCCCATATTAGATAGATTTACTTGATATTACACAGAGTGATACAGTATTAATACCTGGATGACATTTCAAACCCAATTAACTGCCCATAATCATATCAGTGTATTCACATGACCTCATGACTTGCTTTATATAGCCTTAGTCCCATCTGTTTTCTATTGTCCTTTCCTATATAACCGGTACATGCGTTGTGTCGTTTCAGCTGTACGTGTGTGGTGTTGAATTGATAAATAAAGATTCAATGATTAATCTCTCTCTCTCTCTACCTAACTATACTAGATCTTAGTAACTTTACCCTTTCCCACCCCATTTTATGATTACCTGGAAGTGAATCCATTGCAATAACTTTCTCCTAGTTTATTTATCTCAGAAGCGGCAGTCAATCTAGATATGGGTAAATTCTTAAGTTCTGATAATCTAACTGACCCTAGTTTACTAGTTTGACCTATGTAATTGACCTCAAAGTCATTAAATGGTATTTTGAATGTTATATTATTTTTCTATCGGTTTTTTAAACCGACAAAGTTTGACTCTGAGTGAGTTGGTCGGTTTAAATGATACCCTAATTCCACTCTCATTGAGAGTCCTACATAGGGACTTTGATGTTCATTTTTTTGTACAGAATCACTATCGAGAATTTGAATTCCTTATTAAACTTCATGCATTTATTCCCCTTGATGAATTTGAATAAAGCAAGAACGAAAGTGGTTTGTGCAGAATAATATGGTACCATCATTTATTTCGTAGGCTTCTCATCAGCTGCTTACAGCCTAAATACATAATGAGGTTTGCGTACAGAAAAGTTTTAACATACTTGCAAATTTTTTTACATGTTGCCAGTTGACAAAAAGTTCCACAGTAAGTGAACAGTGCTCAGAAAATTGCGCTTATATAGTTTTTACACATGTAGTTCAAGTTTAAACAAAATAGATGTATGCATAAAATGGTAAAGGAGTTACGTAATAAAGACGAAATATGAGTTAGATACAGAGTGACTAAGAAATTAGGTAACAATGTACTGAGTTCAACTCAAATCATAGAAACAAGAGACAAGCAAAATTACAGAATATAAAAGGGGGTGAGGTTAAAGACAAAGATTACGTAATCAGATGAGAGAATAAAGACATTCAGTTACCAGGGCAAAGAGAGATTAATAACTGCTTCTTTCTGAACACATAAATCTGGTTTCAAGCGTTTGATAGAGATTGCTTCGGCAAACTTGAGGAGAATGGAACTCCTTTGTCTATTGATAATTTTAAAGGATTTCTCGATTTCTACCTCATGACCCGTGTCGAGAAGATGTCTAGTGATAGCGCTGCTATAAGAGTTTGTTCCCTTGAGACGTAGGCTTCTTGGCACATGTTCAGAAAATCGGAGGTGTGCCCTTCTTTCTGTTCTCCCAATGTAACTGCTCCCGCAGATACACGTAAATTTGTATACACAGTTGGAGTTAACATGAGAAGGGTATCTGTCGACTTTTGACTGCACCAAAGAGCATGTTGTTCGATGGACGGGAACCAACTTAGCTGCAGGATAGGCTCTGGCTAGTGATGTTCTCAGTCTTCTGTTGACCATTTCTGCAATGTTTTCACCTTTAAAATCTAGTTGAATGAAGACAGGCTTTTTTTCAACTGTGATTTGTTTGGTATTTGAGTCTTCACATCTTCCATATTTGTTTATGAATCTTTGAGGGTAACCGTTATTTTTCAGCACCTTTTCGAGGAACATAAATTCTTCCTCTAGTTTCTCTGTAGAGCATATTCTCCTTGCTCTATAGTACAGAGTCTTGACTAGTGCTCGTTTATAGCTATTTGGACAAAAGCTATTAAAATGTAAGTATTGTCCATTCCATGTAGGTTTTCGGTAAATTGACCTCTGGAGATTACCATCTTCTAGGCGTTGCATGGCGATGTCAAGGAAATGGAACTTCCCGTCATTTTCATGTTCCATGGTAAATACAATATTTGTATGTGCTTTGTTGAATAGGCTGAGTAGGTAGGAGGCATGACTGTCGTTTTTGCATACTACAAATGTGTCATCGACATATCGACAATAGGAAGTTGTTTGATCGATTGCATGCTTCAACTTTGTTTTCTCAAGGTTTGACATGAAGATATCTGCTAGAACAGGGCTAAGTGGACTGCCCATGGCTACGCCATCTATTTGTCGGTAAAGAGTGTTATCAAACTGGAATTGTACATCCATGGTACACATTAGCAGTAGGCGTTTGAATTCTGACTCTGGTAGTGGAAGTAGATCAGAATGTTGACAAATGATTTCAATGGTTTCATTGATTGGGATCATTGTGAACAAGGAGGTTGCATCAAATGAGACCATGAACTTATTTAAAACGTTCATATGATTCACGCTTTCGGCGAAATGAAATGAGTCTTTTATGGTATGCACGGCTAGACGTCGGCGAATGGGTTCCAACTTCTCCGCAAGCCAACGGGCAACCTTATGTTGAGGAGAGTTGATCATCGAAAGTATTGGTCTTAGAGGGACTTCTTTCTTGTGTATCTTTGGAAGGCCATACATATATGGCAAGCGGGACCCTCTGGGCTTTAATTCATTGTACGTGTTGTTGTCAATCAAATTCTTTTTTAGAAGATCTCTCAGTACATTGGTGATGCGTTTTTCAGTTGCATCTGTCTTGTCTTTCTGGCAGTCGTCGACTTTAAACCTCAATGGGTCATTCAGCAGAGTTTTCATTCTTGCGATGTAGTCATCTTTATCCATCAGTACCACTCCTGAGCCTTTGTCAGGTCGCAGTATGACGATTTTGTCATTATTTCTGAGAGATTTCAATGCCTTTCGATGTTCTTCAGAGAGGAATTTGGAATATGATGTTGGTGAAATGAGATATTGATTTGCAACGTCGACCAACTTAGATTTGAACCAGCTCTTCCTGTCCTCATCAACTGGAGTAAGGTCATTCAGCTGATAGAATAGGTTTTCGAATTGAGCTGCGACATCGGTTCTGTTGATAAAGTTATTCGGGATATGGAAGTTAAATCCGAGGGAAAGTGCTTCCATTTCAATGCGGCTTAAATTCAAACTCGACAGATTATACACAAACTCCTCAGGATTTTCTGGGAAGACGTCACATAGTTTCTCCTTCGTCAGGGATTTCGACAGAGTTCAAATCTAAGTTGGTCGACGTTGCAAATCAATATCTCATTTCACCAACATCATATTCCAAATTCCTCTCTGAAGAACATCGAAAGGCATTGAAATCTCTCAGAAATAATGACAAAATCGTCATACTGCGACCTGACAAAGGCTCAGGAGTGGTACTGATGGATAAAGATGACTACATCGCAAGAATGAAAACTCTGCTGAATGACCCATTGAGGTTTAAAGTCGACGACTGCCAGAAAGACAAGACAGATGCAACTGAAAAACGCATCACCAATGTACTGAGAGATCTTCTAAAAAAGAATTTGATTGACAACAACACGTACAATGAATTAAAGCCCAGAGGGTCCCGCTTGCCATATATGTATGGCCTTCCAAAGATACACAAGAAAGAAGTCCCTCTAAGACCAATACTTTCGATGATCAACTCTCCTCAACATAAGGTTGCCCGTTGGCTTGCGGAGAAGTTGGAACCCATTCGCCGACGTCTAGCCGTGCATACCATAAAAGACTCATTTCATTTCGCCGAAAGCGTGAATCATATGAACGTTTTAAATAAGTTCATGGTCTCATTTGATGCAACCTCCTTGTTCACAATGATCCCAATCAATGAAACCATTGAAATCATTTGTCAACATTCTGATCTACTTCCACTACCAGAGTCAGAATTCAAACGCCTACTGCTAATGTGTACCATGGATGTACAATTCCAGTTTGATAACACTCTTTACCGACAAATAGATGGCGTAGCCATGGGCAGTCCACTTAGCCCTGTTCTAGCAGATATCTTCATGTCAAACCTTGAGAAAACAAAGTTGAAGCATGCAATCGATCAAACAACTTCCTATTGTCGATATGTCGATGACACATTTGTAGTATGCAAAAACGACAGTCATGCCTCCTACCTACTCAGCCTATTCAACAAAGCACATACAAATATTGTATTTACCATGGAACATGAAAATGACGGGAAGTTCCATTTCCTTGACATCGCCATGCAACGCCTAGAAGATGGTAATCTCCAGAGGTCAATTTACCGAAAACCTACATGGAATGGACAATACTTACATTTTAATAGCTTTTGTCCAAATAGCTATAAACGAGCACTAGTCAAGACTCTGTACTATAGAGCAAGGAGAATATGCTCTACAGAGAAACTAGAGGAAGAATTTATGTTCCTCGAAAAGGTGCTGAAAAATAACGGTTACCCTCAAAGATTCATAAACAAATATGGAAGATGTGAAGACTCAAATACCAAACAAATCACAGTTGAAAAAAAGCCTGTCTTCATTCAACTAGATTTTAAAGGTGAAAACATTGCAGAAATGGTCAACAGAAGACTGAGAACATCACTAGCCAGAGCCTATCCTGCAGCTAAGTTGGTTCCCGTCCATCGAACAACATGCTCTTTGGTGCAGTCAAAAGTCGACAGATACCCTTCTCATGTTAACTCCAACTGTGTATACAAATTTACGTGTATCTGCGGGAGCAGTTACATTGGGAGAACAGAAAGAAGGGCACACCTCCGATTTTCTGAACATGTGCCGAAAAGCCTACGTCTCAAGGGAACAAACTCTTATAGCAGCGCTATCACTAGACATCTTCTCGACACGGGTCATGAGGTAGAAATCGAGAAATCCTTTAAAATTATCAATAGACAAAGGAGTTCCATTCTCCTCAAGTTTGCCGAAGCAATCTCTATCAAACGCTTGAAACCAGATTTATGTGTTCAGAAAGAAGCAGTTATTAATCTCTCTTTGCCCTGGTAACTGAATGTCTTTATTCTCTCATCTGATTACGTAATCTTTGTCTTTAACCTCACCCCCTTTTATATTCTGTAATTTTGCTTGTCTCTTGTTTCTATGATTTGAGTTGAACTCAGTACATTGTTACCTAATTTATTAGTCACTCTGTATCTAACTCATATTTCGTCTTTATTACGTAACTCCTTTACCATTGTATGCATACATCTATTTTGTTTAAACTTGAACTGCATGTGTAAAAACTATATAAGCGCAATTTTCTGAGCACTGTTCACTTACTGTGGAACTTTTTGTCAACTGGCAACATGTAAAAAAATTTGCAAGTATGTTAAAACTTTTCTGTACGCAAACCTCATTATGTATTTAGGCTGTAAGCAGCTGATGAGAAGCCTACGAAATAAATGATGGTACCATATTATTCTGCACAAACCACTTTCGTTCTTGCTTTATTCAAATTCCTTATTATTTACATTATCCTAATTCTTCGCATTACTCTTTTTACTTCCGTATAGGATCTCACCACTTAATTATATTACTTTTTAATACTTTTACCCTATTCCACCTTAGTGTGTGGTCACACGACATTGAATGCATCGGAAAAGAAAGCTTGACCATTGCGATTGCTCGAACGCGCAAAGCCATTGGCCGGTTAGGGGTCGAATCCTAATAGCAACCATGGGAGGGCTTCAGGTTACCGCTACACTCTACAAGCTAACGAGTAAATTGAATAACAAATTTAAAAAATAAATACTCACCGAGAGAAACAGAAAGGACATGCAGGACAATAGTGACAAACGTATGGTAAATTTTCCCTACAATAAAATCAAAAAAATGCATGTTTTTACTGACAAAAAGAAGAAATCACTTTTTTCCAAGAGGATACTTAAAGGTTACTGTAAAGATACCTTTTGATCAAACTGTAGTTCCTTTGAAGTAAATCGAGAAGAAAGTTAGGTATTCTCTATGGATTTTGTGAATAAAAGTCTATATTTATGTGGAGCGTCAGTGTATATCTTACAGCTACCTCACACAAACGACATCCTAATTTCTGTTAGAAAACCTAAACTTCATCAACACAAAAGTTATTTAACGGTGAGATAATAAGTATTGTGTAAAAACATTGGAGTTTTACTTGTCAACTTATTGCGTCATCGCTGTCATTTTACCGAAAACATATGGGAAATTAACACCTTCTGTGATGAAACATTCTTTATAATGAAATATTTAAGTATATATATATATAATTTATTTTTTATTCTGATTACAGCTTGATGCCACACCGTATTTTCAGTACATGTATGGAACTCTCAGCATGGATATCGGTAGCCCAAATTTTGCAGGCGGACCATAGATATCGGGTGTGCGTCGGCGGGGGATCGAACCCCGGACCATGTGCATGGTCGGCGAGAGTCCTAACCACTGTGCCACCGACGCACAGTATATATATATATATATATATATACTGCTAATGGGTACTAACGAGTAAGACACGGGTTCAAGATTCCTTCCTAAGTGGCTCTTTCTGCGTAACACTTGAGCTAAAAAGAGAGGACAACTGACTGATATGCACAACATAAGTAGAAAAAACATTAGATGAGTGAACAGATGCCATATTATGTTTATGTTTTTCTTCTCATGTTGGTTTGAAAACAGCAAAGAGTGACACTATATTATCAACTGGATGGTGATTCTAACAAAATCTGTTGTTCATGATCTTATCAAGGTAATCATAATAACTTCGATGCCTGTTTTTGCAATTCTACAACTTCTTATTTGCATATTTGAATTGATATTGGTATTGAATCATTATTATAGCATGTATTGCATGTTGGTTACATGAACAAACACTTAAATGTTAGTATATCTTTACACTTATCCAAGTTATATATATATATATAGTGACCTTATATACACCTACATAGCGTGGTTGTGAATCAACGGACGCATAACATTTTCCTACGTATAACGCCCGAAAAAACACAGTTTTACATTACAGATTGCAGTTTAGTCTCTTCAGTCAAGGTCATTTCACAGGCCTTATTTGTCAAGTTTATAATGAGCACAATTTAGATTTCATCACTGGTCACTAACTGACAGAACTGGCACAAGTTAGAATTGATGGGTCATGGAACTTCATCTCAAATGGCTCAGTGGTGTACGAGGTCACGTTATAACTTGAAGATCATGGGTTGGATCCCTGGTTAAGTCATGTATGTGTACTGCTGGATAGTCTGAAACAAGGACTAAATAGCTGTCTAGTACTCCCTGGTTTTGGATGGTTCTCAACCCGATCCTTGCAAACTGACACTTGAAAACTTTAAGCGCAGCATACTCAACCTTTATCATTCCCTAGGAGTGTATGCACACACATGAATATATTTAATGAAAACAGTTGGTACATACCATTGAAATGAAAGCTTCTTTTGAGAATAATGTTTACAACATGCCAAAATAAGCATGAAATAAGTATTAGAATAAGAAGTGAATTAACTTGTTTTATTACTGGTAAAGAACAGGTCAGCATTTCTTTGGCTAACGATTTCACTGATATTGAATTTTCTCCTAAGGTATCATCATAATCAATTATATCCATTTCTTCAATATCTCCATCCAAATGATGTTGATAAGGTCCAATATCCTCTTCTCCAACATCAACATCTTCATCCATGTACCAATCTTCTGATTCATCCATCATTTTTAACTTAATGAAATTAACATCACAGTATTGGAAATATCCGACTAAATGAAGAGATCTCCTGGACACAGATAGCTTCTTTAAATCAAATACGAATACTATATAGAGTCTAAAAGCAAATACCAAAAAAGAGATTTAGTTTACTATAATTACTATCAGAGTAATTTATGAAAGTTAACAATATGATTAACGTAATCATTCCATCAGATTAGAAGTTTTATCGCTACTTATCCTATTTCTACTTACCCTAAATTCTTTACATAGCAAGTCTTATTTTTCAGATTGTTCTGTTGCACAAGAACGTCGGAGAACTTTAAGAAGCAAATAAAAGTGTCGAGACAGCGCATGGAATGCAATAGTGATAGTTAACGACCACTCGTCATGATGTCTTAAATACTCTACTGTTACGCAGAAAAGTAGAAAAGAGATTTTAATTAAATTAACTGAATCGATAGTATAGGATAAAAGGCAATCGAAGTACAGATTGACTGAGCTCTTTCAACGTAGAACTTTACACAGAAGGGCGGCGGTTCAAGACGCTACACTTCATGTAGCGCACAGAGGTAGAGAAGAGAGAGAAAAAAGAAACTGCAGAGAACTATAGTAAAAGGGGATTCAACAGGAGAAACACATATCTCGAATATAGTCTTACTTTCAAGTAAAATAAATTTGAAAAAACGATGATACATTTTGAATCAACTCATTAGATTCAAAATTTAAACTTCTTGAGTGCTTTTAAGAGTTGATTAGTAAGGATTTGATTTATTTATCGAGTTTGATCACAGATTGATATCAGTTAGAGAACCATTGAAAACCAGCGTGGAGTGCAGGACAGCTGTTTCACTCTAGTTTGGGACTCATCGGCAGTACGAACCCACAACGGGTTTGAAGCCAGGACCTTCCAGTTACTAGGCAAGCTCGTATACCATTCAGCCATTGAGATGCGATTCAATGGCCTATGGATGCGTACAGAAGATGAGTCCCAAAATAGGACGAAACAGCTGTCCAGTACTCTCCGGTTTTCCTAAATATTCTCTAGAATGAGTTTGAATTTATAATTAGTATTAGTTTCGGGATACTAAATGTAAACTAAACATCAGATTAGCAACAATTAACAATGCCATTTATATAAGGAAATCATATTAGTGTTCATATATAAATGAAATAATTAACGCTTATGTATTTGTGAGGTGAGGTAGAAATGTTCTCTGCATAAGTATGTGAAGGATAAAAAACAACAACAACAACAGTATTTCAGTAAACAAAATTTGTATTCCTGGAAATTTTGAAGCAGTAACAGGTGGAAAATTTTCAATCGGCAGTTGAACAGAATACTTCAGTCGAATTGAATAATATAGAGGATGATAAACTTGATGTGATATTTCAGGATATAAACTCTCTCATTGACAAAAAAGAACAATGACAATGATGATATGAATGTAGGCGAAAAGATGTTCATGTTGTAGTTAGGGTCTGAGACACTTTGTATCTATTATTCAAGGAATATGATAATCAAGATTATTCATTATCACACGTTTAGAAGAGAAATTGCTTCCATGCTAACGTCTGGGTTAGTAAACATTTCAAACTACAGAGAACTGAAACCTTCTCTTGGTTTAAAGCTAGAATATAATCTGCGAAAGTACCAATCAGTTCTGGTCCCTTCTTCAACTTATTCAACAGATAATTTGAAAGGATTCTTGATTCATAAAGTCAGTAGGTTAGCAAGAGTATATACTTCAGTTTATGACTTAACTTCGATAATTCAACCAAGTTATAGTATCCAGCTCATTTGAAAAAAATGGATGAAGAAAACATGTGTTTGATGAAAATTCAAACCATTAATAACACTAACAACTGAGTCCATTAATGTCGCAAGTGTTAAGAGTGTCACATTGAATGGTGGTACATCTAGTCCCAATTTAAGGTGCACATAAAACAAAGCAACTTTGGCTTACACACTTGCATTCACTAACAAGATCACTAACAATTCACAACTTTACCAGCCGCTATACCTTTTATTTTTTAACCACAGTTCATTCACTGGATGATTGTACAAAGCTTTGAGGAATTCGCTGAACTTTGAAACAAAATGAAGGTTAGTGAAACAAATGACAAGATCAAGGCTTCATTATTCCTGTACGTCATATTCAAATAGTTTTCCCTGAAACTTAATTTATAAGATTTAATATTCTAGTTTTTAAACAATAATTGCCATTATAATAAAGGTTTTTGTATTTCCCAATGAATGAAAAACAAAACGATATTGTTTTTACTGACGTTTCGCTATTTAATGCTAATAGCTTTAACAAAGTATAATTGCCACTCGAAATTTATTGGTCAATTTGTCTAGATTAATATATTTCTTTCCAGTGTCGTACAGATAATCTAAAAAGTTGTCGTTGACTGAATATAACTTTGTTTTCACAATTTTGTACAGTTGTGCTATTACATTTTCTCGATGATGTAGGTATAAATGTAGACAAATACACAGTGAATTGTGGTATTTATAACTTCACCGCATGGCAAAATGAGTGACTAAAGATTAATGTCAAAATCAGGTAACTGTATACTCAATTTCATAATACTTTAGCAACTTCTTCCTTTCTAATAAATTATATATGTGAGCACAACATATAGGCTCAGGTGAGTCTCATAATTCTTTCAAATTAGTAATTTTATTCCATGTTACTCCGCCTGAGAATCTGACGAGTCATTCTGAGGATACATGTGAATAATAGGGAAAATAAGTAGCTCAGGAGAGAGAAAGGAAGCTATTAGAAACACACTCATAAAAAAACAGTGAATACAATTGTTAAAATATGAATAGTTTCTGGTTATATAAAGAACAATTGCCAACTATTGATGTCCAACGACACAAATACTCACTTTAAACAGCCTGCATCTCTCCATATGAATGAAATTAATTAATATTAAAAGACTTCAAGTACATTCACCACTTTTTTGGTCTAACTACTTTAAACTTCCTGTAGCTTAATCCCACTTAAGCTAGCACTCATCATCAATGAGTTTACTGACTCAAGTTGCATAACACATCTTTTGATTACAACAGCCGATGACGATTCAGAGACTGATTGTTTGAACTCAACTACACGGAACCACGTTTAGTCATAGTTATAGTGTGGGAGCTGATGAACTATCTGGTTGCTCAGGCTGAAGTACGTGGATTAGGACTTGAACCCGAGACTTATTGGAGGAAATTCGAATTCTCAAGCTAATAGGCCATATATCCACTACAGAGTGAGTGAATTTCTTTGCTTGCCTATCTCTAACATCAACATTGTTTACTTTTTAACTATATGAAAACACCAATGACTGCTCATGATATCAGCTTTAAGCGTCATAACACTCAACACAAACTAACAATTTACTAAAACTTTTTATCAAAGACACTAATGGAAATAAGAAAAAAATGAGAATTTCAGCAAAAATATATTTATTTCCAAATATTGTTTACAAAATCATATTAATAAAGATTAGGATAATTTTGATCGTTGTAAAAATGATCTAGGAGACATCGGATTATTATTATTGTTATTAGAGTGCGTAGACATATACTGCAAAGATAAATAAATGACATCACAATTGTTGTCATTCTTGCTGTTGTTATTAGTACTATTGTTACTAATGGTGTTAACATCGGAGACAATAACTGTGTTGTTACTATTTTCAATTTCATCTGTTTCTTGTGTACAATTCTTGGTAAATTTATCTATACTAGGTACTGTAGCTAGTACTAGTACCTTTTTCAAACTATTTGCAATGCGTAATTTAACTAATAATTGTGAATTAAGAAATGCATCTTTTGGATTACACACTGTAACAATATGACTGCCATGATATAAGAGTGGATCACCTGTTAAGAATAACGAAAAAGGCAGAAAAAAATATATGAATTACAGAGATTAAATTTCCAGAATAATATATTAATTCAGTAGATGTATTCTTCCCTAGATTGGTTATAATTAGTTTAGGAAAATTAATCTGATGCTCACTAGCGACTGGTCCTATTCAGGCACTTAACCTGGGGTTCTATTGGGAAGCCGTCACCAGTAGGGTACAGCAGGTCAAAGATGAGGACACTTACTCATCGAAGAAGACACTGAGAAGTGGTCGCGCTATATTGTGAATTAGCAAAAGTTAGAATTCATATGCTGGCCGTTGGATCGGGTCCCAGTGGCTTAATGGTCTACGATCTCTCTAGCCTTGTAACCAGATGGTCTCGGGTTAGAACCTTGGTAGTGAGTGCGTACTGCTGGAGAGTCCCAAACGAGGCTGACTAAACAGCTGTCCGGTACTCCCAGGTGGTTTTCCAAGGGTTCTCTAACTGATGTCAGCTCATGATGAAATCCTCCAACCAATCAAAAATGAGGAAATCAAGAATACACAAACAAACATACACAATTCAGATTTCATTACTACTAACCCCTAATGAATTCTTTAGCACAGTGAATAAGAAAGAGACAAAGAGACGGAATGATTGTACACCTTACACTGCCGGACACAAAATATTGTCTCTGCTCATAAAAACATTAGCATTAGCTGATCAATCATACTGTTTCAATCCAATACAATCTGTGATTCAAGTGGAACATAGAGCTTCAAGCTTTAAAGTTTCAGTGGTGGTGGTCTTATTTTTATAGGGAGGGGTGGTAGGGTTGCGCAACCTTCCCTCTTTTCCAGACTTACTATCAGCTAGTAAACCAGGCTAGATTTATGAATGAGTCGGTTGGGAATCGAACCCCAAGATCACGTGCGTAGTTGACGAGCATTCTACCAGTGGAACATTCACACACAAAACTGGATGCCAACGCTGGAGGATGAACCCAGATCGGCTGATGCTGGGCAGCCATGATAACCATTACTACAGTTTGAGATATTATACACTCTTTGAATAGTCTTCAACTTCTCACTTTACATATGTTGTTTTCGAAGACAAAATGAAGATATTGTACGCAATTAAAGCTTATTTTATTTCAAAGAATACATCATATGAATATATTGTTTATCAATAAAAATAATATTTTAGTTGAAAATTCTATACGGTACATACAGTTATTATCCAGAATAAAGCTTACACATATGCAATTTATATAATGCTTTTATAATATGAATACATATTTTCAGCTGGGTAGTTTAGAAACACAAATCTAGAATGGCAACTGTTTTCTTGATGAACTTTATTCAAACTGAAAGAAATCACTAGATGGAACACATCATACTTTTTAAAATCTTGGTACAAACGTATCTAATTGACTTAGGTATTTGGATTTCAACCTATCGGTTTCAACTTTGAATCCCACCCGACCTACTTCAGTTTGGGCAACTAAGTATCCCTCTCATAGAAGGTGTGGCTTATAACCTGGTACATAATGAATATGTCTCAGGTAGATGAGTATCAGCTAACTAACTAATCAACACAGAATAGGGTGTACCCCTACGGTATAAAGATAAAATCATTCTAAGGTTCTCATTGAGAAATTAATAGGACCTCCTTTTCTAAAAAAGACACAAATGCAAATACAAGCTAGTCAAGTAGTTTATACTGTTTGTACTGACTACCTTATGAACGAATTACAGTTAGACTGTTTACACAGAACTATATCAGAAACCTTATTTAGTAGTGCAATGTAACAATGACGGCAAGAGTACCATTACTTCATTTTTTCCTACAAAAGATGAGTAGAGTCACTTGATCACTGAAGTGTGAAGCTAAGATCTAATTTATAAACAACTTCAATCAACGACCCTATAAACATATATATAACATGATACTGGAAATAAAACTGATGAAATGGAAGAGGTTAAATGAGAAAAAAGAAACTCAGATTTACTCACCTTGATATACAAGGAAATCTCCACCCATTTTAGCACTAGATGTACTAATATAATAACCTTTATCCCATAAATCTTTATATACAAAGCAACACTGTAAACGCTGTGTAAGTGAAGTATCTGCGGTGCAACCATTAACATCACTGTCAGAGTCATCAAGTGATTTACATTGTTGTTCTCGTTGTTGTTGTTTAATTAACTGAGTCAACCAAAGAACAACTAAAAAGTTACAAAAACAACAACATAAAATTACTCACAGTTTTGATTAAGTTTGATCATTGATTGATATCGGTTAGGAGACTACTGAGAAACAGAGAGTACTGGATAGCTGTTTCGTCCTAATTTGGGACTCTTCATCAGTATGCATCTATGACTCCAACGATAAGGATTGAACCTAAGACCTTCAGGTTACGAGGTGAGCTCGTTGACCATTCAGCCACTGGGACAGAATCCAGCAATGACCCATGAACTCTAACTTCTAACAATTCATGATTTTTTTTTCCATTAAATCGATAAAGGTGATGGAAAAGGTGTGTACCTTAATTCAACACTGGGAACATGAGTAGACTAGGAAGAAAAAGCGAAGTATCCCAACATTGGATAAAGTTTGGTTCATGAAACATTTTTTTCAGGTAAAGTAACTATGGAATTATGGGAATAAGGACCACAAACATGCAAACACATTCTGTCGCATAATGAATCGCTTCTCCTCCGGTAGTATGTTAAATATTTTTAGATTCACTGTAAATCTTATCAGTCACAGATATCAGTTAGAAAATCATTGGAAACAATGGAGCATTGGATAGAAGGGATCATTCATCAGTGCATGTTAACGACTTCAGGACATTCAGATTACGGGACGAACCCTTTTGATCTATTCAACTAAATAGTTTGCATCTAAAAGTCTTCGATTTCTAACTTAGAAGTAATAAGCTTATCTACCAAGTTCACAACATTATAAATAAATTAACACTTTTAGCACCCCTAGAGAGTTTTGAAATCCATTTTATTTTGGTTCAGTTGTCAGCTATTTATCGTCGAAATGGAATTTTTAAGGATGTTATTATCACTGCATAAAATACAGAAGTCAAAGGTAAGTATATAAAAAAAATAACAGACAAAGATATTATCACGATCCTTCCAAACACAATAATTCATTGTGTTGAAATATGGACAGATAATACATCTTTTTTAAACTGCTAACAATATCATACAGCAATTAAACTAGGAAAGAGAAATCGGAAATAATTCATAATTTTACGTAAATGTTTTGAAACTTACCAATACCAATTAAAATCCTAGATAAAGTCAAGTCGAAATCGACAGTACAGAGAGTAAATACTATCGTCAAGTTATCTAATTATCCTATTATTCGTTTTACAATTCGATTAATTTTCAAGTATTGATTTTGTAGAGATTTTCTTGGTTGAACGACTTCATCATGAGATGACATCATTTAGAGAACCATTGGACAACCACCTTGAAGTACTGAACAGCTGTTTCATCAGTCTAATCTGGGACTCTTCAGCAGTATGCATCCACCAACAGGGTTCGAACCCAGAACCTTCTGGTTACAACCACTGGGACCCAATCCAATGCCCCATGAATTCTAACTTCTGCCAATTCATGATATAGTGCGACCACTTCGCAATGTTTTCTTCGATGAGTAACTGTCCTCATCTTCGACCTGCTGTATCCTGCTGGTCACGGCTTCCCACTAGAACAACTACGGCCAGTCGCTAGTGAGCATCAGATCAATTTTCAAGCATTGGTTTTGTAGGGATTTTCTTTGACTGGTTGGACGATTTCATCATGAGCTGACATCAGCGATGAGTTAACCATCGAGAAATAATGTTTCTAGCTATTCCGACAGGATTTTATTTCGAACTTACTATAAGAAGAGGTGTGAGTTGTTATCTGTCTTTCACATTTTGAAATGAGATCAAACAAACCTATAGTTTACTACGTTCAAAGGAAAAAAACTAGAACACACCGGTATATAAACGTGCACATCGCTAAAGAATTCAGTTCCAAACTAGTGAAAGAACCATGCGATGTTTAGATCATATTGATCTGGTTAGAAAGTACTACTGTTTGACGTAAGTATTTTCTAACTACCTATACTGATCAATAGCAGATTCAGTTTTGAGTGTGCTCTCCTTCCTGATGAAATTTCTACCATCAAGCTGCCACTTATTGTCATTTGCATATTTTAGATTTCCTATCGAACTGTGCAGTTTGCAAGTGACGAATCTCATTAAATTGGGAAATGGCTAGAGGTGGTTAGATACGAGTCCATCAAGTTGCTGACTGTTATGAGCCACGTAGGGAATTGTAGGGTGCCTTAACTGAACTGAAGTATCAGAGGAGAACTTTGCAAAAGAGTGCAATAGTTCAAGTTGTTACTATTCATAAAGGCAACGAACGGTAAAGGCAGAGAAGCGAAATGCAATGAAACTGAAATAAAGAAAACTCTATGAGATAAGGAGTACTTACCCAAAGAACAGTGAGGATTTTCAGTACATACATGTGAGTGATCGAAAACAGTTTTGAGCTATGCGGCCAACAGTATTCATCCGTGATTCTTAGAATAAAGAGGACTCAAGTCAGACAGTTTAAACCATCGTATGTGGATCCAACCAACGGGCAAATGCTTGGGTCCTCCTGATGCTACAGATCAATGGTTGGAGACTGTGTGTGATATGGCTTGTAATACCCGACTCTCAGACAGTGACAATGCTCACTAGTCTTAATCTAATCAATCTCTCCCCTGTAAACCTTTGTGCATTTTAGTTTCATTCGGTTTGCTTTGTCTACGCTTATAGCTAATTCGCCAAGGGTTGGGAAACACGAAATGACGCACTTTTCTGCAAAGTTCTAAATTTGCAAGTGAGTCAATTAGCAGATTTCGTGAACTAAAAAATTATATTACGAAGAAATCAAAGATTTCCAGGCCAAACCTGTCTACTTACTTTTGGTTAATTTTTTTATGTATATGATTAACTGTTAGACAAATGCCCTCAATAGCAATATAAGTAATTCCTGAAGCCTGTTACACAAAATATTGACTTACCTGAATAAAGATCTTCAGACGGTACAGTTTCTGGTAAACTAACAAAAACATATTCACCAGGACGTCGCCATTCAACAGGAGTAGGACGCGGTAAGTGTTGTGGTATATGTGGTAGAGATTCTTCAAGTTTCTCATTCAATATCACAGATGATTTTGATGCTCCTTGATGTGCAGTTTGTTCAGAAATTATATCATCTAAAGTAATTGGTGAATCAGTCATTTCAGGAGAGTCTTGATTATCATTGTACCAATCATATTCATCATCGTTGTCATCATCATTAGCATTAAAGTCAATTGAAGAGTCCATCATGTTCCTTTTCCTTTTTAACTGTTTCTGTAACATACGTCGCTCATAACGTCGTTTACGAGTGGATAACTTTGAAGGAGCTGAAATAATCAGTAAAAACATGAATAACAAAGTTTTAGATAAATTACATTTTCATATTAATGGTGTGTGGGTTGACAAAAAACGCACCAAACTTTTATTTTAAACAAATAAACTCAAAATAATTTTTAATATGTACGAATACGTCGGTGTTTATTAACCCTAGTAGCTGTTTATTGCTAAGTGTATTGCTGCACACTTGTCTGCACATCAGGTTCACACTTTTCACCATTTTACACGTGATATGTGATCTAAAAAGCTACAGTTTATCACGAAGGAAAGCAAAGTTGTGTCATTAAGCTTACTGACCCTATTACACAGGTATTTGAGAGACTACTATCAACAAAATTAGGGCTAAACAACTAAATTCTTTTGATATCTGTTGGCTAATTCGTATGCTTCTTCAAATCGACGCTCATTTGTGATTGAAACGACTTGATCACAAATGTATTAATTCAGGATTAACTTGCAAATACATTTTTCGCTGAAGACAACCAAGCATGAAACCTTATTGTAGATTTTACTAGCGATCAACCCTTTCTACCACCTAATTTTCAACTGTATCAACTACTTTTTATAAGGATCAGCTTCATACATTGTGACAGAGCTAAAAGATTGACATCGCCAAAGAGCTTTCATGCATTCGAATTCACCATTCACCTCCAATTACTTTCCACCCTTTCAGTAATAAGGAATTTCAACCTTTTCTCACTTACTCAATACCTTGCTTTCCTTTATACAATACAGCATTTCACTGTATCAATTATTTTTTTGATTGTGGTTAGACATTTTATTCATTTTTCCATATCTAAAACTTTCAACAATCTGTTTTTAACATAACAGTCACCTATTCATTAATTAACTGTATTGATTAAAACTAGTGACTGAGTATTGGGTGAAGTTGTCTGAAGTTCGAATGAGAAGTCTTGACCGGCGGCGTTCATCAAGTTGGGTATGAGCACATATTTTTTTATTCCTTCACGTTATCAGTGGAACATAGGGCTTCAAGCTAGAGGCTTGAAGTTTCTGTAGCAGTGTTTATTTTTACAGGATGGAGTTGCTAGTTCCATGCCCAACCTTTCCTCTTTACCAGATTTATTTCTGGTAAAGAAGTGCATCGGCCGGGGATCGAACCCCGGAACATGTGCATGGTTGGCGAGCATCCTAACAGCTGTGCCACCGACGCACATGAGCACAGATATTTGTTGATAATATTGGTTGGCGGTCTCACTATGAATCACATTTGAATTCACGGGCTGTTGTAATCCGTCCCAGTGGATAATTAGTCCACGGGATCACCTAGTACCCTGAAGATGCTACTGGTACCATGACTGTGTGCTGCCAAGGAGTTCAGAAACAGAAAGAAACATTCGTCCAGTACTCACTGATTTTCAATGGTTCTCCGACTTAAGTCAGTTCGCCATCAAACTTGAAATATAACTTTGACGCGTGTAATTCAGGTATGAAGTGTGCGAACACAATAAAAAATACTCACGACTTGTAGTTGTACACTTTACTACCATACATTAGAGGTGAAGTCATCGAAAGTTCAAAAAGGCGACAGTCAAGCAATTCACTGCACTGACTTAGATGGATGAGTAAACTTCAGGCATAAATCAATGTTTTATATGATAGAAGTTAAATTAGAATAGGATACACATACAGAGTATGTTGACTTTTATCATTCGTGGACTTCAGTTGCATTTTAACTACAGTTTGAAATTAGGCAAATGTACAGTAGATCTTACTATTTATATCTAAGACAACTTTCCTAAAAAAGCTTCAGGAGTTTCCAAAGGAGAGTACTAACCCGTATAACAAAGTATGCTCGCGAAGTAGTCAAGCAACATCTATTTGAAACCACAGTTATGGAAATGAAACAGATAAGCCAAATCAATATTCCAGGCTGAAGAAAGATTTCCTCCACTGACATTACATCCGATTACATTAAATAAGACATTTAAACGACTAGTTTACTTGTTGTTTTATAAACCAGTAGACATATGACAGAAAATAGTATTAAGTCATTTCTGTATGTGTAATCCAGGAAATGCTGAACCTGCGTTTCGTACTTTTTACCAGTCGGAATAACTGATGCCTCCTCAAGGTTTCAAACTTATGGTATTAGAATAAAACCCAACATATTAAGCTACATTATGATGGGTGAGTTGTACATATATTTCTTAGTAGAGATAAAGCATCTTAAGGTTTCAACCAGATATAGTATATAGTACAAACTACTTAGTCAATATACTGTTAGAAGTCATTCATAGTAACCATGTAGCATATATATATATATATATATATATATATATATATATCATTAATGTAATCAGCAGCAATTAAGAGTATTACAAAAATGTCGATAGCTTGTGAAAACAAATTCAGTTTTACAAATTATACTACTTTGAGTAGTATACAGGAGACTAACAACTTCCAACATTCGGTTACATCATTGAAAAATAAACAAACACACAGATAGGAGGCATTACAGTGACTATTACAAAGCTAATTTACCAAAACAAAACGTCTCCCACTTACATAATTGCGATTTGTAAATATTTTTTGTATCATCTGTACAGGGCATTGTTCCACTGGATACTTCTGTATTACATGTTTGAGCCATTAGTTTACGTTGCTGACGTAATTTCATACCATTCACTAGTTGTCCATAATGACCGACTAATTTTAATCGTCTTTGAGTTTTAAATATACCAATCTTGAGATGCAAATAACACAAAGAAGTAGGAGTATTAATATTTAACAAGACGGTGAACAACTTGAAAGCAACACATGAATTTACTTGAAGCAATGTGCCAGTCTGGTACGTCGATGAGTTGGTTAACGGTAGAATGTTTGCCAGCCATGCAAGTGGTTCAGATTAGATTGCCGGTCAGCCCACCCCTCAACCTCACCTAATTTATCGGCCGGTAATACGCTCAGAAAGGAGCGAAGGTTAGGCAACCCCACTCTTCATAAAAACAACACTGAGACTGAAACCTTTAAACTTTGTGTTCCACTCGGTAAGCACGCACAGGAATAAGTCAACAAACAAAAGTGCGCCTACCTTGGTGTTCGGTTTTTATAAACTGTCATGTAATAAAACAATGAGCAATTAATACAATGAAATCTTAAATAGAACTTAGAATGTGTTTAACAGAGCTTCATTGCTAACATGCAGTCAATAACAGTTATTATCGATACAATCTAAACAATTAGTTTGAGATAAAAGGTAGATTACAGTTACGATATGGAATAGAATTATTTAAAAACTTTGTACATTTTGGTTTGCATGCATTTTTGCTGTAATTTGTTATCACTTTAACAACCATCACCAAAGAACATGAATTACGAATAACTTTTTCCTTATTATTGAAGTTCTTCAAGTGATATACACACATATCGATTTCTTAAGTGATGAGTTAAGAATTCTCAGGTGTAACATGCTAGAATCACCTGAGTGCAGCTTTAGTAACTGATATTTCGTGAATAATTTAGTCGACGATATAAACAGACCTGGAATTTTAGATTTTTTCGCATCAAATCGTCTTTTATGATAGTCACTACTTTTATTCTTATTTGATTTTGTCTGCCAGTTACCTAAGTCAAGCACATTTCAAGTGAAACTGGATACTTAGTAATTGGTTTAAAGTTTCATCACGGATTGGTATCAGTTAGGGAACCACTGAAAACCAGCTGGAGTACTGGACATCTGTTTCATCCTAGTTTTTAGCTTATCAGCAGTACGGATCCAGGACCTTCAGGGTACGAGGAGAGCTAATTGGTCATTCAACAAGTGGCCCATGAATTCCAACTTCTGTCCATTTACGATTCTTAGCGCCACTGCCAAAAAGTCTCAGCTACTACTACTCCATGGCTTTCAATGGTTCTTCAACTAATATTAATCCGTGATCGAACTTGAGACCAATCAAATCATTACAAACTAACACTTGAAAACTTCCAAACTGCTTCTGTTATTTAAATCGGAGATATGTAACCTCGATTAAGAATGGTTTCCATTAATTCTAAACAATGGTCTAAAAGTATAGCTACAGAAGACACTCATAAACTTACTATCTAAGAATATATTGCAAAATTGGTGAAGTTATCTTTTAATACATGATTATTGATTCAAAACAACTTTATAGCCTTACTACAACACAATACTTCATAACTTCAACTGAAATCAGATTAGCTACCAATAAAAACACTGAATGATTAAACCAAGAGATTAATCGTTAGGAAACTCTAAAGTTAATAATATAACTCGTTTATATATCTTAGTAGTTTATCAACCACATTCATTCTTGAAATATCAGTCATTGACATCATTTACATTTACTGTAAATGTAAATCATTCGCCACTGGTTATTCACTAAAATATCATATTGTGGATTACTAGAAAATGTGAAGTATTTTGATGACAAAGGGGAACAGAGAGAAGAGTTGAAATTTTGCGTTTGTTCTATTGATTATCGAAAGAAATACGTCGCTGAGACACTGACGATCCAAAAACTCAACCGCACGCTATGTGGTCAAAAGAAATACGCCCAACCGTTGCCCCTACTGTGGCTATCATGAAAAGTCAGTCCCATTAATAATGATTATCTTATTACCTTACTTATCCAACCTTCCTGTTTATTTCTGTTATTTTTACGTTTTAAATTCCTATCTGCATTACCACATTTGGTTGCCATTTTTTATTTTTAAATACGTCTGCGATACCTACCTATTTTGTTATTACTACGTCCGTAATCCGTAATTTGTACAAGCAGTCAAGTTTTTCAGTAATTGTGATCTTCTTATGTCTTCATTACACTTTGTAATTTTATCAATCTGACCGTTGACCTGAAATATTTCTAGAATAGTACTACTATCTATCTATCTTACTATGTTCTGGATCCGATCTTCCTCTTTATTATACATTGTAATTTTATTAATTAATCTAACCTTTGGAAAACCTGGGAGTACTGGACAGCCATTTCGTCGGCCTAGTTTAAGACTCTTCATCAGCACGCACCCACCGCCAAGGTTCAAACCCAGTACCTTCCGGTTACAAGGCAAGCTCGTGGACCATTAGGCCACTGCGACCCAATCCAGTGGGAAGCCGTGACAAGTAGGATACAGCAAGTTGGAGGTGAGGACAGTTACTCATCGAAGAAGACATTGAAAAGTGGTCGCGCTGTGTCGTGAATTGGCAGAAGTTAGAATTCATGGACTGGCTGTCGAATAGGGTCCCACTGGCTTAATGGTCTACTAGCTAGCTCGCCTTGCAACCAGAAGGTGCTGGGTTCGAACGCTGTTGGTGGGTGTGTACTGATGAAAAGTCCCAAACTGGGACGAAACAGCTGTCCAGTACTCCCAGGTTTTCCAATGGTTCTCTAACCCATGTCAACTCACGATGAAATCCTCCAACCAATCTAAAAAGAATCCCTACAAACCAATACTTGATAATTTAACCTTTCACCAGAGACAATTCTGGAAATTTCTCATACATTTGCTATAAATACACGAATGCATAGCCTGGTTGATCACTTGGTTGCAAAGAAAATTTTCTTCTGTGTAACCGTCTTTTTAATAATTCCTATGATCCAATGTTTATATTTCATGATTATCACCTTCAAATATACTATGAAAAACTAACTGATCTTTTAGATATTAAGTTTTTCTTTTGATATTCCAAGTGGAGCATAGGCCTTCAAGTTTTCAAGTTTCAGTAGTGATGGTGATGTTATTTATTCGGGTTCTTCGTCTCACATGTCCAACCTTTTCTCTTTTTCGACCTAACTATCGACTAGTAAGCTAGGCGAGTTAAAGGAGTGCATCGGCCGGGAATCGAACCCCGAACCACTTGCATAGACTGGCAAGCATTCTACCACTGAACCCCTTGATGCACCATTATCATTGACCAAGGAAAAGAATAGGCAATTAAACTTTTCAATTAACCCCATTTGTTTTCTTTCTACAAGCTACTGAATGAATCCATGCAATTGTACACCATTTACACAACTGAATATATATTTGTTATTGACGAAAATGAGGTATCCAGTGTTCAAGCAGCACGTTGAACTGTTTGGATTAAAAAATATATGTATGAATAAGTGTTGTAAACAAAAGATAACGTTAAAACTATAAAAATAAACACATTTGACATCCGAATGACAAATGATCAAAAATTTCTGAAATATAACCAACCAGATTACCTTATCTAAATCTATATTACATAAGTTTATCTGATATAAAACAGAGTGATACAGTATTATTAACTAGATGAAGTTTAGAGCATAATTTGTTGTTCATAATCATATCAGGGTATTCACAGAAGTTCATAATTTCGTGTATATGGCCTTACTCTCTTCTGTTTTTTTCCTTTATTGCAATCTTCCATATTTCGGAGATGGGTGTAGCGTTATTTCAACCACAGGTGTTTGGTGTTGATTCTATGAGAGAGGTTAATCACAAAATCTTTGCTCATTGATATGACTTTGAGCAATAAACTGTACTCGAAACGTTATCCAGCTGTTAATACTGTATTTTCTTTTCCTTCACGTTCCCCAGTGGAACATAGGGCCTCAAGCTAGTGGCTTGAAGTTTCTGTAGCAGTGTTTATTTTACAGGATGAGGTTGCTAGCCTCATGCCCAACCTTTCCTCTTCACCAGCATTATTTCTGGCTTAGCGAGGTAAAGGAGTGCGTCGGCCAGGGATCGAACTCCGGACCATGTGCATGATCGGCGAGCGTCCTAACCGCTATGCCACCGACGCGTTAATACTGTATTACTAAGCATTATTTATCAAATAAACTTATCTAATATGGAATCACATTCTACCACAGTGCCCGAATTCTACTCTTATAAGAATAATTCATTGTATCACCCAGTTGTTACCTCTAGTGACTAGTTTTCACAGTTTGAGCAAGTTTTTGTCATAAGTTTTGGCCGAGAGCTTTCATCTTGTAGGATATGAAAACATTTATGCACGAGTAATAATGAACATCTCTGAAGCCATGTCATAAGTTAATAATTAAGATTACAAACTGTAGGTTATTGGATTCCAACCCAAAAGCTTCTTCGGTGGTAATAAGCTATCTTAGAAATCCAATTGTTATGAACCCATTCCGATACAAGTTTACTATTGTGTATCTATTAAGAGACCTAAACCAAAGAGAAACACCTGTGAACTGCAACTCAGCTTTTCAAATGATTGAAAATAGTAAACACTATTCAAAGCTCACTATTTATCTGTTTAGATAAATCACAGTTATTCAAAAATTAACAGCCAATTATGAAAAATACATAATGCAAATAATATCATCAATGCTTATTATTTCATGGGAGAAAAAACATCAAAGAGAGATGAAAAACGATAGTCTTGAACAATACCATTTCTTCAGCATTCTTCAAAAGAGCATTATTATATTCTTTGATAGTTTCCTCTGATGGTTTAGCCACGGATGATACTGGTCTACTGCACAACAGACCATTGATAAAACCTTTAGAGAGTAATAAGACAACTTCTTCAAAATTTAAACGAACTGGTAATCGATCTGGTTTCTTTGTTTGATTATGAAGCTTTTTACATGATTCTACGGCATATGAAGCACGACCCATAATTCTGTAAGTACGACGCAACCAGAGTACAGCTTTATTAAAAATCAAAATGAGACAACAGAAATAAGCAACAATAGATGACAGATTTCAACACTATAAATAGCACCAAAAAATACCATGAGAATGCAAATGTTATACAAACAGTTAATGTAGTTACATATAAAGGGAAATGAGAATATATAATGAATCAATAAAAATGTAACAAATGAAGACATCATCTACCGACATATAAACGGCTAGAAATACAACCATAAAATACACTGTATCCTCCTCATTTCTATTATGAATTGATCAACTAACTGATTGACAAACTGGTTTCAACGTAGAACTTCGCACAGAGGTGCGGCAGTTCGAGTTGCCACACTCCCTTATTGTAGCACACAAAGCAAGAGTACAGAGTAAAGAGACATTCAAAAAAGAGATAATAAACACAAATATAAGGTAAAAAGAGTTTTACTGGATATTATAAATCACAGAGTGATTGCATCTGCGCCAACCACTGAAAACGACTATGAGCCCTATCACCAGCTATCTGCAGCCATCATTGGTTCTTACCATCCCGAGGACCCCAAACAGGAAGCCAGTCTACACCTCCTTACATGGCTGGCCTAAACTAACTGTTGTGGATTTCAATGACCGATTAAGTCATGTTTTGGTGTGACCCCTTAGTCGATAGCTAGCCGCATATCACGTCTACGCCATAGATGGAATAAGTTGGTATATGCCAAACTAGCCTTCTGTATTTGTGCTGAGATTTCGTCAGCGATCAACCCACTGGCACCGGCAAATGCAACTTCCCAAAAAGGTGAAGTAGTTAACAGGCTCTACCACTTCACTCCCTATTTTTACGTTAGGAGTTAATGTAGTCCAGTCCTATAGCATCATCTTATATTTGGCGGGAGAGAATCACATGCCAAACATTCGAAGACTGATGCTCCTCAAGATGTTCAGAAAGCTCTGTATTTTATCAGCGTCTTCACCTAAAAGGACTGTATCATCTGTATATTCTAAGTCAACAAGATTATTCCCTGGTGACAGTTCAATTCCCGTGTCGCTGAAGTAAGTATTTAGGGTTAATTCCATTAGTACATTTATGATGAAATTAAACAGAAATGGGGACAGTAGGCATCCTTGACGGACATTGCTGGTTGATCAACACTCATTCACTATGGTTGCCTTACATTTCAATGCGAATGTCGTCAAGAATCAACACAAGTAAGAGAACATTGGGAGACAAGGTGTACTGGACAGCTATTTTCTGCAGGTTTGGGTCTCTTCAGCGGTGCGAACACACGGCTCCATTAAGGATCGAACCTGCGACCTTCAGGCTACGAGGTCAGGCTTTGTGACCACTCAATTATTCGGACTGGAGTACAATGACCCATGGATTCTTATTTCTGTCAATTTATGACAAAGAGCTAACCTCAACCAATCAATGTCTTCCACAAGTATCCATTTCACCCTGATGTGGTGGAACCCACCAGTGCGAACTTCTCAGTGCAGCATTTGGACATCCATTCAGCAGTCATCAATGAGCTGAAGATTTATATTTAGATTATGGAATTTTGTATTCGGATTAATTTCAATAATCTTTAACTGGTGTTCGTAGGTGACGCAGTCTGCATTGAAATTAATCCTAATCCCCACAAAAACCCATACTCCAGACCTTTTGTTGATTTTTATTTGACTACTTACTACTTTTTAATTAAATGAGGAATAATCACACACATGTTGTTTCTCCGAAAAAACAAAAAGTTAAATACAAAATACATTTCAGAAATACAATAAAAAAGTTAATTAAATAACGAGTTTTATATTAGCGAAAGAAAACAATATATATATATATATATATATATATATATATATATGTCCAAATGCAAACAAACGTTAGATATAAGCATAAGTTAGAATTGATATTGCTTTGAAGCGGCGTCTTGTGAAAAACTAAATCATTAGTGATCAGTATACAATGGTCACGATAACTAAGAAAACGGCGAGATTGAAACACACACAAGCATGCATGCATATATATATATATATGTATATATATATATATATATAACGAATATTGGATTATTTTTGTTTTTGAATGGCACAGAAACGCATGTATGTTTTTTTTAAAAACTTTTCATAGGGCACACCCATGTGGAAAAGCAAAACGCTGATTTCATCAAATCATAATGAAGCACTATATGTTTGAATTAATTTCATAAAGAATTATCAAGGTGACCCACAGGGGAATTCCAGAACATCTTTAGGATTCTCATTCAAAGCCAAGGTAATGACTTAATCTCAGCGGAAACAATAACGTGAACTGCTGAATATATATATATATGCTTTGTCAGTGATTAAGCTCATAAAAAACCATTTATGTCACCAAAAATACTTACATTCATTCCAAAGTTATCAACATGGAACTAGTAAGCTAATTAATCGATTCCGCTACATTTAACCAACTTTAGACTTCCATATAATGCATCATCAGCACTCAAAAAATAGTTGAAGTTCATCAACAAATGAACGAAAGTACGATGTTAAATATACATCGAAACTCTATTTTTATATTTTTTTATCTTCCTTCCCATAAGGGTAGTAGACGAAAGAGATTGATAACAGAAGCTGTATTTATTTAGTCAAGCAAGAATATCTGCAGTAGGAATGATCCAACACCTGTCCCGGACACCTGGATTATAATACCTTCATGACAAATATGAAGGAACAACGACAACCACCAAAATCGAGTTTGAAAGTTGTGTAGTTACAACTGGTATGATTATGAACGACAAGTGTGTATTCGAAATGCTATCCAAAAAATGATATTATTTCATTTTTTTTATTTTGGTTATAGCTTGAAACCACACAGTATTTTTGGTACAAGTATGGAATTTTCAGCATGTGATATCGGTAGCCCAAATTTTGCAGGCCGACCAGAGATATCAGGTGTGCGTCGGCAGGGGATCGAACCTCGGATCATGTGCATGGTCGGCGAGCATCCTAACCACTGTGCCACTGAAATATTCAGTAAAGAAATTAATATAGAATTACATACTACCATAGTATCTAAGTGTTGTACATACACAAAGACTGGAAACCATTTGAACACTGCTCCTAGGAAAAAGAAAATGGTTACTTCCGACAATAACTGCCTTATTCACAAATGCTATACCAGCTAGAAGACAAAAATAGAAACTAAACCCCAATAAAAAGGGATAAATTCTGGAGAAATGAGTATTGATCAACCTTAATTACTTAATCAGTTAGCATGAGTCGATCGATAAGTCAGTCATGATATGAACAGGGAAATCTGGTATCATACCGACTGACACTATCTGATATTTGTAATCAAACTATGATGTCTCATAAATCACACTAATATCATAATAATAATCACAGTGTTTACACAATAGACAGAATTTTGGACGGAGTTTATTGCATGATCTTTTCGCTTCTTCCGGGATCTTCAAATAAAATATCAATTGACAGTAGATCCAGTGAAACAGCTGTACATCCTCCGGAGTGCAAACAAATTCATTATGCTTTCTCTTCTTTGTCTCTTTCGAGAAATTTACGACATTTGATTGAATGCCAGTTACAAAACGTTTAGGAGTACATTTTGTGAACCAAGGACACAACCCAATAACACTTATCTCGTGTATTGGGATAAGCTTCCATCCAGGATGATGGTTTTTCTTAAGTTTAGTAGAAACTTGCGAATGAGAAGGTTTTAAATACTAGCCAGATGAAATAATTCTATTAGAAATCATGTTTTACTAGATTTAAACATAGAATAGAAATTATGGGTAATATATAGATGGAGGTTTTAGGTAGCCAAAGTTTTAAGCAAGCCATCGACTTATTTTAGAAACCTCACTAGATATTCGGTATATAGATTTTTATCAATTAGATAGTTATTGTGATTATAATTTACATATCATTGCATTTGCAGAATAACACGATTTTTTAGAAAGTTTATAATTCAAAATCTACACTCTAAAGATAATTATACCTAAGATAGTCTTCATTACTAATCGGTCAAAATGTAGAAATTCGACGGCTGTTATGCGTCGGTGGTACAGCGGTAGAATGCTCATCAACCATGCAGGTGGTTTGGGGGTTCGATCCTCGGCCAGCGCACTCCTTTACCTCGCTAAGCTACTAAAAATGACAGGTGAAGAGGGAAGGTTCGGCATGAGGCTAGCAACCCCATCCCGTAAAAATAAATTCCCCCTAGCTTGAAGCCCTATGTTCCACTGGGAACGTAAAGGAATAAAATGAATAATAATAATGATAATTATGCTTTCATTTAAAGAATGAATGTTGTTCAACAAACAGTTGAGATTCCATGCATTTTACAATGAGCCACATCTGTTGTGTGAAAGCTAGTGATACTACCTGACTACCTAAACCTCCATAGGTGAAGTGGCATTCGAACTTGTGACTCACTGGTTGGAGGTTGAGTGCGTAGACCAATGAACTGCAACTCCACATTTAAGGAATAAAAATATCATGATATATATATATATATATATATATATATATATAACTGACTAACAGGATTAAAAATATTTATTTATTATTCATGTAAACAGTAAAAGTTCACTAACCTTCGGCAGACCATACGAGAAATTCACCAAATGGAGTTAAGTTTATACATTCTGAATAATTTGGTATTGAATCTTTACTGGATAATGAATTTGACTGAGAATATAATGAAGAAAAATGGAAAAATATTTAGTTATTCAAGATAAATAACAAAATGTTATTTGATCAGGATCTATATGTAGGTTTAATTAGTGAAATTATTAACGATCAGAAAACTGGTTTAGACTAATATAAATGAGTGTCTTTTTTACATGTTATGTATGTTATGACATAACTTCTTCATAGGCACTGGAAAACTCATTATCTAAGTTATTATAGTTATGCAGGATGAACAAAATATATTTAACAGTGATAACACCAGCTTTAATTACATCTGATTTCGGCACAATTCAATTCATGATATTCTCCAATAACATACTTCAAAGCTTTAGAAACACACTTTTTTAACTGAGCAGGTGTTTATCAGTAGACCTTTTAGAGGATGTATCTTCAAATTCTCAGATAATAATCAAAGAGCTGTCAATGAAATTGTCGTTGATCTTTGCAAAATGAACAATTCTTAAGATATTGACAAACCATTTATATTTATAATTTTTAAAGGTGTAAAAGTACCCTATCATGATGTAGGTCATTTATATTCTGTCCTTTAATAAGTGTTTATCAAATAAACTAAACTCTATGTAAGTAGGTTGAAACCTACAAAGTTTTTGTTTTTCTGCCTATTAATTACCAATTAGGTCTCATGTAGTGTTTCTATTAATGTTATCGTCCATCAGCAGGAACACTATTCACACAGGGAAGACACCTACTGATGAGAATATAATTCAATCTTCAAAATAAATCAGCAGTGGTAAAATAAGGCGAAATTGTTTGTTTTAAATTCATGTCTCCAAATTCTGTGAAATTAATCTTTTACTTCCTTTGCGTTTCAAGTGGAACATATGGCTTTGATTCAGGCTTTGAGGTCTTAGTAGCAGTGGTGTATTTTTTTGCAGGGTGGGGTTGCTAGCCTCCCACTATACCTTATCTCTTTACCAGACTTACTACTAGCTGAGTAAGGCTAACGAGTGCGTCTACAGGGGGGGGGGGTCGAACCCTACAACATGTGTGTGATTGGCGAGTTTTCTACCAGTGAACCACCGACGCACTGTGTTATTACTTTTCCTCTAAGTTATTTATATACTGAGTCCCTTCAACTAACATACACACACACAATGCACAGACGTTACTCCTTACATTCATGCATACAAGTTGATGAAAACCTACATAATCGCTAAAAACCTCAATGGATGATATATATCTTCATTCTATGTACTTCTTGATGTTTCCTATGATACATAGGGGAATTCCAGAATCACTGATATTACCACAAAATTTCAAACCTAATGAGACTAAACAGAGGTTTTTAAAACCATGACAGTAGATATGAATAACAAGTCCAACTTTACGTCTAGATTTACAACTCAGTTATATTTGTTTATAATAAATAGAATACTAAGACAACTGCAGAGATTCTATTCTTTAAAGTCATTTACTTATTCAGGCAAAACGAATACTTGTTTGCATACTTGCAGCTTGTCAGTAGCTACACGTCGGTGATGCAGAGGTAGAATGTTCGCCAGCTACGCACATGGTTCATGGCTCGATTCCCGGTCGATACACTCCTAAACCTCACTTGATTGGTAGCAAGCCGAAGAAAGAGGGAAGGTTTGGCGTTAGACTGGCGACCCCTCCCCCTCCACAAAAACAATACAATAGCTTGAATCCCTATATTCCACTCGGAAGGCAAAGGAATGAAAAAAAAACAACTGTTAACTATGAAAATTAACAGGATACTAAGCAGCCATAGCATTCCACATGAGCGATAAATCTCCAAACTATCTACATTACCAATAGAAGCAAATCGATGGCCGACTAAGACAAAATGATAAATATTCAACCACTTAACAACCCTGTTTTATCGTATTTAATTATCTCCAGGTAACAACAAACAAAGATATGTACACTTAACTATACATCAGATAGTTGCATTAGAAAAGAACAAATGTGCAATCGGAAAATAAGTAGTGTCTATGTATAAAACAAAACTAATACACTTCTAAAAAGAGAAATATATTTTCCAAAAATATTAAACATCTGTTGCAGCATACAGCAAATAAGCAATTTTTCTAAATGAAAAGAATTAATTAAATAAAACTAAAATAGGAATATAGCAAAAGAGGAGACAAGAGGATAAGAGTACAGGTTTATGTATATATACATATGAAAGAGACAGTGTTTATTTACATTTTATGAATAGAAATTGCTTTGTATCAGTCGTAAATCTAGAGGTGGTGGTTGGACTGCTTTTGCAACTACTGCTGTTGCTGTTGATGATGATGATGTAATCGCCGTCGGCGTTATCATTTTTGTTGTTGTTACTGTTACTATATTAGATGGGATGAAATAATTATTACACGATGAAATGAACACATCTGACATACTGCATACACTATTAATAACTGTTTCATCATACGATGATGAGTTATGAGTGATATTCACTTCACCGGGGCGATAATCTGTAGAAATACTATTTTCAGGATACATTATAACTTCTGGGAATTCTACAGACATATCACCTTCAACAAGACAATCATCATTATCATTATTAGTAAGTAATAGGTCCGTGAAACTAAATCCTGGTTCAGGATCCCATATTGTATGTGTTGTGAAGAATGAATTATCAGGACAATCATTTGTTGAATCAAAAAACATTGTACACTGATGAGGTGCGCTCAAGTCAATTGGATTCATAGTAATTATATCAACAGAAGGATCTGCGGATAAGTCAATTGCTTTTGATGTTCCTGTCAGTGTAAAGTATTGTGTATCGGTAAGATCAAGACCAGAATTAGAATAGAATAAACGTTTAGATATTGATCCAGTGTTAATAATTTGATTAGTTTGTGTTACATACTGTGGTACCAACATACTAGATAGATTTGATGTAGACAACGGGATAGATGAAGCATCGACTCTTTCCATTACTGTTGATGGTATAGAAGAATGAGTCTAGAAAAAAAGTAATCAGAAAAAAAGTCATAAAGTGATCAGTATAGGACTATACCAAGAAATAACAGTTTTATAGAAAATAACATGGAAACAAACTGTACCTAGATTTTCTGTGTACATAATTCAGTTTCTCAAAACGTGACATTTAACCATAGCTGATAACTACAAGTATCACAGTAACAAAGAGCAAAAGGCTTGAAGTATTTTTAAGTATTATTTTATCCCACTTTAATACTCTTTAATTGGATCCACCAAGAAGTCCATGAATTTAGGGTAAAGGACCTTCAAGCTTTGAAGTGATGAAGATTCCTGGCTAACAGCAACAATAACAGTCGGCATAAATCGGGGAAATCTGAAAGAAACAACCTCTTTTACCTACCTGGGAAGCATCGTTTCAACTACAGGCGAACGGAACTGACGAGGATATCAAAGCAAGAATCGGGAAAGCATGACAAGCTTTCACTACTCTCAAGCCTTTGTGGAGGTCAACAGCACTAAGCATCAAAAATAAGATCCGGATTTTCAACTCCAATGTGAAGTCAGTGCTACTATACGGATCAGAGACTTGGTGCCGCGTCACGAAGGGTACTTTGAACAAACTACAAACCTTCATCAACAGCTGTCTTCGGTCAATACTCAAGATCAGATGGCAGGCCAGAAAAGATCAGCAACAGGGATTCCTGCGAACGAGCCAACCAAACCAGCAGGAACCAACTGTGCAACAAATATGTAGGGAGAAATGGAGGTGGATTGGCCATACTCTGAGAAAACAAACCATCAAGTGAGTGACATCACACGCCAGGCCATCGCTCGAGTGGAACCCGAATGGGAAGTGGCGAGTTGGTCGTCAGTGTGAGGGTGACATGGAGGAGGAGGTGGTGGGAAGAGGAGATGAAAGCATGTGGGCAGATGTGGAGCCAGGTAAAAACGTTTGCGGAGAACCGAACGCAATGGATACATGCGGCTGAAGCCCTGTGACGACGTTGATATTCACCGACTAAGTTCAAATCCATTAGAGTATGCTATAGACGATTCTTACCTTTTGAAAAACATATCATAGTTATAACATTGTATTCCTTTAAACAATTCATATGAACACTAGCCCTCAAAGCATATATCACCGATGAAAAGTAAAAATTACTTATCAGTGTTAAATATTTTTATCCATATGGAATAGAAATAAAATACACTTCTATCAAAGCTGTTGCACACAAAATAAGAATAACAATAGAAAAAGCACTATACCTTAATCTTAAATGTAGGGATTAAGTTTCCAGACAATTGAGAAATCATAATGAGAAATTATTCAATAAAATTGGTAACTGTTAAAGAATTGTTAAAGAATAACAATCGAAAGGAACTGACCTGGAAAAATTAATCAAATCATTCCTACCTTAACAAGCAGTCTATTCCTCATAACGTAACTTGCAATTCTATGCTAATTAATTTCTAATTTATGTTAAGTTTACGACTGGTTTGAGATTAGGATAAAGGTGTGGTTAAGGTCAGGTGTTGGACTGGTATTAGGTAGGGGATAGGTTAGGGTTAGGCTAAAATGAGGATTAGACTTAAGTGATTGTTTAAGGTTAGAAAAGAGTTCAGGAATTATTATAATGTCTAGTGGTCATTTTCTAAAACCTACATTCTTATAGCGTTTTAAAGATTAATACAGTAATTAAATTTAATTTAATTCACTTGTTTGTCTTGAATATATTTTTTCTAATCAACATTGTCTTTTAATCATGCTGTTATTCTAATTGATTTCTCAAGTTTATTTGACAGAAAATCTGTTGTTTTTCCGATCCTTTGCGTTTAGAGTGGAATATAGAGCTTCAAACTTTAGGTTTGAAGTTTCGGTAGTGGTAGTTTTGTCTTTATGGGTGGGGTTGTGAGCCTTACACGTCCAAATTTCCTTCTTTATTGATCTTACCACCGGCAAGGCGCCTTTTATGAATGTGTCAACTGCGAATCGAACAGGGACCACTTGCATGGTTGGCGAATACTCTATCACTGAATCACTAACATTTGTTTTAGTCGCTATACAATATACAAACACTTAGGTATGATATTTATGGATAAAAAGCTAAAAGTGATAAAGGAAACAATAAATTATTGGCTAGTGATTTAACATTTCAGAAATACTTCTATTTTGTACATACTTTGCCTGAGTAAACTTGTAAGCACAATGCTGAATTGCATAGATCTACAGCAGCCTCATTGTCATATTCACTTTTTAACGTAGTAGTTGTTGTTGTTGTTGATACTTCCCCTGCGGCTTCCGCTGCTGCTACTGGAGTCATCGATAGCGTTGATGTGACTGGTATTAAAGGCAGTAAAGAGTCTGTTAATGCAACAGTATAATGAGGATGAAAAGATGATCCAAGTGCCAAAGGATATTCTTGAGAATCATTAGAATTTGTAATCATAATATTTTTGATAGGCGTATCTGAAGCCATTGTAGTGATAACAACATTATAATATGATGATGGAGTAATAGACTTCGCATAAATTGGATCAATTTCAATAAATGAGGTAGTCTCTAAAGTCGAAACATTTTCAGAAGATGGCTGTAATGCATCCACCACTGGATTAGTATCAACAGTTGAGGTTTCTAGCACAAGACTTATAGGTTCATCACAGTGAGGAATAGGCTAAATCGGGAAAAGAAAAGAATTTGATAATTTTCTCTTGAAATGTAATCTAAAATGACAGATGAATTCCAACTTTTGTAATACTGACAAAATGCTGTAGTGACATGCACCAAAAAGTAGAAGGTATAAGCACAACATGATGCATCTACACATGTACAGCCCATAGTAAGATACAAAAGAAAAATTTTTGATCTGTAAACCAACGGTATTTGAGTACAGAAATCATGAACATTAGATAAGCCTATTATTATAACCTGAGTTGCCCCTGCATAGTATTACCAATAAACTCAAAAAATAAGTAAATATTAGTGAAACGACGTTTAACACTACTTTCTGATATATTATGATAAATTGAAGTTAGATGAGTAAGTGAATAATTACATAAAAGCCTACACATGTCAATAAAATCAAGAGAAATCTAATACTAGCCAAACTTAAACTCGATTTATTTTTATTTAATTTTGTATACCCCTTTGATTGATTAATTTGGAACGAAATGTTTGGTCTCTGGTGAACTGGAGGCTCCTATCACAGATGCTTCGACGGCGTCTGAGGATTAAAATTTGCACTACTTGGTGGATGGTGACTAGCAGCAGAGTCCAAGATGCATATTTGGTCCCACTTGACACTCGTTAACTGAATGTTGCTGCAATTCACAATGAGTGTTGGTGTCCCCACTGAGACTCGAAAGCAACACCTATCGTTTCTCAAACGCCGAAGCGCTATCCACTAGGCTACTTCAGTCAAGACAACTACCTCTTATGTAGCGGGCATTAGTTGTTATGATTATCGTGCTGGTTTCGAGTCTCAGTAGGAGTGCTATCACTCAGTGAGGACTGAGGGTACATTCGGATGACGAGCTCCTAAATAGGACGAAATGCGCATTCTGGATTCTAAAGCTACATACCATCTACTAAATAATATCATGAATACACAGAAAAAACATGGCGCAAGCCACTGCATGAGTTGTTTCTCAAGAATGCGAAGATAAACTTTTAATGCAGTTTTTGAATATATTATGTTTGTTTCTAAAATGTTCACACCTATCTGAGACACCACTTAGGAAGTTCCCTACTTTAAAGAAAGTGTGATGTATAAAGGTTATATAATCCACACGTATTACATAACATATCAGAGTATTGTGATATATATTCATGAAATTCCAAAAATTACCTTGAATAACATACAACTCATTGCATACATTTTTTTAAAAAATAGAACCAAAACTAAATGTTTGTGGTGCTAAATACAATGTATGTAGTTTTGATGAGGGTTTTGTCTTCAGTATTTAAACGCCACCAAAATACAGTTGTCACGTTTGTCAAATAAACTTTTACCTTAATGGATTGGAGGATTTCATCATGAGCTGATATCGATTAGAGAACCATTGGAAAACCTGGGAGTGCTGGACAGCTGTTTCATCCTAGTTTGAAACTCTAGCAGTACGCACACAACCGGGGTTCGATCAATCAATCAATCAAAAAAAATCTCTACACGAAAACCAATGCTTGAGAATTGAAGTGATGCTCACAAGCGACTGGCCCTATTCTGGCAGTTAACCTGGGGTTTAAGTGGGAACCTGTGACCAGTAGGGTGCAGCAGGTTGAAGATGAGGCAGTAACTCATCGAAGAAGACATTATGAAGTGGTCGCGCTATGTCATGAATTAGCAGAAGTTAGAATTCATGGGCTGGCCATTGGGTACGGTCCCAGTGGCTTAATGGTCAACGAGCTAGCTCGTCTTATAACCAGGAGGTGCTGGGTTCGAACCCTGTCGGTGAGTGCGTACTGATGAAAAGTCCCAAACTAGGACAACAGAAATCCCTGTCCAGTACTCCCTGCAGGTTTTCCAATGGTTCTCTAAGCGATATCAGCTCATGATGAAATCGTCCAACCAATCAAACAAAATCTCTACAAAAACCAATACTTGAAAATTTTACCTTAATTATTTATTTATAAATGGTAAATAGCAAAAGACAAGACACACTTTTCGTTCTATTCAGAATTCAATGGGGGGGGGGGGGGGGGAAGTAGCTGTTTCTGGCCTCACTGGTACAGACATTTTGTATGCACTAACTGAAGTGTCAAAAAAAAGTAGCAGTAGCAAGTCATTCATTGGTAGAGTTTGTGATCTCTGTGCTACTGATTGATTGATAAAACTGGATTAATCAGTCAGTAGTGACACATGAACTTTTTTTGAAATATGTTGATTATACGATGGATCAAAATGATAAGCACTGGATTGAACGCGCAGTAACTAACAACTAACACTTATTGGAGGGGGGAGGGGTGGGGGCACTATTGAATAGGATTAAAAGTACCATTTGGATTTTATACTCACAAACCAATCAAATCTTATTACAAGTAATATTTGTACAAACAGTTCATACATCAATCAATTTTGTTCTATCAACGTTAAAACGAGGAAAATCATAATTCATATTAATGTTCTCTAATCTATCATCCGGCTATCAACCAAGGGACGTGTGTACTGCTCAGCAGTTCGCTCCGTCCTTCTCTGTGGCTCTGAAACATGGCCAATACGAGTTGAAGACATGAAAAGGTTGACTGTTTTTGATCATAGATGTCTACGATCTCTTTCTCACGTTAGGTGGTATAATAAGGTAAGTAATGTTGACGTTAGGCGTAGTGTTGGGCAAAGAGGGAAATCAATCGACGAGGCTATAATGTTACATAGATTGAGATGGCTAGGTCACGTGCTGCGCATGCCTAACCATCGCCTCCCCCGACGGGCATTACTAGCTGATATAGGTGCAGGTTGGAAAAGAGTAAGTGGTGGCCAAACAAAAACATGGCCTCATCAATCCATGAAAACCTTAACAGTTAAACTGAGTCAGGTAGGGAGATGCAGACTTCCGGGTTGGGGCCCTCGGGACTCTAAGAATCAATGGCTGGAGACAATAGGTGACATGGCTCAAAATCGTTGTCAATGGTGCAGATGTATTCAGTCTCTGTAATCTTTCATATTCCTTTCTACCATTACTCATTCTGGAAAATACAAAAAACCTTTATTATAAGGAAATAATAGTGTATTTGAAAACTAAGCCTTCAGCTTGAAGAAACATCTTATCTTCATTGTAGCACATATTGGAGGTTATTAAATTTTGTCATACCAGTCAATATTGTGAAGTGTTTAGCTAAAAACTGCCTACACAGAAACTATGCACGCATGATTCAATAGTGGGATATATAGCCCCTTTTATAAATTTGGATAGTGTTATCAGTGGATGGAGATTATCTGAAAAATGTGATGTATCTGCGCTATACATTTCAAACAATCTGATCACACATTTGCACAGCTGATGCTATAGAAAAATAAAAGTGAAATATTGATGGATACTCTTGTTGAAAACAGATATCCTTTAAAATTTTTAAACAGGTGTAGAAGTCAATTAGTCTTTAAACCTACAATCTATACCGCCCCTAAGAAAAACTTCTTCATCAAATAACCATATAACGGGGAAGGATTTTGAGGCAAAGGTTGAATTCGATCATCCATAGAACTGATTATGCAGCCCGGCTCGTTATTATTGAAAAAGCCAAAAATGTGCAAACCTCAAAAGTGCACAAGCGATTAAGTCATATCCCACACTATTTACCAATTTTCGTGTGTGTGCGGTCACACATAAAAAAGGAGGAGTAATCGCGCTTTGCATGTTAGGGGGGGGGGGGAGAGTATGTCCCGAAATGGTTAGAAAAGCAAATGAATTGTGGAAAATCAATAGACGCAGACATCAGACTACCAACTGCGTCTATAGCTAAACACGAAAAATACCCATTTATTCATAAGTAAAAACACACTCTTTTTGTTCAGCGAAAAAATTTCTTTTCAACGACATCATTTTCAAGCTGTACAGTCGTATTCACATTACAGAAAAGGTTATTAAGTGGCACTAAATAATTGCTCAGTCAATATACATATAAAAGTGATAAGAATAACGATAATTAAAATTTTATAAGGGGTAGAGTTGAAGTGGATGAATTACAAAATTATTAAAGATTGTTTTATAAGTGAATTGATATCAAAAACTTTAAAAAATTAGGAGTACGATTACGATTACAGGTCTAACTCTTAAACGTCATCCGGTGAAGCTGATCGATGTCCCTGATGTTCCTCTGAGACCTGTATTGGATATGCTGAACTCGCCGTGTCAATCTACCGCTAAATAGCTTGCGGAAATTCTGGAACCAGTTAGATTAAATCTATGTAAATATAGTCTTCCTGACACTTTTGACTTTGTCAGTTGCATTGATGAAATTAATGTGACCGGTAAGCACATGATTTCGTTAGATGTTTGTTCATTGTTCACAAATTTACCACTAGTAGACACTATCTGCTATCTATGCGAGTATATTGATTCAAATAGCATGAATATTGGCTTACCAACTGAATATCTGAAACAACTATTATTGAGATGCACACTGAATGTGCAATTTAGATTTAATGAAGTCATCTACAATCAAAGGGACGGAGTCGCCATGGAGTCTCCTTTAGGACCGCTCTTAGCGGATGTCTTCATGGCAAGCTTAGAGAAGGGCCCACTAAAGGAAACCATCGAGAGTGTGTTTATGTATAAAAGATGTATAGATGATACCTTCATTGTCTGTGAGGAAAACTCTTCAACTGCAGAACATCTTGGAATATTTAATGGTTCTCACCCATCTTTGCTTTTCACGGTCGAAGAAGAGTCGAATTCCTCGTTTCACTTCCTTGACGTTAAGCTAGATAGAAGAGAGAATGGAACGCTGTTAAGGTCAATTTACCGAAAGCCAACATTCACAGGGGAGTACACTAACTTCAACAGTTGAGTACCTTTAGGGAGGAAGAGAAATCTTATTCATTCCTTATGCTCCAGAATTCGTAAAATCTGCTCTATAGAGACAATCGGTAGAGAACTAGATAACCTTCGATCAAATTTCCTTAACAATGGATATCCTACAAGGTTTATTGAACGTAACATCAAGAAAGAATCCGCCCCTAGACAAATCACAGTGCCAAAGAAAAAACTGTTTATGAGTCTTGTATTCAAAGGTGACACCATTTCAGAATTGATCAAAAATCGTTTATCTAAATGTATTAAACGCTCTTTTCATGCAGCTGACTTGCAACTAGTTTTTACCAGCCGAAGTATGATTAGACAATGCGTCAAGGATAGATTACCGCTTATGTCCACATCTATGTGCATTTACTCTTTTACCTGCTCTTGTGGAGCTGATTATATTGGACATTGTAAGCGTACTCACCGAAAACGTGTAGCTGAACACTATCCGGTTTGGTTAATGAAAGGCGAACGTAGAACTGCGAAGTCGTCTATATGTGACCACCTGGTCATTCAGCCCCACGTGATTCATCCTTCAATGTTATCTACATAGCAAAATCAAATAGCTCCAAAAGCTTACGTTTTCTTTACTTATGCATAGCCAAAGCTTTAGCTATACATGAACAGAAACCTAAATTATGTGTTCAAAAACGTTTTGTCAAACCCCTTTCTTTACCTTGGTCATAGTAATGTTCTTTCTAGTTTTTATTTTATTTTACCACTTGAATTCATTTCACTTCACATCTTTATTCTTATCGTAATCGTACTCCTAATTTTTTTAAAATTTTTGATATCAATTCACTTATAAAACAATCTTTAATAATTTTGTAATTCATCCACTTCAACTCTACACCTTATAACATTTTAATTATCGTTATTCTTATCACTTTTATATGTATATTGACTGAGCAATTATTTAGTGCCACTTAATAACCTTTTCTGTAATATAGCTAAACACCTAATCGAGATGAACCATAAGATTGGTGTTAACTAAGCCCTTAAGGTCATCCATAAAAATGGTCAAGGGCGCTTACTGAAATACTCTGAGGGTATAGCTATTCATAAGCTTAAGCCCTTCCCCCCTCCTGCGTATTCAAAAACAGTTTATTATTACTCTTAACCTACCTTGGTAATCCTTATGTGATTGGATTATCAAACGTTGTGTTAATCATTCTTAAATCCTTTTTTCACTCACTTAGTTTAATTTATTATTATTATTGTTCCCTTGGGTTCCTAGTGGAACATAGGGCTTCAACTGCACGTCTCCACTTCCTTCTGTCTTCTGCTGTACTTTTCACTTGCATCCATGTTAGTTCACACTGTTCCAACTCTTCTTCACACGATCTCCTCCATGTCACCCTTGGACATCCTACTCGCCGCTTCCTTTTCGGGTTCCACTCGAGCACTGGCCTGACGTGCGATGTCACCCAGCGGCCTCCTCAGCGAGTGTCCAATCCATCTCCACTTTCTCCTGCATATTTGTTTGAGCGATTGGTTCTTGTTTTGTTTGTTCGCATAGTTTCTTGTTGGTGATTCTTTCCGGCCATCTGATCTTGAGTATAGAACGAAGACAGTTGTTGATAAAGGTCTGCAACCTGTTGGAAATATTCTTTGTGACCCGCCAAGTTTCTGATCCGTATAGCAGAACTGACTTGATGTCGTTTGTATTGAAAATCCGAATTTTGTTGTTGATGCTGAGTGACGAAGATCTCCAGATTGGTTTCAGGTTGATGAATGTGTTTCTCGCCTTCCTGATTCTCGATATGACATCCTCATCCGTTCCTCCTGTAGTTGAGAAAATGCTCCCTAGATAAGTGCATGAATTTAATTGCCCTTAATTTTTTCATATATATCGCCTTGACAAGTAAGTGTGTGATCAGATTGTTCAAAATGTATAGCGCAAATACATCACATTTTTCAGATAATCTCCGTCTTCTAATAACACTATCCAAAAATAGTAGCACAATTTCTTCATTCAGTGTCTGAACACCGAACATTTGATTATGTATATATATATATATGCTGTATGGAAAAGGAAGACACAAAGATATAGCTTCTATCGCACATAACATTACACAGATGAAAAAAACAAAACAATGAATATGACTTTCTTTTTAACCAACAGAATTTCAAACTTACAGGCGTTATCTGCTTTGTTGAAATTTCGCCAACAGGATCATTGTCTTTTGTTTGTTTTTCATTTTTAAGATCAGCATGAAAAGAGCGCATATGTTTACGAAGTGAACTTGGATCAGTATAAGCTCTATGATCATCACAGATTTGGCATACATATGGCCTTGGACGAGATTGATTAATCTTGTCTTCAATTTGTAAAGCAGATAAACCAGAAGAACTCCAATCATTATAAACACCGTCACGTGAAGACTGTTCAACTTGTGCAGCGTTAGTTTCTTTATGACGATGCTTTTTCATGCATTGAGATCTTTCTGAGGTTCGAGAGTAGGCTCGATGACAAATTTGACAGGTATATGGTTTTAAACCTAAACATTTGGAATGAATTATCAGGTCTACATTGTAGATTGCATAACACTTAAAATACAATGAGAATAAACAAATCAAGCATTTTTTTTGATTGCACACTAGTCAGTAACTAGTGTAATGCGTCTAGTCCTATCTTCGGCTTCCTGCCGATTGCCTCCAACCATCTAATACCAAATCAAGCATTTTTTTTCAAGATAATTAGTAATGATATGATAAGAGTCGGTGGTCCAGAGGTAGAATGCACATCAACCACAAATATGGTCTGGGGTTCGATCTCCCGTCGACGCACACCTGAGCCTCACTAAGCCGGTAATAAATCCTGTAAAGAGGGAAGGTTGAACTTGTGGCTAGCCACGCCACTCCATGGTAATAAAACCATTGCTATTAAAACTCCAAAACCCAAGCTTGAAGCCTTATTTTCCACTAGGAACGCAAAGGAATAGATAATAAGAATATCGTAAGTATTGGTATAACCGTCGTCTACCAAACTAATCGCTCATTTTAAGAGATGCAAAACTTTACAGAATTACACTCTTCAAAGCCTCCTTGAATAGGCATATAAAGCCGATGAATCAAACTATTACAGATGTACTCCTGACGTGTTATGTAATCAATGTGAAGTTGATCACTAATGATTCGATGGTATCAACAAATTAAGTAATAAAATACGCTTAGAAGTAGATAAAAGGAAGTATTGTTCCCGTGTTAGCTTTTCATTAAAATCCTTCACAGATTAAACTGGATGACAGAAAAAGTGAAAACGCACAAATCAGCCTACAAGTCTACAAGACACTGAACCTTTTTTTAAATTACTCTCCCCCAATACTCTGTGTAACCTATTAACAACAACATTGGCTTATTTCTGATTGTCTACAGTTAGACTTAGAGCAGATATCCAGTGATTTAAACTAACCTTTTAGGAGGATTATCGAGATAAGAAACAACTTTTTGTACTCTCCAAGTGCCAGAGGACTGACGCCTATGACAATACAGGATGAAATAATTTATTGGTTTCATCTAATAGGTGAGTCAATGGGAAATAATATCAGTACACTGGAACAAAAAGGAATGATGTGAATTATATGTAGGAGAAGATCATCAACGATATCACTTTTCGGTACCATATCATGACGTTCCTCAGTGGAACATAGGGCTTCAAGCCAATGGCGTGAAGTTTCTGTAGCAGTGTTTATTTTACAGGATGGGGTTGCTAGCCTCATGCCCAACCTTTCCTCTTTAGCAGCATTATTTCTGGCTCAGCGAGGTAAAGGACTCCGTCGGCCAGTGATCGAACTCCGAACCATGTCCATGGTCGGCGAGCGTTCTAACCGCTATACCACCGAACCAACCAGGAACCGATTGTGAAACAAATAGGCAGGAAGAAATGGAGGTGGATTGGCTGGCCATACTCTTAGGAAACCATCAAGTGACATCACTAGACAAACCCTTGAGTGGAACCCGAAAGGGAAGCGGCGAGTTGGTCGTCAGTGCAAGGGTGACTTGGAGGAGGTCATGTGAAGAGGAGATGAAAACGTGTGGGCAGACATGGAGCCAGGTGAAGACTCTAGCAGAGAACAGAACGCAATGGAGACGCACGGCTGAAGCCCTATGTTCCTGTAGGATTAAAGGATACCACCGACGCATATGACTTACTTTACCCTATACGATTACTAACCGTAGCTGATAGCTAGTACACAGTAAATGGATCCTATGTATATAAGTGCGCTTCGACATGGTTCATTTTAATAGCCTGTTGTTACCTTCCCTCGATACTGAAGATCGGATGGCTAGTCAGAAAGCATAAGCAACAAGGAACTCTCACAACATACCCACCAAGAACCGATTGCCCAATAAATATGCAGGAGGAAATGTAGATGGATTGGACATGCGCTGAGGTGACCTTCAAGTAACATCACATACCAGGCCCTCAGATGGAACTCGAATGGGAAATGACAAGTTAGGCGTCCGAGGGTGGCATTGAGGTGATAGTATGATGAAGAGGAAATAAAAGCTTATGGACAGTTGTGGAGTCAGTTTTAAAAATAAAAAAGGCTGCAGCGAACAGACGGAAGTGGCAATGTGCTGACTAAAGCCCTATGGTCCAATAGAAATCCAAAGAACCAATAATGATAATAAAATGCGAACAAGTGTATATATAATATACTAACATACCTAAATGCATATTCATATGTCTTCTTAAATTTTCTTTTGAACTGAAACTTTTCCCACACTGTGAACATGATAATGATAGATGATTTTTGTGCACAAGTGAATGATGTTTTAAATGAGTTCTGAAAATAAGATAATAAGCTAATGTAATTAGGAAGGGGTTTTTATTCCAATATTAGTTATTAAAAGATCCTATGATAAAAATTCATTCGATACAGGTGCATAGAATGAAATTAGTAAACAAAGACATGCTAACAGAAGTGGTTATGAGGCATTACATCTGTGTTAGGGTTAATAATGCTCCCTACATTCACAATGAATAACAATTCGAATCCGAGAGCTAATCTTTGCAAGTTAAGGTACTAGATTCAATGAGTCAAACCACAATAACAATGAACTGAAATAATCAGTAAATAGACAATATAACTCATCATGTTAAACAAAACCAAATGACTATACCTAAGGAGTTATCAATGCTCAAATTGTATGTTCCTGAATAATCCCTATCGAAGCAATTATGAAAAAAGCAAGTAGCTCAACAAAGAGGATGTTTTCCATGATTTCACTGTATCATAGAAAAATAACTCATAAGAGTCTGTAATCATCTAAGAAATCAACATCGAGAACAACTAAAACAGCTGAGGTGTAACAAAGACCTAACAATAACCCGCGCTGACAAAGGTTTAGTTCTTATGCATCAAAAAGCCTATAGGGAAAAAATGACGAACATACTATCAAAGAATAAGTTTTCGCAATTTCCCAACGGAGGAGATGAAACAGACAATATTGAAGAACAGCTTACGGATGCTTTGAGAAGAAAGCAAGTCAGTCAGTTAATTAATCATGATATTTATAAAGGCATTCGATCAACAGGCTGAATAATACGAAGGCTTTATGGTTTATCAAGGATTCATAAACCTGGTCTCCCATTTCATCCAATTCTGGATATGTTCAGATCCCCTTAATATTCAGTTACAAAGTAGTTAGCTGATATTCTAGAACCCGTAAGGATATAGATGCACATCTACTCGCTTTGTAACACTTCATTTCGTCTATTGCATATATAAGTCCCGAGTAACCCTACCAGGAAGTCTACACCTTCCTACGTGGCTTAAACTAACTGACGTGGATTTCATTGACTGATGGTTTGATCACCACTAGCCAACTATTTTCCAACCTGATCCATCCTATGTCAGCCAATATTGCTTATTATCGAGGAAAGTGGTGGCTAGCAACGAATGCGTAACACACGTTCTAACCATCTCAACCGATGTAACTTCAAAAACTCGTCGATGGACTTTCCTTTCTTACTTAGCATTCAACGCCCAAGCTCAATATTCCTCACCTTATTATACCACTTAACACAGGAGATACAACGAAGACACCTATGACCAAAGACAACTAGCCTTTTCATGTCTTCCACTTTCAATGGCCATGTCTTGCTCACAGCCATAGGAGGAGTATAGAGCGGATTGCTGAGCAGCACACACGCCCTTTGGTCGATAGCCAGTCCTATACCACGTCTACGCCATAGATGGAATAAGTTGGCATATACCAAACGAGCCTTCTGTATCCGTGCTGACATTTCGTCAGCGAACAACCCACTGGCACTGGCTGATGCAACTTCCTAATCAAGTGAGGTCGTCAACATGCTTTACCACTTCACTCCCTATTTCTAAGCTAAGGATCAATGTAGTCCAGTCCTGTAACATCATCTTACATTTGACAGGAGCGAATCACATGCCAAACATTCGAAGATTGATACTCCTCAAGGTGTCTTAGAAGACTGCAATTTGTCAGCGTCTTCACATATAAGGAGTATATCACCTGCATATTATAAGTCAACGAGATTATACCGTGAGTCACTGAAGTCAGTTAGGGTTAAGTTCATTAGCTCATCTATGATGAAATTAAACAGAAATGGGGCATCCCTGACGAAAACCACCGGTTGTCACCACTTCAGATGACAACTTTCCATAAGCTTTTACCTGGCTGACTGCATGAGTTCGAGTAGATTGTCCTCGTCAGTGCGGTGTATTTTCTCAATATTCAGTTCACAGCCAAACATCGCCATAGTACCTCTCGATCGACGGAATCGAATGCCGCTTTCAAGTCAAGAAATTTGACGATTGTTGGATGCCGGTAGGCATGCCTATGTTTCAGAATCTGTCGAAGGCTGAAGATATGATCGATACACCCTATTCTTGGTCTAAAGCCTGCCTGATTTCCTCGTGTTTGTTTTTCCAGAGCACCACTTAATCTACTCATGATTTTTGAGCCTATAACTTTAGATACGATATTGGTCAAGTTAATCTCCGTTCTTCTATAACGGGACAGCGGGACTTCCACTGATTGCCAGAAGCTGACTAATATATTAGTTAACGCAGACAGTAAACTGTCTACACCGTCCTTGAACACCTCTAGAGTCATTCCATCAGGTCCCGCAGCTTTGCCTCATTTCAGACTAGTGACAGAGTTTGTTACCTCAATTAGGGACGGAGGACCTGTGTTTATATCAGGGGAGTGTTGGATACTGGGTTTAGATCATCGTGGCTGTAGGCCAGTTAAATTGCTCCTCAAAGTGTTCTTTTCAACTATCCAGTCGTCTATCCTGAGAGTTAATTATGACGCCATTTTTCTGGGAGGTTATCTCACTTATCGTTTACCTTTTGCCTCCTGTTTCCCTGATAAGTCTAAATGGTTATCTAGTGTTACCAATCGCCGATGCCTTTTCCATCTCTTGCACTTTTGTCATCCACCACTGTTCACAGTCGTTGAGAAGACTTCTTGTCAGTTTGCGTTTGAGCAGCTTTCCCTCATCATATTCAGAACTCATCATAATTAGTCTTATTGCGTTAATCAGTTCGGATGAGGCAGTAGAAATCCACTGGCTTCTGTTAACTTTTGGTTCTAGGTTACTAACAGCGTTTGAAATTTTGTCTACAGCTAACTGTGTATTGTGCCAGGTTTCCTGGGGAGGAGTCTTGCTGTCAACCTCAGATACTCGTTTCGCTATTTCTTCCTTCCTTCTTTCTCTGTGTCTTGATCAAGTTGGGGACGTAACCGCTTCACTGCTAACAGCTTTCTATGTCCATTTAATCGTAAGCATAAACGTGAGTGAATCCAAATTCAGAAACATGAGACAGTTTGTTCCAAAAAAGAACCTTAACATGAACTTTGATTTCAAGGTTGACCGAAACTGTGATATCCATTAACAGCAGAATTCCAACAAATTTGAAAAGAAGATTTTACATGACAAATCCTATGTTGGCAAATAGAATCAATCACTGAATGGTTAGAATTATTTTTTTTTCAAAGATAAACTGATACTAAAGAAGTGGAAATACTTATCATTACTCTAAAAACTGTGTAGACATTTGATCTTGAAATGTATACCCTACATAAAAATTATATCCAATAGAGTTAATTAATCACTGGCTAACTAGATTATGCCCAAATTAAAAAAATTCCTTATCACTGCCTATCAAAAGTACACTACTAGATATAAAACATACTTTAATTTGATTTTTAATTTGATTTACAGCTTGATTCCACACCGTATTTTCAGTACAAGTGTGGAATTTTCAGCATGGATATCGGTAGCCCAAATTCAGGCCGACCATAGATATCGGGTGTGCGCCGGCAGGGGATCGAACCCCGGACCATGTGCATGGTCGGCGAGAGTCCTAACCACTGTGCCACCGACGCTATTGATTTTCGATAATGAGAAATATGTAGCGACAATTATATGGAACAATGTAACATTGGTCCTTTCAACTTTTTGCACTGCTCCGTGTACTTAGACGACACATAAAGGTATTACATACCAGAATATGGAGAGATAAAAAGTCACAGTTATCACAACAACTTGAATAAAGTATCAACAGTTTCTTCCATTAAAAAAGTTGACAAATTTGCTACACAACAGATTATATGTACAAAACTTTTGATTTCAACAGTATTGTTTAGTAAGTAAGATTCATAAAAGATTATATATTTAAGTGATGACTTTTACAAGAATGTATAAGAAAGTAACCCCGTAAACTTTTGATATCAGCATAGGTATAATAAATCATGAATTCCATAAAAGTATTATATAAAAGTAGTAATGAAAAGTAGAGATTGACTGACTAAATTTTATGTGATTAATTATTTTAAATGTATTTAAACACTTATTTCATCAGATAATAATAAATTTACGTGACTACAACTTTATTTTCTGACTTATTACTCATTACTGAATCAAATTTTCTTATTCCTTTACGTCCCCAATGGGCTTCAGGCTAGAAAGCTTTGACTTTTCGGTAGTAGTGGTGTTTGGTTTTACGAGGTGGGTTGCTAGCCTCATAGCCAATCTCCCTTCATTACCGGCGCAGTGAGGTAAACGAGTGCGTCAGCCGGAGATTGAACCCCGGACCACATGTGTGGTAGGGGAGGGGGCTGACTTAATACCTCCAGTTATTTATTTGTTTCCAGAAGTAATTAACTGTCTAGAATGCTATTACAATTTCAATGTATGATGATATGCCAGGTGGATAGTTTGACTAACATAGAACCTGGTGAACAAGTGGATCAGTTTAGGTTAGTACTTTTCAAAACGTCAAACAGAGGAAACACAAAATATAATAGAGGTATAACGGACAAACAAGGGTAATGAGAAGAGATAGAACAATGAAATACAGAATATTGATAGCGCTCAAACTCTTGATGGTAAAGAGAGTGGATATATATCTGTGACTCTGAGAATTACTAGCTCTTGACATATTTTAACATATTGTTAGCAACTCAACATGGAGATTTACAACTGCCTTGTAGCACAAAACAAGTTATGAATTCCATTATGGAGAAAATTTTATTTTGGTAAAGTCTCACAGTGTTATACAGTGATATTTACTGATGACGTTATGAAATCAAGAAGGCTGTTATTAGGTTTTGGTTTAGTCACCTGTAATCTGTTCTGGTTTAATAAACTTATATGCAACAGTAGTCGCTATGTGTACTCAAAACATGTAAACACTTCAGTAGATGAAGATTTACATCTTTATTGACTGAACTAATTTTTTTATCGAGTACTCTATCTCTAAATTCATTACTCACCATGTTGTTCCACGAAAAGCAAGTTATGCTAAGGGGATACTTGTCAACTTGATCATTAATAATAGATAGCCGTGTATCTTGTAGGTATCAGAAATAACACAAACTTGGGGTGTAAAATGGTTCTTTTGCATCCAAGTTAATGCAGAACCTCTCTAAGAAACTGAAGTATTTAGTAGTTTTAATTACTTCACTCCTTGTTGAGAAAGGTTAGCAATTTGGAGATTGACACGACATCAACTAACTTGTTATAAATTTCCATTACAAGCTTTATATGATAATATTCTAAAATAGAATAACTGCAAATATAGCATTTTAGAAAAGAAAATGACTACAAAAGAACCAAAGGATTTACATTCTACTATATGATGATAATAACTTAAAGATTTAAAGAAAAAACTCCAATATGGAAAGATTACCTTTGCTTAAGGGGTTTTTTGTTAACGAATCTTGGGCATTGAGGCAAATCACAATAAACTACATTTTCAGTGTTGTTATGTTTTGCTTGCTTTGAACGTTTCTTACAATTCAAATTTACTGATTTGCTAACAGATGTAGAACAAAGATTAGTACGACTTTCACGCTGGAATCAAAAACAAAAACAAAACACGAAAAATGATCAAAGTACTTGCGAAAATTTAAGAAGTAACGATTATATATATCGGAGGAATCTAAAGCTTTTGCAGTGTATTTAGCGCCCACATAGCACATATTATTTATTATTTTATTCCTTTACGTTCCCAGTGGAATATAGGGCTTCAAGCTAGAGGTTTGAAGTATCGGTAGCAATAGTTCTAATTTTACGGGGTGGGGTTGCTACCCTCACCCCCGACTTTTCCTCTTTACCACCGACCTTACTACCGGTTTAAAGAGGTGTAGGAGTGCGTCAACCGAGGACCGAACTTTGGAACCCCTGCGTGGTTGGCGAGCTTTCTACCGCTGAACCACCAACGCATCATACACCAAACACCATAACCACTAATACTTTCTGTACTTATCTGAAACACGTGGAAACAACATTCTCAAAATAAATCTGGAATACAATATAAATTCAGAAAGCACAACTTAAATTAAATTAAAAATACGTTAAGGCATAGATTTCATCATGAACTAATATTAGCGAAGAAACCATTGAGAACTAAGGATTACACAACAGCTGTTTACTGCTAGCTTGAGAGTCTTCACTAGTGCATACCCACAACTCTGGTAGGACTGAAAGTTACCGAAATGTTGCTACGCTACTCAAATAAATTAGATTAAATGTGTTCTAATACTAATTTGCTTATTATCCTATATACATATTGAATAACTTAGCAACATATCGTTTACAGTCAGCCCTCTGGTAGAGGTTAAACTCAAAAGAAGTAAGCTACTAACCGGTCACTAGATTTTAATCCAATGATGAAATAATTTACTGATATAGCCAATTCGATAGTTTGCCACCGAGTTCATACCAGCTGTGTACCAGATTGTCTCAAACCACAGAGTTGAATTAATCCAAACCATCTGAATTCTAACTGGTTGATATGCGCAATGCAATCGATCATTTGCATATTATACAGTTTGAGGAGAAAATTTATAATAGTTTTCCTTGAAAACTCGAAATATTCAGATCCCTACAAATGGCATCATGATAGCAAGCGAGACTGCAAGATGGAATACAGTACCGATCGATATGTATAGTTGGAAAACATACGCACATCAACCAGTAATGCTTGCAAGCCAGATTAAAGCTTATCAAAAACCAACAGTCAGTTGATTCACACATGTTAGCTTTATAGACAATTACAGAGGTTCAACAAAGCCGAATGTATCAATTTTGTGTATACATCAGAATCTAATATTTTTTCAGTGGTCTCTTTATGATACTGTTTTGTGATAAAGTTTATCCTTATCTCAATCAAATGTTCATTAAACCCTACAAATGAAGATTACAATCAAACAAACAAGTATGGGACTTTCTGAGAGGGTCATCTATTGTTTTCCCATGCACTACTTTTATTATTATCCTTTCTGAAAGAATTTATCCCTAAAATTTATAAATACATATTTAGTTTTGTCATTTACATTGATGTGAGACCGTTATATAACACTTTCTAAATGAACACATCTTTCTATCCATTTCAAAACACAAACTGAAAGTGCTTACCGTATTTGTTATTAAGCTGACTATGAACAAAAATGCTATTTACCCTCTGAAAACTAAGTAATAAAGGTAATCTGTATTTTGAGAGCAATTTTAAATAACATGCTAATCATCATCTTTAGTGTGTTTCAAGAATTGGTGAAAGTAATCTATTTCACCAACATTTATACGAATTTACTGTCCTTAGTAAAGAAGTCGTTTGATTTTACTGGAAGATCTTTGTAACGCCTATTAATCAAAAGTAACTTCTTTTAGAGACAGTTGGAATCAAAAGTTGAAATAATGCGCTAAATCACGAATTAGTAGAGGTTAGAATTCATGAGTCATTGAATCGGGTCCCAGTGGTTGAATGGTATACAAGCTTGCCTTGTAACCGGAAGGTCCTGGGTTCGAATCCCAGTGGGTGCGTACTGCCGATGATTCCCAAACTAGGATGAAACAGCTGTCCAGTACTCCCTGGTTTTCAATGGTTCTCTAACTGATATCAATCCGTGATCAACTCGTAAAAGATGAAATTCTAAACTGTTTTATTTTTCCGAATGGAAGATAAAGCTTCAAGCTTTGAAGTTCCTTACGCCCAATATCCCTCTCTTCTGGGCTTAACATCGGCTAGTGAATTAGGTCAGGATTCAGAAGACGTCGGCCAGGAATCCAACCCGGGTCATATATGCGGTTGGTGAGTATTCTACCACTGAACCACTGACGCGCAAACTGGTAGTCTTCAGAATAATTCATTCTCCACATTATTTCAAATAAGAGCAAATAGGCGTGGAAACAAAAGCTGAAGTCGTCCACCGAATACGGTAACTGTTCATGTTAACCTCTAGTAAAACTGAAATCGATTAGTCATTTTTCACTTTCGATGTTTATCGAAACTCAGCTTGTAAATTTCGTTCCCTTCATTGAAATATTTTTAAAAATTTTTATCAGAGTTGGTAATCCAGCTTTTAAAAGGACAATCTAAATGTAACTAATGTACCTAACCAATAGCTGATAATGAACACTAGATAACTTAGCGTCTTTATTACCAAAGCAAAACATGGAAACTAAATAATATGTGAACGGAAAGTCATATGACATGTAAACTTACATGATGACTAAAAGTAGCAATTGGAGGTAAACAGGCCTCTAAATCCTCTTGAATAACCAATAACTTCTGTGAATCACATTTTAGCGTAACAGATTTTTTCCGACATGATAAGTCTTGAGGAAGCCCAGGAGAAGGTGTATAAATATCTCTGTAGAAAATAATAGTATAAATACAAGTAATCTACTACTAATGCCTCCATACGTGAAAGTAATATCTATACGAAATTTATCTATTGGGTAATAAACTCGTAAATTGTAACACTAAGCAGTCTTAAAGAATTTAATTAGTGAAATTTCAAACATAGAAATTAAACCACTAGTTTCACATCTACTACTAACAAGGATACACATAAGTAGCATGCACTACAGTGTCTAGACAATGGAAAGAGATTTGATATTTAACCGGTAGATATTATATTGAAAGAAACAAAAGGAATAGCATGAATAAGTACAGAAGACATGAGGGAGAGTTGACAGAAACAAGACAACTTACCTTAGCCAAACAACGCGGATATTATTTGCACAAATTGGATTGAGTAATAAATTGTGCAATTTTATCACATTCCTTGTACTGGCTAACTTTAGCTTTTTTGATCTAATGATACAGTAGACATTTCCAAACCAAGTTCATATTTTAATGATAACGTTTCATGTGTTCAAATCAACAGAAAACTACTAACAATATAAAGATTGAAGCTGTTGCAGTACGATGAACGTATGATCAATGTACAAGCGTATGCATAAAAGCCATTCCTACTGCTTTAGGTTAATTTCTAGTGTTTTTCTTTTTACTTAACATTATACTGTGCACAAAATTTTAAGAAACAAGTGTACACCGTTAAATGACAAAAGGATTTTTACGAGTTGATCATGGATTGATATCAGTTAGAGAACCATTGAAAACCAGGGAGTACTGGACAACTGTTTCATCCTAGTTTGGGGATCATCGGCAGTACGCACCCACTGGGGTTCGAATCTAGGACTTTCCGATTACAAGGTAAGCTCGTATACCATTCAGCCACTGGGACCCGATTCAATGGCCAGCCCATGAATTCTAACTTCCATCAATTTGTGACTTAGCGCGACCCCAACCAGTGGCTGAATGGTATACGAGCTTGCCTTGTAACCGGAAGGTCCTGGGTTCGAACCCCAGTGGGTGCGTACTGTCGATGATTCCCAAACTAGGATGAAACAGTTGTCCAGTACTCCCTGGTTTTCAATGGTTCTCTAACTGATATCAATCCGTGATCAACTCGTAAAAACAAAACTAACCCTTACAAACCAAACTATTTTTTTCCTTCACGTTCCCCAGCCACGTTCAAGCTAGTGGCTTGAAGTTTCGGTAACAGTGTTGTTTATTTTGACGGGATGGGGTTGCTAGCCTCATGTCCAACCTTTCCTCTTCACCAGCATTATTTCTGACTTAGCGAGGTAAAGGAGTGCGTCGGCCGGGGATCGAACCCCGGACCATGTGCATGGTCGACGAGCGTCCTAACCGCTATACCACCGACGCACTAAACCAAACTATAGAAAAGGATTTTCGAAAAAGGCCTTTTGTGAAGGTAATTGAACGCGATGCATACATGTCAAGCTGAAAACATACAATAGTATATATTTCTAACCAATACACAAAGCCAAATGAAACTTACCTCATACTACGGATAAAATGACGACGGTCTCACTGTGATTTCAAAGTTTTACGGTAGTACAGGTTAGGTTAGAAATGTAATTCTCCTCTTCTATAATACAAGATAGCGGAAAAAATTAACAGATAATTAGCATAGAAAGTGCAAAACCAGTAAATCTATGTTTCATACGATAGTTTACGAAATATTATCTCACAGTGAGAAAGATGATTATCGTGAAATGGAAGTGCGACCTTAACAGGAAATAAACTCCATTACGCCTAACACACCAAACGTACGATTTAAAACATAAGAATCGCTTAGCTATTTTGGAGAAAATTAATGCTTATGAGATTTTGTAAAATTAATTAACATTAGAACAAAAAGTTATATAAAAGCAGACATATCAGGTTAGAATCCTTCACGAAAGAATACCAGTCCGATTTCTCACACTTATCAGAAACACTAAACAATTTGCTGAAATGAAATGATAGCAGAACAATGAATGATAAGGATAATGAAAGGTGTATACAGTACTAGACTATTGAGACTAAATAAACATTATGAGTGAATACATTTGGACCTCGATTTGCAACCATTTGATTGAATACTGCTTCTTTCCATCTTGAAGACTCCAATTAACTAACCTACACCACTGTATATATTGTTTACTTCCATGAATTTTAAGACACCTAAGTTCAGTTTGTTTAGCTTTACTCTAATAAAACCTTACTTCAGCCAGGATTACACATCATGGTAAACGCGGGTTGAACACGTCATTCATGACCAGATAGTAGAAACTAGCGATATCGAATGACGTCAATCTTAATTGCTTTTTAACTTCTGTGAAGAGCAGTAAGATATTTTTTAAGCTTGAGTATTTTTCCATAATATTTATGCGTCTAACATGAAATTGCCTTTTAAAACCACAGAAGCTAAATAGACATATCATCGTAAACCTTTACACAGACATACAATTGTTAAGTCTTCAATACTTTACAGCAACTTATCTAAAAGACGCGAACAAAAATAAGTGTGGAAAGGAAGAATAATGAAATGCCAACGTTTTGAATTTTGAAGCTGGTTAAAAATAAATACATCTCGCGATTGAAGGTGATCTCAGCCACGTCACAGAGTCACTAATTCAATTACTTCAGCCAACCGACTTGCATTTGCCTGAATTGTTTAGTTTTGACTTTCATCAGTAAAGCGCATCAGCACAGTTGAGTAAAATCAAATCTCTTTAAAGATATCACACTAAGAGACTCATGTCTCTAAGGTGTACTGCAATGCGCCCTGCCTAGCTTAATCATTACACGGTACAACTGACTGTTGAATTTTTGTCAGCACATTAAACAAATACACTGGCTACCATTTGATGACTTATCTATGGCTAAAATTGTATTCAGACTTGATTCACCTAATTTTTGCATCAAAAGAAGGAATAGTAGTAGCGATAAGGAAAATAGGTGGACGGGGAATTGGCGTAAGATTGCACACACATTTTAGAGTTACAGCTAAGTTTCTTGATTCGGTATAACAACTAATATTGTACTTTTGTCAGGAGGTAAAAATACCGTTCAACCATCCTGTAGGTAATTAAATAACAGAGAGACATTACAGTGCTGAATAAGTTCTAGCACTCAGACGCCTTAGTAGCACACCACAAAATAGAATCAAGATGTTAACAAGTGTGATATATATTTATATGTATATAGGAATTCAGTAGTCATGGCGTTAAACACAAACAAGTAATTTCTACTTTCTCAGCGCGCTTGTGGTTGCAAATTCAATATCTTCTTAAACAAAAGAAACATTGAAGGTCTGTCAGTCCTAGACCAAAACCCAATGTTCCTTTCGAGTAGATACGAGATACTATTACATATAGGATAACTTGTTAAGTTAAATAGTTGGGTATGAATAATGTATTGTCCAACCACGGAATGCTAGCAAATTTAACTGACCTGCAATCTTCACTTGTAACTTTTTTCCTGTTTTTGGACTACACTACTTGGAGTTTCCGATTTGCACTTCATATCATATCAAAACAAAAGCCAACTATGAATGATGAGACAGTTTAGCTGCTCCACAAAGCTGAAGCTTTAATCTCGAAAGCAAATTTAACTGGAAAACAACAGATATAGCTTACAGATGCTTGTACATAGCTGTAATGCACTTATTCTGCAATGTCCAATTCATTTTATCTACATTCACCTCTCACGTGTGTAATCTTTGGTAATCTCATTAACCAAAGTTTTTCATAGCGAATTTGTATTGAGCTTTAACTGTCGTGAATTTTTGAGAGAACACCGATACAATTTTCGCCGCTCATCGCTAATTATGGTCATTAGAAAGATTTTGTGAACACATCTGAAGCAGGTGTTTAGTGATAATGTATACTTGCTATTTAGATATAACGAATCGGCCTTGAGTATGTAGACAGCCTCATCTTGCAGTGTAGCAGCGTACTACTAGAAACTACAAACACTATATCGACTTAACATATAAGGAATTGGGATTGCTGTGACAGCTGCTGAAAACTAGATGTGTGCACTACTACACAAGCTATCTGCACTTGCCATCTGGCCTGGATGGTAAGCAGGAAAACTATGAATATAGGTTTTGAATGCAATAGCTTTTATTGAGTAGTGAGCCATTTCAGGTCACAGACATATGAAATCACTATTGTAAGTTCTGAATTACAAGTACCAGCTTGAGAAAAATAACTACACTTAAGAATTAAGATTAATTCAATTTACTTAAAATTAAAATGCGAATACAATGCGCTCCTTGAAGTTTTTATCTAAATACCAGGGTGAGAATAGGTGCATATGACAATGTTGTCCTCACCTGCACTACACCCGCAAATTCAGGTGCATCATTTTACCAAGACCACTAGAATATACGACAAGTGTTCTGTAAGTAAGTCATGTGTCGATAGGCAATAAACATCTAGTTGAACCGACTGCTTCAATCTATGTAGGATTAAAACATTGAATTCGTCGGTTAGAGTCACAGACAATTTAAACGCCTTTGAACAAGCCATGGAATTTGTAAGATTTTAAGTAGGATGGAATATCTAAGAGATTTATTTTATTACACGGTTGATTTTTAAACTTTTTCATTATTCTACAACTGCATGACAAAAACTACATCAAACTTAGAACGGTTTAGACTTGGAGTCAATAAACTAATAACTAATGCGGAATTCAAGTGTTATAGACTAAAACGACTGTCTTTCCACATTAATTTATTTATTAGATATTTCGCAGTGAAACAGTATTATTTACTGGATGACATTTCGAACACAATTTATTGTTCATAATCATATCAATTATAACTACACAACTTCGGAACATTCGTTTTATAGTTGTTTTTGTTCCTTCCTATTCGTCTTAGAGGTAGCAGAATTTACCAGATGTCCGAGACAAGTGTTGAATCATTCTTGTTGCATTTATTTTCAGTTGATTTGATAGATAAAGCTTCTATTATAACTTTCGCTCCACCCTGTCATATTAGGTTTTAAAACTGTCACATCTTATTGTGTGTAATTGGATGCAGTACTATAGCTGAGCTGTGCTCTGGATTTCTTATCTTATTCGGGTAAACTAATCTAGATTTCGCTAGTTTTTTGCGGTTTGCTCCCCGTTCTACTACTTTAACCTAACAATCACTGCACGGTATTAGATAAACTAAAATTTTTTGTTTAGTGGGCTACACAGGATCCTTCAACTGGATAAGTTTGTTTCTAAGTGAGTTTGTGGGTTTCAATGCCACTTTTATTCCTGCGTGAGGTTTCCGAAATTCCTCTCTTGTATAGAAGTACTAATGATGGTTTGAATTCCTTATTTTTGGTGTGGTCCTCATCCTGCGCATGTTCGTCATTATTATTCATTTTATTTTCACATTTTCCTACGTACTTTTTGATGAATTTATCAGGCTAATTTTTGAGTCTTAGAGCTTCCTGTCTTAGAGATTTTCCCTGGTACTAATTAGCTTTTCTGTCCCATTACTTAGACCTTTCACCAATCCTGTTTTTACTGACATGAGGTAGAATGAAAAAAGTCCAAATATCGGCTTGAATGCGTGGGTTTCCCTTGAACACTAGCGTTTAACTTCCCATCATCTTTTCTTTTTATGTTAGAATCCAACATTGGAAGATCCCCTTTCTGATTTTTTAATTCATAACTGAACCAAATTACCTCTACTTTCGAGTTGATGTGTTTGAAAAATCTATTAGTATCCCATTTTATTATACTACCCATAAAACGAAGAGGAAGGAATAAAGAGTAAAGAGTTCCGAAGTTGTATAGTTATAATTGATATGATTATGAACAATAAATTGTGTTCGAAATGTCACCTAGTAAATAATATTGTTTCACTGTGTGATATATATAATAAACAAGTTAATATGAGATTACATATTACCATAGTGCCCGAGTTTTACACATTTTACAACGACTGTCTGCTGAAGTTGACAGTAAGAATGAAAGATCGCATCTTTATAGAATTGGCTTTCTAAGTGCGATTTATTCCCAACCAGACTAATGTTTTACGGAAAGTGATAATGGCAAAGATGGCTAATTTCACTTCTCAGTAAATTATACAATTAGTGCGAAAAGGTAACAGTGCCGCAATCCACTGAAATGTACTTTTAAGTTTCACATTCCTTAAACATCAAGTAAGATAAAAACTCTACACAAAACATACTACTCTTTTTAGAAAAGCAAGTTGAAAAATGAGTTATGTATATTCCTGACTTTATGCATTTGAGTGTGCCCGCAACCTAAGCAAAAATACAAAACGAAACAAGAGCTCTTTAATTTTTGTTATGAAAGTAGTCATGAAGTTTTACACGATTTGGAAGAGAAATAGACTTTTTATTAGTAGTGTCTGGGTTAACCAAAAGTGCACAGTTCATTAAATATGAGTACAGTTGTGGTGAAAATTGGTATGGTGAAGCAGGAGAATTGTGGACCGTGACATTCTCTAGCCTTCGAAAAGTTTCGATGGAGTCATTAATACTTAGATTATGCTGAGTGTATTTATCATATATATCCTCTTCAGGCGAGTCACTAAACAGCATAGCATACTTTTCGAAGCGACCAGGAGAGTGATGATCTTTGACGACGACATCCCAGTCCTTTGGGTGAGGGAGATTAGGATTCCCATTCGCATATATCAGAAGGTTAACCTTACTGTCAGTAAATAGCCATAACAGATTATTGGGTAAGAGGTCGAGGACTGTTGACTGCAGCGTTTCAGTGCTTTCATGACTACGAAGTGAAATCTCTTTTAAAAACGACAAAATATGTCCCCAGCGTTTAGTCACACGTGTGTCGTGAATCAAAAGCCGTTCCATGCTTGTAGGTCTGTAAAACATAGATGGCGATTTGCGGTTGAAAACCTTTCGTACACCATGACAAGTGATTGGGAAATAATTCGCAATATCGTCGAAATCCAAAGGCTTATCATTATCCAACAAGAAGGCAATTTGTCGCTTAGCCTTCCAAGTAAGAACAGATGACTCTAAGGGATTTCTGATACATTCAATTAAAAATGATAGCAAACATACTCGGAATACTTTTTAGAAAGCACGGATAATTTATGCTTTCGTCTTTCATGCAGCTCTGCTTCCTGTAAAGCACTCACCGGTGGTTTAAAATTTTCCCCAACGAGTGAGTTTTCAAGGAGTTCAGCGGCTTTTGTATAATCTTCAAAATCATCATCACCCACAGGGAATTTTTTCCTTTTTGAAGCAAAACGACAGGGTAGTATCATAAATGGTAGGAGCGTAACATATTTAGAGTTAAGACTCAGCATGTATTACAATGTGACCATGAGATGTAACGTTACAGAACGAAATTGACTCGAAAACAATGTCCAATATCCAATGTGTTTTGATCGAGTCAGGGAATTCACCAATCAGTAATAATTCTGCATAATTCATAAATCGTTGTCAGGAGGAATTTTAAAAATACTGTGCAGCGTGTACCTAAGTGTAAAACCTAGACGAAAGAGTTCCCTTCATTCACTTTCATTTTCGTTTCATTTATCAGACACAAGTTAATTACTGATCCACAAAAATAAACGCCGCCTAGTTTTTTTCTAGGTAGTCACAGTCTCTGAAAATGGGGTGTAATAGACGCTGGGACAGTGAATCTAAATCAATCCAGTCGCAACAGAAAGTTCAAAGTAAAAGAATAATATAAAAAAGCAAGTTTATTCTTAGCTGAAGTCGAAGAGGTGAAATCATACGGACAGGTGAAAGTCTTCGAGAAGCCAGTTGGCTAACAATGAAAGCAAGAATAAGCACTGAGACGTTGGGAAGGCTATTCAGATAGCAAGACAAGTGCGAAGATATGGCAGAGAAGTACTAAGAAAATGTGACAGCTGGTGGGATGGGTGTAGAACCTTCAGATTGCTAACTGAAGAGTCAATTATCTACCCCGGTCACCTTGATGAAGACCATGAACACATTGATATCACTTAAAGCATACTAAACTCCTAAGCAGTAGGAATCCATCTCTTCCAGAAGAATGACGGTAACTTTCAACCCAAAAGGAAGGTTAAAATCACCCAGTACACACCTAAAAGCAACACAGACCTACTTCAGAAGAGAGATCTCTGCAGACATCTACAAGCAGTAATGGATAGAATCTTAAATGGTGAGTTCAAAATCTTATTGAGTGATATAAATGCCAAACTCTGACCACTAAATAAAGGAAGAGAATTCATTATATGTCGATAATCTGTCAGCGAAACGAGTGGAAAAAGAGAATACTTCGCAGACTCCTGTGCTTTCGATTATTTAGTAGCTTGTCCAAGCACAAACACAGAAATTAGGCAAAAGGGTTATCATCTGGAAGACACAACGTAAACGAGATAGATATCATCTCAATCTCAAGAAGGTGGATGTGCAGTTTTCTGGCCTCAAAATCGTAAAGGGAAGATGTGGACTCAGACCATTATCTAATACAGTGAAGAAGAGTACAGAGGAGGGTAAAAGACAATGCTACGATACAGTGGAGATTGTGGCTGAAAAGGCTACAGTTAAAAGAGACTTCAGAACACTGCATCAGATAACCAGACCTCTACCGGGAAGAGATGAACAGATGAAACAGAAGAAGGATAACCAAAGGAAGCTAGTTATGCAAGATAGGAAGCCGGAGAGACAACAGGCTGATCACTTCAGAGGTTTCCTGAACTAATCAGTAGTTTGGAAATTACTTCACCTAAATGCAGTGCCGCAAATCTTTACGAACACCATTCAAAAGCTAAGTGACAATGCCATGTGTCAGGTGATCCACAAGTGGAAACTCAGAGAAGGTTTTGGACTGAATACAGGGGTGAGACAAAGCTACCTATCACCGGTTACAATCCTAATTGTGGTGTACTAGATTGTGCTTGACGCTTTTGGAAGCCAGGAGAGGAATATTTTGGACCGAAGATGAGGCTGTAGAATTTGCCGATCGTTTATGTCGAATGTCGCACAAGCTAGGAAACTTACAGGTGAAAATCAATAAGTTGGAAGAAGCAACAAAGACAGGACTTCAAGTGAACATTGGAAAGACGGAGGTGAGGAAGATAACCAACCGACAACATAAAGATCATTAACTACCGACAGGGAAAATTTGAGAGAGGTCGCTTCTTTCGCTTATCTTCCAATTATGCCACGTGCACGAACCACACAATCATAAGGCCCATTCTCTCGATCTGTCGATGGCATTCACAGTGAACTTCGGATGACTCTGTCTTGGTAAGTGTCATGGGGTAGCGACATGAACTGTGGCAGTAGAGCACAGAGGTACTTATTAGCAGAAATGCTTTACCTATATGATCATTCCTGCCCTTCAAAGTTAGTCCGTTGCTGCGCTATTCACCATTCTTGTCACTCAAATATTCTGGTCAACATCGCATGCTACCTCATCACTATCATGTACAGTGCGGTCGGCATGAGGGTCTACAATTATGCATTATTATCAGATGTATCCTGGTTAGACTGTATCTTAAATTAGCAATACTAAGTTTCCCTGAGTTCTATACATTACTGGACTTAATCCATTTATCTACTAAACTACTAGCATTTGTTTGACAGACTTTTAATCCACTTTAATTTTGTCGCTCCATTGACTAAATTTGAAATAATGAACGATTAGTGAATGAAGCATATGTAATAATATCAAGCTCTGCCAGGAACATGCTTACCTTTGTGATCATAATTATGTGAATAATAATTACATGAGTAACTATCGTAGAAATCTCATTTAAAGTGTTTTGGAAAGGTATTTTATTTCCTTTACATTTTCAACCGTTACATTTACTCTGCCTAAAATGCACAATGTGACTTTATCCTATACAAAGCTGGTGTTTAACAAATTAGTAATGCTATAATATTATTATTCGTCCCTTGAGTTCTGAGCGAGCTATAGAGCTTCATCACCACATCTCAGTTTCACTCTGTTCTTTGTTATCTTTTTTAGCTGGTTCCACGCTTGATTACAGGATACCATCTTTTATTCACCTGATCTACTTCATGTTATCCTCAGATGGCAAACTCGTCATTTATAGTTCGGGTTCAGGCTTATAATGTCACTCACTTGTCTCATGAGGTCGGCCTATTTGTAAATTACTTAAATAAACAGACTGACTTTTCCTCAGTCCCTGAAGTGTCTATACAAGTTTGCGAAAACCGTTTTCAGTCAGCTGAGATAAGAATTTGACTGGATATCAGCAGTAACATTGTAGAGACTCTGTAGAAAGTCTTAATATGCGCCTTCGAAACTAATACATGTGCGCGTATTATCTGTTTACAGAAACTCATTTTACATATATGTGTCGCATATATGCTACGGCATTGTCGAACATTAGTCTTCGTTTGCTGCACATATATTTTGCACGGTTATACACACTTACTTTCGCTTCGGGTGCAAGGTGTGGTAAGCTGAGTGGTTTTCTTAAGTTTAAACTGCGTGCTTGTCTGATTTCATGTCGGCTGCGTGGCGTGCATGGATTGGTCTCCCAAGACGACGCGACAGACGACTAATAGGGAGATTCTTCCCCCTCACCCAATTGTAATATGGTAGGTTATGAATGCAATTCCTAACCTTAAGTCTTCGTTCTTAATAGCAAGCGGCATTGTGTGATCACCCTGCTAACGTGCGTCTTGCTCTTTGTTTCAGATCACTGCTTGACGATTGGCACTACAGAAATGGCGATCCTGCCAACGAAAAAACTTCCTACCTCTAAGTCTTTGCTCACTGAGCCTTCCAAGAACACTTGACCTGTCCAGCAGACAGCACCTAACGAGGTTGCTGATCAGCTAGCAATGCCCATGACTCAAGCCTTGCAATGAAATCAGGTCGCGTCGCCTTATGTTCACCACTTGCCACATAGAGTAGAGGTTGGTGATAACTTCAATCTATTGTCGGGCAAGTTGCGTCAGTACGTCGACCTGATGAATGTCACTCACCCGAATCCCTATGCCATCAGTTGTGTTGGATGGTCCCTATAAATGCAAATAATTGACTTAGATTATGTCCATATGACGTCGATTACCCTTCTGAGTACCCTAAGAGTACGGATAATGCTACGAGTGCCTCATATGGAGGCGCTGAAAAGACTCATTGAGTGCAACCAGAAACAAGATGAATCCATCAATCAACTCATCTTGCGTCTCCTCTATCTCGCACATCAGGCTATGCAGGAGAGGTCGAATTCAGAAGTTGAAGGATTGCTACTACTGTTGGCAGTTCAGTAAGCTCGCTAGGACCCATGTATACAAAGCATTTAAGTCAAATGTCGATGTAAAATGTATACCTACTATTAGCCTAATCGGTTTCAGCTCCTTCTCGAAAGCTGCAAGATATAAGGGTATCAAAAGTTGTGTGTTAGTTGACTCCGGAGCAACTTGTCCTGTTACATATTCCTCATACTCTTCAGAGGCCTTTAGGCCCACATTAGGGAGTCACAGGTTTAGGCTTATGACAGCCAATGGGGACTGAATGCAATCCCAGGGAGTAGCCCTACGGCCTCTAAAATTAGGGACGGTGTCTCTTGAGCTCGCTTTCACAATGTCTACTCAGGTACCGTGGCAAGTAGTCTTAGGAGACGACATCCTAGAAAAGCCGTCAAGGATAATAGATTGTAGCCAAAAGATCATTGTATTGATTGACAGCTTCATTCTATTTATTGCAGCACATGTGTACAGCATGCAGGGCGATGTTAAGAACCAGAAAATGAGAATTTTAAATACTGCAGAACCCTTGCCCTCGGAAACAACAACCAACTTCTGTAAAATGCTAGACAGTTGCATGGATTGTTTTGACTGGGATGGGAAAACCCAGGGAGAACAATACTGATCCAACACCACTAATATACAGGTAACGCTCCATCTTGTAGACAACCTGCATAGTGAGTAACTGCACATTATCAGAAGGAGCTGAATTAATTAGCTGATGGACATTTAGAAAAGAATGTTATCAAACAGCCTATGTCTTCACTGGCTTCTCCAGTAGTTTTAGTTAAAAAATCGAACACTTCGGTTATGTGTGGATTATCGTAGGACCAGCTAAACACACAAGACTTTTGTCTTCTGCCACGCATAGACGGCAATTTGATGCCCTATTTTTGAAATTTTTTTTGTTATTTTGATTTACAGCTTGATTCCACACCGTATTTTCAGCATGGATATCGGTAGCCCAAATTCAGGCCGACCATAGATATCGGGTGTGCGCCGGCAGGGGATCGAACCCCGGACCATGTGCATGGTCGGCGAGAGTCCTAACCACTGTGCCACCTAGGGGGATCCAATCGGTTTACTGCCTTAGATTTAGCATCTGGATATTGGCAAGTGTACGTACACCTGAGGGACAGACAAAAAGCAGCGTTTATTGTACAATCAGGCCTGTATGAATTTGAAATGATGCCATCCGGGTTAGTGATTACTCCGACAACATTCCAACGCCTCATGCAAACGTCCTCAGTGATTGCATACCAGGTAAGTGTTTGGTATATTTAGACGATGTTATTATACATAGGGAGACAATGAGTGAACATTTAATTGAAATGTCCAAAGTACTGGAACGAATGCAAACTTTGGATTAAAACTGAACCCAACAAATTGCCAGTTTTTCAGGAAAGAAGTGTGTTTTCTAGGTCACATTGTTTCAGTCGAAGGCATTTAATGTGAACCAGCAAAGGTAAAGGAAGGTAAAGATTGGCCAATACCAAACTCATCTTCCGATTTACATAATTTTCTAGGGTTAGTCTCTTATTGGAGACGTTGTGTACTTAATTCTTCTCTACATGCAGCCTCTCTATTCAACATTCTTAAGAAGAAGGACTACAGCTGGATATCATCAGTTACTGAGGCGTTCGAGAGACTTGAAAACCATTTATGCAGTCCCTCTATCTTGGCATTTCCCAACGTTCCTGGTCAGGCAGGTCTGTTCATTCTAGATGCAGACGCTAGCCACATCTGTATCGGGGCTGTTATGCCTCAAAAAGATGTAGATGGAACAGAAAGGGTGGTAGTCTGTGCAAGCTGAACACTCAACAAGAATAAAAATAATTGCTGAACCGCGCGGAAAGCAACGCTGGCGCTGATCAACTTTGTCAAACACTCCTCGGTAGATATTTCGTGGCACAGATTGATCACAAAGCCTTTAGCTAGCTATATGATTCCTAAGAAGCTGAGGGTCAGACTGCTAGATGGCAAGAACACCTGCAAGAGTATGACTTCGAATGCAAGCACAGGCCTAAAAAAATCATGGATGTGCAGATGTATTGTGAAGTAAACCTCTTATTTATGGCAGTGACTGCTCACAAAGCACCGAATCACAAGTTTCCCTGCTCCAGCTAGAGGCGCATAATTCATATAGTTGGCCCAAGCTTCAGTCTTCAGACCCTGAACTATCCCCGATTTACAAATGTGTTAGAAGTGGAGGCAAACGATCAACAGCCCAGGAAATAAGGAAGCTTGGATGGGAATCTCGGTGTTTGTGGACTCTGTGGGACGATTTTAAAATTGTCAACGACATCCTTTACTACTAACATGGGCCCATTTATAGTCGCCGCATTGTGGCCCCACAGTCGGCGCTACTCACGTTAGTGCTGTTATTACACCAGCAGTTAGGCCACGCAGGCCTAGGTAAAATGATATCAGCGTCTAAGAGGTGTTACTGGTGGCCTCATCAGAGAAACGATATCATAGATATCTGTGACTCCTGCGAGGTGTGTCAAACTATTAAGGCTCAACACAAATATGACAAGGCACTCTTAGAACTTATTTTGACTGGCCATCCAAATGACTTAATGCAAACGGTTGTAGTTGGGCCTCCTTGAGAAATCTCCAGAAATAATGACTATATATTAGTCATCTTAAACCATTTTACCAAATGGTGCGAGGCTATAGCTATTCCCCGAATTGATGCTGTAACCATCGCAGAATCATTTTTCGACCACTGGGTCAGCCGAGGGGGGGGGTTGAAACACTTCAGTTACACTCAGATCAAGGATATAACTTTGAAATTCCTGTTGTCAGTAAACTCTGTCGCATAATGGATATCCGGATAACACGCCCTACTGCATACCACCAAGAGGAAATGGTTTGGTTAAACGCACTAAGCGGACACTTAAATCACTCCTGCAGGCATATGTAGACGAAAACAATCCTTGGGAATGGTACAGATCGCTCCCGCATTGTTTAAATGGTTTGCAAAGCAAGCATTCACAAAGCTACGCTTCAGACGCCTCATAATACGCTTACCGGAAGAGAACTCCGGTTGCCAGCTGACCTGACTTCAAACTTACCGGGAGAGGACACATGACTGCATCAGAACACGTAATCAGATTTAGACGTACCTCAATGAGGTACGTCTAATGACCAGGGATATACTTCAAACAAATCAGAGGCACCAGAAGGAATGCTGTGATAGGAAAGCACATGGATCGCCTGTGGGGCCAGGAGACAAGGTAATGCTACTAAAGGAGGCACCACCTAAAGGGAGGGCTCTCAAATTCCATAAACGTTGGGAAGGACAGTTTGCAGTAGTGGAGGTACCTAGTGACTGCACCTGCAGGAGCCAGGAACCCAATCCCTCTCATAGCCTGGTGATACATTTCAACAGACTAGAACCTTTTCGGCAACAAGTCTTAGTCCAGACAAGTCCTGCAGACACAGTCACGTAGCACTGCCAGCAGTGTTCCTAGGTGAGAGAAATTAGTGTAAGGCGTGGTAGGTCAGGGTGTTTCTTTATGTTTAAACTGCATGTCGGCTGCGTGGCGTGCATGGATTGGTTTCCCAAGACGACGCCACGGACGACTGATAGGGAGATGCGCGACAACAGAAAATACCTCTAACATACTTCACTCATATTTATAACTAAAAATGGAAAAAGAAGTTGATGAGTTCACCAACATTTTAAAAATGTAAAAACATGCTTACATGCCTGATTATCAATACAAATAAATGGGTAAACAAATAATTTTTCAGCTATTCTTTTTAAACAATTGTTAACACTTCAGTGAACAACTACTTATGAGCAGTATTAACAGGATTTACAGATACTTAATAGAATAATACAGGGTCAACGTTTATTTCTAGCAATAGATTGTAAAATAAGTGGGCAAGGAAAGGGGTTAAACAACGCAAACTAATATTTGTGTAAGTTTATACATTTCTACAATGATTTATTCACATGATTCCGGTTTTTTTAATGTTTGATTAAAATTAGAAATTGCTTATAATTCATACTGAATATGAATTCTTCCTTCAGTGTTGTAAAACTAGCAGAAACAGGGTTATGGGGGTTACATAAAGTCTGTTTTTAAGATGTGGGAGAAAAAGATTGAAGCATTTGAGTGAGAGCTTAATTAACAACTGTACAAAAGGAGAGGATGTAGATACGGATAAATTATCGACATAAGATTTGCACTAATGATACGTACAAACAACAAAAAAAGGACAGGCATAATTTAAATATAATTAAAAAGTTGAGTGATGATGAAGAATGGAATATATTATGGTACAGAGAGACATAAATTGATTGAGCCACACAGATAAACAGAAGAGAAGATACAAGGGAATAAATATGAAAAAACAAAACAAGCATTCAATTTGAATAGGTCTGTTACTTGCACAATATTCCTATGCATATGCTATTTTATGTGATAGGATTTGCTAAAATAATATTTGATTACATATGTTCACATTTATAGGATTACTTGAATATGCAAATTACACTGTGAAAGACGATAAATTTTAAACCTAGAAATGCAATAACTCAAGACAATTCATTTTTGTGTTATATTACCAACACATTCTGGTTTCTTGCTATCTTCCAATGGTGATAACCAGTAATCACTGGATTTATTGATTAGAAATATGGCTGTTGACAGGAAAAAAGACAGAAGAAAAAGTAAAAACAGAGTGTCATAGTCAAGGAAGGCATCAGGTGTTTTTTCTTAGATTCATGACATATTTAGTCTGAACATATTTCATAAATGCCTCAAAATATGTGGTTACGCAATATTCTTTCGCGTCGGTGGCATAGCGGTTAGGACGCTCGCCGACCATGCACATGGTCCGGGGTTCGACCCCCGGCCGACGCACTCCTTTACCACGTTAAGCCAGAAATAATGCTGGTGAAGAGGAAAGGTTGGGCATGAGGCTAGCAACCCCATCCTGTAAAATAAACACTGCTACAGAAACTTCAAGCTACTAGCTTGAAGCCCTATGTTCCACTGGGGAACGTGAAGGAAAAAAAATATTCTTTCAATGCTGAGAACACTTTTATTACCACTGTCGTTTTCCATAACGGTAAGAGCAGAAGAACGCGAATCATCTGAGATTTACTTTAGAAATTTGAATCATGAGATAATATCACTTCACAAATTACAGGATAAAAAATTATCTTCTGGGAAAAGTTGTGTTCAGCTTGGACAAGGAATTATTTTGCTTACCCACTACTGTTTGGTTACTAATTTTGTCAATAAGGTTATCTATTCTTACTACTAACTATTAATAAGTAGTATCATTCTGTTCCAGTTCACTTTGTCGGGACATTAGGTACTTTGGGTATTTCTTAAGTTATTTATGGGGTTTATTAAAATTCCATTGGTTTGAGATCCATTTTTGTTCTCTGTTTGTTCTACACTGTCTTCAGTTTGATTCATACACACGTCTATCATTTCTTGAGATGTTTTAAACCTCATACATTTTACCTCATCATATACATTTTCCACTTAGTCTTGATGGTTAAATAAATATCTTGACACTTTATAATAAAGGCTTTTTGTATTTCCCAATGAATGAAAAACAAAACGATATTGTTTTTACTGACGTTTCGTTATTTAATGCTAATGACTTTATCAAAGTATTATCTTTTCAAGCATACTCAATCCTAAAATATGGTTAAGATATGTAGATGATACTTTTGTAGTGCTAAAACGAGATCTACACAGTCCTACCTAATTGTGTCTATAAAATAAAATGCTTGGAATGTGATGCGATATACATCGGACAAACATCTCGAGAAATCAAAATCAGAAGAAATGAACACCGTAGAGCATCTGTTCGATTACCGAGAAATCCGGTTGAACTAGAAAAACTTGAAAAATCATCAGCCATAGGTCTACACGCTATAGAATCAGGCCACAAAATTGATTTTGACAATATTGAAATAATCCAGAAAAACTTCAGAAATCACAAAGAACGTCTAATATCAGAAGCACTTCATATCAAGTGGAATCCAAATTGTCTGAATAGGAATGATGGACTAAAACAGAATTTGACCTGGTTACAACACCCCCCTCCCCCATGAAGTGACAAAATCAACACGAATGTGATAAGCAAGTTCACTATGTAAACACGCACTGCTTTTATAATTTTACACACTGATCAAATCCAACAATCTACACTTGGTTTTGTTATCTTTACCAATTGACCAACTTGACAACGAAAAATGACCCCAGACTGACGAACGATGATCAAGTTAGTAAACTTTGTTTTGATATCATAACAGATGTACTATTACCTCTGTTATTTGGTTTAGTGGTCTTCATTGTTATTTTTACTTTCAATATGTCCTTTTAACTTGACCTAAGTCTATTTTCTCACCTCTTAACTCTTTGTTATATATATGCTGAGATTTTGTAAATTCCGGTTTAATAATACTTTGATAAAGCTATTAGCATTAAATAGCGAAACGTCAGTAAAAACAACAATATCGTTTTGTTTTTCATTCATTTGGGAAAACAAAAAACCTTTATTATAATGAATATCATATACCCAATGCCCAAATTTTTTCAAACTGTTAAAAGTGAACTTGGTTTGGACATATATATCTTGACACTTTAATACTCTGACATTCATCAGCCTCCATTGTTATTTGTTATAACAGTACCCTATTGCAGACGAACCCTGTGGTTTTGATTGCTGAATTTTACATATCACTCGGGCGTATCATTTAAAATTTCATGTATACCACTTTAGAGTTTGACTTATCTTTAAAGGAATCCACAATAATTAACAAAGGCTGATATTTAGATTATAGGATTTGTGGGGATTTGGATGAATTCAATTTCATTTGTTGGATTTCATCACGAACCAACACTAGTTAGAGAGGTCATTGAAAACCAGGGAGCATTGGACAACTGTTTCCTCCTATTTTGGAACTATTTAGCAGTGCTCACCTACGACCCCACTAAGGGTTGAACCTGAAACCTTCAGGTTATAATACCAAGCTCGTCAACCGTTAAGGCACTTGAGCCGGTGTTGAATGAGCCGTGAAGTTTAACTTTATCACTTATTCAAGATATCAATTTCAAATAACTCTAAACAAACGTATTAAAGAAACAGTGGTAAGAAATTTTCAGAACAATTAAAAATAAAACGCTATGGAAAAAAAGTGATGGTGAAATATTTATTCATATGAGCATAAGTGTTGATTTATTTCCACTAAGTTAGTGACTCACCCCATTTCTATTTGACAAAAGGGATTCGCGCCTAGCTGCTACAAACATTTTACGTGCCATGTTTAAATCTTCAACTGATGGAGTATTACTTGTTCTATCTTTTGTCTGGATAAAACATAAAAAGTAGAAATTCTGAATGAACTCAGAAATTACTCTATAAAATTTCAGTCTTTAAAAATTTAATATTATTTCAGTTAAATTAAATTTAAGCACATTACCTTGACCTATTTCTTATTTCTTTGTAGGAAAGATTTTTATAAATTGTGATTTTTGTGAAAATAATATTATTGAGTAAAACATGTTATTCACCTATTTAATTGTACTCAACATGCATCGTTCGTCGGTACTTCAGATGTAGGGATGTTCGCCAGTCACACGAGAGTTCTGGGTTGATTCTCGTTAGATACATTCCAAAACTTGCCTAGTCTAAAGGCCAGTGGTAAGCCCAGAAAACACACGGCAGGTTAGGCGTTAGGCTAACAATCCTGCCCATGAAGAAAGCGACTCTCCCACTACTGAATCTTCAAAGCTTGAAGTCCTTTGTTTCATTGTGAATGCAACGGATTTACAGTCATTTGCTGTCGATATCAATCCATGAGTTACAATCGAAACATTTTGTTTCACACCTAACCTACCCTCCTTGTCAGGCTTATTACCAGCTAAGCAAGGTTTGGGAGTGGGTTGGCTGGGAATCGAACCGGCAGTAGTCGACACTAGTACAGCTTTAAAAGACTGAATCATGAAAAATCTCGATTAGAAGACTTCAAAACAACAGGTATTAACAACAGTACTTTGAAGATTTTAAACAGAATTCTCAGTAAAAAAAGTCAAATGCTCTGAACAAATAATTTGATTTTTAAAGTGAATTACATTATATTATATATCTCACGTACCTGAGGTAATCCATTGGAACGATAATTTCCTGGGTTTAAAAATCCTAACATATTACCAGCAATGTTTAACAACTTTCCAGATTCTGGATCATAGTCTAACTTTGACGAATCATTATGTACATCGGGTAGACGATTAACATTTGCAATATTCCTGTATGGAAAAATAGTTCATAAAAATGCAGAAATGAACAATTCATGAAGAAATTAACTCACTTAAAATAATATCAGGGTAATTCAAAAAAAAAATAGTAATGTGTTCCAGATGAAACATCGCATTTAAAAAAATACTATACTTGCTGTTTTTTTGTTGAATGTCACATATGTCATTTTTTATAGTAATGATGCAGTGGTATTAGCATCCTACGTTTTTCGTAATATTGATACTGTATGAATAAATGTCATTCACAACAATCATCACCACTAAATTAGGTTTGGGAATTATTAAAACAAATATTTTTCAGATGCTCTAAACAGTTAAGGTTAGCAGTAATAAACTCCATAGATTAGTGTCACTCCTATTCTAATTATCTTTTGGATTAATGTTTACACGGTTAGTATACTTTTTCGTCTTTGAAAAAGCTGTTTTGCTTACACCTCATGGTTTAAAGAAGAACACAGAGAGTAGTTAGTATTTGGATACTTTGTTTATATCATAATTATCGTGGGTCTACGGAAACTAAACATAAGCATTATAAATCAGCATCTTTTCAACTACGGGTAGTACAGATGAGGATGTCAAAGCCAACCAGGATAAGAAAAACAAGACAGACCTTCGTTAATCTAAAATCAATGTGGAAATCTGTCATACTTGGAGTAAGGAACATGATTCGGATTTCCAACACAAATGTCAAATCAGTACTTCTATATGGTTCTGGAGACTTGATGCATCATGAGAAGTAAATCCAACAGACTTCAGGCTTTCAATAACAGATGCATTCGCCTAATAGATACTGGAGATCAGATAGTCAGGCATAAAGGACAAGCAACAGGGAACCTTAGAAGTCAGAGAATCAACCAAGAACCTATAGCGTAACAAATATGCTGAAGAAGATGAAGATGGAGTAGAATTACGCTCGGAAGACTACTAAGTGAAATCATGTGCAAGGCCGTCGAGTGGAATCCGAATGGGAAACTACGAGTAGGGCATGGGTCCGAAGTTGACACAGTGGAGATAGTGTGGGGTGGATGTGAAACCTTATGGTCAGTCGTAGAGCCAGCTAAAAAAGGCGCACAACACAGAGGGAAGTGGAGATTCGCTCCTGAAGCTGTATGCTCACTCGGTACCCATGCGGAATAATAACTATTCGCATAAATCAGAGTGAGAATGGTAAAGCACCAATAATAATAATTTTAGCTATTTCATCTGTTTACAGATAACTTCAGGAAGGATACAATATGTATTTCCAGTCAAACATGGTACCTTGCAATATATACGTACAGCAAATATTAGGTTGGGAATAATGACTTGTGTAAGGAACACTACTTTTTTATTAGTTGGATATTATTTGAAAGTGGCGGTCACCAGTACTAATCTTAAGTTAATGCATTTAAACAAATAAAGTCAACAGAACAAATCAGTAAACAAAATAAAAATAAGAAAAAACTATGATAAATAATTATTTTGTTTTGACTTTTTTCATTACTTTAGAAAATTATTAACTTTGAGTAAATGATCTATTTTCTCTGGTGTAAATATGTAACCGGGACAAAAAAGACTTGAATTCCGAATGAATGATGTATAAGCATCATTACTATTCAATTGGAATGCGACATCGTTATTATTACAATTATAATGATCATTATTATTATTATTAGTGTAATTATGATTTAGTAGTGGTTGTTGATGTATATAATTTTCTTCCCTTCCATTCACCATCAATGGTTGGTATTTAGGTTTTAAAATCAATTTTGCCGGCTTTTCTTGATGACTGAAATGGTTCATATACTTGTATTTTTTAACTAATTTTTGTTTATTTATTCTTGATGATGATGACGATGATAATGATGATGGTGATGATGATGAATAGTTAGGCTGTTGAATTGGTTGAAACAATTCCACTTCAGATTCACTTGTAATTGCTTTTTCATCTTTATAATATTGGTGATATTTATGTTTTGTTGAATTATGTTTTGAAGGCATGTGTAAGTGTTTAAATTGTCTCTCTTCTTTCTCTGATGATACTGTTATTGGTAATGGTATGATGATGATGTTGATGATGCGGATAGCAATAGCATGCTAAATTAGAAATAAATAAAGTAACATGCAAAAAAATGTTGACAAAATCGCATGCATACGTGCGGTCATATATAATAAAACAACAACACAGAAAGTTTTATTTAAAAGAGAAAAATACACATCTGTGAAACCCTAATTCTAGACCAACTGCCTGGAAGATATGAATGCTGACCGTTACTCACATTCGTCATCACACATTATCCAATACAGAAACACATTTGGTTGCAAACATTTATGAATCGATGAGTTCAGCATGATGTTACTGGAATACTAGAATAGTGTTGCTGCCTCTGGTATTGAATGATGCAGATTCAAAGTAAAGACGAGAAGTCGAAGTGCTAAAATTTGCTGATAATTATTCTTAAATACTAGAAATGACATCAACCAAAACTTTTTACCAATTATCATTTAACGTTGGATTAACTCCTCCTTTAAGACGAAATGTCAAGTAGATATATCTCTTCTCTTTTAGTAGCTTACAATACTTTAAATCGCTTTGTATAAAGGATAAAACACATAAAGGTGATACAGTATTAGCAAGCAAATGGTAAATCAAAATGCAAAGTACATTTTTCATTATGAACGGACAATCATATTTAGGAATCATTTAAGATAACTTCGAAGATCGCCTAACTGAACATATGTGGGGCTAACAGTTCTTTCCTATTCATCATTGTGTTTGCTCATTATTTACTCAGTGTTGAGAATAAACTACAACATGCAGTTTGAAAAAAACCTTTCTGTGAGTCGGTGGCACGGTGGTTAGGATTCTCGACGACCATGCACATGGCCCGGAGTTCGATCCCCTGGCAACGTACACCTGATATCAATGGTCGTCCTGCGAAATTTGGGTTGCCGATGTCACATGCTGAAAATTTCTTACTTGTAGCAAAAGTACCTTGTGGAATCAAGCTATAATCGAAAAAAATAGGATTCCCACCCAGATTTTGGTGGCTCAGTAATTTAAGTTGAGTAAAACCTAATCTGTTAAAGAATGGAATATGTATTTTGCAAATCAGTTACGAAATGAAGTAATAGTGCATAATTTTCACAAATAAAAATGGTTTGCATTCATCACCAAGTTTTTTTTGGCAGGCAGCATGCTTAACTCAGATAACTAAATAGTAATAGCGCATAAACTATGGTAGTTCCCAAATAATTATGCTTACCTAGCCTCAGCATCTTTTTTCTCTTTCTCCATAAGTGCAACAACAGCAGGATGAGCAGTTTTACCAGCTTGTGCACTTGAAAGCATATCATTCCATATTCCCATACCATTTTTTAAATGATTTCCTGGCATATCATACATTCCATTTATATGACTGAAATTTTGGTCTCGACGATCTGTAACACGTTTACTACTCCTGCGTCTAGTCCATTCACTTAGAGTACGACCGAAAATTCCACCCGATGTATCACGCTTATATGTACGAAAGTAAACATAGATAAGAAACTCAATAATGAAAGAGGACAAGAAATTTGTCTTGAAATGTTACATAATAATAAAAAAAACAGAAATTATGACTTATTACATATGTGACAGAAAACAGTAGATGTTTATAAACCTATCTTAACTTCAGAAGTCTAAAAAACTAAAACTAAACTCCAAAACTAAATATATTAATATGACTGTCTAATTTCCCATAGACAAAACAGTATTTTACGCAGGAGATGCTTTCATACTACCACTGTAAGGAAGAAAAGACCGATGAGGCTGAAGGATATTCGGTAGGACTGACTCATTGTAGGTACAAAAATTTGGTATACCGTATCTCTAATGCTTTGTTTGCACATCATTTGAAAATTGGTCGAATATCACCACACTCGATAGCTATTTGGATTCTGCATAGTGTTTCTAATGTTCTTCTAACAGTTCTGTTCTTCGATTGCTTTTTCCAGTGTTGGAAACATATTGTTGCTTTTCTGAACTCGTTTACTGATATACTACTTATATGTTATTATAAGTAGCACTCCCTACACCACTAATTTCAGCGAGTGAAAGATAACTCTATAAAGAAAATGAATGAAAGAATCTCATTGTATGTATACACCCCCTAAATAACTGTACAGCTATGAAGTGAAGTTACGAAAAGGGATCTCTTTGCTGTTTCATGTGTTCTTAGTTAAATAAACATTAAAATACATATACATAATATATGATGCATCTAAAATTGAATCTATTGGACAAAGCGTGAAATAAGTGGTTGATAAGCATCAATCAACTACCACATGAAATATATATTCATGATAGTCTATGAAGCATGAATGTCTGTAAATATATATATATACCTTATCTACTCCTCGTCGACGTTGAATTTCATCACCAGTCAGGTCTGAAGAACAACGTCTAGGAAATCCAACTATAGTAGGTTGATGAGGCATTGCACGATCTCCAGCCTGTAAATACAAAACAGAATTATCTCATTAATTAAACAAACAAATGAAATCTGTTATAAATAAAACAATGTGTGGACACGTTTGTGTGCAGTAAGTAAAAGTGAATCTCATGTACTGAAATTCATTATTTTTCATTGTATTGATCATAAATGAACTCATAAGTGTATTAAATCGACGGAATACAGACGAGTGACTGCATAGGAGATATTGGTGTCTTATATCTTCAGCTTTATATACAGGGAAAGAAATATATCATGAGTTTTCTTATTTTTCTTTTACTTTTGTTATTTTATAATTTCGGAACTATTCGAAAATTGATTTAGAATATTAACTCGGAAGCAAAAAGAGAACAAGAATATCTGAAGGATAAAAGTATGATAAAATACTCGACTGCACAAAGACTAGAATTAAAATATTGATCAAAACAATAAAATTATTTCTTGATTTCAATTAAAATTTTGTCACAAACCAACATCATTTATAGAATCATTGAAAACCAAGGGAGCACAGCTGTTTCGTCCTAGTGTAGGGCTCTTCATCATTGCGCACCCACGACCTCGCCAAGAGTAGATCCCAGAACCTGAGTCCTGGAGTTGTAATGAGAAATCATGGCCATCACTGTCAAGGTTGCACTGGTTTGCGGTAGCGCTATATCGAGAATTGAAAAGATTAGAATTCGCGAGCTGACGACCCTGGCCTCGTAACCTGTTGCTCACAGGTTTGATCCCTTGTGTGGCCATGGGTGTGCACTGCAAAAGAATCTCGGAATAGCGCAAAACAACTTGCCAATGCTCCCTGGTTTTCAATTACTCTTTGACTGATTTTGGTTGATGACCAAATCCACACTGAAATTAATCCATATCTCCACAAAACTCATGATCGAAATAGTTTTTGGTTGTTGAATAATAGCCTTAAAATTACAAAAACTGTAGTATATGTAAAAACTCCCAAGAAAATATGTTGCAGTTGTTACATAATTAGGTTGGAAGATGGGAAGAAATTCAATGAAGGTTGTCATCAGTACAAACTGAAAGATCACATGATATTCAAAAGAATACGAGAATAAGTACAGAATAAAGAAATTGTGTTGACAAAGTCAAATAAACAGATGTTTTTTTCATTCTTTGTTATTTGACCATTCTGGGATTATCAAGTGTTGGTTTTGCAGGAATTTAAGTGATTCAAAGTTAGATCAAGAAGTGACCACCAGTGGGGTCCACCAAGCTCACAGTGAGGATGAATACTCGCCAGTGGTATTGACTGGAGATTGCGCTATAAATTCCCGAAATGGCAAGAGTTAGAATTCATGGGCCATTGGGTTGCCTCCAAGTGACTGGACTGTCAGTGGGCTCACATAGTGACTTGAAGGTCACAGTTGCTTACTGCTGAAGAATTCCAAAGTAGAACAAAGTAGCTGTCGAGTTCTCCCTGATTTTCAATGGTTTAAGATAACCAGTAAAGAAGTTATTTTAATAATATTAATCTGAATCTAGGATATACGCAGCTGATGATAAGTTGCTCACTTAGTTAATCTGACTGTTTGCCTTAAATGAACCAGGAAACCAACATCTTTGATCTTCACATGTCTTCAGATGAAGTCTAAAGTTTTCTGTACAAATTTCCTTCAAAAGCAGGTTGTATTCAATTTACATCAGGTAAGACAATTTCAAATAATATAAAGATGAGGATATCCCTTAATGTTACACAATGAAAATATTTTCTTATTGAAACGGAGAACATTATTAGACGTTTAAATGCCTCCAAACAAGAAAAAATATGAACTCACCATTATTTGTGGAATATATCTTGTATCCTTTTGAATCATTTTACGTTTTTGCCATTCACGGAACCAATTTTGTATGAGAAAAGTTGCATAGAATTTTCCAACAGTAACAACATCACTACCTAATTAAGATAATGACAGTGAATAGTTTTGTTTAACACTTTCGCTTAAAGTTATTAATTAGATTTAGGATTTTCTTGATATTTTTCTCTCTTTTATTTTCAAAATGTATTTTATCTGATTTTTAACCAACATTTATTTCGTTGCACAGTCAATATGTTATTTATATGTGAAATGAAGTCATTATTTTTGACTTGCAAACGGTACTGTATTTATACAGGCTTAAGAACACTTTTTCTAACTAAATTGGCTCTTACTGAAGCCAGAAATGAAATACACATTGTAATTTAATTAAGGTGTTTTGGAAAAATATGCATTAATGTGTGTGCATATATAATGATGAATGAACATGAAGTTGGATAAAGGCGAAATCACATATGAAATCTCTGTTTCATTTCTCTTCACAGAATAAAGCATAAAGGTATAACTTGAAGGTAAAATGCAGTTATCAGACATTTTATAGGAAGGTAGATAGATGAAATATACTGAGGAAGTATATTCCCAAACAATAATGGAAGATTCAGCCGAACACAACGGATTATTTTGTTTAAAGAGGTTATTTTATTCCTTATTCTGCAAACTTTTCACTTCAAATGGTTCAAGACAGTCTGGTGTTTAGAAAATTATTAAATTTACAAAATGTGAGATGTGAAACGTGAAGTAATCAATATAAAAACAGTGCTCATGTGGATAATATATGAAAATGAGAATTCGAATTTAAGAAGGTTAGCAATCATTTGAAAATCCTTAACAGTGAAAAAGTCAGCTATTATTTAAAAACCTCATACAATTCTACCCATTAGGAAATTCGAAAAAGAGCAAGAACGATAAATGTATCAGGATAATATGAATTCATTCTGTATCATTTCATGGTTTCTTTTTCACCTGGCTACAACCTGAACAGTGAAAAGCAACAACTTATAAGAACTATAAGTAATACGATGTAAATTGTCGAATTGGTAAGAGTTTAAAGGATTGACTATTTTATTCATTGAATTCCAGACCAAGTGGCTGAACCGTCAACAACCTCAGCCTCGTAACCTGAAGGTTTCGGGTCAGATCCCTGATGGGGTCATAAGTGTGCGGAGCTGTCTAGTCCCCAACTAGGACACGACAGCTTTCAGTGCTCCTTAGTGTGTATATTAGAATAATTAGACGAATATTCTTGAAAAAAAGAGAAAGTTTGTTCGGGTAGTAAAAAAAAGTAACTAGGAAGAGTATATCAATACAGTAGCTCATGTAATAACGAAAAATTTGTTTTTGGGATAAAACAAGATAGGAGTAGGATGAGTGACATTCAAATGAAACAATAAAATTTTATAAACAGGAAGGAGATATAGGAGAATACATGACTTAGCAAAAATTATGTAACTTTATTTTGTAGGTTTAATCAGCGAGACAGTGCAAGACTCACCACTCTCTTTTTCTACATACACAGATTTGGTTACAACCATTTGATGGTGATTACCTCTACAAAACTCAGTAACCTCAGCTTCTTTAGCTTGTCGATAATTTTGAACATCTTCAGATTGTCCACAATATGACCAGCGTCTAGTAGATGGTGTGAGTTACACTGTTTAGTGCCTGTGAGCCCTTTAGTCTTAGGTTTTCAGATGTGATTAGAAATGCATAAAATAACTCTTCTCTCTGTTCCTCCAAAGTATGTGCTCTAACACTTACATGTAAATCGGTAGATGCAGCTGGAGGTAATACGAGGTGGCGTTTGTCCGGTTTTGATTGTATTAAACAATTCATTTCAGTGAAGCATTCAGTCCGTATCTTATTCTACTAGCTATATAATCAACTTTGAAGGCAAGCTGTTGTTACGTAAATTGCTGTGTTAGTTAACTTTTGTCTCCATCCAAAAAATTTTAAAATGTGTCTTTCTTCAAGAATATTCATCTAATTGTTCTGCAAATAAATCGTTAATCCTCCTCACTTCCCTCATCATTTCGACAACTTACATCATTTCCGAATCCATATCACTCATAGTTTCTATCAATTACTCTTTTTCATTACATGAAAGGTATGCTTCGGTCTTTTATGTAATTTATATTTTTGTATTGTTCAAGTTGTATCCAGCAGCAGAGAATAAACCATGAAATAATGAAGAATGAGTTCATATTATCCGGATATATTTGACGTTCTTGCTCTTTAGTTATTAGGTATAAATGGAACTGGCTTCATGTTTATTGACGGATAAGAAATTCGATATCAGATTAAAATAAACAAAGTAATTAAAACACCACTGAAGAAAGCTTATGCTAACAAGCATTACTGAATAGATAAGAAAATGCTAACCTCCTCATGACAGATACATCAGCGTGTAGAATTTCATCACAAAATACAATTATGTAAGAAGAACTTTTTTATTCCTTTAGGTTCCCAATGGAACATAGGGCTTCAAGCTAGAGCTTTGAAGTTTTGGCAGCAGTGATGTTTGTTTTTACGAAATGGGGTTGCTAGCCTCATGCTCAACCTTCCTTCTTTACCAGTCTTATTACTGGTTTAATGAGGTAAAGGAGTGCGTCGGTCGGGAATCGAACCCCGAACCACCTGCGTGGTTGGCGAGCATTCTACCGCTGTGCCACCGACGCACAAGAAGAAGAATTAGTCAAACTAAATGTGAGATACATCTTTTCATATCTTCTGAAATAAAAATTCGGCAAATAATCACTGCATATTATGTATATCTTTATTTTTTTATCACTTTGTGTTTCGAGTGCAGCACAGTGCTTCAAGCTTGAGCTTTGAAGTTTCAACAGCAGTGATACTGTTTTTACAGGATAAGGTTGCTAGTCACACGCCTAATCTTCCCTCTGTCTACCTTATTACCAACAGTTAAGTGAAGTTTATGAGTGCTTTGGCCGGGAAATCGAACCCGAAATTGGTGCTGTGACCACGTTCATGGGTTGGCCTCGTATTGTATGGATTTTTATAATAACAGGATTTTGTTCTAGTCAGATTAAAATATGACTGAAATAATAATTACGCTTCTTGGAAGGAAAAGAAAAACTAAACACATCAACAAAAAAAATCAAAAGGAAAATAAATCATCCTACCTTTTGGTGGAATAATTTGATCCAATAACTTTGGACTTGTTCGTTTCCATATACGCTTTATTACAATACGTAGTTCTTCATTTAATTGATCCAGCGATTTTTCTTTCTCTCCAGCATCTATTCACATGTGAAAATAGAAATTTTGAAAGGAAAAATAATAAAGGTAAGTTAGAAAAATGTACATTTTGTTCAGGAAAAAAACAACAAAAAGGCCTAATAGTATGTCAGAATGTCAATAAATAGAAATATTTAGTTCAATTTGATTAGTAGTCATTAGGAGTATCCAGAAGAGAGTAAATTGCTATCTTTTCTTTTCGTTTTATTTTTTTTTCAAAATAATAGTGATAATCTACTTATTAGATGAGTGTGTGAAGTAAAAGTTCTTAGATCATGTGATCACTAATATAATTAAAGGTAAATCATATCATAGTGACATTTCTAGAGTAAAATGCATATTTCGTTAAGATGAAACACCTCTACGACAAACGTTTATATAGCACCAGAAAGATAAATGTGGTTCAGCTTTCAGAAAATTTTGTAGTAGAATTTGTATTTTCTCTTATTTATGTCCCATCAAACTTACATAAAATATATGTTGCTCTTGAAAATCATGTTCACTGTGGTTGTGTAAAATGTGTATAGATCAGTCAAAATGGCCTGGGATTATTTGAAATATTTTTTATTTCCTTCACATTCCCAGTGGAACATAGGGCTTCAAGTTAGTGGCTTGAATTTTCTGTAGCAGTGTTTATTTTTACAGGATGGGGTTGCAAGCGTCATGCCCAACCTTTCCTCTTCACCAGCATTACTTCTGGCTTAGCGAGGTAAAGGAGTGCGTCGGCCGGGGATCGAACCCCGGATCATGTGCATGGTCGGCGAGCGTCCTAACCACTATACCACCAACGCTTATTTGAAATAGTAGTATAATTTACATTGTTGTGGATTTACTTTCCCTAATCGTAAGACTATTTATGATAGCTAAAGATAAACGGATTATTATTCATTGGTATTAAGTGATGATTGTAGGTGGAGTAAAAATCTGATGTACTACAGGATTCTAACCAACAGCCTCTAGATTACTATGCCGGTGCTAGACAAGCTAGGCTAAGCGACTCACTCTGGATGGTCATCAAGAGTGCTCAGTTACTGTTCTTAATATCCTGAGAACCCCAGTTAGACAATTTACATCTTCCTAAGTGGATAAGACCAGTAGTATGGGATAGGTGTTACGGTTTAGTCTGACCAACACCAATTCTTTTAAGTCTTGTTCTCAATCCAGCTACTATGACCAGTTAAGAATGGTGGTGACTCAGCATACGTAAAATATGGATAGGTGAACTATAGAGTACATACAACGTTAAACAGAATTCTTTTGTTATATGTATCGAGTGAAAAGACATTGAAAAATGACGACTGTGATTAAGATTTGAGGCGAAATTTCAATATTATTATTAGACATAACGGGAAAATTTCATTACCTCCAGGAATTTTTATCTTCAAATTTCTTCGCACTAAGGCAAAAAGTGTTGCATTGAAAAATACTGTCCCATCACTGTTTAGAGGCATATTCATTCTGACCAGTTTCTGTTCAAATAATTAAAAAAAATAAAATATCTATCTCAAATTATCTTCATCAATATAATGAATGATAAATAAAAATGTTTATAATAAGTTAAATAACTTTGTAAAAAATATCTCTTAAATTTCTGAGAGAGATATATCAGTATAGAATATAGTTAAGAAGTATATTGCCTTTATTTCTTCAGCACCACGGCACAACAGATAATCGTCAGCAGAAATGCAACAGTAATACTATAAAAAGGACCACCAACGAAACAGAGACAGAAACCAAGCACTCAAGCTACATAGTAGAACGCTACAAATGCTATTAATTCTGAGTTACAGCTGATTTTCATCAACTAACATTGTAACGACAGAAGACAAGGGCCAGGCAACAGATCCTTTATTGAGAAAATCAAGAGGTATTTATAGATTTTTACGTGCATTATTATTAGCGTTATTGTTAGCGGAGAAGGAACCTCTTCTGATTGGTTGTTTTCTTGCTGAAGGTTATTCTGTTATCTCTTTGTAGCCGTTTCTCAGAAAATCAAGTCATATATCTATGAATCATATTTCCACACTTTAACTCCGCTGTGATTGGCTGGTGATTCTCTCAGGGTTAGGCTATGTCATTGTTTTTCTCATGACCCTGATTCGGGACGTGAACATTGACGTAAATTGTTGTCTACAATTTTGGCTTGCAGACAGCTCTCACCACAACATAACGAATAATGTCAAAAATCTCATTCATTTAATCATCAAATTAATATACCACGTGAACCAAGAGTCACTGATTCAAAAGACTCCTACTGAGTTAGTTTTACCTTAAGAGGTCTTGCTTTCTTCTAAGCCAGTGATAGTTAATTCAGCATCTGTTCATGGAAATACCTCGGCCCCAAACGAGTGAATCGGCTGTTCAGTGTTTAGATTAATTACATCTGCCTAGCAAACATTACTGATTGTTCTGAGTGGTATACAACTACTCATCTCATTCAATCAGTAGTATATAGTTGTATGCAGTCAAATTGCATCCTTTTCTGATTTAATGACCTGATTTAGCTTATTTTTCGAACACTTTGCATACCCTAAATTTGTATGAGTCGAAAATTTCGACTTACAAAAGTAGTGTTTCGTATAAAATTTTAGTAAAATACCTGCAAACTTGTTATATATTAAACTTTAAATAGTCACTCAGTAGCTAAAATTGTAAAGAGGAAATATACCACATTTCCTGTATGAAATACGGTTTGTTATCTCTTAGACGATTAACAGACATTAGACGTGTTTCTTTACTACGCAAATTTTTTAAATATTTTTTTATTTTATATTTGTTAACGTCATATATTGAACCAGTCAGCATGTATGTGAAATGTGCTTGAAAAGTGGAGAATAAACTGAACATGCCCAAATATCTTTCAAATTGCGTGGTAAACCTAAACTACTGCCTCCATCTGTCAGAAATGCATCGTCTGTATATTATGGGTAGAAAAAAGGCACGCATGTTTCCAGTTTGATCATGGATTGATGTCAGTTAACAAACCATTGGAAACCCGAAAGTATTGGACGGCTGTTCCATTCTAGTTTTAGACTCCTCAGCAGTACACACCACTGGGATTCAAACCTGCTGATAGTTGCGCTGAAATCACGAAGTGGTAGCACTTGGAATTCTCAGGCCATTGGATTGCGTCCGAGTGGCTTGATTTGTAACCGAAAGGTCAAGTATATGAACCGCGGCGGATGTGCAATTCTGAAGAGGCCCGAACTAGGACGAGACAGCTATCCAATACTCTCTGGTTTCTAGTGGTTCTCTAACTGGTGCCAATCCTAGATCAAAGGTGAAACAAATCAAATCCCCACAAACTGACTCATGAGAAATAAATCTATGATATACTGTAGGTATGCATAGTCACCTTTGTCAGTGTGTCTGCTGAGAAAAATCAACTGAAATTACAATGCCAGGTATTCTGGTTGGATATCATTGACAGTTTAAATAACATTTCTTCATTAACTGTTTAACAGATACGTGAGTCTTAGAATATCTTGAACACTAATATTTCTAAAGTTTTTACTTTTCGTAATCTCACACTGTAAACAACAGAAAGTGATTTCCAAACTAATTTACTCTTCAATATCACAGAAAATTAAATGAATCAAATTAACGTTTTACTTACATGACATGCTCTAGTGTGTGGACACATACTACCAAAACCAAGTGGTGGGCTTATTTTACCAAGCATAGTAACAACATCCAAGTGTCGAACTCTTCCCCTGTTTCAAAAGAAAAGAAAAAAGTTTTCAATAGAGAAAAGTTTACTTTTCACCTGAAACTTTAGTTTTTACTGAATAGTATTCAAAGATTTTGATATTTAATTTTCAAGTGTTGGTTTGTAGGGATTTGATTGGTTACAGGATTTCATCATGAGCTGACATCAGTTAGAGAACCATTGGAAAACCTGGGAGTACTGGACAGCTGTTTCGTCCTAGTTTGGGACTCTTCAGCAGTATGCACCCACCGGGATTCGAACCAGGACCTTCTGGTCACAAGGCGAGCTCGTATACCATTAAGCCATACCATTAAGAAGGTCCTGCGTTCGAATCCCGGTGGGTGCATACTGCTGAAGAGTCCCAAACTAGGACGAAACAGCTGTCCAGTACTCCCAGGTTTTCCAATGGTTCTCTAACTGATGTCAGCTCATGATGAAATTTTGATGTTTATTTTATGTTTGAAAATAGTTGTTATCGGGTGACATCATTTGTAAAGGAGAGTAAGATTGACGGCATAGTAAGTAACTTCTAGTGTCTGTGGCACAGCGGTAGAATGCTTGCCAACCACACAGGCGGTTCGGGGTTCGATTCCCGGCCGACGCACTCATTTACCTCGCTAAGCCAGTAATAAAATCGGTAAAGAAGAAGGTTGGGCATGAGGCTAGCAACCCCATACTGTAAAAATAAACATCACTGGTATAGTAACTTCAAAGCTCTAGCTTGAGGCCCTGTGTCCCACTGGGAACGTGAAGAAAGAAAAAAAGTAACTTCTGTTATAAAAGAATATATATCAAGGTGGATGCAAAATTTAACTGTTCTTGTGGAGCCAGTTATATAGACCATACAATTAGTTGTGTTTCTCGTTGGATTTCGGAACACCACTCTGCGTGGTTAAGTAAAGGGTAAACAAAATCTATTCATAGCACTATTCTATCTTATCTTGTGGATACAGCACACAAGACTGATGTCAACGAAAGCTTTCACAGTCATTTCCGCATACCAACAAATCTTAATTTCGCCTTAAGAGTCCGACTACTAAATATTGCTGAGGCTGTTGGGATCCATATTAAGAAGCCCAATTTATGCGTCCAAAAGAAGCTAGTTCAGACATTATGGTTACCTTGGCTATCTAAGTTTGAATGATCCCGAATTTCTGTAGAATTTTCCTAATTTTAGTTGATATTCTATTTGCTACTATATCTTTATTATTATTATAATTTAAGCATCTTTAATGAACTATAATTGCATTGATCATACTTAACAAATCGATATTATTTAAAAAAACTAATATTGTTAATGACTACTTATCTAGAATATTCTATGTATATAAACATATATATAAATTGTAGAACCAGAAGAGAAATTTATCAAAAAGGATGTTCTTTGCTCAATTATTCTGTGTTTTAGAAAATGTTTGTCACTCCTTGTTTCATGCCGTTCATCATATTCAACATTTCATTACTTACCTTCTTTAGGAAGTACATATCCATTCATAGAACATCTACTGTAATGAATATCCTTTCAGTTTTTTTTTCACAAATATATCTCACAAAAGTGTTTTAAACGACATAGTTTTATATTTTAATTTAATTAAAAGTTACATTGGTTATTACAAATGGTTTGAAAATGTGTTCTTATTTTTAGCTGCATCACATTATTCTAGTAGATTAGTATTTTTCTTAAGGCTTTATTCTTAATTACTTAATTCTGTTATTTATCTATCATTCGTTTCCCAAACATTCCTAAAATTTGCATAATTTGTTTATGTATTGTATATGTATTGTTTTTATTTATGAACTATTCCCAGCAATAAACAAACTTTTATCAAATACTAAGTCAGTGTAAAGCCATTTGAGTGTGTTTTGTGTCAGTTTATAACTAGGAATTTGATACTTGATATTTGGTCTTCTTTTCCAGAAATACAACTTCATCAAATCTACGTTATAATGTGATACATGGATATCATTCAGAAACAAAAATGAGGTTATCAGTATAGTTCGTGTCATCATCATAAGCTTTACAATGCCACAATGAATAAATAAGGCAGTCCAGTGCTTATTTCTTAAGATCATAGTCTTGCTCGAGGAAACAGGATAGTTTTCTTTTGATAAATGGTCAAAAATTCCAACAAACGCATTAAATTTCTAAGAGATTGTTCTGTAGGGATTTGCTTTGCTTTAAGTATGATCATGAGCTGACATCAGTTTCAAAACCAGTGAAGAACCGGTGAGTAGTGGACAGATTTACCGTTCCAGTTTGGGACTCGCCGATAACATTGGCTGGTAGTCGCGCTAAAGTAAGGAATTGGTAGAAGTTGGAATTCATGGGCCATTGGATCAGGTCTCAATGACTGAATGGTCTACGAGCTCGTCTTGTAACCGCAAGATATTGGGGTTCGGACGCCTATGGGTGTGCAGTGTGAAGAGTTCCACACTAAGAGGAAACAACTGTCCACTACTCCCTGGTTTTCCAGTGGTTCTCTAAATGATGCTAGATCGTGATCAAACTTGAGACACGCTACATTTATGTTACAGAATAAATTGAGACATAAATCACAGCTTATTCAATTGAAATGAAGAAAAATTGCAATTACTTTGCTTCCGGATCATAATCTGCCCATTTTGTAACAAATTCATCTAAATGGTGTGGTCCAAGAATTGACCAATCTCTAGTTAAGTAATCGAAATTATCCATAATGACAGCCACAAAGAGATTGATAACCTGGCGGTGAAAAAAAAAGAAAATAATATAAACGGTTTAAGACTTGTTGATTAGACTTCTTAAAAAAGTCTTAGTGTTAAAGACTAATTTATAATACAGGAGTAATAACTGAAGTTGAGGTCCCAATTCTTGTTGCTTAGACGTTGATACAATCCAACGTTATATTTTTCAACACTAGTCATCATCCACTGACATCGAATCTCCAGCTATTAAACCGTCTGTTACGAAGTATACAAGGAGTTGTCTGTTAAATATACACATTAAGCGTGTAGTATAACTCTCAGATATCTTTTGATTCATTCAAAAAGTTTCATCGAAGAATATTTACATGTTTCCAACAAATAGATATTACATGTAATGCTACTGTCTTTAGGACATGATATTAACTTCATCCACAGTGAACAACAAACATTTTGTAGATGGGTGGTTTAAGATAATTGACAAGAATCAATGATTCTAAGTTTAGTGCTTATCGGTACTGGTAACCAAGGTATGCTTGAAACCTCTGACCTACCTACCTTCCTCTGATTCGAACTCGTACTATCCATTATTACAGTCAGAGATGGTACCACAAAGTTGCTTGAAATGTGATTGACTTCCTGAAAGTCTACAGCAGATACATTAGCCAATTATCATCCTGTCTTTATTGTCGACAGAATTTTATCAGTCAAGTTTTCAATCTTTTCACCAAACTGGATGACTGATTATCATAGTTCACTCTGAATTAATGTTTGATGGTTGTAAGCATTGTGTGCAGTTGAAATTCACAGAATTACACATCAAGTGAAAGTGGTGTTGATGTGAAGACAATTACTGTTGTCATGCATATATCGTATGCTAAACTTTCGACTCATATTTAAATTTGTGGCTTTTGAGAATTTACTGAAGTATTATCGCATACTCATGTGAAAGATTTTCGCCTGTATGTGCGTCTAGTCTTTCACATACTCCTGTGGGGGTGATTACGTTGGACGTTGTAATAATCTTTCAAAATCTTGTAATTTATCCCCTAGAAATCATGTCAGTTATCTTTATTCTTATCATGCGTATACTGATTGAGAAATCTTCACTGCCACTTTATGCCTTTTTTCATAATATAAACACGTACTGTACAGCTTGAAGAGAAATATTTCTTCGCTGAACAAAACTGAGTTTATTCTTTATGAATGAATAAATAGGTATAACCCCGTTGATAGAGAATTATGTTTACAATGTTCACCAATTATCAAAACGAATATAGATAATGGAAATTGTGAATTGATATTTAGCTCAATAAAATACAAGAATATTCATGATAAACTTACTAGAAATGCACTAATTGCATGGAAACTAATAAAATAGGCATAAGCCAACTTGGATCCGCATCCATTGACCTCTGTTTCATCTGCATCTTTAGAGCATTTTTGACCTGTTCATATGTTCCAATGAAATTAAAGACATGATAACATTTTTTATTTTATTCAAACTAATGTTCGTCATCAAATGTACATCTTTAATATGTAATGATACTAGCATTACTTTTATGATGAATGTAAGAGCTTCATATTATAGCTGTTTCTTGTTAATATGTTTGTCTTTATTCCTTTGCGTTCCCAGTGGAACAAAGGGCTTCAAGCCTTCGCTTTGGTGTTTCACTAGCAATGGTGTTTTTTACGGGGTGGGGTTGTTAACCTCTAGCTCAACTTCCCCTCTTTGTCGGGATTATAACGGACTGAGGGACGTAAAGGTGTGTGCCGGTCCTGACTCGAACACCGAAACATGTGCACGGTCAGCTAGCACTCTACCGCTGAACCCTTGATGCACGTGCTAACATGTGAAAGGGGGTAAATTCATGCATCTTCACCCTTTTAAACTGAAATGAAGCCATCCTCGATTCCAGCTTAATGAAAACTTTGTAGATCAAACTTTAGGGTATATGCAACATATATATTGAATTTATTTGGCTTTTCAAGTGTGGTTTGCAGGGGTTTGATTGGTTTCAGGTTTGATCTTGAGTCTACACCAGTTACGGAACAATTGAAAACCATGTAAGGCTGATAGAAGTTGGAATTCATGAGACTTTAGATACTGTCTCATCTGCTGAATGCAGTAATGGATGTGTACTCCTGAAGAGTCACAAAAGCAGCTATCCAGTCCTTCCTACTTTTCAGTGGTTCTTTAAATGATGTCAGTTCATGATCATATTTAAAACCAATCAAATTTCCAAAAACTGATAGTTCAAAAGAAATCTGGTGTTCAATAACGACTGACTATAGAATAAAGTTTTATGCAGTACCACTGACAAGTAGTGGTTACTAGGGTCTGACAATTCGGCTGTGTTGAGACGGATACTCATCGACAACTTTAGCTGGCGGTGACACCATGTATATGAAGTCGGAAGAAGTTAAGGTTCAAGGGCTCCTATTTTGCTTAGGCTAACCCATAGAAATCCTTAGGTAGTAGTGTTTGTAGAAGAAGAAATTATTTTCGTTAATGTCTCACTTTAATTTATGATTACCAATGTATCCTACATAAATATGACAAGCATTTGGACGATTTTGAGAATCATAGTTGATAAAATACAACCATATCTGGACCAAATAGTCAAAAATATATTAATTTCTATCAGTAAAGTTTATAAAGCTTTGTGTCAAAAACAGTAAGAGTATTTGACTGCGTAAAATAACTTTTAAACCAATCGATAACAATAAATAGAGTAGGATATAACCATTCTATATGATTTCGTCGGTATCTTATCAAACCCCTTACAACCTAAGCAGTGAAAAAATAAATGTTTTTAACACAATTTTAAAGTATTCTAATTCGTTGTAGAACGAAATGTCGTACAATAGTCGTAATATATGGGGGAATCGTTACCTTAAGCTAGTAAGTTATGACGAAAAGCTGCAGTTATAAATCTAGTGAAAATCGAAGTCTCTTCAAAACAGGAGCGATGATAGTGATAAAATATCGAAAGTCTGTCAGGATCTGGACAACAGTGAAAGCCTGACTATCCATGTCGCAGAATACTAAAATCTATGTCATGTCTAAATATGAATAATTCGGCTTTTGTGTTGGAAAGAAGTTCACAATGTGTATCAATGTAAACCATGCCAAAATATGTAAATGAGCATGCACTTCAATAATTTGGAGCTACTAAATTAAGTTCCCCAGTATCGGTTTTGTAAGGATTTTCTTTTATTGGTTAGAGGATTTCATCATGAGCTGACATCATTTAGAGAACCATTGGAAAACCTGAAGAGAATACTGGGCAGTGATTTCTGTTCTCCTAGTTTGGGACTCTTCAGCAGTACGCATCCACCGCCAGGGTTGGAACCTAGGACCTTCTGGCTACAAGGCCAGCGGGCTCGTAGACCATTAAGCCATTGGGACCTGATCCAGTTCATGAATTCTAACTTCTGCCAATTCATGACATAGCGCGACCACTTCGCAATGTCTTCTTCGATGAGTAACTGTTCTCACCTTCAACCTGCTGTACCTTACTGGTCACGGCTTCCCACTAGAACCCCAGTTAACTGTCTGAATAGGGCCAGTCGCTAGTGAGCATCAGACAGTTACCTGGGGTTCTAGTGGGAAGCCGTGACCAGTAAGGTACAGCAGGTTGAAGGTGATGCAGTAACTCATCGAAGAAGACATTGAGAAGTGGTGGCGCTATATCATGGATTGGCAGAAGTTGGAATTCATAGGCTGGCCATTGGATCGGGTCACAGTGGCTTAATGGTCTACGAGCTAGCTCACCTTGTAACCAGAAGGTCCTGGGTTCGAACTCTGGCAGTGGGTGCGTACCGATGAAGAGTCTCACACTAGGCTGACGGAACAGCTGTGCAGTACTCCCTTCAGGTTTTCCAATGGTTCTTTAACTGATGTCAGCTCATGATGGAATCCTCCAAACAATAAATTACGTTCGTTTTAAGTTCACAACTCATCTCATATATATGTATATATATATTTGTATTCATCGAAAACGATAGATTACCTTCTCTACAAGCCATCATAATTTCTTGCCATGATTCTCCTGTAGCACATCTAAAAGTACAAAAAAGAAACAGTATAAATTACCCCCCTCAGATAACTATTTGAGAATTAAAATATGAACCAGAAACTGAGAGAAAATAACAAAACACTCAGTAGTACAGTGAAATTATCATTATAGGTATTTTTAGAAAAATTATTTCTCCACAGTATTTTTTATTCTTATTGATATAAAAATTAAAAATAAAAATTCTGCTTTGAGCTTGATCAAAATTTGTGTCACTGAATCTTTCTTGATACGTTACAAATTAGTCAGCACACAGTTTCCACGTTAAAAAGGTGTAACGTATTGGTCATGTAGAATATAAACAGCTGTGTTGTCTGCTAGTCACCTGCATTTTTCTTGAGTTCATATGTATAAGTATGTAAATTTATTCTAAATTGCACAGCTTACTTAGAAGCAAGTTAAATCAGCGCGCAGTTATGATTAACGAGATTAAACAATGACAAATACAGATAAAATTAAGCATTGTGGAAGCGATTTCGGTAGCCCAGGATTAAGCAGTAAGTAAATTTTTATCGACAAATATATGTAGAAGGCTGATTGATGCAGTGGCTTAAGTTAGACCTTACATTGTGTTCGATGGCTTACTGCTGAAGAGTCCAAACTAGACGAACAGCTGTCAGTCTCACTGAGGTTCAAGTTGTACGATGTCCAACCAAAGCAATACAAAGTGCTACTTAATAAGGTAAATTAAACAACAAAAAACACAGTTTTATTCAACAATCAACAAGATAAAATATTCATTCGTTTTTTGGTTGATTTGTATTTCCCGTTATGTTAGACCGAAATGCGCAAGCTCTATTAATATGTCAACCCCTTTTCAAATATTTTGTAATAAAAATAATGATAACTGATACCTGTTGCACAAGACAAGGCTCTCATGGCCCTAGTGAGATAGTGAATAATGCTCTGCTGCTCGAAAGTGATGAGTGCACAAGGTTCAAGTCTGCGTGGAAATACCATCACTCACTTGAGATGCAAGCACCTACAGCTAAATAGACCCAAAGAGGACGAAATGAGCCTCTTGGACTCCATTGCTAACAACTATCAACCAAAATAAAGTATTATTCAGTTAAGAAAGAAGTGAAAGGAAATGCGTATTTGTAGAACCCTTCACCATTTTATAATACAACTGACTTCTTGGGAAGGAAAAAAGAATTAAATTTCAATCAGTAGCCTCCTATTTTTATGCTTACCGAAATAATACAAGGAGGGCGTAAAAGAAATTCTGAAAATTATTATTTCTATGCAGAATAGGCCATTCTTCATCTTCTAATGGATTATCATCAATTGATATTTGACCAAATAGTTGCATACCAATCACAGCATAAATGAAAAATATCATTGCAATGAGTAGAGCAACATACGGTAAAGCCTAAAATGATAAATAAAACATTTAGTTGAATGAATGCTTTGATTATATATATGGAATTAAAAATTTTCAAATTTAGCAGAACTGGAAATTAACTTTTTATTGAATTCATAGTTAAATTCAGCTTAATAATGTGACTAAAATAATTACTTACATAGTTAATTAGAACTGCATGTTTACATAACAAGCATCAGAAAACGTTTAGTTCATTTATTTTATTAAGGAATGATTAAAAAAGATGCTCAAGAGTTGATTTGTTTTTCAAGTTTGACCACGGTTGATATCAGTCAGAGAACCATCAAAAACCAGTATGGAGTGGACAGCTATTTCGTCCACTTTGGGACTCATAGCCAGTAAGCATCCACACAAGACCCTCCAGTTAAAAGTTAAGCTCGTAGTCCATGCAACCACTGGGACCCGAATCAATGACCAGCCCATGAATTCTAACTTCTACCAATTCGTGATTTTAGCGCGACCACCAGCCAATGTCATTGGTGAGCAATTGTCCTCACTACCACTTCTTCAGCAGGCTGCATCTCCACTTCTTTGAGCAACATTGAGATGAAGTCTATCTGATTTGTAGTGTGTCCGTCAGGCGAAATCCATGTTGCTTTGTGTATATCCTTGTGCTTGTAAACGCTGCCTCGGATTACCAAATCATTGAAAGCGCAGAAGTTGGAGAATAATTCTTCGTTCTCATTCATTTCCTCGAGTGAGAGGCTCTCGACCCATGATGAGTTCTCTCCCTTTGTTATCTGCTCCCAGTTTGGCTTGCATTCACATCGCCCATAAGGATTTTGATGTCATCATTCGGGATGTTGCCCATTACTGTTTGTATTTGTCTCTAAAGATCTTCCTTCATATCTTGTTTCGTGTTGTTTGTAGGAGAGGTGGACTTTAGCGATAGTTTGTCCTTCACGTATTGTCGAATAATACTCCGAGTCAAGAACATGAAGTATAGGTCAATGGCATAAAAAGTGACTTGAATACACTTGGATTGACGGCTTTTAATTATTTCAGTAGTAGTGTTACCTTTGAACGTCAAACTCTTAAATGAGATTGTTTTCTTTCCTCATATTTCTTTCAACGAACCTTCTAGCATATCCATTATTTATACGTTGTACGAAGTTCTTCGCCGATCATGTTTTTGAGTAAACTTTCAGAATTCTGTGACACAGAGAACAGACAAGGTTTATTTTTCTATTTAGAGGTAGCCAACTGCTGAGGTTAGTGTACTGCCCTGTAAATTTTGGCTTTTGGTACATAGACCTTACATTCCTCTCTTCTGTCTATCGTAACATATAATATAAGTAAAATATAGAATTAACTGTTTTATAGTAGTGAAAAGCATAGACGACTGACGGCCGTTAAACTTTCTAAGGAGGCTAGCAGTTGGACAGTTATCATCACAAACATGCACACTCAAGATAGTTTCCTTCAGTGGACTATTCTCCAAGTTCGTCATGAAGATATCAGCTAAGGGAGGTCTTAAAGGAGACCCCATAGTAACTCTGTCCCTTTGACTGTAGATGATATCATTAACTGCAAACTGCAGATTAAACTTGAATCTCGGTAACAGTATTTTATATAATTGGTTGGGATTCTAATGTTTATGATTTTAAAGTCAATGTAAACAAACCAATAACAGATAGATCTTATATGATCGACTCTTTACTTGACAAATCAATTAACGAGAATTATAACAAGATGTTATCTGATTACTGAAGGCTGGCAGTATAATCCAGGATACTCATTTCATTCAGTTTTCTTGACTCATCAGCATCCCCAGTCAATCAGTGAGAAATATAAGTTATCTTTAAGGATTATAACAAATTAACTGGAGCGTTATTATATCAATTCATGAATTCAAAGAGGAACACTGATGCCACAGTTACACAAATATTGAATAAAAATTCTGTATAATAGTCATAGTAAAAAAATTAATTACCTGTATAGATTTAATAAATGTCCAAAGGAGCTGACGTATAGATTCTTCCTTACTCAACAGTTTAATCAATCGCATAACGCGGAACAATCGGAAGAAATTTACACTAAATTTTACTTGACTGATATCAGACTAAACAGAAAAAAATAAATAAAAATAGCAAAATTTGTATCATTACATTCTGCATCCAAGTAAGTTGTGTTACAGGATTTCATCATGAGCTGACATCGGTTAGGGAACCATTGGAAAACCTGGGAGTACTGGACAGCTGTTTCGTCCTAGTTTGGGACTCATAGGCAGTACACACATATCACCGGGGTTCGAACGCAGAACCTTCTGGTTACAAGGCGAGCTCGTAGGCCATTAAGCCATTGGGACCCGATCCAATGGTCAGTCCATGAATTCTAAGTTCTGCCAATTCAAGAAATGGCGCGACCATTAGCCCATGTCCTCAGCGAGTATTTGTCCTCACACCCTACCTTCTGTATCCTACTGGTCAAGACTTCCCACTAAAACCCAGGAAACTAACTACCTACCTGAAAAGGGCCAGTCAGTAGTGAGCATCTCATTGATATTCAAGTATTGGTTTGTAGAGATTTGATTGATTGGTTACAGGATTTCATCATGAGCTGACATCGGTTAGAGAACCACTGGAAAACCTGGGAGTACTGCACAGCTGTTTCGGTCTAGTTTGTGACTCATAGGCAGTACGCACTCACCGGGTTTCGATGATGATGGAATCCTGTAACCAGTCAATCAAATCCCTACAAATCAATACTTGAATAAGTTGTGTTAGTCAGGAAAAATTTTCTGGAAAAGACTAAGGAAGAATTATACTGTAATAATATTTAGTGTCGTGAGTAATTATTATCTACATGAAAACTCAATTTTAGCTGATTTTATTCTCTCTAACGTCGTGCTGAACATGTAAAGGTTACTGATATGAATAAATATGGTTGAATTTTCAGGACATTTCAAGTGCTACATTCGTGAAAAGTTTTGAATACCTGTAAACTATTACATAACTTTTAATATTCTCAGGTTATTATCTACCGGTTGAATTTCTGTGTTATATATTTACAAAATTCTGTTTTAAAAAGTAAAAATATCACCGAAAATACCCATTGAGTCATGAAGATAATAAAAGACAATTCAGCGAAGAAAATTTTCTTTATCGACGAAATCATCTTCACAGGCTGTACAGTCGTATTTATATTTACCAAAAATGTGTAGTAGTCCATTATTGAGTAATACGAGGGGGTGACATAATTGATATAATTACTTAGAAGTGGCTTCAAAAGTAAAAGTTGTAAATTACGTAATACTCAACGGCACAAAGGAAGAAAGCGTTAAAAATTTGATGAGGTTAAAATTGTTATTGAATGAGAAAACAAAAAAGTACTTGAGTGTCCATTTAACAATTGTGAAGAGAGTGAGAAAACGTACAAAAAAAACATGTAAGAGTGGTTATAGTGAATTAATTATTGAAGTTTACACTACTATACATTTTTAGTAAATATAAATACGAATGTACAGTCTCTGAAGATGATTTCGTCGATAAAGTATATATATATATGTAGTTTCATTTGTCAGGGTTAGTTATGTTTTTACGAGTTGATCACGGATTGATATCAGTTAGAGAGCCATTGAAAACCACGGAGTACTGGACAGCTGCTGTTTCATCCTAGTTTGGGAATCATCGGCAGTACGCACCCACTGGGATTCGAACCCAGGACCTTCCGGTCACAAGGCATGCTCGTATACCATTCAGCCACTGGGACCCGATTCAATGGCTGAATGGTATACGAGCTTGCCTTGTAACCGGAAGGTCCTGGGTTCGAATCCCAGTGGGTGCGTACTGCCGATGATTCCCAAACTAGGATGAAACAGCAGCTGTCCAGTACTCCGTGGTTTTCAATGGCTCTCTAACTGATATCAATCCGTGATCAACTCGTAAAAGTATATATATATATCGTCAACATTTATTGTTAGTTAAATATTACATAAAATTTCTCATGTTTTTATTAGGTGATGATAGTTTCTAAAAATATCTGACAAGAACGGAATATGTAACGTACAGTTTTCAGACAAAAAAATCTTTCATAAATCAATTTCACAATTCGCAAATTAGTTGACAGTTTCGCAAATAAAATTCTGAATTTATACAGTTCAAGGTGTTGTTGGTTGTTAACTTCAACATCAACTCTATGTTCACTATCTATAAAGTGTGTTAAAATAGTTATACTAATAGGCTATGCGTAAATAGAATAGATTATGAGCAATAATTTATGCTCGAAACGTCATCCACTTGTTAATGCTGTATCACTGTGTGATATATAAAATAAACTTATCTAATATGCAGCTAAGAATAGACCTTGTTTGGATTGGATGGTTGAAGGCAATCGGCAGGAAGCCTTCGACCTACTTGAAACTCGTCAGCAAGGTGTATTTACAACCTCGCAAACTTGACTGATAGAATTCAGTCTGCACCAAAGATAGGACTACACACACTACACTAGTTACTGACTAGTTTCCAATAAAAAAAACCGAGACTATTCACATGACAATTTCTGATCAGCTTGATGCCATAAATAGTAATCAAGAAGCCAAGCGTAAATGAGTAAAAGTATATGTTACTGACTGACTGAGATAAGCAGTTGCATACCACTCACATCAACCAGTAGTGCTTGCTAGGCGGATTGAAGTGATCTAAGCACCGAATTCTGGGCATCTACTCTAACATAAAAATATTTCAGTCATCGAAGGTGCTTGACGTATTATATATATATATATATATATATATAAATCCCTGTCATGTCTCCACTTTCTGAATGATCGTAGTGGTATGCCTATTAATCTTATGGTAAAAATATATGTGACCCTACCCTTGTGAAACCCCTAACACTTACCCATTTCAGCTTGCTTGCTTGTCATTACATAATTTTGAAGAGTGTCTAACACGTGAGACTCATATAAATTTAAAAGTTAGGCATAAAAGATATAAAGACTAGGAAATTATCTCAATAATTTAATTTCAAACACAATAAAAAGTAACGCTTTATGTTACACAGTGACAACAGTTTTAAAAGAAGTTTCTCCGTTTAATTGTTTATTTAAGAAATTATCAGTTTTTGGTAAAAGGATTAAATACACTCAAGCATATTTTTGTGAGTAAAACCCAGGAATAGACAATTGCCTTTATTGATTCTGATTTAGAGTTACATTTACAAAACTCTTTGTAGTAAATTTTGGTGATTTCTGGTTTTCTGTTTTTCAAGACTGATACTACTTGCAAATGTCTTACTCTGCTAAATTAACTATTTAGAGGTGATTACATCATAGTAAAGCAATACTTCAAATGCTCTTAACCTATTTTATTGATGTAAACATTGCCTTTTTGGGCTGTATGTCATAATTCAAAGTCATTATCACATACAGTTTGCCTACGTCTTCTACATATAGCTGAACTTGTTGTAATATGATCAAAAAGAACACGAACAGACGTTGTTCTTACCTGGGCTAAAGTTAGACTAAATTTCATTCCTCCGAAGGTTATTTTTCCTCTTTTTTCTTTTCTCTTCGTCTAAACTGTTTTAGTAACAATGTTTTATAACTTACGCCCTTCATTCTAGCATTCCATTTATTTAGGCACAGTGGTAGTATGCTCACCAACCACGCGTATGGTTCGGGGTTCGACTCCCGGCCGACGTACTCCTTTACCTCACTAAGCCAGTAATAAGACTGGTAAAAAAGGAAGGTTGGGCATGAGGCTAGTAACCCCATCCCGTAAAAATAAATACCACTGCTACCGAAACTTCAAAGCTCTATCTTGAAGCTCTATGTTCCACTGGGAACCTTAAGGAATAAAAAATGTCATGCTGATCTGTGATTAATGACTCCATTTAATTCACGTCACATATTGATTACTTCATGATGAGCTATTCACCACAGATTTACTATTTCCTGTTTAGTGCATACTAGTTTGTGCTAGCCACTCAACAAACATGTTTTTCAAGCTTGAACTGACTTGTCAGTTTTCCTTCCCCACACTGTAGAATCTGTTATGACTAGTCAGCATCATCAACTCTCATTTCACAATATTTTGTTATTGTATTCAAACTAGAACATTTGTCACATAAATACTATTTATTTATTCAAGTCAGTCTTAATATTCCCATTGACTGATTGAACAGAAATGTTCGGCCTCTACTGACATGTCGATTCCTAGTACGGACACTTTGATGATTACTCAGAATTAACATGGTGTTTTTCGGTGGTTAGTGACTAGCAGTGGGATCCATGATACGCATTTCTTCCCATTTGGGACTCATCATCTCAATATCCTTCATTTTAAATAAGTGTAGTGTTCCCACTGGGACTCGAACTCAGCATCCATTGTTTGAAACGTCAAAATGTTATCCACTCGATCACTTGGGCCACAGGCACCACCTCCTGTGCAACAGATATCAGTTATTATTTGTTAAAGTCAATTTTGATTTTATTGTTGATTGGTTTGACTGAAATGTTCGGCCTCTGTTGTCATCATATAACTCATCTGTTGTTCTGTGTACAAATGGCTATTATTAAAATAATAGAAGATATTTTACTCTGTAAATATAAGAACCTGGAGAGAATTTGGTGAAAATAATATGCTTCTTTCATATCGATTTATAATTCAAACAGTTATGTGTTTGACAGATTGACAGTTTGATAGTTAAGTGTTTTACGGTAAAAAAAATAGACAACTAATCACCACAGGAACTACAGGTATCTACAAAATAAATACATCTAATTAACTCAGTAATGCATCAGTACTTGTGGATTATGATTTTTTTTGAAAGTGGTAAATCATTCAGATAAATCAGCTTACCTGTGTAACTATTATGTCTATATAACTTCCCAGAACTAGGACAAAGTCAATCACATTCCATATATCGCTGAAATAATGCTGCAATACAATTAAAAGAAAAACAGATGTATAATTTGGTTATAGTACTAGATAGTAAGATCATGGAATATAAGTAGTGAGTACCGTACATTGTTAAAATTTTATACTAGATTCTGAATGAGGAATTTAACCATCTTATTATTTATATCGGTATTTTGAATATATTGAAATACCATTTGCAGCTGGTGGAAAGCAAATAAGACAAACACAAGTAGGATAAATGACTGACATGAGTAGTTGGACATCACTCATATCAACCAGTAATGCTTGCTAGCCAGATAGGAGTGATATAAACATTAGACGGCTGTTTTGCCCGTATAAGGTCGAGCTCACCAGTTGTTTATCCCGTGGGAATCAGCTCAGAGAACTGAGTCAGTTGAAACCACCTCAATTCTGGCTAGTCACTTGGGTGAACTGGTAATAAGTTAAATCAAATCCGCAATTTGCAAATTAACTCATGATTTGAAATTTACACATCAATGCTCATCGAGAAAGCAAGCATGAACGTATGACGCCATATACTACTGACTGATTGAAATGAGTAGTTGGACACCACTGACATCAGTTACTAGTTAGCAAATTGCTAATTTAATTAAACACTTGTAAGAAGTAAATATTTTCACGACAAGCCTAAAGTCGATCAGAGAAAGGTTAATATTAGGGGAGTAAACATTATTTGTTGAAAATAGAACAATGCGTGCCATCCACTTTAAAATCACATCACTACTCAACATTACAGGTAAATATTTAACACTATAAGCAGTAGGATTAAATGATTGATTGAGTACATAAAAATAATGAACAAAAGTAAGTCAGTTCAAGTTACCATACTTTTGAAAAGCATACACAAAAGAATAGAAGAGATGTGACGAAATAGTCAGGTTCTACTATGGCTGGAATCCAGATAAGAAATCAGCTTTTCCTATCTAACGACAGAATAATAACCAAATAAATTTGAAAATTTACCAATTATTTCCTTGGTGAAATTATTCTAACACTAACTTCAAAGCTTATTGAATCGGGTGGAAATAATGCATTGTCAAAGTTCAAGATACATCAACAAATGAGATGATAATAATTCACCACGGTTAAGAAGGCAAAGCAAAGTAACTGACTATATGACAGATAATAAGACTTAATTAAGTAATGCTTGAAAACTAAGTTTTTCAAAAACTGAAAAATAATCCTATATGAAGTCTTAAATATTTATTTAAAATATTATTTCGATTCAGTATCTGTTAAGTGAGATAAGAATTAAAATCTTTGATGATTTCGTGAGATATCTCCGTTTGCATGATATTTAAAAGAAAGTGAATAATTTAAGCTAAAATATAACCAAAATAGATTGTAACTTATACAAATTTTGAGAACAACTTGGATAAGAAAAAAATACTGAGCACCAAAATCAAAAAATAATTTCATGTACTCATGGTGGTTTTTGTGAGGACGGTTTCCGGCTAACTGAATCTGTTGACGAAAAATCTTTTAGAATTGAGGAATTACCATCACTTGAATGAAGAGTTAGCTTACAACCAACCGGTTAATATATTAACTCCCAACGTGAATGTATATGACAGTTTCAAAAGTAACTCGTTTGGGTATATTGTTCTATATAGAGTTATCTCCACATATTATCAACAGAAGAAAGCAGTTTATTCATCACATATCTGCTTACTTTTAGTCATGTGATTTTTTAAAATAATCTTTCAAAAGTTGGGTGTTGGATAGTTGGGAGTATTTGGTAGGAATCCTGAACCTAAATTTCGTCCCTGTTGACACCTACCAGTAAGGTATATCTGCAACCTTGAGGCAACTGGTGTTCCCTCTGAAATTTCAACCGAAATCACTTAGTGCTGTAGTCAGAGACGTTGTTACTATGCTAATTGAGGTGATGAGTAATCTCCTCCTGTATTGATACACTAAGTGATCCCAATGTCCTTGATGTTGGTCTGTTTCGTAACTATATATAAAATTCTACTTCTAGCTTGGATTTTGTTAACAAATAAACGTTTAGATAATGGTCTTTCTAAAAGTTCTTCCATAAGAAAATCATTCTCAGTATTTATTATCGATGTACAATAACTTCCCGAGCTTAACAAATACTCAGGAGGAAGTGGAACTGGACTGCACATACACTGAGGAGACCATTAAGTGACTCCACACTCCAGGATGTCAAGTGGGACCAGCATGAGAAATGACGAGTCGGAAGTCACTTCGATGGTGACATAGGGGAGATCGTGTGAGGAAGAAGTGAAAGCTTATAGGCAGTATTAGAGCCAGCTTGGGATGACTGAAGAGAATAGAGTGAAACGACTGTATACTGGTGAATTTCTACGTTCCACTCGGAACCCAAGGGAGTAATAATAATAGCAACCCCATGAATATCGATACCCATTTCCATGTGTTAGATGTAAAAGTAATTGAAATGCCAAAAAAGACAGACAATCCTTTAAATCTGAAAATAACTTATTCTTTCACTTCAGGAAGATGTTAAAATAACGATAATAGTGTGAAATGGTAAATATTGTATTCTTCTAACACATTCTCATATCATATCTAACCCAGATAAATGTAAGTGAATTTACTTAGTGTATTTCAAAGAATTTCTTCAATGCCTCTTTTATTTCCTTTGTATATTTGGTGATACCAAAGATGTCTCCATCAATCTTTTGCAGTTTCATGGCATTCAACAAGTTTTATTTACAAATTCTATCTCATTTTTTGCCCCAGTATACTTATTAGCGATATATATCAAAACATAATCTAGGTTAATGCATGTTTTACAATTTCTCCAAAACTTAAACGCACCTAATGAAATTCTAAAATTTCATATCATACGATACAAAATATGTTAATTTGTTCACAATAAGTGCATTATTTCACAAGTAAAATATAATAAAAGGAAAAGTAATATTACTGAAAAAATACTAAAAAATATACACATATATCTTACTCGAAAACTGAATGCAGATAAACGTAGAACAAATTCTACAGTGAACACAGCAGTAAAGAAATAATTGAATGAATCCAATATCTTTGCTTCGTATTTACCTTGTTTATCATACTACAATAAAAAGTAATATAAGATTTCATATACGCAAAGTATTCATTTCAGAGAAAAGCAATTTGAGTAACAAATAATAATTTATATACCAGTAAAGATCCTTTAATTTTGTGTGACTTATTTAAATACGAACCAAAGTAGGCTAATAATAAGCATGGCCCTTCCTAGTTGAGGATATGCGTCCGATGATATCATCGTGTACGAGGAATTCTGAGGCTCACCAGGGTGTATTCGGACACGGTGAGGGTCACTGTTCTTTGAGTTCCGTCATCCTGGAACACCGGCTACAGTTGCTCTAACATGTGCTTCAAATATCACCCTAAAAGGTTCCATACTGCTTGCTGTTCACCACCCCTCGGACTGTGCGGAAAATACGAAGAGGTGCTCAGACTATGACGTGGGGCCTCAGGACGAAGGATATTTTCGTTACGTTGGCAACCATAAATGCATCACGACTCCTTGAGTAGGGTTCGAGAGTTTATTCGAACCGATGGCTTGAGATGCTATGAGATATGACCAGGAATCGTAATCAGTGGAGAACACGCTGCGGCTAAACCATCTCCTTTGATTGATTTTGAAAAGCATGCTTGCTTTCCTTCTGGATGTTGTGCCTCTTTCATCCCATCCCTGTTATCGTTTTATATATATATATATCGTTGTCTTACCCTTCTTTCATATGGCGCACCTCTTGGTACCAATAATGTCTGTGTTTTAATAATAATAATTTTACTAGCTATAAAGGTAAGGTAGCATATCTTTTCTTCCCCAATGGCAAAATTATCAGTTGGATGCCATAATACTTTCCAACTAAAACGTTACTTCTTTTAAATTGTTAAAGCATTCGAAGCAATTTGGTGGATAGTGATTAGCAGCGTAATCCAGGATGCGCACTTTACACTATTTGGGAATCGTCATCTGGATGTGCTTGGATTCCTGAAAGAGTGATAATGTTCCCACTAAGAGTCAAACCTAGTACCCGTCGCTTTTCAAAAACCGAGGCGTTATCCACTAAACCCTTTTTGGGCCACAAAAGCCACTTTTTGTCTAACGACTGTCAGTTATTATTTATTTTCAATTCAGTTTTGATTTTCCCGTTGACTGATTGAACCGAAATGTTAGGCCTCTGCTGACATGTAGGCTCCAGATGACAAGTCCCAAATAGGATGAAATGCTCATCCTGGATTCCACTGCTAATCACCATCCACCAAATTACTACAAATAAATCCTCAGACATCATCGAAGCATCTGCACAAGGAGCCGACATGTCAACAGAGGCCGAACATTCCAGTGCAATCAATCAACAGGAAAATTAAAAATAAATGATAAAGGATTTGTATACACAAGAAGTAAAGTACTTCCTGTATATATAAAGTTAAAAGACTCTTATTTTAGATTTCGAAAACGTATAGAATAAAAATATATTTACTTCACCCTAATCGTAAAATAAACTATAATTCTTCAGAGAATTTTTACCAGATCCAGTCTTTGTGATACATTAGAAAACATGCTTGAACTTTGTCAAGACGATTAGATAGGTACGATTATTAAAGTAAGAGATGCATAAATGTTAATTATGTATATTCAGTCAAGATTCTTCGATTGGATAGTAGTTAACAACTAGTGTAATGTTCTAGTCCTATCTTTGGTGTAGACTGAATTCTGTTAGCCAAGTTTGCAACCCTAGGTTCAAGGCTTCCTTCCGATTGCCTTCAACCATCTAATACAGTCAAGATTTGACAACAACTTTGCTTCTGCTCCCACTATTTATAATTGATACGATGCTTAGGTGACTACATCAACATATATTGAACACATAATTCTACTCATAAAATAGATGATGAATCAAATTTTAAACATATTTTGACCGACTAATGTTCTATTATTCTTTAAAAAACCATACAAACTAATTTGAGTTAAATGATAGACAAACAAGGAGTAAATTGATAATGTTAAAAAAGAGCATACAAATATAAAAAATTATAATTCATTTGCTTACTTTTAACATCAGTGCCACAGTATTTATAAAAATAAATATAAATATCAATATTTCAAATTTTTTCGACACAACTACAGACCATATTTTAAACTGTAAATGTCCTTTGGGAATGTAACGTCGACGTGGTCTGGCTTTTAATGCATATTCTATGCATTTACGCTAAATAAATAAAAACAAACATAGAGAATAATGCACATACTTATTAAAACTGAGGTAAAATAACAATTGTGCTAAATAAAACTTAATAACAGGTGAATACCATCAAAACTCAATTATGATAAGTGCTCAAGCCCAACATAATAATAATACGCTTATATAAAAAGATATCCGAATCTAGCCTGCGATAAATATTCTGAAGCACCAGTAGAAACTTGTTTGTTTCACAATCATGGAAAGAAGAAATGCCACACTAAATTTAGTGCTGAAAATGTTGTCTAGAAGAAGAATGAAAGGTTGCAATTAAATTACCCAGCTGAGATAACACAACAACTCTAAACTTTCATCATCGTTTGCAGTTAAGAAATCACTGTGTCATCAGCAGGAATGACCCTATCACAAGAATGCACTGTATATAATGTTATAATATATATATATATATTATATATATATATACCCAGTACCCTCCGGTTACAAGGCAACCCTTTTGACCATTCAGCCATTCGGACCTGATCTAGTGACCGGTGAATTCTAACTTCTACCAATTCATAATTCGAGTGCTACCACCAACAGGTCTGAACCCTAGTGGGTGCGCATTACTGAAGAGTCCCAAAGTGGGACGAAACAACTGCCCAGTACTCTCTGGTTTTCAATGGTTCTCTAATTGATATCAATCCGTGACCAAACTTGAAAAATCAAATCCCTACAAATAAACTCTTGAATATTGCTTTCAGCTTACAAATGTATCTGTCTTTATTACGTAATCCATGTATATTGATTAAGTCTAGCGTAAAAATATTGTTTAACATAATTTCTTTCTTACTTGATTCTTATTCAATTCACAATTTTTGTATTCAGCTTCACCTTCTTTTTGAAATGTCACAATGACAAAACCCACAAATATATTAATCATAAAAAATGGAATGAGAATGATAAATGTTATGTAGAAAAATGCAACAACTGGTCTATAATTTGTTATTGGACCTTGATCTTCTGCATTTGAATCAATAGATCTATACAATAAACTGGAAGAAAAAAAAGAAAAAAAAGTTCACGAAACTAGAGATATGTAATGGCATTTGTGATGTAATAATTTCTTCGGGCAATAAACAAAAAATACCTAGTTTGAAACTACTGGAAATTATTATAAAATGAATAACGTCATAAACGTTTACAATATATATAGTGCGTTGGTGGTTCAGCGGTAAAATGCTTGTAAACCATGCACGTGGTTCGGCATTCAAATGGTGGTTGGCGCATTCCTTCACTTCTCTTAGCTGGTTGCAAGCCCGACAGATAGGGAGGGTTGGACGTAGGGCTAGCAACGCTAAACCATAAAAAAGGAAAAAGGAAGATACCACAGCTTCTGAAACATTAAATTCGAAGCTTGAAGCCCTATGTTTCACTAGGAAAGCATATAAATCAAAAAATATATTCAATTACATAGATTGAAAGTACAATGATAATAAAAAAGTGAATATCTTGATATCAGTTATTACAGTAACAGAGGATGAGATGTATAAAATGGAATTCGTCGAAAAGAGACTCTTCGCTGAACCACGTGTTTTGTTTTCACTAAAATGGAATGAGTCTTCCTCTGTGGAAATTACATCTACAGCCTAAGGACGAGGTAAACAGGGTAGCCAGTCTGTAAACCTTCTGTAATATTTTTAGTTTAATGTGGTCATTGAAATTTTCGTGTAACATGAATAGAGTTTAGCTTGAAGTATCAATTACCATATGTTTCACACTTCCAAATATCTTGTTATTTTAAGCTATGCAATACACAAAGAGTTTGTAATAGTTCTGTATGTTATGTATAAACGTATGCTGCTTAAGGCTTTGATTGCATTATCACTAGCGGTTTACTGCTTACTCAGTCCAGTTATCGATATAAACTTCCATCGAATAAAGATTACAACATAGAACTACCAAAGCTAAGACAAGTATGTGCAGTAAACCTATTAGAATATAACTAATTCAACTAGTCACTTTACTATTCTATTTCTTTGCTGTCCGAACTCTGCATCCCTCAAGCGCATGTAGACGGAATACAAGTGATACAATGAAGAGTTCAATTAAAAACTCAGTCTCTTAACCAGTTATTGTAAATGTATGGAAATCATTTAAGTTAAAATAGTTAACTGTTAACAGTTTCCAATAAATCTTCGAAATACGTGCTGCAAACTAATTCATAAAGAAAAGGTAGAATTTTTATGACCGACATCTGTAACGTACACAAGTATTCAGCCTTCATACTATAGGATCACACGATGTTCATGCATGTGGTCCTGTGCTATAACTAAGAATCTTATTCTTCAACAGCTACGATAGTTTGTGATTTTATGTTTGTTTTCTCCTCTCGTATTAGAAATATTTATTTTTGTGGTTAAATCAAGTGAGTAATTCCCACTGAATACTTTTGGTTATTAGATGGGATAGTGATTATAGTTCTGTTGTGTGTTGTTCTAAATTACACATTAAGAAAAGGGTGATGTTAAACACAGTACATCAGAAAATAGCCGAGTGCAACCCCTGATGAACTTGGCCATAAATGACTGAAGCAGCTGTTCAGAGTTTAGATCACCTTGACCTAACGAGAAAACACTACTGATTGACATAAGCGGTTTCCAACTACCTGAATGGATTAGTGGTATATAAGATGGCACTATTTCATTTGCTTTCTTATTTGTCATTTATGACACCAAGCAGATAACGTGATATAGCCTGGATGTTATAAGATTCCAATAAAATCCGTGGGAGGTTCTACTTGGAAATGTCCAATTTAAAAATGACAAACTTGAGTAGGTTCCGAGTCTTAAGATGACTACCGATGCAACATGTAATGAAAACATCCTGCCAACTCGAAGCTCTCTCAGATAGTTTTACAATCAACTAGCAACCTCCTGCTTTGTTTCTATTTCAGTGTGATTAAAAGTGACAGCAGAAGACCCAGTTGGGTGATTGATGTAATGATAAATGGATAGTAAAATATCGTTCATCTACATGACGAATAAGAATTACCAATGGTAATAACCTGGTAAGCAGTTATGTTACGTAGCTTAGCTGGCAGAACATAGCAGAACAGTGGTTTAAATCCTGCTGATACCCAGATTTCTATTTGTTCCTCAATTATCACCCATTATGTAAATAATTACAGTTAAAATATTCAATCCACTCATTCATTGGACTAATATACATTAATATTCATTGCTGTGTAACCACTAAGGAATGACTTGAATTGCATAGTACGTATGAAAATCCAGTGTTAAGGCGATAGACCGCAATGAATCACCAAACTTTCGGGGGAAAAATCCAAGCCATTACTTTAATGGTATCTTCTGTCTCATTTTAAATGGTCTAAAACGTTTGCACTGCAATTTGCTAACCTAAATAATAAAATATAGTTTTTCTAACGAATCTTTGTTATTATAATTATTATTGTTACTTTTCTTTACACTTACCTAGGCCAACCTTCAAATGTTGAAACTGCAAACAGAGTCAGTAGTGCATTTGGTACATTATCAAAATTAAAGTCAGAATTTTTCCATTCTCTTTCACTAAGAACAGGATTATCCAAACTCATATCTTTGTATTCAATAAATTGACCTCTAAAAGTGTTAAAATACATTGGAACATTAGAAATAGAGAAATAGTTATGCCAGTCATTAGCATCATAGAGACAAATGATTCTAACCAGAATGTAGTTTTGATATATATATACATATGGTCTTATCCTCTTATGAAGTGTAACTGATTAAAATACAATACAGCATGTAACTTGTTCAGGTTTAATCTGTTGTATCTTGTTTGAGAAGATGTATTGATCTCCAAAATGAAGTATGTCATAATAGATAGTAAAACCGTGTAGTTCAACGAAGATTGAACTAATTGTTTACTGATATTCTCATTGTTAGGTGATCCACAACGGAAATCTCAGCGAATCCTTTTGAGTGAATACAGGAGTAAAACAAAGCTGCCTGCCTATTATCTCTACGGACGGTATTCTTAATGGTGGTGGACTGGATTATGCGCCAGACTGTGCTCTGGGAGTGAGGAGACAGGAATACGTTGAGCCATCGATAAGAGGACTCTAGAAGACCAGGATTTCGCAGATGATTTATGTTTGATATCACACAAACTTGTAAAATTTGCAGGCGAAAACCAACAAACCAGCACCAATCACCATCAACTGGGGGGATTTAACAGAGGTACTTCCTTCGCTTATCTAGGAAGTATCTTTTCTACTACAGGCAGTCGGAACGGATGAATATGTCAAAGCCAGTTAGAATAGGAGAGGCAAGATACGCCTTCATCAACCTGAAATCAGATCGGAAATCGTCTGCAGTGATTCAGCCAGCATCAAGAACAATATTCAGATTTTCAACATAAATGTGAAGTCAATCATTTCTTCTACACGTGTCAGACACTTGACCAGAGTGTCACATAAAGCATTTCTAACAGGTTGCGAACTTTTATCAACAACTGCCTGCCTTCTCTGGCTCCATACTGAAGACCAAATGGCAGGTTAGAAAAAATCGGCAACAAAAAACTCTAGATGGTAATAAACTAACTGAGAGCCGACCGCTCAACAAATTTGTAGGAAAAAATGGAGATGGGTCGGACATACATTGAGGAGGCCGTCGAGTAACATTGCGTTCAGTGCAGGTTATTGCCGGAGTGGAATCCTAGTCGGAGGTGACGAGTGGGTCGTCGGTGCGACGGTGACATGGGGAGATCGTGTGAGTTGGAGGAGAAGATGAGAGATTATGGGTAATCGTGGGCCCAGATGAAGAGGACAGTAGAAAATAGAAGAAAGTGGAGATATGTTGTTGAAGGCGTATGTTCCATTTGGAACCCAAGGGGATAATAATAATTCACAGTCTAATAACTGGCTCTTTATTTCTTTTTCGAATAATAATAATGAAATAGTAGGAATAAATTGAAAAGCTTATTTCAACAAGCGTTCATTACTTTGTCCTAAATATGTCAATTTTCCTGTCTATAATAAGCAAATATAAAAAACTTCTTGTTCGTAAACTTCAAGAGTAAAGACCTACTTGCAATCTGCTTCTACATGTTTAGATATATCTGTGCATGAGTAAAATTTTCCCTTGAACAATTGTACACCGATAACGGCAAACATAAACTCCAACAGAAATGTGACTAGTACAATATTGCCAATACTTTTGATCGCGATAACCATACACTGGACAACATGCTAAATATCATTTATAAATAAAAATAAATGTTCAAGTATGAAATTATATTAATTTCCAAGTAAAATTTATCATACAGTATCGTAAAATAGGGGGTAATCTTCAGACTTTTAAATTATGAATACCAATCAACCTATATTATAAACTTATTTATTATGTAATAACAATCTGTCTCGAACTGTAAAAGTAACTTTGATTATTCATTTCGGTTAGTTAATTAGACATTACACAGTTCAATGGAAGTTAAGACTGAAATCATACCATATTATCTGTTTGATATCCCAAATGGTATCAAGAAGGGAAGAGATCTTCCGTACCCATATATATCAACGAAGTACATGAGTATTCAGAAACCACTTGCACTATTCACTAGAAACAGACAGTTGAATGAATATGATCTAAACACTGAAAACCCCTTTCTGTCATTCTGAGGTAATGTTACTAGTGGTACAGCCCGAATATTGCATTTCAGACACCCGAGTCACCTTTAAACCACTCAAAATCTAGGACAACTATGAAAATAAGATGACCTTCCGCCGAAATTATAGAAATGAGAAACAAGTAAAGAACACTTCATGAGATGCCGTGAAAAGCTGACACACGAAAAATATAAACTGATAAGTTTCTTAGTTTCGAATATGTGGTGGATTTCACCCAAGAGAACCAGTAAATCAGTTTTGAAATTTATATAACCTCTTATATGTGGAAAAATTGCGAAGTCTGTTTCAATATCTATTTAAAATATACTGAAGAGGGAGATGATAACAGACTTCTAGTGAATGTATAGTGGAAAACAAAGAAGCGGGCAATTAGGAATAGATCAGCAAATAACCTAGACATGAGAAATTTTTTTCTTCACGTTCCCAGTGGGCTTTAAAGTTCAATTTGCAGTGATATTTCTATTTTTTAGGAGAGGGGTTCGTAACCTGACAAATAACCTCCCTTTTTTACCAGGCTCAATACCGGCTATTCGAGGTTAAGTAGTGCGTCGGCCAGGAATCGAAATCCGGATCACGTGTGTGGTTGGTAAGTATACGGTCCGGCTCAAGTGACCTGGTGGATAAAGCTTGCCGAGGACCAAGCCATGGTGAAAAAGGCATGAGAATACCTACTATATATTTAGTCCAGTTAAACAAAATATAGTCAAGTAAACTAAATTTCTTCACAAAGATGAATCGTCTAAGAAGTTAATCCTACATTCATGTAAATAAGAGATTCTTAGTTTCAGACATGGTAGCCTCCTCATATAGTCAGATCGCATACGAGTGAGAAAATTAAACATTCTGTCAGTCCAATCCTACAGACGATTTAACGTTTTTAGGAATACACAATGTAATCATTGTAATCTTCAGGGATTCGTAGATGATGCGTCACTCCAGTGAAGTATTTTCAAGTCAGCTTATCACCTAACAGTGTCTCAATCGAGTAATACAATGTTCATTAATAGCCAGCATTCAAGTAGACCTTTTGAGTTCCTATGAGAAACAGTGAATGTAAAATGAAACATTTATGGTGTGATATTACCAATATCTTTGGAATAAATAATAATTAATTTATCCAAGATGTTGGATTCTGAACTAGCGACTAGATAAAATCTTGTTATATAAAGATTTTCAGTTGAATCGTGCATGAACTGTTAGAATGGCAGTACTGAGAAGCTTCAAAGTGGAGCTACGAAGTGTTCCTATACTTACTGATACCAGATGACTCTGTAGTACATATGAAATACTGACAAAAACAGCCTTCAATTCCACTAGAAGTATTTCGATAAAAAAGGTTAAGGAATGAATATTTACGGTTATTTGCATTAATGCAAATTTTTAGACATTTACCTTTAATCCTTTGGCTCGATTGATAGCTCTTAGTGGACGAAGAACCCGGAGAACTCTGAGAATTTTTACAGCTGAAATTGTTTGATTTCTGCAAACAAAATAAACCATAGAATGAAGCTTAAATTTATTTACAACTAACAAAAACGAAATTAACATTATTCTTATGTTGGAAGTGCACTACACAATGTAACCCAAAGATAAAATTTGTTAATTTTGGGTTAAGTTATTTTATGTCGATGCTGCTATCATAAACGCCCATAAAAATAATCATGATGAAACCTAGGTGTGATTTAAAACACTCATCAAAAGTTGGAGAAAGTAGATTTTTTAAAATAAATCCTATTCCGATTTTATAGGTATAAATTCAAGTTTATTTTATGATAAAGGTAGCCAGTTATGCATCAAATACATTTTAGTTGTAGTAGGAATTCGCAATTTTAATTTAATTCATAGTTTTAGGTCTATAGTTGATTTGATTTATAGGTGTATTCAAGTTAGTGTTTTGTGTGTCAGATAGGATAAGTTTTAAACAAAATATGAAAGCGTTGAATAATAGATGGTTGAATGTACTAAATGTATATGACATCTAATCAGTTGACTAGTAAATAACACGAAACAGATTATCATTACAAGGATGGCGAAAATGGAGAGCATTTTGTATCTCAGGTGGATGTATTTAGTATTATTGTGTTCTGTGAGCTAGATGACCTAATTGTGAAGCTTTCATTGTGTTTCTAGACAATCCGTTCAGTAATGACTTCAATCTGAAGAACAGATGAGTGACTAGTTTGGCTTTGAAAGTGTCTTTGAAAAACAGAGATAGCTACTCAATTAAACCATTCTGTTCACAGAACACAGCAGCATATAAACCATTAATAAGTAACAACAGTGGTAAGATTGTTGGCACTCTTATTAGTCTAAATAGAATAAATGGTAAGATGAGGGAATATTAAAGATATGATCTGTAGAAAAACGGAAAAACGTACACTGAGTGAATGAATGGATAGCATTTGGACCTTGGTAACAACAAGGGGAGCACAAAGTTTGAAATTCGGGGTCGCAGTTGACCTCCTGTGGGATTCTGTTGGATACTTTGACTGGACACTAGTCAGTAACTAGTGTCCAATCAAGGCAACTACCTGATGTTTTGCATTTATCGACTAGATCCCATCAGTCTGTTTTTAACTGTTGGAATGAATGTTGCTTCGCTACTAATATATAGAGGTGAAACATCCGAAATAGAATTTCATTTTCACCTATCTATAGACAAACTATGCCAGGTTGTCATCTGAACTACATTCACAGGAAATAATTTGCAATTATTATAAGCTATATCTAGCACTACTGTAGTTATCACCTAAAGTATACGGAATAACTCCTAAATCTTTCTCTATGCAATAGTCTGTGTATAATTTCATTTGATTTCTGTGCCACTGGTATAAAACTATGGAGGTGAATGAACATAATGTCCAAAATATACCTATTTAGACATTTTTTCAATCGAACCTTCTTTTCACCTATAAAATGACAGCAGTTGCTACGTTTCATGTTTCATGATGAAACAGACTACTAGATAAAATCTGTTTCAGTGTTTCACAATCAAATAACGATATATGTACGTACTGCGAACTTAACATTTACCATCCATGAATAAACAGTACTAATGCTTATTTACACTGACTTCTTAAAAATCCTATTTTCCTACTGCTACTCTCAATATAATGATATTTTAACTGTTTCACATACTGACTATTTTATGATGAAATGAGCATCCAGTGTCCTACGTTTTTGAATTATTTGTCACTTGATGTATCCTTGTTATTCAACAGTTCATTCAATTATATTTTATGCTCTTTTGTCGTTGTTTGCATTGCGCATTTAACTACTGATAGTAGTAATACAGTATGGCAGAATTGAACTGTTCTACGTCTTCACTAGACGTCGGAAGGAGATCATTCATCTGAGATATAAGATTTCCAAACTGCACCTTTGTAACTAATTCGTCAACTCTGGATGAAATAGTGCAATGCTTAGGACCAAGAGATAGGATTTGCATCTGAATGTCAGACAGAGTTATATTGGAATAATTAAAGACATATTTCTCCAGTGAGTCCGGAAACTATTTTATATAAATCATATATCTTGGTCCTAAGTTCTGTACTATTCCATCCAGAGTTGACGAATTAGATACAAAAGTGCAATTTGAAAATCTTATGTCTCAGACGAATGATCTACTTCCGACGTCTAGTGAAGACCTAGAACAGTTCAAGTCTGCCATACTGCATTGCTACTTGATGTATCAGTCAGTCAACACTCGCACAATCTACTGCTAAACTTAAATTCCTAATTTTCCTTCCTCATATTGTACATATTATCATTAAACATAATTGGTTTAACACATAATTTAAAAGTAGATATTAATAAAATTTGGAATAGCTTTACTCTTTTGTTCTGCATTTTTAAAAATTTTTTATTTATTTATGAGGACAGATATAAACCTAGTCAAGAAACAAGGGATTAAGATCGGGTCCCAGTGGCTTAATAGTCTACGAGCTCGCCTTGTAACCAGAAGGTCCTGGGTTCGAACCCTGTTGGAGGGTGCGTACTGATGAGGAGTCACAAACTAGGACGAAGCAGCTGTCCAGTACTCCCAGGTTTCCCAATGGTTCTCTAACCGATGTCAGCTCATGATGAAATCCCTTCATTATATTTATTTCAGAAATAGTACTCAGAAGTGTAGCGTTTCAAAAAATTAAAGTAAATATGTGTAAAACTTACTGTAGAACGAATGAAACCAATGCAACACACACAACAATTAAATCCAGTAGATTAAATACACTACGGCAAAATGCTCCTTCATGAAGGACAAATCCATAGGAGATCATCTAAAATATACAAAGGTAAAAAAAATAAGTTTATATGGATCTAGGTACAATGCTAGGTGGTATTAAACATGGAATCGAAAGCCACTGACTTCAAAATCATTGTTGAATCATAAATATTATTGACGTGAACAATATGCTAAAAATTACAACTGGATGAGGAAACTGTAATATCAGAGTGTAGAACATAAATCCCATTTTCACTTGGAGCTTCACTTGTAAAAATGTTTTTTTGAAAACAGAAAATTTAAAAAATCAACAAACAGCCCAACTAATTCACCATTAGAATATATATTCTTAAGTAAACAGTTCAATAAAAATAAGTCTTCAAAACTTGAAATAAGTTTGAGAATAAATCATAACAAAATGTACTGACAATTTGAGTAGAGAAAGAACAAACATTGGTGCAGAATGACATGGATCCATTTTATTTCGTTGGTCCTCATCAGCTGCATCAAACGCCACTCCTTTTTCTTCTGTTTGACTTCTATAAGGGATAATTTTTTTCTTGACCTTATGAATTCTACTCACCATATTACATCATCATCTTTTCATCTGACCTCTTGCACACCAAATTTTGACCTTCTATTTTCCAACTATGTAACTGTTACTCATTTTGGTTGCCACCCTAACAACAAACTTGTCAATTAATTTTCTAGAAACTCTCTAACGATATATATATATATACCTTGTCATCTTGATGTTTTATCTCACCATGACACTCTTATAATATGTTTGCTGATGACAAAAGTATGTTAAATTTTACGCTGACTTTTATTTATTAAAGATTGTAGGTTGTATGCAGCTGATGAGAACCAACGAAACAAAATGAATCCATGTTAATCTGCACCAGTGTTTGTTCTTTCTCTGCTCAAATTTATAAAAGCGAATTTTTGTATGAAATACTGGCAATTATTTCAAATTTGTCTATGGAAACCCCTTAGTGGTGTGCTGAAGGCGTTTGACCGCGTGCATTATGCTTAACTGAAATGCTGGTATTTCGCTACCTTAAAAGTAATTTCTGAGTTCAGAAACAGTATATACATTTATTCCACTAATTATAATGAGTGTGTTTTCGCTCGAAGTTTTTTTGTTTGTTATTTCTTGTGATGCATACTGTTGTCTTTTCCGTCTGACTTCGGATTAATATCAGTTAGACAACCATTTGAAACCAAGGAATACTGGAGAGCTGTTTCGTTTTATTTTAGAACTTCCCCGTAATCTAAATATTTTTAATACTTATTCCTCAACACTGAAGTCACCCAATATACAGAAGCGCCTATCCAATAAAGTTTATATTTTTATATTTATATATATTTTCTTATTTACTAATTACATGTTAAGATTAAATCACTCCAGGTGGAATGTGTAATATGCTTATTTTTCTTTCTGGAAGCGCATCAACCAGTGGTTCTTAGTTTCTGATGAACAGTAATATTTGGTGATGAAAGTAAACCAGTACCAACTTATTATATGTGTCGGTGGCTTGGAAACACCTTCAGTTAAAATCAGCTTATGTAGTTATGCCATTATATTTATTTTAAAATGCTTTAATAAGTATTTAACTAAGTGTGTACATCCACTCTCACTCTTGTTTCCAGACCTATTTCTAGATATTAGTTTGTTCTTACAGTAATCACTAGTGCATTAAATTCTCACCACATTGTTTTATATAATCAATATTTCTATATCCTGAAACCTTCAATTATTTACTATACACGTTTTCTCTTATTCCTTTGCATTCCTAGTTGAATATAGGGCTTCAAGCTTGAGCTTTGAAGTTTCAGTAGTATTTGTGTTTTTTTTTACAAGTTTGCTAGCATCATGCCCAACCTTCCTTTTTTTCCGGGTTAACTATTGGCTAGCAAGGTTTATTAGTATGCTGGCAGGGAATCAAATCCAGACCACGTGCATGGCTGGCGAGTATGTTCCAATTGTCGCTTTCTATTCATACGCATAGTTATGAGTTATGATGGTATACTGTTAAACAATTTAAACTACCTATCTTTTTTCTATCAACAAGATATTTTGAGAAAATATTTGTGACTCATTAATTGCAATAATTACCAGCAGCGAGAATTAGGACTATTCGTAATTTATCTAAGCAGACTTCAAATCAAATTAAAATATAAAGTTAAAATATTTGTTCTGATAAGTTTTTATTACGCATATACTTAGGGAAATAATGATAACATAGTCTTATCAAGTTTGGAAGTATTTTTTTACTGAACTATGAAAATGAAGCTGGTTAAAGCCTTGAAATATCAGACGACCATACAGATTCAGTCCGTAGGACGACTGGCTTCGGTAATAAATTCTACTCACCAGAAAAACTATCTCAGTAGACATTATCTTTAAAAGTACGGTGCACAACTTTCTTTTTCCATTCCAGCTATACAGTTAATTATCACAGGGGATTCTATCTTGATTCATTTGTATTCAGAGGTTTATCGTTTAATTAAGACTAAGAAGAATTCACAAAGCAGATGTCATGAACTGAAAATGTTAGGATTTCTATAATGTGTGCTTTAAAAGAGATATAACTAAATTTCACCTGTAACATCTGAAGAAGAGCAGTGTTCCATAAATGGTAACTGAAGAGAATAAGTAATGATGATAAACAGTGGAAACTTTGATGGTCATCTATAGGTTAACAATGGATTTAACTAGCATACCACTACCAAATCATTATTATTATCATCACTTTAGTTGTGTACTAGTACTTAACTCATTTTATAAAAAATATCATTAATCTATAAGATACGTGAATACTCACAGTTAACTTACCTTTAGTGTGATTTCAACAGTAAATACACTAGTGAAGAAGTAGTCAAACGAGTTCAAAATCTGAAACAAAAATGAAATCATAGTCATCATGTGAACCGAAAAGGTAGGTTATGTATGCAAGCTCATAGACTAAAAAGTCAGAAGTATTCCTAAAGTTTATCACAGGATTTTAATGATCGATGAGACCAACTGCAAATACCCTAATCATCGTAGTGTCTAATATCCTTCTTTATTATAGTAGTTACCATTCTCTTCTTCATATTTTAATGACTATTGCTGAAATGAATCTCTGTGCATAAAATGATGTGGAGTTCATAGCACTTACTGTACAACCATCTTTCAAAATATTATCAAATAATAATCAACCGACTAAATAACTAAACATCACAAATTCACACTTATGATTTCTTCCAAAAGTATATATGATAAATATGAATGTTTACTTCTTCAATAATTTTGAGCAGTATGTGACTTCAAAGGTTTTTTTCTTCTAATTTCGTGAAAACAGCACTATACTACTAACTGAAATGAGTAGTTGGAGATTGGTTAGTGAAACAGTACTTGTCAGTCATACCAAAATCATCCAAACACCAAACAGTTGTCCTGTTCATTTGAAGTCGAATTCTTCATCAACAGTGTGTCAGCTCAGAAAACTGAATCTGCTAAAACCCCTCGAATTCTGACTAGCTACTTCAGCCAACTGAAGGACACATAGAACCACCTCGAATTGCCCAAGTTTCAAGTGAAGTATTTGATTTAATAGAAATAAAGCTTTTTCACTATTAAATGATGGAATGAAATGAGGATATCTACACTATTAAATAGATACAATTAAAAGACTGCTTTTAAATTTAAATGTCAGAGCCTTATGTAGATATAATGGAAAAGATTTAGGTGTTTTAGTAAATCCCAAGCACTACCATTTAATTAGAACGATAGGAAAACGTAGATAAATGATATGACGGAATAATTTCACCTTCAAGTCTGACTTTACATAGTAAGATTCGACACTCAGTGGAAAAATTATAAAAGATACTTAAATTTAGAAAAATATTTAAAATATACTGACAAGTGAATAGATTTTTCTCATATCAGTGGATAGCTGTATATGAACTGTATAGAAAACGTTATGTGAACTAAGTACTTTAATCAGTGCAAAAATGCAAAATACAGGTGAACTCTAATAAAAACTCTCAGCTATAGTCATAAGAGCCAAATATTTTAATGATACTAGTAGAGAGGAATTAATTATTTTAAGCGATATCCCATCTGTAAATGGCCATTTTAATAAATTCTCAAAGAAACAAGTGGGTATGAAAACAGAACTGTAAAGTTTTTCAGAACCCGGGAAGGGTCATTAGATCTATATAGCTGCCAGTTAAAGATGATTTATGCAGTGAAATGGTAATTTACAGAAAATGTGAATCCATCTGCAGAAAACTTCAGGTGGTAAGGTTATAAAGTATTCGATTTACACAAGTAATGATAACACCGAAACTGAGAGATGAGTCTATCTGTTTCACTTAGACTGCTTTCGTGATAGCATTTACACTGGTTATATATGCAGGGAATTTAATCCTCCGTGCTGGTGAACATCTAGCATTGTTAAACAATGGTAAATAATAATAAGATTAAGGTAAACCGACTATTCTAAATCACTTATCATGCTTTTATAAGCTTTCTGAAACTCCTTGCATTCGAATTCTGTAAACATTGGTAGCCCAAAATAAGCAAGCAGAAATTATATGTGTTAACCTAGCTTGCTGTGCAACGTAGAAATTTTAAGACTCCACAGAGATGAACCCATTTTGGTTTGGGACTCAAAATTATATGTAAATATTATCTACTACTTTTACTGGAGGTGTGCTTAGATCATTGGGCTGCCAGAATTTCTGTCCATCAAAATGCCTAAACTCTTCTGCACTTCTTGTTGTTTTAATCATGCACTTATATCAAATGATCAATGAATGAACTCGCGCGCATATTTAATTAGTTTCCCACTATACGCTATGCAATTCTTGAAGGAAAAAATGTACAGAATTGGTTTTCTCTTCATATGCAACAACACTACTACAAGTGATGTACTTCAGATTATTGCTTTACATGTAAATTCTGTATGAAGAGGAAATATTTTGGAACTAAACAGGCTGAAAATTCCTGTCATATATGTTCACATATTGTCTGAAACGAAGCTTTACTATTATTATTCTCTCAACCCTCACTTTTTCAAATACTTTCATCACACTCACTTAATCTTATATATATAGACAGTTTCATTAGAAGACAAAGTTTTTCTAAAGAATGTGATCACAAATAATAGGATTTTTAAGGGTAAGGAGATTGACACTATTCGTGATAATATATTTAAATAAGTAAAGTCAAAGTAGGTTATATGTAATAATAATAAACTGTTTTAGTATACAAGAAAAGGGGTAAATTTTACCAATAGTTATCTTCACAGCATGTTTTTCTGTGTTTATGACAGTTTTTGTATTGAAAACTCAGTTGTTTTAAAATCAATTTTATAATCTATGTGTTTAGCTATGGATGATGTTAGTCAACCATTTATGATTGTCAGCATCTGCAAGTCTAGTTCTTTTCTAAAGTATTCGGATAAATATTCCATCACACTTGCTTGCAAAGATCAAAAACTCCTCCCCGTGTATCTGCCCATATGCATTCATAAACTGGTTTGCAGTGTGTGATAGGAAGTGGTCATTTGTGAAACGCTGAGACTGGCAATAGATTATTTTTTACGAGTTGATCATGGACTGATATCAGTTAGAGAACCATTGAAAACCAGGGAGTACTGGACATCTGTTTCATCCTAATTTGGGGATCATCGGGAGTACGCATCCACTGGGATTCAAACCCAGGACCTTCCGGTTACAAGGCAAACTCGTATACTATTCAGCCACTGGGACCCGATTCAATGGCCAGCCCATGAACTCTAACTTCTACCAATTAGTGATTTAGCGCGGCCCCAACCCATGTCGTCGGTGGGACATCCATCCTCACACCTGACATATGGATGGACCTCATTGGTCACGACTTCTCACTAGAACTCCAGGAAACTCCATCCTGTAACAAGTCACTAGCGAGCATCAGATTAGTTTTCTATAGTTTGGTTTGCAAGGGTTAGTAGTTGAATGGTATACGAGCTCGCCTTGTAACCGGAAGGTCATGGGTTCGAATCCCAGTGGGTGCGTACTGCCCATGATTCCCGAATTAGGATGAAACAGATGTCCAGTACTCCCAGCTGGTTTTCAATGGTTCTCTAACCGATCAACTCGTAAAACATAACTAGTCCTTACAAACCAAACTATAGAAAATAGATTATGTCTTAATAGGGGAGACAAGTTCTGTGATTTTAAGATAGATTAGAATCTACTATCAGCAAAACAAATTATTACATCTCTACTTATCATTACTGTGAAAGTCAAACTTATGCTCTAGAACAATTAAATGATTTACTTTAAATTTCAATTTATGGAAACAGTGTGTTGTCTAATTAGATGGTTATAAGTAATGGGTAATGAAATAAACAAATTTTAGAGGAAGAAAAGAGAGATAATGGTCAGATTAAAGATGGGGAATACTTTTTGAGTGATCTGGATCAACCCTTTTCGAAACACGACAACTAGTACTTAATATGAATGTTATTTTTTAATGTAAAGTTACGAAGCATTCTTCATTCATTCTTTTCAAGACACAAGTGGATGGGGAACGACTTATGTCTAGACCGTCTGACTCTAAAAAAGCTTAGAATCTGTATAATAAACCCAAGTCAAAAGCTGAACACAGTGTTTTACCAGCTTTTCAAGGCATTAAATCTCAGTTAATACAGATATGAATAATCAAAAAATGCTCATATTCAAAAACAATTCATGAGAGTTTTCACCACCCTCAGTGATATTTTATTGTAATTTGGGTGATGAATAACAACTATGAGATATACTTACTTTGTTTCTGTTTGAATTAGCATGTAATGGATCTTCTGCAGCAAGAAGGATACTACTCACCAATATACAAACAAGTACAATATTCCCAAAATGCGAGAAGCAGACCACATTATGACAAAATATTCGAAACCTATTCAATATAAACAGGGCATAAAATACAATACGTTCAACAGGGATATGTGTTAAATCAACAAGATATTTGGCCTTATTTAGTGCTAGATATATTGAAGATGCCGACAGTATAAATTCCTTTGTGCAGTAATTCTTATATCTTACGTTGTTCGATGAAGGCTACATCCTAAGTTTAACTTTTTGTATACTAAAGATTAGGTTAAGAATTCTTTATTCATAGACTTAGTGACTTTATCAATAATAACTTTGTATTAAAATGTACGTTCAATTTACAGTATTATTTAAGTAGTACTTCTGTCAGGGTTGCAAACTTTCAAATTTTGCTCTTTAATTTAAAATTTATTCTGCAGCTTCATTGTTCGTTTAGACGCTATGTAATTATTTATGTTTCGATTACCTCTCCATTTATTCAGTTTAGGCAAATTGCCGGATGGTATTTTTCGTTTGTACTCATAATACAGACGGATTTGTATCCATGAGACTTTTTATTATCATTTGTTTTGTACAAATTTCCCAAAAATCTCCTTGCAGTGTTTTCCCGAATAGAAATACTGTGGAAATAATTTCATTTTCGATTATAAATTAGATTAAGCGTTGTTCGGAACTTTATTACAACTTCATATTCTTCAACATCTGGGGAACTTAATCATCAAAAAAATGTTTTTTCATTCTTTTCATTCTGAGCAGAACATTGTGCTTCAGACTTGAAGCCTTGAAGCTCCAGTAACAGTGGTGTAATTCTTACTGGATGGGGTGGCTAGCCCCATGCCTAGTCTTTCTAAGAGAGGTTTGAGAATGTGTTCGCTCTGAATCGAACCTCGAACTATATGCATTGTTGCCTACCACAGACGATCCACTGCAAATAAGGCTATAGGAAATCTTCACAGCTGATTTAATATATTGTATATATTTCGCAATTTTTTGTAAAATGAATATCCTCATTCAGTAGAGCCATTAAAAGAGAAGTTGGAGTAATTTGTGTATCGATATACTACTTAATAGATGAATTATGATGATGATGCCATCTTGATTGAAAATGAAACAATGCGCTTGTAAAGGTGTATTACATTTACAAGTGTATTGTTGTACTTTTATTTGATGATAAAATATTTCCTATGAATTCCAGAAAATTCTGACGAGACTACAGAATTATAATTTATAAAATTCTAGGCTTCAGATTCAAAAAATAATTACAAACAAGGAAGGCTGATTTATCTTAACAAAGGTTTATAATTCTTCAAAATTAATCATATTGTTTGCAAAAATAGTGATTTAGTGAACCATATTTTTATTCTGTCATCACTCTAGAAGATCCGAGCTAAGCAGATGATTTGTGTGTATGTCACACAAACTTGAAGACTTATGGGCGGAAGCCAACATGTTGAGAGGGGAAGCAGCAGTGACAGGACTTCAAGTGACCACAGAAAAGACGGAAGTGATGAAGATACTCAACAACCAACAACCAGCACCAGCCAATATCAATGGACGAAATTCAAAAGAGGTCACTTCCTTCACGCATTATCGTTTCAACTACAGGCACACGGTACGGATTAGGATCGAGGAAGCAGGACAGACAGACCTTCATCACTATGAAATCAGTTTATAAATCTCCTGCCTAAAGCATAAAGAACAAAATTCGAACTTTTAACACCAATGTTAAGTTAGCTCCTCATATATATGTGAGAAACTTGGAGCATCACAAAAAGCATTTCCGACAGGCTACAGAATGTTATCAACAGCAGTCTTCGTCGGTTCAGTATTGAAGATAAGGTGGCCAGTAAGAAAGTATCGGCAATGAGGAATCCTGGTAAATAATAGCCCACTAACCCATAGCCCAATAAATATGTGGAAGTAAATGGGGGTGGACTACACGCACACTGATGAGACTGTTGAGTGACATCAACCTTCAGGCTCTTGGTTGGTACCCAAGTGGGAAATGATGAATTGGCAGAGATCGTGTGAGGAGGAGATAAGAGCTTGTGATTAATCGTCACTCCAGATGAAGAGAACTGCAGAGAGCAGCGCAAAATGGTGATGGGATGTTGAAGCCCTATGTTTCAATCGGAATCCAAGGGAATAATAATATCTGTCGTCACTTAAAGTGAATACATCTAACAGAACACTGCAATATCTGTTTGAAAAAAATATGTAACTTGTATATAAGCCATCTGTAGAGTCATTCATAAGCTCCATTCATGTAAGAATACACAGGCTGAATAAGCCTATTACTATGCAATGACATATCAGAAAAAGTAAGGTAAGGTATGAAAATGTTTTACGAAATCTAGTCAGTTGTAGAGTATCGTACAGTGAATGTAGAATAAATTAACCAATCAAAAACAAACATACTTGTTAGTATCAGCAAATATAAAGAATGCAGAATGTGGTGGCATAGTTCGACTATCTTGTGGTGACATATCTTTTTGATCATCACCATTTTTATCATCTAGATCTCCTTCTTCTTCAATATCCTCTTCTTCAGCAAACATTTCTTCATATGTTTGATCCTCATTTTCTAAATCAAAATTTGTATTATAAATGAAAATGAATTCAGGTAAGTTGTTATGACCGAATGAGTTGATTTGATAAATGTAATTTACAGTAACCCCTTAATATTTCCCTTAAAATGACAAAGTTTAGTTTATATAAACTAATATACTGTAAAAACTATACTATTTCTACATCTATGCTAATACTGTTATAGATTTAACTTGACAGTTATATCTAACCTGCCATTTTTAATTAATCCTCAGATTTTCAGGGCAATGGAAAAAGCTGTTCCAAGCTTTATTATGTAATTTAAAGAATTTGAAAAAAATTCAACTGGATCACAAGCTGACATCTTTAAGACAACCACTGAAGACCAGGGAGTACCTGAAAGCTGTTTATCCCCTGTTTGGGACTCTTCAGCAAGACCTTCAGGTCACGAAGTGAGGTACTGAGTTTAATTCCTTTTAGAGTTAGTTATCAGTGCGTACTGATGAAGATTCTCAAAAAAGGACGAAACAGCTCTCTAGTACTCCATAGTTTTTATGACTATCCAGCTAATGTCAGCTTGTGATCTAGTTTGAAATTAATCAAATCCTTGAATGCCAATACTTGGACAGTAAGAATGGATTGATTACTCTACGATTTCAAAGATAAACAGCGCATCATATTCATTTTGTTACTTTATTCTAACCTACTTATCTAAGTGAAGTAATACTGTCAAAGAATCTCAGAGCTAAACGTTTTGCTACTATTTCACCAACGCAAAAGAAGTGATGAGATAAGCAAATTAAACAGGTTTGTAATTCATGTTTCAAACGAATGGGAATCAAAAGCAGTATTCAGATATTGAGTTTGTGCAAATATTTGACTGATTTCACTACGAAATGAAATCCGTTAGCGCATCATTGAAACTGCAGGAAGTAATATATAGCAATTTTGTCCTAGTTTGTGATTCTTTACATTTAGGTGTTAGGTTTGAAGGAAACTGACTAGTTTCAGTCCTTTTTGAAGTTAAAATCCTTCAGGTAAGAAACAAATAATATGAATGCTGCATGTTATCAACAAAAGCGCCTAAATACTTATTAGTTATATAATCACGATTACGAAATAGTATGGTATCTTTCAGTGCGAACAGAAGGATATTTTCCAAGTGTTGGTTTGCAGGGATTTAACTGGTTGGTTACACGATTGCATCACGAGCTGACGTTGGTTACAGAACCATTGGAAAACCTGGGAGTACTACCTGGCTGTTTCATCCCAGTTTGGGACTCTCTGCACTACGCACCTACCGGGCGTGAGGAGGAATACTCACCAAAGACAGTGACTATTGGTCGTGCTACAGCGTGAATTAGCAGAAGTTAGAATTCATGGGCCATTGAATCAAGTCCCAGTGGCTTAATGGTCTGCGAGCTCGCATTGTAACCAGAAGGTCCTTGGTTCAAAACCCAGTGGGTGCGTACTACCGAAGAATCCCAAACTAGGACGAAACAGCTGTCCAGTACTCCCAGATTTTCTAATGGTTCTCTAATCGATGTCAATTCATGATGAAATTCTTATGATATTTTTGTCTCTGTACATTTTTATTGCATTGCATTAAAAATTCCTGTAGATAAATAATATCATCTTCATTTTTAACTTTTTAATTTGTCCTTCACAATCCAAACATATGTACGAACTAACAAGCAATTGATATATGCTAGCGTGTGGTAAAAATCATTCAAGTAATAATCTTTTGAATCATCCTTTCATAGGTTGGCTGTTTGGCATATGAGTAACACTTAATAAGTACATCATTCGTCGGCTCAAAAGTAACACCCACTACAATCGAAATTAAATGACTCATAGTGAGCACAGAAATACCATATTTGATGCCTTATAGTAAAAACTGATTAAAAGAAGAGTCAGTTAAAATTGTGCACAGTACACACTGCTATACTCCATATAAGTTTTCACGAGGTTATTTATCCAGTATGCAAACACCATGCAGAAATATACTTTATTGATATGAATGAAAAACATTGCATCAACTATACAAAATTCTCTTGTAGTCAAAACAATTTTTTGTCTTGTGTTTCTAGACATCTGATTTAGCCCGACCAAAATTTATTCTTCTTCAGGCAAACAATTAATAGCATTACAATATCCTTGATCTAACTCTACTTCTAATTTTACCTAATCATAGTTCTGGTGAATATTTACAACTTTCAGTTAGCAAATTGCAAAACATTCCTTGAATAATTAATTGTTACTAATTAGGTTGTCATTGGTGTATCAGTAGTACAGCGGAAGAATTTTCGCTGACCACGCATGTGGTCCAGGGTTCGATTCCCGGCCGACGCACTCCCTTACCTAGCTAAGCCAGTAATAAGACTGGCAGGGAGGGAAAGTTGGGCATGAGGCTAGCAACCCCATCCCGTAAAAATAAACACCACTGCTACCGAAACTTCAAAGCTATAGCTTGAAGCCCTATGTCCCACTGGGAACGTACAGGAATAAAGTAATTTTAAAAAATAATAATAAAGTTTTCATTGCTAAAATAGTTATGTATTATGTAATTTTCATGTCTACTGTTTGAAATTGTTGAACTCAGTATATTTCTGAGTTGAAACAGCATGCACAACTTACCCGGTTTATTGTACTCTAGCTTCATTCTATAAACAATAAAAATCATAAAATAAAACAAATTTAGTGGGGTAAATTCTGGCGAAAGTAAGTTAGACACACATTTGTAATGCCAACCAACTAAGTGGATAATAGTAACTCTGATGAGATGGTATACTACATTGAAACCAGGTTCATTTTTCAATAAATTGCCTGAAAGCATTATTAATGAACTGTTCTAACCAATAAAATAGTACTAACTCTTTTATCGGGGCACTAGAGGAATCTATAAAACTAATGCGGATTGTTAATCATCCTAGTTTATACGAAAAGAAATAATTCTTCCCCATGCAGTCATAGTGAAATCTGCTTGACCAGTGGTGCATCTACAATCCTTGGTTCACGGTCATGCAAAGACTACATGATGCTCTAAAATGCAAATCCAAAAATGCAAGGCAGGTTTTAGGTTTGGATAGTAGGGGGTTGCTTATATTTTCCCCCTTTGACAGGTTGTGGAAAACAGGCATAGTTATTGGTTTCCGATGCTTAATACACTTTTAGACTTAAAGGCAGTGAAGGATTTCATTAGTTCACAAATGTTCTGATTATTTCTGATGATCATAGGAGAGCTGAGAAAGTATGCTGTGTTAATCGAGGCACTCTATCTAAACACATGAAGCAACTTTACTTCTAGTGGATATTTTCAGGTTGTAGTGGTAACAGTCGATGGTATTTGTCAAAGATGACCACTATTACTGTTCTCCTTTAGTTATGATACAAATTCACTGTTGAATAGGACTTTGGTTGGTTTAAACCTCTCAGGAATCGAGTTGTAGCCGAGGATTTAGACAGCACATAGGAAAACTCCTTTTGAGATAAAAGAATGCTGAAAACTGACCGAAATTCTGAGCATGTGAGGCATATGATTAGCCTGTGTCATGTAAAAGAAGGACTGATAATCACTAACTTCCAGTCCACAGGTAAGAATTGACGTTGCTGAATGTCTCGACTGTTTCATCTATTTAAAGAGTTCTATAACCCCGAATTGACTAGTTTTTGAAAAACTACAAAATTTGCCAACTAGTTACACTTACGTCCTAAGTGTTTCAGACAATCAGTCATTAGGACTGTAAAACACGCCTGCTAGTTGTAGATCTGCTGAGGTTTCAAGTTTTTGATTAAAAGTGAACTAATTCCCTTACCAGCGTTGAGCGAAGCAAAATAACAAAGAATAACCTGCTCTGACCCAAAGTTTTAGGTAAAGATGATTAGTTATATAATGTAATTTGAAACTGCTACCTATTGAGTATTATGTCTTTCGAACAACTATCTGAGTTTACCAGTAATGCTAGATGTAATTCGACCCGAGTGAAGAACAGTGATGAGAGACAAGATAAAGACACAGCACCAACTCATCCAGTCTTTTACAATCAGTTCATTCTAGTTATTTGGATCCCACAGTCTGTAAGGATTATTGTCTAGTGATTCTCAGAGACACTCCTCAAAGTCGCTTATAATGGCGTAGATAAATTCGCTATATTCATCATTTAGATTCTGAAAATCTTTATTTATCAGAGTTTAATTATTCTATTCCCCACATATCTTCATCCATTATGGTTCCATTATATTTCTTTTCTATTAGTGAACTTCTTTTCCAAGTTGTGGCAAACTGAACTAATACACTTTAACTCAGTGTTCTACTTTGAAAAAGGAAGTAATGCAGTCACTAAAAACAGAATTAGCTTAAGAGAAAATAATTTTCAAACTTGCTTTACACTTTTTAAAGTTCGAAGCAGACTTAATTATATCATAATATTCAGCTACATCTCAGCGATAAGTAAAAATTGCATCAGAACACAAGAGATGACTCTTGTGACTGAGAAGTCTAGTGAAATTCCCTCTAATGTTTGAGGTAGTCAGTAATAATGTTGAATTAAAGTGGAAATATTACCATAAACTTTCCTGCAGACACATATAGCTAAAAATCACCTTATATTTGATAGCTATCTGCCATCAAGTAAATACATAAAAACACTAGTGTCATGTGAGAAAACAAAAGTGGTTCATTTAACTCCTCTAAATCTCCCATTAGGTACAAAAATCTGAGTGAATTACTGTACGCAAATCTGTCATTATCAGGGATTGCAAACTTAATGAAAATTGAATAAAAGCGTAAAACTTGTCTTGTCATCAATCTTTAACCTCAGTGGTCCAGAAAACAAACTGTCTTTCCCAAGGCAGAAGTGCCAATAAGACTAAATGTTAAGTATTGCCCTTTCATAGATGGGATTATTAGCATGATAACAAAAGAGGTATCAAACATCTTTCGAACATCTGTCAATGATTATTATTTTAAATAAATTTTTTAAAACATACGGAGAGTTTAAGTCATTCTGTTTCTCCTCTTCAGCTGGTTTAGCTTGTTCAACAACTTCTGTATGTTCTGATGTTTCAATTTGTTTCTTTTGTGCATCACCATTACCATCATCATCTTCATCTTCATCCTCATTCAGATTATCCACAGCGATAGCCAAAAATACATTCAATAGAATATCTAATGATTTTCTGTATAGGAAAGTGTTACTCTGTTGTTGTTTTTGTTTAAAGATAAACCTCAAGAACTGTTTGATCTTGATGAATATTATTAAATGAATTAGAAAAAGGTGCATTTTATTGGAATATAACTTCGCCTATAAATTTGTCTTAGAAACCCTCATTTATTTACAGTCTTAGTGGAATGAGTAATTCTGTGGTGAGAGCTGTGTGCAAGACAAAATTGTAGACAACAATTGACGTCAATGTTTACGTCCCAAATCGGGGTCAGGAGAAAAAACAAGAATAAAGCTTAACCTTGATGAACTCAACAACCAATCACAACAGACTTAGCGTGGGCGGATACGATTCGCAGATATATCACCGGACTGTCTAAGAAACAGAAACACAGGGATGACAGAATAACCTTCAGCAAGAAAACAACCAATCAGAAGACGTTACCTCTCCGCTAACAATAAAGAATAATAATGTACATAAAAATCTATAAATATCTGTTGATTTTCTCAATAAACGATCTGTTGCCTGGCCCTTGTCTTCTGTCGTTACAATTCTACTGTTTCGTTACAGTATGAAGGCAACCAGCTCTAAGGGTAAATCTTATAAATAGACGTTAACCTGAGTAAAAAAGTGGATTTATTCATACCAGTAGATACACAGACATCAGTATAGAACCTAAAATCTTTTATTAATGCTGCAAACTGTTACACCCCATATCTGCAAACTAAATGGAAGGAACAGAATGAAAGCAGTATAATCGAATTCCATATAATGCTATCAGATAAATAATTCTGGCAACAGTAATTTAGACACTTTCGGGTTCTTGACAAATTACCCACGCAAATAAAATTGAAAATTAAGTTACTATATTGTAAAATACACGCATAAATTGGCTGGATAATTTTCACCAATGCCTAGCAGCAATTTAATTAACACTTCAACAGACTTTGAAAAGGATACAGTTGCCGCATATGAAAAGAAATATGAAGTAGATAACCACAACTCCATACCACGGACTATTTTCATACGCTCTCATACCATTGTACATAACTTCATTCCAATCTTCACCGGTAAGGATCTACATTTGTGAGGAAGAAAAGTAATAACAATGACAGTAATATTCTTTAAATTTTATTTTTGATCTGTTATAAAGCGGTAAAAAGTATTAAAACAATAATTTACACTGAACAGCATATAAAGTCACGTCTTTCACTTATTTAGAAGGCATCCTTTCAACTACAGGTGGCACAGATGTGGATTTCAAAGCTAGCCAATATCGGAAAACCGAGATAGACCATCATTATCCTGAAATCAGTGTGGTAATCTGCTACATTCAGAATAAGGAACAAGATCCAAACTTTCAACACTAACGTCAAGTCAATCAGTGTTTCTATACACTTCAAAGACTCGGCGCGTCAAATAAAGCGCTTCCAACAGGCTACAGGCTTTCATCAGTAGCTGACTTTACTGGCTCGATACTCAAGATCAGATGACCGGACAGAAAGGATAAGCAACAAGGAACTTTGGCAGGTGGCGAACCAACCGTGAATCTATAGCCCAATAAATACGCAGAAGCGAAGAGAGATAGATAAAACATACGCTGTGGAGACCACTGAATGGCATCTTCCTCTTGGTCCTCCAGTGGGACCACAATAGGAAACGATGAGTTGGACGTCCGAGGTTAACTTGGAGAAGATCGTGTGAGGGGGAGATGAGAGCCTATGACATGTCGTGGGGTCAACTGAAGAGGATTGTAGAGAACAGGGCAAAATAGTGATGTGCTGTTGAAGCCCTATGTTCCACTTGGAATCCAAGGGAATAATGATAACATGAAATGTTGATTAAACTGTGTGATTCTATATCTTAGGTGTCCTGATAATCTACTATCACAGGAAAAATCTAGTGACCTCACAAAATGAATGAATACAAACACATCAAACTACTCAAATAGGAGCTTGTCAGTGTATACGTCTTCTAAATACCAATTAATATCTAACCTGATAAGTCTTTGTATTTTAAATAATAGTGATTTCAGTGAAACGATTACCTGCTTAGCAGCTGTGTCTCACAACTCAACTGGTAAGTCAGAAGAAGAATAATTTGGAAGGTGATGGTTCAAATCTTGCCTCGACCTGGATTTTCATTTCACCTGCAACCACCACTCATTACATCAATAACGGATTAATTTATTTTACTAAGGATGCATCTAATTCCAAAAATTTTTATGGTGGGAAATGATATCCTAGTTACATCTTGATAAGTAATATACTTTGTCCAACAATGGAATAAATTTTAGATTTACATTGAATTTTCACTAAGAAGAAGCCAGTGTCATGTGTCTTATGCTTGCTGTTGGTACTGATTTCTATCAGTTAACTTTCCAGTGTGGTCATCAAGCTAGGTGACTCACCATCACAGTGCACTCTAAATACACATTATGTGGTTCAGGGCAGTCCGAAGTAAGCCCTGGAACTAGGTTTCATGCTTACTGGCACTCGTTGGCAAGGATCAAGCGCGAATAGCTCAGTGGTAATGTCTGTGACTATAACACCAGCCGACTCAGGTCTAAATCTCTAAGATGAGATCTATTTATTCAAGGTTGCAAATACACCTTGATAACGATTGCCAATGAGCGTGAAATTTAGTCCCAAGGCTATCTTCTTACACTCTTCATCCAAATAACATAAAAAGTGGAGGACTTTCATTATGAAATTCTACTAACAATAGATAAAATTAGATACTCTTTTGAAGAATAAGAATACTTGTGATTTCTAAATACAAAAATTCAGACGAAAACCATCCAGATTTTCAAATTAAGATGGAAACTTCTTTCAAAATATACGCAAGTGTTATTCTACTTTATCTGTCTGTATCTGACAAACAAATGCAATATATAGTTAGTACAATTTTTTGAGAATAATAAAAAACAATCCTGACTGTTTGTAGATAATACTGAATAAGGGGATTTTTTCCCCCATTGACAGAGCATTTTATACATGAAACAAACCGTCATTTGTCATTTACACTATTAGTGATGAAAATTCTTCATACTTTCTTTGGAACCTCTATTACCAATTGACGCGGTTAGCTTACCGAAATTTAAGCAGTTTAAATAGAATCGGCTCTATGATTTGAATCAATCCACAGACACCTTAAATGAGCCGGAACTCAACTCAGTGAAGTGGACATCTGATGAGTAGAAAATCTGGTTATGACTACATGCACTACCGATTGATGTGAGTGGCTTCTAATAACTGATACAATATATATGGCAAAGTGTACAATAACTCAACTTAAAATGTCTTCATTAACGTCAGTACACATTTGCTAACGGGAAAATTTGCAAGTCAACTAGTGTTACATGTATTACGGCTGCTAATATAATTATAGACAAAGGCACTGTATCTGTAAACCTGATATAAGATCCATTAAAACACTACAGCTCCCATTGCTAAATTAAAAGAAATATGTCTAAATGACCACAAACGTGTATTTAAAACTAGAAATAATTGAGACGCAGATTTATTGAAAGTGAACAGTGTTTAAAAAAGGTTTCAATGCAAATTTGCCACCATATATTGACCAACTTTTTCAGAGCTGAGATCATTCTTAGATGTTTCTAGAGTAAAATGGTTTGATAAGCCTATCTGAAGATTGCTAACATTAAAGATAACCATTTTCTAATTCACGGAAAATCAACAAAGAACAAACCATCTCTATGCCGAAGAAGATGTTATATATGAATGTGGCGTTCCAAGGCGACCTTCTGACCAACATCCTAAAAAGAAGAACATCTAACGCCCTGAAAAAAACATTCTCTGCTGCTACATTACGATTGTTATTTTCAAATCCCCCACTACTCTTCAACAACTCCAAAGATAAACTGTTGCATTTGACCACTTCTGTACGTATCTACCGATTTACTTGCTCATGTGCAGGGAGATATATAGGTCGTTCGATGCGTGTTTTATCTAGAAGAGTCAAAGAACATTATCCCGCTCGGCTACCAAAAAGTAACAGTGGATCAATGAAGAGTGCTATAACTGAACACATATTCAATACTGGTTACTCAATATGCACGGAGAATTTATTCAAAGTCATTCACAAAGTCAAAAGAAGCCTCCCGAAAACGGTAAGCTTCCGTATACTTTGCATTGCCGAGGCCTTAGCGATCCGGATAGAAAACCCTGATTTATGTACACAGAAGAAACTTCTCCACCCTCTCCTTCTACCTTGGGCATAACTCCAAGTTCTACGACTTTGTGAATGTTTTTTTAAAATTTTTGTATGACATCTTAGTAACATCTTCTTAACCAACCCTTTTACAATTACTAGCTGTTAGTAAGCCAAATAAAGAGAAAATTTTGAGCATGAGGCTAGCAACCTCATCCAATCGAAAAACAAAAATAACACCTCTACGGAAACTTCAAAGCCTAAAGCTCAAAATCCTGTGCTTATCTCGGAACAAAGGAATTGAAACAAAATAGTATACAGATACAAATTAAGTTAACAAACCTGAAATACAGTCAGCATAGCTTGTAAAATTCCATCAAAATTTGCTCTTGGTTTTTCATGTGCAATGAAATTAAATCGTCCACCGAATAGTTGCATACCGAGTAGAGAACAGATAAGAATAAATATGGACAGAAGAAGCAACAGACTGGCAACAGATCGTACAGATTTCAATAATTTACCCACTAGACTTCGAAGACTTTCCCAATATCTAAGAAAAAAAGGAATGATCAAAACACATAAATTTCAGTATTATTACACCACAAGATCAAAACAAAATCCAAATCAGACAAATGCCACCACATATTAAGACTGGTAGTAAAAACAACCAAAATACAGAGGAACTATTAATAAACAGCAGATGGTATATGAAAATAAATTAAAGTGGATTTTTAGACCAAAAATATTAGGATGCCCACATATGAATATAGTGAAGAAATTAAAGTTTAATGTTCAGCTATAAAATCCCATTTGTTATCCATAACATTCTCTAGGCAAACAAGCTAAGGGGTTTAACATTAAACTAACTGCTGAGTATTCAAGAGAGATAGAACTTTATGTAGTAAAAACTCATAATTATTGGCTTCATTGCCACAATACTTGAGTATTATGCAATTAGAAACCACTTTTATGAATCATATCAAGTGATTCAGCGAAGAGACTCTTTTCAACGAATTTATTATCAAGTTGTACAGCCATATATATGGGGTTTTTTATTAAGAATTTATATCTCGTGAGGAGATTGAAACAGAGGTGTGAATACATAAAGTGCTGTACCTGAACTTGGAATTCAAATGTAACTTAGCTGACAGTATCGTTAAAAAAAGAGTCTCATAGTTCCTAAAAAAGACATTCTCTGCAGAATCGTTTAGAATAGAATTTTCTAGTCGACCATTACTTTTCAGTAACCTGAAGGACAAGATCCTGCAGCTGACCAACTATATGTGCCTTTATCAATTCACTTGCTCGTGTAGAGGTAGATAATTGGTCGTTCAACTTGGGTTTTGTCCAAGAGGATGCAAGAACACTATTCTGTATGGTTATGAAGAGGTGGAAGGGGGGCTATAAGAAGTGCAAACATTGAACTTTTGATCGATACTGGTCACCCTATCTCTTCAGCCTCTTCCTTTAAATAATCTACAAGATGAAAATTAATTTGCCAAATCATTACGTATCCAACTCATCTGAATTACTGAAGCTTAAGCCATCGAAATAGTAAAGCCAGATCTCTGTAAACAGAAAAAGTTTCCAAGTATTGGTGTTTGTAGGGATTTTGTTTGATTGGTTAAAGGATTTCATCATGAGCTGACATTAGTTAGAGAACCATTGGAAAACCAGCTGGGAGTACTGGACAGTGATTTCTGTTGTCCTAATTTGAGACTCTTTATCACTACACACTCACCGCCATGGTTCAAATCCAGGACCTTCTGGTTACAAGGCCAGCGAGCTCGTAGACCATTAAGCCACTAAGACACGATCTAATGGCCAGTCCATGAATCCTGACTTCTGCCAATTCATGACACCATAGCGCGACCACTTCGTAATGTCTTCTCGATGAGTTACTGCCTCACCTTCAACCTGCTATACCCCACTGGTCACGGCTTCCCGCTAGAATTCTATGTTCAGTGCTTTATCCACAACATGGAGAGTCATGTGCCGTATATAATGAAGGAATTACATACTGCTCATCGGAGAAATTAACTCAAGTGTGATAATATATTAGCACTTTCGCTATTCATTATTATTCACTTATATTCTACAAAACTATTTTGTGTAACAGTAATTATCACGGTTACATAAATAATAAGATACAAGCTAACTGCTTATTAAAAGTTTTCACATAATAAATTCGACTCATGCCCTATTACATAAACTTACAGGGAACTATTGAAACACATGAAGTCACAACTAGTAATTTTTTAGAAAATAAAAAAAACTAGTCCATTCAACAAACTTACTGAGTTAATTTAAATATTCTGAGTAATCTTGCACAGCGTAACACAGAAACACCCATTGGATTGAGTAAACGAGATTTGACAAAAACTAACTCCAATATGGAAAATATGACAACGAAGAAATCGAAACGATTGAAAAGTTTTGAAATATAATCTGAAAAACCTGATGCCGCTATCTTAATGACCATTTCCAATGTGAAAAGCGTAACGAATACCACATTAGCAAAGTCTAAAGATTATAAGAAATATACAATTAATATTTTACAATACTTTGTATAAATTTAACACATATACAATAATATTATGATATTTTTAGCAAATAATTATTTCAAAGAAACCATTTTATCTAGACTTATCCAAACAAAATATGAATTTTAAACATCGGTTAGAGAACCACTGGGAACCAAAGATCACTGGATAATTGTTTCGTCCCAGTTTGGGACTCTTCAGTATAGTATATCCACGACCCTATAGGATTGAGAATCCAATAAAAAAGTCCAAATCACTGAAAGAGCGTGTGTTGATGTTTTGATACATACCTATTATAAGTAAAATTCACGTAAGCATAAAACTTTAATCAAGAATTCTCTAATTGTTATCTCCAGTCACATGGCTTTCTTCAAATGTACACTACAGGGGCACATTTTTTATCAGCCAATAACTCTTATGGAAGAGTGGTAATTACTTACATAGAAGACAAGTGTGACGAGAATGTAGATGGTAATATTAAGGGTTTCAAAAAAATACAGTATTCCAGAAAACAAAAATCAGAAAATCTTACTTTCTATTAATCAGAAGATTTAGTCTACCAAACCTCAATCAGTTTTCTCATGACACAGTTTAAGTATTTAACATTTAAAGTATGTCTCTACCATAGTTTACAATCTTCTAGTAATACAACTCTCCCCCTGACAAAGCGTTACACCGACTAAAATGTTTTAAGCAACTGCACAAAGCAACAGATGTTTGAATACCTTAGTAATACTTTAATTATGTTACACTGACATTCGAAATATTTATTAAAGTCCGATTGTCACAATCCAATCAAAGTACCCATGGTTTTGGACTAATAAACCCAACTTTCATATTTATCTTCAAAAAATGATAACAAAGAAACAGTAATATATATGCGAATCAACGAAAGTAGAATTCAGAAAGAATATGTGTCATTTGATACGCCATACTTTTCAGCGTAGACTTACCTTGGAATTCATCTAACCACTCCGGTTGATTATGATGTTCAGTAGTCAGAACGACTGTGTTGAGAAAGACCAAGATAATAACCAATGCAAAACACTGCCGACTGTTGATAAAAGCGATGACAGCTCGGCGTGTACGTTTGCGAAATTTTCTTAGACGACTAAATTATTTTGAAAGAAAGATACAAATTGCGTAAGAAGATAAACAGATAATATAAAAACAAGTCTCTTTACTACTGTAAAAATGGAAAGTGATGCCTTCTTTTAAAATTTTAGTCTTTTGTTGTCAAGCTAACTTCCAATTTTTTAAGTTTTTTTAGATCAGAGTTGACCATATAAATAAAACCGAACACTTTAGAAGATTTAATACATCAAGTTTTACATCATGACAGAAATTGATCCAAGTGCATCTCTGTAGATATTTCATCTACCTGAATATATTTATATATGAATTCTGTTTTAACAGTATGAAAAATTATTATAAAACGGATTTCAGTAGTAACTAGGGGGGGGCAACCTACAGAACCTATGAATTAATGAAGGGTAGGCAATGTTATCTATTTCATTTTTGAATACTGTCAGAATCCACTCAATGAAGTAATAAAATGTAATCGCCAGACTGACTGACACGTCAGCTTGGTACACTTTAACTTGTCGAAAGTGATCAACAAGTTGTCCTCCCAGACTCATCAAAATCTGACAGCTAGGTGAATATATAACCCGAAAGAAACTGATTTCTTCTTGGAGTTTAAGTGTTGAGGTTCAAGGCATTACCACTTAGTTATTTAATGCAGACTGACAACTTCTTATTCGCTTTCTACTTGTAGAATTTTTCCCGATGAGTGAAAATACTTAGATTTTTGAACCACGACAAATCTCATAATATTACTTAATATGACAATGAAGTAAAACTTTCTGGCTTTATCCTCTGAATTATATTTTGATGTATTATGATAGAATATTATCGTATTATCAGCTTTGTCAGCTAATGAACTTTTAAAAGCAAAGCATGATCTCTCTGTAGTATAACCTCCATAGATTACGAAAGACATATGATTCCTTATTCAGAAGACAGCTGCGTCTGTGGATGAGGTTACTCCTTTCATAAACACTTTCAGTATATCACCTAATTGTTACAGGTTCATGCTAAAACCTGAATTCATTCATATTAATTAAAATTTAATCGATTAAAAAATATTCTATTCCAGCACTATGGATAACAAAATAAATACACCAAGTTTCAGACAGAGCTAACATTTATATATCCTTTCTACACAGACAAACAAAACAAAATGAACAAAGAATAATATTCTTCAAGATAACAACAATTCTCACTACATACCGTAGGGTACTATGACAGTGTGTTTTCACTACCTCTTCAACATGCATCTCTGGTTCTTCTTCGACTATCCCATCACCACCGCCTAAAAATGTTTTATAGAATAAAGTTTAACTGAAGGTGTACAAAAACAACAACAACAATAGTCATACAATGGATCAATTTAATTAGTCGATAACTGGCATTTCTGAAGATATATATCGATCAAAAATTCTTTTAGCGCACAATGTATATATAACATTTTCATAATAATCCTACTTTTCAGTGGTTAACAACCGATCACTAGTGTTAATCGATACAGAATTAGACATAGACATGCTTACTACAAGAGGAAAAGATCGCATAAGGATTTTTGACAGCAAAATAAATACCTCCGTTTTTTTTTACATTCATTTTGAAAATACGCTTACCTACACAAGTACTTGAATAGAGAGTTATTCAGTCTTAGAAACATTTATGTAATATTCATTCATAAAACGCCTAATGTAACTTTATCTGTGAAACGTGATAAGAAAGTCTAAAATATTCAGAACAATTGTCACTTTCTAGTTAAATTTCATAAAAGAAAAAAAAATTGCCAACGCGAAGAAAGAAGAACATTGGAAATATTAGTATTACATTCTGTTAAATACATTAGCAGTAAAAATAAGCACTATGATATTTGTTTTTAGAGGATACAAGCAACCAAAACCGAACTTAGCCCACCTCTAGAATGCAATTAGTAGAAATGATATTATTTTTCTCAGATCTGTGGAAGTATTTTCTAAGTACTTATTAGCCAGGCTTTTGACTTCAGTCTTACTGGGCTATCTGATATCTTTAGCGTAGAATATCAGGATACTGACACTTCATTATATGTTTAGGTAGGTAATAATAATAATAATCTAAGCAACATATTATTTTAAGAATACTAACTGAAAAGGTTAAGCGAAGATACGCATTTAGATAAAATGTACAGCATATTGAATAGAAAGATACATAAAAGCTCTGAATTAGCGCATTAGTTTAAACTTCAGTATTTAAAATATTAAGAATATACAGATTTGGATGTTGGATGGGTGAAATATGATGCATTCTATATACCTACATGTGAGTTTTTTTCAAGTCTCTCTATGGAGGTTCAGATTAGAATAGAAAAAACTGAAACTTAAAATACCGACTTTTATAACCTAATAAATTTTTGTACAAGGCAAATTGCAACAACTGTGAAAAACATTATATAGGTCAGAGAGGATGTCTTCTTCATCTTTACATCCGTAAACATAAACTAGCTGCCAAAAGGTGTGCTATCCATTCCCTTATGTCAGTACGTGCAAACAACTATGGATACCAATTCAACTGAGGAGGATATACAAATCTTAAACGAAGTAAAAAAAATGAAGTGTCTGATGATTCCTAGATGTATCGTACTCAGACGAATCTGCAGTCAGCAAACATATATATATATATATATATCAGATTTATCGAACACGTAGGCGAAAGGTCAACAAATTAATAACCACTGATACAAGTAGATGAGAATGTGAAAAATCTCCGGAAACGACAAATCACCTTCAAAGTCATCAAGAAAGTTGACTAATTAACTGATAAAGAATTCTAAAAGTTCACTTTATATTGACGTCTGCGCCAAAGGTATTGCCTAGTAAGACTATGCAAATCAGAGATAACAATTACATCAATTTCATACATTAAAGTTGATCTATGAAGCTGAATTTACAAGTGAAGAAAGAGAGATCAGACATGTAGTTATATGTCAAACATCTGAACTAAATGGTATCCTTTTTTCATTTGCATTCTGAGTGGAACACGGCTTCAAGCTATGGAGTTTTATTACGAGTGGTGTTGCTTTTATGGGGTGGGGTTACTAGCCTCACACCGAAATTCCTCCTCTTTACCGGGTTTACTATTGGGTAGGCAAGATTTAGAAGCACGTCAACGGGGAATCGAATCCGGACCTCTTGTGTGGTTGACGAGCATTCGACCACTGAACCGCTAACATACAGTTGTTATCCTTTGTCTTATAATTTCACTTATTGCTATGCGCAGGACTCAGAACTATGGTTAAGTTTCGTTCCTCCATTTAAAATAATGATAACAATCCACATCATCCACACTTCCATATACAAACATCAAAGTGGTATTATCACTAAAAGAAAAGTAGAGAAGTGATGTTTAAAAAAATGTTTTAAAGTGATACATCCCAGTGTCTTAGTTCATACTTATATGTCTATTAATATCACCACCTCAAAAAAGTCATACATCTGACGAGACCTGGTTACTGTTTGTCGTATCTATAGTCAGTTTATCGAAAGATACTGCACAACAACAGGAAGAAAATAGTATTTACGGTCAAAACTTGCATTCAAAAAATACATCCATGTATATATATATATATACCAAACAACTTATTCATTTTTGACTGACCTGATTCCAGATCCTCACTTCCTTTGTCATCGCCTTCAGAGTCACTGAGCTCCTCTGAAATAAAAGTAAGATAAATAAACATGTTTTCAATCTTTCAGTCGGTTGTACTTCACTCAAAATAGGTATCACAACAACTGGTTCAATAAATCTGTGATTATAACAACAATGATAGCGATAATAAGGTAACTGATAACGACAAATGTAATTTTAGTCAACACGTCATCTCAAAATATACAAACGGTTAACACATCTATCTGATACAACAACTAAAACAACATTTGAACATAACAGATATTAAGGTTACGCACAGAATAAACAAATATCAACATAAATGACACACAGATAAATAACCTCTGAGGGTTTCACAAAAGGAAATCAAAGGATAGACATACATATCTATATAAATATACAACATAAAGTAAACTTTTTTAATCCCCTGACTAACATTCGGAGTGTCAGCTGGAGATAAGTGCAGACAATTCGGCTACCTAGCAGAAAGAAAATTCAAGTGAAAAATGAAAATCTGAACAGTTCTTTCTTTAAAAAAAAATACACATCTGTACGTTTGGATAATTGCAAAACATTCAACCTAACTTTGTGTAATAGACTTTTTCAAGTATTGGTTTTGTAGGGATTTTGTTTGATTGCATTGAGGATTTCATCACTAGCGACTGGCCCTATTCAGGCAGTTAACCTGGGTTTCTAGTGGAAAGCAGTGACCAGTAGGGTACAGCAAGTTGAAGATGAGGCAGTAACTCATCGAAGAAGGCATTGCGAAATGGTCGCGCTATGTCGTGAATTGATGGAAGTTAGAATTCAAGGACCATTGGACTGGGTACCAGTGGCTCAATGGTCTACGAGCTAGCTCACCTTGTAACCAGAAGGTCCTGGGTTCGAACCCCACTGGTGGGTGCGTACTGATGAGGAGTCCCAAACTAGGATGAAGCAGCTGCCCAGTACTCCCAGGTTTTCTATTGGTTCTCTAACTGATGTCAGCTCATGATGAAATCCTCTATGTAATAGACTTTTCAAATAAATTCAAGTGACCAATAATAGTAAATCTGTAAATAAGAGATTCCTTAAAGTGAATTGCGAGACTTTAGTATAAATGAAATAAATTATGCTTACTGAGTATTATTATCTCTCCTCTTACTTTATCACTTTACAACAACAAATGCAAATGTCTGAATTTCAAAATACCAGCTTACTACTTAACTAATCATGAATGGAAAAAAAACCGAGTCATGGAAGAATTTGAAATATTTGTCTTCAAATTACAAACTTTGGCGTCTAACAAACTGAGAGATAACATTCACCTGCTGATTAGTCTCCTTGGAAAGAGATCATGATTACTTATGTAAGTGATAAAATTGAAGAAGTTTAGAAAATTTCAGTAATCAAGAATGCTATGTTCGTGCAGGTGCGCATTAATTAATATGCAATCCAAAAATAATTAGTAAGTTTACAGTCTAAGTCTTAAACGTGATTATAATGAAGATTACTGAGATTTGAAGTATACGTCTGCATAACAGTTACACTTTATAATAGAACTAAGGTAAAAATATAAGGCCTCACAAATAAGTGTTAGCATCCTTGAATCTTTTAATAACATTTACACTTTAATGCCGACTACTATTTTCCATTTTTAAACAAGTAATACTTCTTCAATGTGTATTTTAGGTGGCTTAAATAACTACTTTCAAATAAGTACAAAAATTACTATCCCATTCGCGTATGTATGACTGAGCCAGGTTCAGATTGCATAAGGGAGATTAGTTCCTTCAAGATTGCAGATACGCCTTAGTGACGAGAGCCAGCAAGGACGAAACCTAGATACAACGCTTCCTGCCAATTACCTCCAACCATCTAACAGTAATACAATCCTGCAAAATTGTATTTTCAGAAGCCAATGTGGCGAATGTATAGACACTGATAATTATACACTGGCACTGGCACTAAAAAAAACTTGAAGTGCTCAATGTAAATATTATATATGTGATTAAGATAGGTAATAAATGAAACTTCAAATATTCTTTCTTTTTCTGTATTTCTGCTTGTTTCAGTACGAGGGTTTATGAATTCATCATATCAAGTAGATATTACTGATAATTTAGCAAATGTCTACTTATTTCACACAAAACTGACTAATCTTCCTTATTTTCAGTCCAGCAGCTCTATGCTTACAAGCCACACAGTTACTTTAAGTAATTTTGGTGATCTGTTTCAGCCTATACAAGATCTCTAACCGTGGAACTATTATTATCCTAATCCGTGAGATTATCACGATTATCCCTGAAATTCGCATGGGCGCTTTTCAAGAAAAGGTAATCACTAGCAATAGTGAAGTTCTGTTGTTATTTATTCTGATTAGAAGTAAGGCATTTTGTGTGATATTCCATGAGAAAGGAGACAAATTAAGAACTAGTAATCGAGTGGTAATCAAGTGTCTATTCACCTACTTCAATCACTTATCTACATTACATGTGATATGCTTCGAAAACATTTGGAATTTGTTCTTCGGTCGGTCGGTCGGTTTTCGACGTAGAACTTTGCACATATGTGCGGCAGTTTAAGTCGCCACACTCCATGTAGCACACAAAGCAAGAGAAGAAAGTAGAAGAAATGCATAATATAGTCAGTAAACAGAAGTGTGAGACAAAGGAATAGTAATAACGGAGAACAAAACAGTTTAATTGAAATTTGTTCTTAAGGCAGTAGGTAAAAAATAAAGTATTTTTTACGACAGAATCCAAATATTCCGATATGTTTTGAAAGTTTTCTACGAAAAATATCTCAGGACATTAAGATCCTAACCTTCAAGCAAAATGAACAGCAAAAGTCCTCAATGACTATATTTCAATGGTAAGTTTGAAGAGAAAAGTAATTGCTGTCACATCTAAGGTCAAACAGTTGTATTTGTAAAATCCGTTAAACATAGAATTAAGAAGTTATGTTTATAATAAAGTGAACTGAAAAATAAAAACCATTAATGGAACAGTGTCCTGCACCGAACTTCCGATTCAGAAGATAGAAAGTCGAAGCAGACAGGTAACATCATCTGAAGAGTGGACAGAGTAAGTTTGACACAAAACAAACTGAACATGTACTGAAAAGCCTATGTCTCAAGGGAACAATTGCTTCCAATAGTGCCATCACTAGGCATCTCCTTGATACGAGTCATGAGGTGGAAATCACAAAATCCTTTAAAATTATCAATAGACAAAAAAGGCCCGATTCTCCTCAAGTTTGCTGAAGCAATCTCTATCAAACGCCCAGAACCTGATTTATTTGTTCAGAAAGAAGCAGTTATCAGTCTTTCCTTGCCCTGGTAACTGGATGTCTTTACTTTACGCGGTCCTTGGCTTTAACCTCATCCCCCTTTGATTTTTTATAATTTTGCTTGTTTTTTGTTTCTATGATGTGAGTTGGACTCAATACATTGTTACCATATTTTATTAGTTACTCATCATCTTACTCGCCTCTCGTCTTTATTACGTAACTGCTTTACCACTATATGCATACACTGATTCTGTTTAAACCTGAACTCTCTGGGCAAAACCTATATAAGTGTAATTTTGTGAGCATTGTTCATTAAGTTTGGAACCTCCTGTCAACTGACATCATGTAAGATTTGCAAGTATAATGGCATTTTTCTGTACATAAACCTCATAATTTATTTAGGCTGTAAGCAGCTGATGAGAAGCCAACGAAATAAATGATGGTACCGTCTTATTCGACACATACTTTTGTTCTTGCTTTATTCAAATTCATGAATTAGAATAAATGTATGAATTTTCTGAACGCACTGCATAATTTAATTCTTGATAGATTATTATTATTATTATTGTTCCCTTGGGTTCCTAGTGGAACATAGGGCTTCAACTGCACGCCTCCACTTGCTTCTGTCTTCTGCTATACTTTTCACTTGCATCCATGTTAGTTCATACTGTTTTAGTTCCTCATCACACGATCTCCTCCATGTCACTCTGGGACGTCCTACTCGCCGCTTCCCTTTCCGGTTCCACTCGAGCGATGGCCTGACGCGCGATGTCACCCAATGGCCTCCTCAGCGAGTTTCCAATCCATCTCCACTTTCTCCTGCATATTTGTTGGGCGATTGGTTCCTGTTTCGTTTGTTCCCATAGCTTCTTGTTTGTGATTCTTTCCGGCCATCTAATCTTCAATATAGAACGAAGACAGTTGTTGATAAAGGTCTGCAACCTGTTGGAAATATTCTTTGTGACCCGCCGCCAAGTTTCTGATCCGTATAGAAGAACTGACTGACTTGACGTCTGTATTGAAAATCCGAATTTTGTTGTTGAGTGTTGCTGAGTGACGAAGATTTCCAGATTGGTTTCAGGTGGGTGGATGAATGTGTTTCTCGCCTTCCCAATTCTCGATTTGACATCCTCGTCCGTTCCTCCTGTAGTTGAGATAATGCTCCCCAGATAAGTGAATGAAGTAACCTCTTTCAAATTCCTCCTGTTGATGGTGATTGGCGCTGAATGTTGCTGCTGTTGTTGTTGGTTGGTTATTCTCATAACCTCCGTCTTGTCTATGTTCACCTGGAGTCCTGTCTTTGCTGCTTCGCCTAGATTACTAGGTCACTAGTATTCTAGCCGGTCCCAAGCCCGGATAAAGAGGGAGGGTTGGGGCGTGGTGATAGCAACTCCACCCCCAAAACTTAACCAAATTGCTACTAAAACTTCAACGCACAAATATATTGAAAATTCTACAAATTCTTGATAGAAAACTTACTAAAACAAATAAGAATATGATACAAGACAGCTGATATTCATTTAGGCGATGCAACAACTGAAACTTTTTTTCAATTACAAGTGAATTTACTATCTGCTTTCAGTTGACTGATATCAAACTAACTTTTCTGTAGTTAACATTCATTTGTTTTCCCTTAGCCTTCCTCATAAAACAAGGAATTCAGTTCAGATTCAATCGGAAACCAAATGCCGAACATAAATAAACGTTTTATACCAGTTAGCTAGCTGAATACCAACATCATAAATATTTATCAAAAGTATCATTTTCTTCATTGTGATGAATGGCGTTTTTTTATTTATTAATTCAGATTGTTGTTGGCATTTCGCCAAACTCGATTAAAAGCGTGGGATTATAAAATGCTTGCAATCCTGGTATTAATTTGTCGACAATGTCTGTGATTGCCTTATGAGTGAATAATAAGAACTGTATTCTTTTGGTATGATGCTATCCGTGCAGAACACAACAGAATAACTTTATTCATAGAACGCTAATCACAAATATTTTCACGCGTTATCACAAAGTACATATATAAATTAAATTGTTGTACATTCGATAATATAAACTGAATTCATTCAATTAGGATTTTTGAAAAAAGGAATTTAGCCAATAATTAATTCTCTAGTGTTCTTTTGAAACAAGATGAAAATAGAAAAAGAGATATACTACAGACTGAATTGTGTGCTAGTAAAACACCTCATTTTGACACTAGTAATGTTTATCAGTCAGTCTAAAATGATTTAAACATCAGACAACTGTTTCATTCAAAAAAGGAAGACATTTTGTACAGTTGAAGAAAACAGAAGTTAGTCGAATTCTTTCATTTTAAGCTTATGCAGCATGTATGAATAACTTTCATACTAATTATCACAAAGCCTTTCTATCAGCCTAGTGATTACTTCATAACTGGTAAAGATGAACTAAGTATTGTTACGAAGTACCTTTGAACTGTATACAAACAGAGAATAACACACACACAGTCAATTTATAATGACTAGGCAGTTTTTACTTCACTGATAACAAAGTGCATACGATTCCAATTAACCAATATTTCTTTAACATAAAACAGATAGGATAAAATATATCAGTGATGAAGTTTTTGATATTTATATCAGTAGACAAATAACTAATCAGTTAGCCTTTTACCATTGTCAGATGAAAAAATAGTCGATAACCGATTTCCACACACGTTTGAATAATGGATTATTTCAACCAATACAGGATTTATAATATACATAAAAACCCAATTTATGTGTTCAGAAAGAAGCGTTTGTCAGTCTTTCCTTGCCCTGGTAACTGGATATTTTCATCCTATCTCTCTCTCTCATCTGATTACGTAACGCCGAAAGTTTCTATTGTGTGTGATTATTATTGTTGTTTGGGATAAAGTGCTTATTATTATTAGCCCTGTATGCATGTATTGATTGGTTGATTTTTTGTTTAAAAATGAACTATGTGCAAGTATGTTAAAACTGCCTCTGTAGATACACCTAATAATGTCTTTGGGCTGTAAGCAGCTGATGAAAAGCCAACAAAATAAATGACTGTACCATTTTATACTACAAAAACTCTTGTTCATGCTTTATTCAAAAACATTTAATACTTAAAGGCATATGTACGCTGAAGAAGAAGTATAATAAAGTTATATAAGCAGTGAAATAGTTTACCGGCTAGTTCAATCCATTCTTTGTAACCCATATAATCTTGTTGTTCACGTTTTTCTTGTCTTTCTTTACGAAATAATAAAGTACGATCTATTTTCTCTTTTTCTTTGCTAAACTCTCTGTAAAAACACAGAAATAATGACAGAAGTAAAAACAAAAGGTTTTCATATTCTTAGTTGTTTTATAGGATAAATATGATTCCTTGATTTAACTAAACTGGTTGTATGTATTATTTCCTACTTTGCGTTACAGACGTCTGATTCTGACTAATATTTAAACCACCTAATACAGGTGAAAATCAGCTAAAACCAGTCTGGAGAAATTTAAACCACTGGGCAGAGTAAGAATATTTGTTATTATACCATCAAAAAACCTTGAATTCTGAATTTATGTAACCATTTATATTGGTTATTTATTGGCTAATATTTGTATATAATGTATTTTTATATAATGAAAATAGATTGTTCTCACCTCCTCAAAGCAGTCTTTCTTCCTTCTTTATTTACATGGTCTTTGGAGGTTATGAGTGTTAGGAAACACATGTTGGTACTCGGTCTTCAGATGAGTCACTTATTAACCACCCTTATTGAACCCTAGTTGCAGCATTACTGTTATTGTCGATTATATCGAATTTTGGCGATGTTGTAGAATTCAACTAGCAGTATCTTTACCGTTTATATCACAATCTCAATTTTAGTCTAATATACCAGTTGTTTTCTACTTATTTTTTCAAAATACCTATCGTATTGTAAAACTAATATTTATTTCACTAATAACAGGATTCAACTGAATATTTTTTTTATTCCTTTGCGTTCCTAGTGGAACATAGGGCTTCAAACCAGAGGCTTGAAGTTTTGGTAGCAAAGGTGTTTACTTCTACAGGATGGGGTTGTTAGAATCCTGGCCAACCTTCCCATTTCAGCAGTCTTATTACTGGCTTAGCGAGGTAAAGGAGTGCGTCGGCCGGGGATCGGACCCCGGACCACATGCGTGGTCGGCGAGCATTCTACTACTGTGCCACTGACGCAATTAGTGTTTGCTAGATTTTGAAAAGTTCTGAACTTCTGATAAAAATTATCCTCACAAAATATTTTATTCTGTCTTCAAAGTTAGACATACTTTCTTAAATTGACATCAGAACTGGTATGACAGAGTTCATGTGTGTAGTCTTGTGAAACTGGTAAAATATATAATTTTTCGGAGCTTAAGCATGTATTTTATTGTGTTTCTACTTTCAATTCATTATTTGAACTTTGAGACAACAATGACCATTAATATTTAGACAATATCAAAGTGCGATCAGACTGAACTCAGTAGAAAATTTGCAGTTTTGTGCACTGGGTTATTTATCGCTGTAAATGTACGAAGCCCCTATCACTATATCTATACATGAAAATGTACTCATGTACTTGGAAAATCCTACCAACAAATATTCTGACAACTATAACGCCAATACTACACACTAACACCTAGTGGTCATTTCCATAAAAGTAAGAGAAACTTATAGTGAAACGTCAAGGTAATAACATTTAATGCCATTACAGATCCAAAAAAGGAGTGAGATTAATGCATAATGTACATACCCACTTAAGACTCCGAGTACAAGATTCATAACGAAGAATGAACCCAGTAGAATAAGAGTCACAAAATAAATCCAAGGCCACCAAGAACCGATCGCATCAGACACCTAAAAGTGAAAAATATTTTAGATTATCAAACGATGAAAGGTGTGTGTATTATACGCTGAGTCTTCATACTCACAGAAGTTTTCATATTTATGAGAAACAAGCTCAAAATGAATTATCCGTCAAAATTAACCGTGTATAAAAGAGAATAATACACTCTAATCACTGTAACACCATAAGACTATAACACTTATTATCTCATTATAAATGTTGCATGAAATTAACTACCTAAACACATATGTCGTCTAAATTAATGACAAGTAGAGCAAATATGCATAGTAATTTTACTTACATAATAACCAGTCTGGGTCCATCCCTCCATTGTAATGCACACAAAGACAGTGAGCATAGAATACAAGAAATTATCAAAACTAATAATACCACCTTCTGGACCTGTATACCTTTCACCTTCTTTACCATACATATCTGCACAAAAGTAATCTGATCCAAGTTCACTGCATTTAAATCCCATAGCCGATGTTTCAAATGTACATGGTCGTGGATTTGGCATCATTTCAGCTGGAAATTTTTGAAAAAAATGGAAACAAAACTATAAGTAGACCATCCTATTATTTAATACGAGGTAATTGCAACCACTAAAGAGTAAATTCAAAAGTGTTAAAAGGAGAATTACTACATGAAGTGTAATTTTTAGTTTATCACCTTCTGAGCTTTAGAAATACATGCTGCAATCTGGTCAACTAATTATTATCTATGCTTTAGAAGCAACAGTTTATCAACATAACTGTTGATTCCAGTAGGTGACATTTTGGAAGTGATGGGTGTTAGTTTCGAGTCTCATTTGGAACACCACCACTCACAATGGAAGCACATCCCACTTAAGAGTCCTAAAGAGGATGAAACGTGCATCATGGAATCCACTGACAGCCACCATCGATGAATTAATAATAACTGAAAACTGGGAGTACTTTTAGGTACTCACTGGTTTTCACTGATTCTCTAACTGGAGTCAGTACGTCATCATTCTTGTACATCAGTCTAATTCCTGCAAACCAACACTTGTAAATAATATCATACTGACCTTAAGGCATTGTTTAAGGTTGCCTTCTAAGAACTGATATGTTAACAGAGACTGAAAATTTCAGTTCAAGAAAATCAATTCAAAATAATAATTTCAAGATATTAATGATTAAAGATGACAAAACGTATGCATTATCAGATTAGTATATATATATATACCAAAGTGAAAATAATAATGATGGTAATATTGGAATCAGCGGAACTGCATACTGAAACAAGTGTAAAGTATGTTGTCTAGAAAGACAATGGAAGCTTGGCAACTAAATCATCTAGGTCAGAGATTACAACAATGCCAAAACACACTTTCTTATAAACTTTGATTGATAGGAGGATTTCATCATGAGCTGACATCAGTTAGAGAAGTATTGCAAAATCTAAGAGTACTGGACAGCTGTTTCCTCAGCCTAGTTTGGGACTCTTCAGCAGTACGCACCCACCAGTGGGGTTCGAACCCAGAACCTTCTAGTTGCAAGACGAGCTCGTATATCATTAAGCCACTGGGACCCGATCCAGTGACCAGCTCATGAATTCTGACTTCTGCCAATTCATGGGTGCGTACTGTGAAGAGTCCCAAACTAGGGCGAAACAGCTGTCCAGAACTCCAAGGTTTTCCAGTGGTTCTCTAACTGATGTCAACCCATGATGAAATCCTCCAACCAATCAAACAAACTCCCTACAAAACCAATACTTGAAAATCTTATAAACTTTATTGAATAATGATAAAATCTTGATGACAAACTGATTTCACTTAGAGAACCCTTAAAAACCATGGAGTACTGGACAGCTGTTTTGGACTTTTCAGTGACGTACATCCAAGACTCCACTGGAAATCGAACCCAGTTTGTAAGGCGTGGCGTTGATTATTCGGAGAATGGGATGAATTTCAAATGCCCATGAATCGCAACTTCTATCAACTCGCGATATTTATACTGCGAACGCCAACCAATGTCACCGGGGAATATTTGTCTACACATACAATTTGGTGGACCCTGGTGTTCACGACTCCTCACTAAAACTTTAACGATTTCATCCCGTAGTCAGTCATTAGTGTACCCTAGATTAATTTCTAAGTTGTGGATTGCAGAGATTTGATTGGTTTCAACAGGCTTGCCTCATAACCTGAAGGTCAGTCGGATAATGTGTACGTACTGCTCGAGGGTCAGAGTCCGAAACTACGACAAAACGGCTATCCAGAACGTTTTGGTTTTCAATGGTTCTCCAAATGAAGTCAGTCCGTGACCAAACTTGAAATTAATCAAATCCCTACAAAGTAACACTTGAAAATGATTTAATAATATGTCTTATTTTAAAAATATCAGTAGGATAAAATAATACATAAAATGATTTATTTGACGTATAATTTTAAGAAACATGTACAAAATTTTAAAATACTTAAACTGTTATTTTTATTAAACTTACGAATTTTATTTGATGAATTTTTATAACATGTAAGATGGAGTTTACTCTGAAATAATTCAAGACCAACAATTGCATAGACAATAATCACAAATATCACTAACAGGGCAATATGCAACAAAGGAACCATAGCTGTGATAATAGAATTGAGCACAACCTGAAGACCTAAATTAAAGCAGATGAAAAAGAAAAAGTTGAAATTTATCCTCAGTGATTAAAAAGTATAACATACAGAACATGAGAACAAAACTGAAGTATAAAATAAACATTTTAAGACAACAGTTATATTTATTATTCCCTTTGGTTCCTGGTCGAACAAAGGACTACAACAGCACATCTCCGTTCCACCCTGTTCTATCAAGTCCTTTTCAGCTGGATCTACGATTTCCAATAAAAGTTTCCTCTTCTTGTGATTTTCTCGCAGATACATGCCCAAAATGTAGTTCCTAATTCGGGTTCCACTAGACAGCGTGATGCGTGATGCCAGTCAACGGTCTTCACAGAGCATGTCCAGTCCATCTTCATTTCTTCTGGATACTTGTGGAGAGATGGGTTCTTGATTAGTTTATTGCATGCCAGAGTTTCTTGTTGCTAATGCTTCCTAACCGACAGTGTGATCTTCAGTACCGAGCCAGCGATGGTGGCTATTGATTTACTTATGATACTTGGATACTTATTACAGTATCTTTGCAGTTATGAATGCATGTAAGTTAATTACAACTATCATGGGTATTTACTATATACACATTTTAAGATGAACTGTTAAAGAGTTGAAAAATACAAACACTACAAACTTAAATAACAAAGCAGCCGAATTTCGAATGTTGAATGTGAAAAGAGCTGTTTCTCACTTACAGTTATAATAAAATGAAATATTCATTGGTTAATCACTAGGGTGTATTCAATGTAATGTGTTCAGACCTTAGTAATGATGCAAGTGAAGTACTGTCTTGAATCTACTTGACTATTAAACTCTGCAAGCCTGGAGCTGATACTAGATGATTAAAAGCATGATATGGGATTCAATACTCATCTGTGACCAATGAATGTGTTATCACTAGAGTCTCGCAGGAAGTTCATCGTAACCCGAATAACTGGGTGGTAACGCCTGTGACTATCGTACTGCATAATACTGGTTGGATCTGCATGTGGACATCATTTCACTACAGTTTGCAGATACACCTTGCTGAGGAGTATCAATCACCACGAAACCTAGGTCCAGGGCTTAATGCCTCTAATCATCTAACAAAGTGAAGTATGAAACTTGGATCTGTCAACTGTTGATAAAATTGTATGCTTGTATGCCTTGCTATCTGTTACAGAATATTTCCAGCTTCTTACTACTCTGTGTTCCTTCTTGGTGTCAACTTATTTGACTAATACTGCTTTGAATCATAATCATTAAACGTAAGTTTTGAATATTCTAAATTTTGTTAACACATAGACTAGGAGTGACGCGACATAAATACCGGAGATATGGAGAATATTTTTTCTAATTATACCAAAGAAAGATTATTATTGCTCTCGAAATGACAGCAACAAATAGATAATTCTGTAGTTTATATCAAATAAAACTATTCTGTAATAGCAGTCTATAATGACAGCAGGAAGTCTTCTAAAAAAATAAAGCTTATTAAAGAGATGAGATTTGTAATTTGTTTCAACAAACTGAAATCTTACTTGGTAAACCAGAAAGCAACCGTAGGGGTCGTAATACTCGAAATGCTCGAAGTGCTTTAACATCCACATTCATATTCTCCAGTAATTTTGAAGATAGACTAAGAGAAATAAAAAATATCAAAAAGGTTGTGTGGTTGGGTATTTAGACGCATAAAAAGTAAATTACGTAATTGCTATGAATCTTATTAAATGTCATTATAAATGTCAAAAAATCGTTTTTTCCCCAGAGACAACGGAAAAGCAATTTCAGAAATTAATGTGTGATGTAACCAAATGAAACCTTTCCAACCACTAGTATTAACCAGTAACATATATATAAAACATTTTAAACAAACCGGAGAAAAATTGCCCAATTTCCCATAAGAAAATGAATGGAGACAAACTAAGCTTAAATACACTAGAACTACAAAATTTATTTTATTTAGTTATTCAGAGCTTGATATCGTATCGAGTAACAAGTCCATTTTTTTATTTCTAACCACTTTTTTAAGAATTTTCAGCTACTAACGAACAGTCACTTAATAAGGAATAGTCAAATTAGGCGAAAAAAGTTGTTCAAAGAGATAAATTGATACTGTCTGTATCTGGAAAATGCCTGCTTCCTACTGTTTTACTCATAGTTATATACACTTTAGATAATGACAGGATTCATTTTAGATGAATGAACAGGTTTCACCTACATAAAAGTTAATATTCATATCTTTAAGTTATTAATAAGGAATAAAAGAAAAACAAGGAAATGAAAACACTACAGTTGAAGAATACTTGAAAAAAGATCAACCAAATCATGAAATGTGAAATTATAGTTAATGTGAAAGTAATGTGACATTTGGAATGATACGGGTCAAATTAGCTGCAGTTCCCTACCACAGGCTTCACTTGTCACTTTTGCCAAAGCAAGATAAGCTAAGCATCCTTTCATAACTCATACTGATGGTTAGTATCATCATGTAGAAGAGTCATATGATTGCTTAAGTTACCCTCGATTCTATATTCTACTGATTCGATGATATGAGTAGTTGAATACCATCCACAATAACTAGTAGCGTTTGCTAACCAGATAGAAGCGATCTAAGCACTGGACAGCAGTTCCACTCGTTTTGTCCTGAGGTCACCATTGATATGCCGGTTTGACAGGCTGAGAAAACCGAATCAGTTCAAACCACCTGAAGTCTGACTGGGTGCTTGGGCGAACTGGTGTTAAGATCACTTTGATCAGATTAGCAAGCACTACTGGTTGATGTGTGTGTCATTCAGCTACTCATATAAATTAATCGGCAGTAAAAATAACATCACGCATTTATGTTTAATTCCTTGATTGTCATTTATGACGTCAAGCAGATCACATATTGTGATCTGGATAATTTCGGCTTCCAAAAGAAATTGCGATTAAATTTCTTCTCGGGCTGTGTAGATCACAAATCAGACTGCCGATTGTCAATTTGATTCATACCTAATTTTCTTACAAAATAATCCCACTGACACCTTGAAGAAGAGGATATCTACTGCTCTCAGAAGGACATTCTTCGCTGCCACACTACGACTGACATTTTCCTCCCGGCCATTGTTCTTCAACTACTCTAAAGATAAACTATCGCATTTGACCACTTCCATGTGTATCTACCAATTCACCTGCTCTTGTGGAGCGAGGTATATAGGTCGTTCGATGCGTGTTTTATCTAAAAGAGTTCAAGAACACTATCCCGCCTGGCTACGGAAAGGTAACAACGGAGCAATAAGGAGCGCCATTATTGAGCATATACTCAACACTGATCATTCGATTTGCAAGGAGAAGTCATTCAAAGTCATCTATAAAGTCAAAAGAAGCCTTCCAAAATCGACAAGCTTTCGTATACTTTGTATTGCTGAAGCCTTAGCGATTTGGATGGAAAAGCCTGAGTTATGCATACAGAAGAAACTTCTCCACCCCCTCCTACTACCGTGGATTTAATTCCAAGTTTATTTGTCATCAACATTTTGTTATCAAATTTTTTGCAATTTTCGTATAACAATTTTTAGTAACTAACCCATTCAATCTTTTCACCTATTATCTAGTTTATTTTCATAATTGTCTCCAAACTCCTTCACTAGCATCTAATCTTTCTAAACATGTCCATATTACGTAACCCTACTCACATCTTACCAATCTTCACCCCACTTAGTTACAACTTTGAGTATTAATCACACATTTTAACTTCTTCATTATCTTGATGATATAATCAACAACCCACACTAACTGTTATTTTGATTTTGACAAACCTAATGTACACACACACACACACAAAATAATTGTATATATATTTGCGACTGTACAGCTAAGTGAATGAATTCGCCGAAAAGAGAGTCTTCGCTGAAGTAATTTGTTCTTATTTCAATTCCACTTTCGTCACTAATTCTTTCTGGCTATTTGATCTTCAGTATGGAGCTAGCGAAGGTGGCAGCTGTTGATAAAAGCCTTCAACCGGTTAGAAATCCTTTCTGTGATACGCCAAGACATGCTCCTAGTATAATCAAATACGTAACAGTATATGTACTTGTATTCTGTTTCATTCACTAATGTATGTTTGAATGGCTTGGTAACATTGGTTGTATTGTCAGTCCGTTTTAAACCAAAAGTTAATTGTAAAACATGAAACCAGTGAAGATATAGGATATAAGGAGAGGCGTTTTTTCTTCTTTTTAAGATATGCTTTCCTGTAGCGTACCGTTAGAACTAAGCTGCCTAAAATCATATCTGGATTATTTATTTAAGATGTTTTGACTAAGTTGCCAATCATAATATCAAATGATTATTATACTGTTATTATTCCCTTGAATGACAAATGGAAATTACGGCTTCAGAAGCACATCTCCATTTCATTCTATTCTTTGCACTCTTTTTTAGCTGTCTTTATGATTTCCCATGAGGTTCCACCTCCACTCCTCCGTGTCACCCTCTCATCTAAGCCCATCTCGTCACTTCTCATTCAGATTTCATGTGACACCCTGACGCGTAATGTCACTTAACGGTCCTCTCAGCGTATATCTGATAAATCTACATTTCCTTCTGCATACTTTTTGAGAGATGGGTTCTTGGTTGGTTTGTCGCCTGTATAGGTTCCTTGTCTATTACTTTTTGTGGCAATCTGATTTTTAGTATGATGCATGGAATTTTTTGATGAAAGTCTTACAGAAAGCCCTTTGGAAATGCTCTTCATGACGCGCCAAGTCTTTGAACCATACAGAAGCGGTGATTTGAGATTAGTGCTGGAAATGTGAGTCTTTTTCCTCATGCTGAGGGCAGTAGATTTCCACTGTAATTTTACATTGTTGGTGGTCTGTCATTATTTTCCGATTCTAACTTTGACACCCTCATTCGTGAGGCCTGTAGTTGAAACATTGATATTTAGGCAAATGAGAGAGGCGACTTCCTTTAGATTTCACCTGTTAGTGTTGATTGGTGCTTGTTCACTTGAAGTTCTGTCTTTTCTGCTTCTTCTACCAACTTTTTGGTTTTTTCCGGTAGATTTTCACGTTTGTGCTACGTTAGATATACATCGTCCATGAAGTTGGGATCCTCTAGAGTCATTTTGTCTGTTCAACGTTTGCCCGCATTGTCTCACCCCACAGTCTGCTGCATGATCCAGACCACTACTATCAGGAATATCATCGGTAATAGCAAACATAAATGTCAGACTTGTAAGTATGGTTTAACTATTGTATGTGAAAATATTCTGTGCTTAAAAAGTATAACAGATTGTTCATCGAATCAAATACGAATATTGAAATATTCTTATCTTTAACTGATAGTGAGACCATCTGGTATAGACTTGAGTTTGTACCCTACTAAACTGAAAGGGAGATGAAAATCTCGTTTGCAGAAGGATTCGAACCACAGGTCTCTAAGTTAGTAATTCAGCCGCTGCTTTGAATGCTGCCATGACCTCGACTTTCATTTCACCTTAAATAATCACATACTACATTACATATTGAGCTTTTCACATTGGTAATAATTATATAATACAATAATATTCTTTAGGAAAAGTGAATTAACTTACCCTATTAATACAATACTGAAATCTAGAACATTCCAAAAATTTCTTAAATAAGCATCCTGATGAAGAACAAATCCATAAGCAATAATTTTCAAAGCAGATTCAGTTGTAAAAATTACAACAAATGCATATTCAATTTTCTCCTACAGAAATAAATGAAATAAATAGGTAGTTATAAAAAATATTGAACTAAATGTTAAGTGATTTTAAAATTCATTCAGTCTTGATGTATTTATGGGTGACAAACTGTAATAACTTACCTTTGGAACATTAATAAACATAGAGCATACGCATAATAATTATAGCTAGCCATATTGTAGTTTTACGGTTTGTTTTACGTATGACAAGACGTCTTCATATAAAAGCCATCTATGAGGAAAAAGATGGTGATATCTACGCTTTTCACTAGACTATCTGTTCAAATACCACTCCCTTTCGACCCACATAGATAATTTATACTACTCTCTTTATTATTAACTTTTATGCGGTAACATTTTCCCGTACACCTACTTCCTATTTAAAATCTGAAATAAACTAGCTGATATGTCTTATGCGTCTCCTAATTTATCTTTAGAATGTAGTTTCATAAAAGCATAAATATCCTCATGATAATCAACCATAATGAGTAATACAAAGTATTTAGTAACATAATTATAGAAAAATTAAATATTAAATTGAATCAAAATACTTACTAGACGTTTCAAAATGTAACTGTAATAACAGTATAACTAAACAGCTGCCTTCACTGGCAGGACATTGAATATCAGATGGCTTGCCAGGAACGATAAGAACAAGGAACTCTGGCAAAGAACCAACCAAGGATCTGTTTCTCAACAAACATGAAGAAGAAGAAGATAGAGATGGATTGGACATATGCTGGGGAAATACTGAGGGACATCAAGCTCAGACCCTCAAGTGGAACTGGAATGGGGAATAAATTTGGCATGGATGCAAAGGTGACACAGAGGAGATAGTGTGAGGAAGAAATAAAAGCTTATAGGCAGTCGTGGAGCCAGCTAAAATTGACTACAAATAATAAAGTGAGCTTGAGACGTGCTTTTGTTCCTCTTGGAAAGCAAAGAAATAGTAGTAATATAATAATGAATAGCAAATTTGACCAGGAATTATTCATGTGCAGTTATTGATGGTCATATTATTTACTATATTGTACCGTACTTTGAATTCTTATACCCAATCGTATTGCATATTTAATGTAAACTATTTACTCTGCCGGAAGATATATCCCATAACTTGGTCATCAAGAAATGATTTTCACAAAAAGTTACCATTCGCACTTTAGTCACACTGACTGTTATCTAAGATGACTGATAGTTTGCTTTACATAACAGCAGAGTGTGAGTAGTCACTACACTCCACTAATATTACTCCAATTAACATACAGTGGTCATTTTTCCACACCATACTCTATTTATGATAACTGTATATCAATAATCTTTAAACATTAACGAAATATAACTTCAAAGTTTTAAAGTCTTCCTTCTTAATTTTATTCAGCTCGTCTGAGAGCTCAGTCAAGATAGTCTATACCTTCATAACATAATTAGCTTTGTATACACTGCACTGAACTCTGATAAAACTTTTATTTGATTTGCGTCATTTGCTCAACTTAAATAATCGGTGGCCTGCTTAAATCAATGGGTTATCAAAATTGCTTTCCACCAAAATGCTTAATTTCATCTGGATTTGTCATTGTTTTAGTCGTCCAGTTATATCAAATGACCTGTGCGTGAACTTGCGCGCTGATTTAACTTGCTCCCAAGTAAACGCTGTGGAATTCTTCAACGAAATGAAGATGTACTCCAGATTATTACTTTACATGTAAATCCTGTATGAAGAAAAAAGTATTCTGGAACTAAATACACTGAAAGGTTTTGAACCATATTTTCGCATATTGTTTGAAATAAAGCTTATTATTATTATTAATATTAATTCTATCTTGGTCACTTTACATTATTCCATAAATTCACGTAGACAATGATTTCCTTAATTAACATAATTAACAAAAACAAGTCAGCTGAAAATATAGAAAATAAATTGATAAATATGAAAAATATCGATCGCACTTACCAAAACATAATTTACTTTGTTTGAATCTTCTCCGGGATAAGGATGATTAAATGCTAGTGCTAAACAGTTGCACAGTATCGTTGCTAATATAAAATATTCAAATGGTCTAATTTACAATGTTAAGGAGTATAACAGAATACAGGCGACACGTACATATACATACAAATATATATATATATATCAAAATAGGTTTTTTTGTAAAAACAAATTAGGCGTATTATTAGAAAAGTATCCTACTTACTGTCAAGTTAAGGAAACCTGGAAATATGGCCTACCCCTAATTACACACAGTCTGGGGTTCTGTAGGCTGTAACAGGTAAAATTTGAAGTAAACATCAAGGAATTCACTACTACAAAATTGGTATTTGGAAGTAATTTGGATTTCTTATCAAAAATGAAAGTTGCTAGCCTAAAAATGTGTACAGAACAAAATATTACTGAATAAAAATGCAAACTGATGTCAGCTCGTGATCAAACCTGTAACCAATCAAATCCCTGCAAACCAGAACTTCAAGATTAACCTGATACACACTAGCAACTGGCTTTATACAGGAAGTTACCTGGAGTTTAAGTAAGAGTTCGTAACCAGCGAGGTCCACTAATTCAAGTAAGAGAACAGTTACTCGCCCATGATATTGGCTAGGGGTTGCTTATATATATCACAAATTGGCAGAAGTTGGAGTTCATGGGACATCAGATAGGATCCCAGTGGCTGAATGGTCTCGTAACCGGAAGGCCCTGGGTTGGAACCCCGGCTGGTGCATATTGGTGAAGAGTCCCAAACTGGGACGAAATATCCTTCCAGTACTCCCTGGTTTCCGGTGGTTCTCTAATTGATGTCAGCTCGTGATGAAACCTCTGAAGATACTAGTACACTGGTATTTTTCTAAGTAGATATGAGTTCAATCCTCTCTATTCTCTAATTGGCTACCACCACGTGGTTGAAATGCTTTTAAAGGCAAATATTGAAAGAAGGATGATTACAATCAGTTGTTAGTGCTTATGAAAACAACATACAAACTCATGAAATTAAAACAGCTATAGTTAGATTTCCATCCACTTCCAAACAGATTAGGTTAGTCCTGAATCACTTTATATGTTATTGATTTCATTTGACTAAGGTAATTGATAATGGTCTATGTTATGTCATTATCTTATTACTTTTCATTAGATATAATTGTTTTACTCTATTCAAGGTAGTTCATTAACTGTATTCATACCATCCATTTTTATTGTAGTAATTATGTATGTTTATGACAGTGAAGCTGAATGCTGGTCTCTTCTTGCCAACATGGACACATGCAGTTCTGAAATGAAGAAATGTATTGTGTTATGATTTATGAATTATGAAATCTCTTACATTTGTATACAAAGAATACATGTTTTCTTAATATAAAATCTCTCTACAAAAAGTGAAGGACATGAAAATGGGTTAGTTGTAAATCCTCATCTATCAAGTAAAAGACTTAATACAGCTAGATTACAATTAGTAGTTCATGCAGAATATCTTAACTTTATTACAGACACTAAGTAGGAGCTTATTGCTTTATCGTATTCACTCCAACCAGGTCGACAAATTTTATTCTATAAACTTAATACCCACAGATACGGTGACTTAATTAGTAATTTTCTGACTGGGAATGTCATGAAACAAATGTGTTTTGTAGTTTTCATCAGCATAAACTATTTCCGATTTCTTACTAAACAAATTGATAGTTAATTACAGTCTTCCCAAAGGTTTTTATTTAACTGTTACGTTCATCACTCGGTATTATTAAAGTAGTCATCTCAGAACTTCTTAAAAGATAATTTCATGTTATTCAAAAGGACAGCTGATGCAACTGAACATCTTTGATTGGAAACTAGTAACTAGTGTGATGTTTCTAGTCCTTTCTTTGGTGCAGATTGAATTCTATCAGTCACGTTTGCAGCATGGCCACCCTTCTAGGTGGCTCTTCATCAAGATGTACTTAGAATTGTTGTCATTAGATGGTTGGAGGAAATCGGCACGAACCCTTGGATCTAGGTTTCGTGCTAGTTGGCACTCGTCAGTAAGGCATTGAAACATCAGCGAAACTATAAGACTCGCAAAGATAGACAGAAGCAGAATTTGACATAGACTGGTAGAAATAAGAGTTTTGGCCATCTGTATTACCACAAAATAAAAGACTAGAAATGGAGTCTGTAATCTTAAGAATAACAAAAGATATGAATGCTGAAAGGTAGTTAAATTTAATGGAAATACCAGAACGGCAAGAACCGCACATTCTGAATTTTTCATTGATAATCATTATCAAAGGCTTTCATAAATATTATCAAGAAGCATTCATTACTTTCCCAGTCTTGTTCTGCAGATATTGGATTGATTTCAAGCTAGAACATAAAATGACTTCAGTTAGAGAACCACTAAAAACCAGGGAGCACTGGATTGCTTTTCCATCCTTGTTTGGGATTCCTCAGGATTATACACCAGTGAACCTACCAGGGATAAAAACCATAAACTTCAGGTTACCAGGTGAGCCGGTTGACAATTCACATACTGAGACGACAACCAATGCCCCATGAATTCTAACTTTTGCTTGCTAGTGACATATGGCGCCACCCATAGTCAATGTCACTGGCAAGATTTGTCTTCACACTGAACTTCTCGGACCCCACTGGTTATAACTTCTTGCCAGAACTCCAGGAACTCGATTCGGTAGTCAGTCATGGACAACATAGCACCAGATTTTGTGTTAACTAAGATACAAACTATCCTGTCCCCTAAGAAAAATACTAGATAACAAAAACGTGAAAGATTCACTAGGAAGTTGCAAGTGGAGTAGTCTAAGTAAACACAACTTAAAATACAGATAGCAAATGAAGCTTTTATAACATTTCAATTCATACTGAACTTATTTGTGTAGTTTAAAGCCAATTCCCAAAAGCCAGACTGACTAAATCATATGTTTTCATCTCAAGATGACAAATGAATAGTATATAAATAGGCATAAGAATGCAGATTTTTAATTTCCCCAAGATATTTACACAGCCCAATGGATAATTCAAGTAAATTCATGCATCTGAATTGTTCCCTGTTAATCATCTTCAAAACAAAACAAGAAAAGAGACAAGGTAGGAGTTTATGTGATCTTACTACAAGTAGAATTTTTCCGAACACTTAACCACAAGGTGACATCATTTAGAGAACCGTTGGAAAACAGCAAGTATGAGATGACTGTTTCGTCCACCTTTTGGACTTTCCAGAAGTTCTCTGACTGACGCTTATCTACGGTCAAACCTCAAACCAATCAAATCCCTATAAACTAACACTTAGGTCTCGATTGGAAAACCTATTCGAATACTTCTCATAGTGTCATATCCAATAAGATTTCCTAAAACATTCCTTTTTATTTGGTAAGCTGGTTTATTCAAACTGCTTGTTATGGATTAACAGAAGCATTTTAAGTCAATACTTCACAAATCATCTCACTGAGAAATCACGTTTTCCATCTAATAGAAAGAGATGAACTCATTTCACTACTATGTAAATGCTAGATAAAGCCAGAAATAGATATAATGGAGAAGATTTGTAGCTCAGGTGGAGGATTCTGATGTAGTTGTAATCTCTGAGCTGGATGGTTTATTTGCGAAGCTTTCATTACCCTACTAGGCAACATCTTCAGCGCATACTTCAATTTGAAGTGAGCTTTTAGATTTCTCGACGAGTTTATAAAGCTCACTTCAAATTGAAGTATGCGCTGAAGATGTTGCCTAGTAGGGTAATGAAAGCTTCGCAAATAAACCATCCAACTCAGAGATCACAATTACATCAAAAGCCAGAAATATGGCTTTATTTGACGAAAAATCTATAATTATTATTTAGTGAATATTAGGACGAAACTCTTAAACAAGGTACAGATGTAAACCTAATATTTCATTTTCTTGGCTTCCCATGTCACATTTATTTCGAAGCCCTGTAAAATATCAATTTGTTTCAAACTAGAAATATTTTTTTCAGAATCGATTAATGTGTGTATATACAGGAACAATTTTACTGCTGCTGTTGTTGTTTCTGGTATTTTATGTATCCAATACTGATATTCTATTGGCTTATTGTATAATTTCTAGTTGTCTTTATGCATACAGTTACTTGTCCACAAAAAGCTTCGATATAATTTGTTCCCAAAAAATCGATTTTTAAGGGAACAGATTATACTAGTTTTGTTCAGGTCAGAAAGTGCAGATCAACACAAAATAATCTGTATATATACATACGAATAAATGCATTTATATATGTGTGTATATTTGAACAATCCTGTTTGTCGACAAAAGTAGTTATACATTTGAAGGAAAAGGAGAAAACAGAATATCATTCTTATGCCAGATACAGGTATATTGATTAGAATGCAATAGGCTAAACTTAACTAAAATACGTATAATATATTTAACATAGACAGTAATGAACATCTCTTATTTTAAAATTATGACTGTTTGAGACAATAAATCAATCATGATTATATGTAATAAAGATATTGGAAATTATTGTCTGACTCTAAATGAAATCCTGAGTTATTTAAACACGATAATATCATCTATGTGCACTAATTCATATGCACAGTATATGCCAATAGCATATGAATTTAGCATATTATTGTGGGATAAAAGTCCGCATGCTATCTGTAAGCCAAGTAGATGAGGTACTGCAAACTGGAAATGATCAGGACACTACGGCATAGTATATTTGCATTTACTTAGGCAGAGAAATTTTTAATAAGCTATCTATCTTTTAATCTAAAACAGGGGAATTTATAAAAAGACAACTTGACAGAATATTCCGGAATACTCTTAGGGACCTTATGCTGTTTACAGCCAACATAGCTCAAGCCACGAAAACATACACTGACTATATACAGTGTTTGGTCCGTAATTTTGGTTAGCAGGAGGTAAAAGAAAGCTGTATTCCGTAATATCTTGTTATTTCTGGAAATATTAACACTCTGGAAAACAGCTTCAGAGTGACCTTTTTTTCATTCCTTTGCGTTCTGAGTGGAATATAGGGATTCCAGTTTGAGCTTTAGATTTCAGTGATTAGGGTATCTTTTTTACGGGGTGCTATTACTAGCCTCATTCCCAACCTCCCATCTTTACTGAACCTAACACTGGCTAAGCGAAGTTTAGAAGTACGTCGTTTGGGGGTCGATCCCCGGATCACATGTTTGACTGGTGAGTATTCTACCACTGAACAATAGACTTCCAAAGTGATTTACAAAGTATTTATTCGAATTCCAGGATGATATATCATCTCTGGTTAGTGTGATCGAATAAAGACGAAAGGCATCTTAATCGGTAATTCATATATCGTCCATACAATACAATAAATAACGAAAGTATCAGGTGTATTCATGTAATGAACTTTTTGACTTATAGGAATATTGCAAGCAAATATCTTTTTTAAAAATAGGCTACCAAATTTAATACAAGCAGAACAATTTATGCATTTCCTCAAACAAACACATTACGAATTTATACTGTATCTGGGAGAACCAAATTGTGATGGTAATAATAACAACAAAATACCACTCTTTCTTACATTTCTAGTTAGATTTAGCCAAGAGTAAAATTATCCACTAAAGTCGTTGAGGAACCAGTATTAAAACACTGTGTTTAAATAATATAATTCCTGCCAGTGATCTAGTTCCTATACCCTAATGTTTCCGACAGTTGAACATACTAATGGACATACACACTGTTGGCCTCATCAGTGTGCATCTACCAATTCACCTGCTCGTGTGGAGCAAGGTATGTCAGCCGTACCCAGAGTTTGCTATCCAAACGTATCACCAAACACTTACTCTCATGGTTTTATAAAGGAGAAAAAAGGTCCCCACGTAGCTCTATTCTGGAATACCTGATCAAATCAGGACACCAAGCAAACCCACGAAACAACTTCAGAGTTATCTACATGATATGTGGGAATCCTACTAAAAGAGTACGAAACAAACTTCTTCAAATCTCAGAAGCAATGCCAATTCATATGTTAAATCCTGAACTCTGCATAAAAAAGAAGTTTGTTCAGTCATTAAATCTACAGTGGACCCCACCTATCTTAACATCAAATACGTAATTTTCGTTCCGTCTTGTTTTCGTTTGTTTCTTAGCTGTATTATTTTCTTCCCTCACCCCCTACTAAATCTCTACCCCTTGTTACCACTGTTGTTAACTTGACATTCATTCAATTTTAATTTTAGTTGAGCTCTAATCAACCCCGTCAATTAGATTACGTCACTCAACTTGCTTATTTAATCTTATTTTGGTTACAGGATTTTATCATGAGTTGACATCAGTTTGAGAACCATTGGAAAACCTGTGGGGAGTACTGGACAGCTGTTTCATCCTAGTTTGAGACTCTTCAACAGTACGCATCAACCGGGGTTCGAACCCAGGACCTTCTGGTTATAAGGTGAGCTTGTAGACCATTAAGCCACTGGGACCCGATCCAATGAATTCAAATATTGGTTTTTAGGGATTTGATTGATTGGTTACAGGATTTCATCATGTGCTGACATCAGTTAGTTTAGTTTTAGTTTCTGACATATTAACGAAATTTGTTATCTAAAAAATTCACAATTCTAATGACAACCTTGGAAATATTCCTTTTGTTGCCAAGACAATTTACTATACATATATATATATACGTGCGATTGTACAGCTTGAGAATGATATCACCGAAAAGAGTAACTCTTTGCTGAACGCCTTTTCTTTTATATGACTAATGAAATGTACAACCATGGGAAGAAATTTCCTAAGATTCCCACAAATTACTTTCAAATAGGCTACTCCTCTTTTTATGATTCACCGTTTTATAAATCCTCTAAAGAATGATACTATACAAGCAACCATTTCGCAAATGTTAACTGAACTAACAGAATTTTAGGTGAAACTTGATTAGATCTTGACTGTAGAAGGCCAAATAGGACAAAGGCTTCATCAACTTCCCAGAGATATTCGTGGTATTAGAAAATAAAGCAAAATTTTCGTTAACATTAGAAGAGAAAAGATGCGTTGGTGTTTCAGTGGTAGAATGCTCACCAATCACACATGTGATCAGGGGATCGATTCCCGAACGATGCACTCCTAAACTTCGCTTAGCCGATAGTAAGTTCAGTAAAGATGAGAGGTTGGGAATGAGGTTAGTATTTCCATCTCGTAAAAAAGACACCATTGCTACTGAAGCTTTAAGGCAAAGGATTAAAAAAGTAGAGAAAAGAATGTGAATAATTAATATTTAATACTAATGAAATATGAATTATCATGTTCATATTTATCTAAAGTCATTCTGTAAACTATCATAATTAAGCTGACACCGATGTAGAGAAACCTGGGAACATATCTTGTATGCTGAAGTGAAATCACATTTAGTAATATTAAACAGTATCTGACAACCTGAAAGCCCCGTACAGACTCATTGGTAATACCAATAATACCTTCCAGAAATGTTTATTATGTACGAGAAGAATGTGAAGAAAAAAAGAAATCAAGCTTAAAATAAATAAAATCTAGTGGTGAATGTGTTACAAAACAAATGTTAATTAATTCTAACTTAATACAAATTCACTAAAAAGGATACCGTGCATCCACAATACATATGCAAACTCTCCTGAGAGGATTCTTCTTGGTCATTAAACATAGCGAACGATCTGTACGAAACTGAGGGCACAATCGTTTCTTCTTGACTTCACCGCGTTCCTTAAGGGCTGCAAGAGCCAAATCAGCTATGAGTGGCTTGTTGCTTGATAAAAATGCATTCCCTCCTGAACCCGGAGTACTCCAAGGATTTTGATTACTCGATGGAATCATGTTTATATACCACTAGCCCTGTAAAAAAAATATCAATGAATAAATACATAAAACATAATTTTGAAGACATTTTATCTATTTTATTGAAACTATTCATTTGGTTAACGTTATTAAATGACGGAGTTTATCTGAAAAAGTGATATATTATCGCAATACACTTTGAACAGTCTGATCACATATTTACTTGTCAATTAAATTTAAATGAAAAATGAAAACATGAAAGGCTAATTAAAGTAAATAAAATAATAGGATACCTAAGCGTGAGGAGGACAATAGTAAACACAACTCTTGATAATATAGTCGGAGAAGGATTATCAAGGTAAGTCATACACAGGAGTGAGGGATTAATTCTGAGGATGGCTATCGTTTGAGCGCATTACTTTACGCGCCTATGACGGTTTTTGTGGGTGGTACTGAAAGCTTTTCTGATGCTAATCTTATAATTCATAACACCTTGTGTGTTTTACTATTAACGAGATTCATAGTCTGTCAAGTAAAATGAAATATAGCTAGCTACACTGAATACAAGTTAAGTAATACTGAGTGGTGTATGGCATATTCATTATAGATGTTTATATTATTGCACTATGACTGGTATCTGTTTACATATCAAATCATTTCATAAATTATTTCCTTTTATATAGCACTTTAGTTACTAAAAGTCTTTTTGAAATATAATCTACACATTTTACCATAAGGGTCTTATATGTGTTGTACCATGAAAATATGTAATATAAATAATCAACGTTGATTGTTCAGGGTATGATTTACACTTTAACATTCTTCTCATGGCATTTTTGGGGTTACTATTAGTTTATATTCAAATTAATTAAGATTCCTGGAATATTCTTCTCGTTCCTTGTATTTTGAGAGAAGCATAGACTTTCAAGCTTCGATCTTTGGAGTTTAAGTATTAGTGGTATTGTTCCTACTAGGTGGGGTAGATAGCTGAACTCCCAGTCTTCCTTCTTTAACAGGCTTAATACTAGCTAATAAATTAGGCAAGGTTTAGGAGTGTGTTGGCTGGCAGTGGAACGCGGACCACTTGTACGGTTGGCGAATATTCTACCACTGTAACACCTATGCACAAAAATATATGATCTAATTAATTTGTGTCAGTGGTACAGCGGTAGAATGCTCGCCAACCACGCATGTGGTTCGGGGTCCGATCGCCAGCTAACACACTCCTTTACATCGCTAAGCAAGTAATAAGACTGGTAAAGAAGGAAGGCTGGGCATGAGGCTAGCAACCCCATCCTGTAAAAGTAAACACCACTGCTACTGAAACTTCAAAGCTAGAGCTTGAAGCCCTATATTCCTCTAAGAACCAAAAGGAATAAAATATTAATAACAATAGATAATTTGCATCACTATGAGTTCATGGTAATAAAACTATGTAAGATTATAGAAAGGTTTATATTATGATAGGAAAAACAAGTTATTAACAGTCTGAAAATACCAAAACCTTAGACAACAATAAAATTCCACTGAAAACTAGATGACACTGGCCAATAATTTTGTTCAGTTTTTGATTCCTCTTTAAATATTTAAGTATTCTCCTAAAGATTTACCTAAGACTACCGGATAAGTAATCAGTGTTGTAAGTCAGAGAACGAAGCAGTAAAAATCACATTTTGATAGCAAATGCACAAAAGACACCCGTTATTCACAACGATTCTAAATGTTCATTTAAAGTGCACATAAATGTGAGGGAATGATCATTCCTTTAAAATGCACCGTGGCATTTTTTTTGTTTATGTAATGTAGGTGAAGAATGTTTTCAAAAAGTGAATAAATACAAAATAGATAGAATACCAATGGACTATGTGGAAAGTTTAAATACGCTTTCTACAGTTCCGCTTCAGAAAATTCAGTATTTTCACTTATCACGAAAGTTCACCTGAACTACATACTGGACATTCAAAAATTGATTTCTAATCATCAATTTCCTTGATAGTTCTAACACAATATATGGTATCTTCAAAACAGTAATACTAGGCACACATGCAGGTAAGCACATAATCCCATCTTGTCAATACAGTTTGTCTCTAAAATTCACTTTACATGTATTAGGAGATTCTCTGGCCAGCAAAGAAACTAGGCTAACTTCAGGTGGGCCCACAAGTCAGCGTAGATCAGGTTTTAACCCTTCAAAAGGCTTAGGAAAATATTCATACCTACTGGCTCCCTGATAAAAGGTTAGCAACAGAGAACTCTGGAGGTCAACAAACCAATTAAGAACGTATTAGCCAACAAATAAGCTAAGAAAAATGGAGACAGATTGGACATATACTGAGGAAACTGCCGGAAAACATCAAACTCCAGGCCCTCAAGTGGAAATCCAGTGGGAAATGACGAGATGGGCATGGATATGAAGGTGATATGGGGGGAATCGTGTGAGGAAGAGATGAGAGCTTGTGGGCATTCAAGGAGCCACCTAAAGATGACTGCAGAAAACAGGGTGAAATGGAGACGTGCTGCTGAAACCCTATGTTTTACGCAGAAAATATGGGAATAATAAATAACATTACTGGCTCCCGAAGCTTGTTACACTTTTGAACATAAAGATGGTATTCGATTCCATCAGTCGGCAATTGCTGTGACCATATGCGCCTGTGAAAGGGTTATCGAGAAAGTGTTCTGTGCTAACCAAGGCACCCTACTCGAACACATACCGCAATTTAGGAGCTTGTAGAGTTGTCATCTGAAGTAACAACAACTAATATTGTTTACTAAGAATGCTCAGTGTTACTGTTTTAATTTACTTTGACTGAGAATATGCTAGTGAAGATGACTATGGATGGCTATGATGTCTTAGAGATTAAGTTGGGACCATTAAATGACTCACAAGTTTACAGTACGCATGCATACAACCATTCCCTGCTAATTAAAAAGAATTTGCCAAGTTGTATCACTCTTGGTCCCAAGATCCTGTTTTGTCCATTAAAAGGCATGTATGCTATGCAAAAGTTCCCTTTTCCTACATTACACTGTAGAGTGTGAGGATAGTAAAGACAGTAAGTCAACTGATGGAGTTTTTATGTATCATAGATTGAGATGGCTAAGATAAGGCTCATAAATACCCCTCCGCTTCTTCCCTCAACCAGCAGTCGTAAGTGAAATAGGATTAGGTTGGAAGAGAGTTATTCAAAAACCCATGAATTCTTCGGCAGTCGGTTTGCAGTAAGGAGGGGGGGGTTAGAATATATGACTATGATTCTCGAGATACAATGGACCAAAAGTTGGAGAATTTTAGGGACAGGCATTAAAATTGTTCACAGTGGCGCAGATACATCAATTACATGTGGCCATTCAACATTTGAAAGTCTTGACTGGTCTTCATATAACGAATCTACCTCCAGTGAATGATCGTCTGCGTGAGATTCACTACATTTAGCGTTTATGCGTCGTGTGTGCTTTGCTGAAATGTAACAACATGAAGTGATGCGCCCTGAGCAAATTAATTGGTTGATACGTGACGGTGAGTAAGAAATGAATTTGGAATCAGTCTGAGTTGATCAAGAAACATGATAATTAATAAATACGGACTGATTTATTGTTTCCATGCCCACTAACATAAGTAAGAAATACCATAAGAAAACGAGGTTCATGTTAAGTAATCCCGGGTAATCGTCACACCCATAACTTTTAAAAGTAAGTAGAACTCTTGAGTGTATATGTTCACTTACTTTTTAAATTCAGTAGTCAAATTGAATACGATGCTACCATTTTAAATTAAATAGGGAGATATCGGTGTATGAATAGCACTCTTCTGGGAAGACCTCAATATTTCCTTGGATATTATAACAATCATTTACCAAATCTACCTAGATGTTACTGAGAACCGGCAAGTAATCTTTCTCTCCCATCTCTTAAATTTATTCTTTCCACCAACATACCGTGTAAGACTGTTTAATAATAGATTTGTAAAATGCGTTTCAGCCACCGCGATCAAAATTGTATGACTAGAACAACAGCCGACGCAGCTCATCTGTTTAGACATTCGACTTCTAGCCAACGCACTGTGGATTCTAAATCATTCTTCCTAATGAGGTATATGCAGCTAAATAGTACAAGTAGCCCTCAAACTACAGGTATGCATTTGCTAACTAGGGAAACGTTTTCCTTTTTTTTCGTTGGCTTGTTAGCATGTCTAACCTATGTCTTATCGCCTAGTCCAAATTTTGTGGGCAGCAAGTATCAGCATCGGTGGCATAGCGGTTAGGACGCTCGCCGACCATGCACATGGTCTGGGGTTCGATTCCCGGCCGGCGCACTCCTTTACCTCGCTAAGCCAGAAATAATGCTGGTGAGGAGAAAAGGTTGGGCATGAGGCTAGCAACCCATCCTGTAAAATAAACACTGCTACAAATTACTTCATCAGAGCTGCTGCAACAAATATTCCCACTTTTTTGCCTAATCTCAGCCACACATCAGTTTTAAAGTTATATTTTGCACCTGAAAATCTAGCAAACATCCTCAAAATGTTATCTAGACTTCTGAGAAACTTTCCTCCTTGTTATTGACTTCATTTAGTCAGACTGCATCATTATCTAGAATAAGCTGTCTTTCTTGAAAAGACTAACTTTTATTGAGTCATATGGAGGAACAAAGATCTTCCTTATTGATAAACTATTATTCTTTCTTTGAGTTCAGAGTGAAAGTCAGGGCTTCAGCAACACAACAGATTTTCCTAATGTAATATTATATATATTAAAATGGGTTTAGTACGGGAAGAGGGATACTTTTATAGATTTCACCTCATTTCAACGACCCACGCGATTACTAACAGAAAGCGTTAACACAAACACAAATTTCTGAAAGTCAGTCATTCCAACTGAAGAAATTCTAGCATCAAATCTTTCAATTAATGGAGTGTTGAAATAGGAACGTCTTATAGCACGTAAAATCAAAAAATGAAGTAGCTTTCACTAATAAATAAAACTAAATAAGCCACCATCAGTGGTCAGTGGCACAGCGGTAGAATGCTCGCCAACCACGCATGTAGTCAAGGGTCCGATCCCCGGCGGACGCACTCCTTTACCTAGCTAAGCCAGTATTAAAACTGGTAATGAGGGAAGGTTGGGAATGAGGCTAGCAACCCCATCTTGTAAAAATAAACACCACTGCTACTAAATTTCGGGCCTTTATCTTGAAGCCCTATGTTCCACTGGGAACGTAAAGCCATCATCATACAAGTGAAGACTGAAATGTCAGTTAGTACACTGTGTGAAAAAAACCGTGGTGAGTTCAGCGAACATTTTAATGATAATGTCTCCCAGGTTCCCTCATCGTCAGTAACCTAACTTATCTTGTCATAATAACGATGGATGTAATATATTGATGTCTAAATTATGGTAACGGGTTTACGTGCGCCATTACAATCAAAGTGTTTATGCTCTTATAAGAGAAAGAATTTAATGAGAAGATATAAAGTGTTACGGAAATTCAATATTATCATAAAACAACTATATATTACTACAAATAATACTCGTGACGCCTGACCAAAGGTATATATTTACACACACAGGCGCAAAACACATCATTCAGCAGGTCTCTTTTAGATCAAATATTTAATGTCGGACAAAATTTTTGAATGTCACATTAAATTCAAACACTAAGTAAAAAGGTTATACTCACCCACACAATTTCTTATATTTATCGATGCATATAATTTGTAAGTGTATGTATGGTCAAAGATTGCAAGCAATGTCTTGAAAATGGCATTTACAATTAATTCCTATTCATAAAACACCAAATCATGGATTTCTGGAAGATGAAACAAAAGACAGTCTTAGAAAGTCTATGTACGTCATGCATTACTGAAATAATGAAAATAGTATGGTCCTCTGAAAATGTGTGTTAGAAATCAATTAGACTGATGATAGGTAAATTTTTCAGTTCAGAGCGAAACAGTTATTAATCATCTCAGTGTCTGTTATTCAAAAGAAAAGTGAACCAAGTAAGACGTGAGCTCAACAAATTTCCAATGTTTCTCTAAACAAATAACCTAGAGTTTTAGAAAGAGAGCTCAAGGATGACAGCAACATACTTCAGTTGCACATAGATGTCAACAATCTGCTATATGGGTCCACATAATGGCTAAACCCCATCGACTCATGCAAGAAAAGACTTTTAAAAAAGTACAAATATCTGTCAGAGAAGGATTAACATAAGCTTAAAGCCTCCTTTCTTCTTAAATTTAGGAATCAGGACGAACTGACCAAATCATTCAAAATAGTTAGCATCTAATATGTCACAACTGAGATATTCACTAATATGCAGTGACAAATTCAGCCTGAAGAATTTTGTCCACTAAAGCACCGGAAAATTTAACCTACAACATGTCTGAGATAAATCACATTTATTAAGGTTTATTTAAGCCAAAAGCTTCAACAGGGATCTAAAAACATAAAGAGCTTAAAATTTCTAGCAATTTTACTGCTGAAAAAAACCAAAGTTCAGAGTAAAATACAAACAACAACGAAATAAAAAAATTAGCATCAATGAACACGAAAAATATACTACATTAGTAAGATTTAGATAAAATAAAGAAGATCGGTAGCTCAGATGGATGATTTTGATGTAGTTCTATTCTCTGAGCTGACTGGTTTATTTGCGAAGCTTTCATTACTCTACTAAGCAACGTTTTCAGTGCATACTTAAATTTAACTGTAAATCAAAACAAAGAAAAACATAAAAATGCAAATACGGTTGGTGAGCGTTAAACAGGATAAGACCTTGCCATTAATTGAAGAATAACCTTTCAAAAGCGAAAACGCACATGCATTTTAAAACTGACACCAATAAAGCGATAGATGTTTGAAACAGTAAAACAAGTAAAAAGATGGGCTTTGTTGTCTTGGCAAATTGTAAATGGCGGTTTTACTGATAATTAAGTCACCTTGTATAATTGTTATCAAGCACTAGCAGACTTTACACATTCACAACAATCAACTCGATCTGCAAGAAGATTTAGATTTACTGGCCAAATAGTCCAAGCAGAGGCCTTCGAAAATATCCTTAATCAAGTGTTTAATTATTATTACCTCTGATAACAGGCTAAAAATTTCATTTAGTTGGCGTTAAAATACCAGTGCTTACAGAGTAGAAGGGTTTAATGGCAGTTGTAAGTCGTACCTCAAATACCATATTAAGCTACAGATTAACAGATTCGAAGGGTTGTACAATATGATGGATTATCCAAGGGCAGACGTACATTGACTGCTTCAGAATGGTTACTGTTTGATATACTATCGAATTCGTCATATATAGGGAATTTCGATTAATTGCATTCTTCCCCTCTGTCACATTGGCAGTCAATGGATATCAAGGTAGAACTCAGTATCTTATCTTCAAATTTTTCTGGTTTATAGAAGAAATCATTTGCAGAAGCGATGCTCTAAAATCTAAAAAACGTATTCGAATTTTTAACGTTTCAAAGCTCCTATTTTTCTCAGAATGACAAGTCAGTGGAACTGTCTACTGGAACATTTTGTTTCAACACCTCACGATTCAACATTAGCCAGGTTGAACCTCAGAGATAGAGCAAAATGGTAGGATTACTATGGATCTCAAGTCCTCCAAATTTAGTGTTTCAAAAGACGAAGTCTGAAGCAAATGTTTATTTCTATACAAGACAGCAAATGAAACAAGTGAATCAAAGATAACTTGAGTCTCCAGTTTAGTATCTTTTATGAAAATAAGTCCTTATTACTGATAGAATCGTTTTTCGCCGGTGTCCACTCAGGACTCATTTGTAACTGGTTGGCGATGGAAAAAATTTCACCCAGATGCTGTACATTTGGCATAGGGGGCTTTTTATTACTCAGATGCAACCCATACGAGAGTTTGAGACATAACAGCTACAACTGCTCTTTGCAATAACGACCCAGGCAAATGAATCTTAGTGGTTTAATACCTCCCATTGCTGCTCCTTCATTTGTTATGGGTACAATATTTTTGATTATTGTGGCGGGGATATCTAGTCATTAAACCGGTAGTATAATCAGGAGGAAGTCCCGAACATGGAAATCAGTAGATCCCACTCGTCGTGAATGACTGTGTTAGGTCGATGTAGTTGAGTTACTTAAAAATTGTTCATCAAAGCATCCGAAGGTGTCAGTATGTGGCAACTTTCACCATCCCTTAAGGACGAGGTGATCAAAATAATAGTGAATTCAGATAGTTACCGAGTAAGTAATTACCGCTAGCATTCTGGAGATCAGCTGCAAATTTTTACAGTTTAGGCTCAACGTGACCAAAGAAAGTTCCGTGGTCAGTTCTTGGTTTTTTTTTAATCATAAGGAGATGAGTAGAGAATATACTGTGGGATTTGTACAGTTATTTTACTACAACGTTTCGGGAGCTAAATAGTGCTGTTTTCATCATCCAAATAAGAGTTAACGGTCAAATATGGGTGTTAGTCTTCAAGCGGTGGTCCTAGAAATCTTTTGCTGCAGTTGTGCTGTTTAGAACTCTAGGTTCTCACGTTACAGTCACTACGTATGTAGGCGAAATTATTTGGCGTCCTAAGTAAATTATCCGAAATTTAGTGGCGTAGAACAAGGAGGCTCAAGAAAATGCTTCCACTCAAGGAATAGCCGTCCATATCTTCGGTTTCGTGTGACTTATGTTGGGGAATGTTAATATTCGGTTAGAATGATTTAACAGTAATCAGTTTTGTAGATTGTTTCTACGTCAAATTGTATTTATTACTAGATAAAAACTTAGAGAATGCTTTTGGACCTACCATCTACAAGATGCTACATTGTGGGCCTTGCGCAAATTCGTGAAACATCTTACAGGTCATCTTGTCCTATCGGTTCTAATTTTCCAGATCTTTGAATTCACCTATCGCCGAAATATCACTGATCTGCCTCGCGACAATCCTTTTATTTATGTGATATAGGTGTGAATGTATTCTGGGAATCTTACGTGACGTCCAGAACGCGTTCTCTTAGAGAGCTCGACCAAAGGTTGGGTGGCTTTCGCCGTGCTAGGGAGTTCTTCGAGGTCTAAAGGATATTCAATTACTTGTGGATTATTGGGTACGTTTAGCTCTAGGCTAATTGGATTACCTTCCAAGTAAGCCAGTTTCAGATGGTCGATGCTGACGGTGTCTTCGTGGCCATTTTTGTCTAACACAAAGAATTTATCCGTACGTTTAATTACTTTATATGGTCCATCATATGGGGGTTTTAGAGGGCGATGCACAGAGTCACGAAGAACAAATAAGTGTGAAGAAGTTTTCAAACACGAGTGAACGAAGACATCAATGAACTGTGGTCGAAGAGGAGCAGGTTTAACTGAACGCGTTGCGTTTGTTAGCCTGCTGATGTAAGAGGCGTGATCTGCCGCTAATGAGAAGCTCGAGGGAGAAACAAAGTCACCTGGCAGTCGTAGTTTGTCAGGAGCCAGTCGTCGTGCTTTAGATGTCACAGGCTGTCCTGAGGTCTTGATGTGGTGCATAACATTGCTGGTTCTGCACGGTAGATCGTTAGGCAGGCAATTAAGTTCCGGATATCCATCAACAATCGGTTGAAAAGTTGGATTGACGATTGCCTTCATCTTAACGAATGACAAGCTGGGGCCTATGTAGGTGATGCCTTTGATAGATAGTCTAGTTGTACTATCTATCAGTCGTTTTCGGCGGACGTCTACGAGTAAATCATGATGATTAAGTAGGTCCGTGCCAATGATGGGTATTGTGACGTCAGCGAGAAGGAAAATCCATTGAATAGGTTTGCGTAAACCTACGTTCAGATAGACGTATTTCCTACCAAAGGTTGCAATTGGTTTTCCATTTGCAGCCTGTAAGTTGAAGGTAGGTTCCTTCTGTCGATCTGCTGTTGTAGCAGGAAGGACGCTGACTTCGGCGCCTGTGTCGACTAAATATCGAGTCTGGCTGATCACATCATGGATGTAAAGTAAGCGGCTAGTGCCACCGGCGACGGTTGCCGCTAACGCGTGCCGGCGGGATAGTTTCCCACAGACTTTGAGACATTGCCGAAGTTACAAGGTTTACGGCAACATTTCGCTTCCTGGCCGTAGGTGTTGTGATACCAGCACCAGTCAGGGTTTTTCAGTGAACGTGGCTTGGACTTAGATCGACCACGTGCGTTTTGCCGTTGAGGGGATTTAGGACGACGGTAGGAGGAATTACTAGGCATGTTTGACCTAAGCATCTGCTGGATGGAGTTGCATAACTCTATCACTGCAGTATCCTTACTGGAATTCTGTTTAGCCACCAAGCATATTTCAGGAACTGACAGTCTAGTTATTTCTAGAATTTTATCAGCAGAAACAGCTAAGTCGTCTATGACAACACCCTGAAGTGTCACCAGCACAGTCTGTACTGACTGTGGCAGTTTGGATAAGAAGAGTTCTCTGAACAGTCCTTCATCGAACTGACTTTGGCCAATAACCTCTCTCATTCTTGTCAGCATGCTCACGGCTGACTGATCCCCTAACTCGATGTTACGAAATAATTCATCCAGACGCTGTCGATCCGTGAGAACGTTTCTCTTGAGGAGGGATGCTTTGAGCAACTCGTACGAGTTACTTACCTCTGGACTCGACATCTGCACAGTTACGCACTTGCTGAATTCCCGCGGTAGGGCGTGAATAACTGCGAGGAACTGTGAACGTTGATCGGTTATCCCATGCTCACAAAAATCAGACTCAGCTATCTGAAACCATGTTTCAGCATTATCTGGCCAATATGGTACGAGCTGAATTGTTTTGGCAGTTGAGCGAATACGAATAACCTTGGGGCTAGGATCACTCATGACGAAATGTATGCCGATTACAATATAGTACAAGAACAAACACAAAAAGGAACGAACTCACCGGGTTTATCTGCGTATTTATTGAAGATGAAGTTCGCGGTTGGGCTCACCAGTTTGGAGGCTGACGGTATCGACGTTCGCGAATTGTACGGAGTATACTAACGCAAGATCTTATACCAACAACTTCTATAGTGTTCGCTCTTCGTGTACCAAAGATAAAGCAAAAGACCAGATTTAGTCGTCCAAAGTACGTGATATATTTCGGGACCAAATCGCGGGTTGAAATGAATGCTTAGCTGGCTAGTGATCGTGCACGCACGTGACACGACGGAGTACCAAATGGCAAGGATGCTTGACCGGAAGCCTTCAGCTAAACAAGTTGACTTAAACAGTGAGGGTCAGCATCCAATGTTCAGTGATGATTGCTGTGGTCAATAATTTTGGGGAATTATTTACCGCTACACATTTGATAAGTTTCAGTCAAAGTGTGTGCAGGCAGATGTAGCTTCCAAAAGCAGTGAATTACATTGAAAAATTGAGAAATATGTTGCATGTTCTGTGGTGGTAAGATCCCTTTTAGGATACGTGAAGCGAGTTCAGAAGGACTTAGAATTTTAAACCATGTCGTTTATGCCAAACAGAAACTTCAAAAACCTTCCAGATAAAATGCTCTGGGAAAGTTACCCGAAGTTTTATATACTGACAGGCATTTCGCTGTTCTTAAAGTTTGCTGAGCATTTTGTGGAGATATTTGTTTGTCAACTGGCAGATTAAACAAATAACAGCTGACAATTCAGTGAGTATAAACCTAACCGCAGTGTTTTTTCGCACACAGCATAGCAAACGGTGCGATAATAAAGTATGTCCTTAAAATGTAGTAGTTTGAACTAGCACCACTATGGTATTAGTCAATACGAAGCACCTAAAATGCAATAAGGCACATATACTAGCAAGAAACAACGAAGATGCATCTTGATGTCTTCATTTCTGAAGCCTGCTGCCTAAATGTGTCTATCAAGCACCACTTACTG